GTGCAATACCTCAGCATGGCGAGCTGGGGATTATTGCACCATTGCCGAAAGAATGAAACTAAGAATGTTGAACATGACAGATTGTGAACTCGACCGGTGTTGCATATCGAACGCCCAAGGGGACGCCTGACATCAACCTGAGGATCGAGACTCGGGGCCAGAAAACATCTTTCCCATGAGCGCGAGAGACCTTTAGAGCCATGACCTGTATAGCAGGGCTATTATAACTTTAATAGATGGTCGGCTGATACTACCAAGTTCTGTCTTGACTTAACAGATCCCGGAGATGAGAAGAGGGTGTAGAGGTTAGACCATCAGCAAGCCAAACGATGTTAGTATGTCACGGGCCATCTAGAAGCCGGGGATCCAAAAGATAAGAGATATCCAACAATCTCCCCAGACTTATCGCCATGAACCTTTATCATTGCGCACGGCCCCGATCGAGGATGGAGATGCAGATTCGATGCAGACGCGGATCACGATGGGAACCCCGATAAGATGGGTCATTAACAAGTACAGTATGGGGACATTCCTCAGTGTCGTTCGATCAAGGAGTCCTGCCTAACTGGGAGTGTTGCTTGCCCTCGATAAGGCTTAGAAGTGCTGTGTTGCACATATAACCCCCTGCGTACTGTATGTAGTCGGGGATCTTCAGTCCAGCCCTAGTGCTGGGCGTGAACAGCCCTTGGAAAGAAAATGTATGGCCACCGATCACCAGTTTCCGGGGTTGGTTCGGGCTGTATGTCGAGGACAGCTTTATTTAGTGGGTTGTGGTTCATGAATGCCCAAGGCATAGGGCGATTGCCTCATTACGTGTCCAGGTACTATTGTCAACACAATCACAAACATGCAGCCATCAAACCTCTGCCTACATACAGTTTCTTAATATTATACAGAAATATGGGCACTGCTATCAACTAGTGAATCGACTTATCAGCCGCTATCTACTGTACGGACTATCTACTCTATCTGTCAGTCCGCTCCGTATCGGGGAGCTACAAACACAGGGAATGCTGGCACTGCATGCACGCCCTGGCATGAGTCATGGACTCGGGCCAAACATGACAACGCATCACTTTCAAGTACCGAGTACATGGTATTATTTTGGTAGGTTGTACCCTTGACAACGGTACATCTGCTAGTTGTATGTGTACTTGGATCCCAGATTAGGGGATATTCTTATCTTGCGGTGAAGAATTGTTATCTGTCCGCAACTTTTGCGCATGGGTTCTAGATAAACTATCTGATCGCTATCTACAGCATAGTCGACTATCGTACAGTAGAAGTGGTTGTTAGTAGTTTTCCTCCCAGTCATTGCCCTGATTTGAAATTAAAATTCTTATCACCACAGAAACAATGGCCACAGTTTACACCATCCCTCCCTATCTCATACCCGACAGCCTGGACATGTACCCCAGAAGTTCCTCCTCTCAAGATCCAGGGGGCGGGGGAGCCCTTCCGGAGAATGCGTGACGCAGCCGCGGAGTCCCGGGATCCTGGTAATCCTGGTAAATCCTGCAGATATGGAATTCTGCGGTAGGAGGCTAGGAGCGAGACATTCTCCCCTTGCTATAAGTACAGTAGTGGATTGTCAATTTTGTTTAGGAAGAATTGCTCCGTGTTTCCCCAGGAAATACCCCGTCCCTGGATTGGATTGGACTGGGCTGGGCAGGAGGTTAGTTGAGTTCAGTGGAGAACAAGGGGAAAGAGACTGGACTGGAGGTTCGGATATATTATCCGGGACGTGTAACGTACGGGGTAAGGGTCCCAGTGGTGGACTGCGGTTTGAGGATGTAGTGCGGGAAGTACCAGGTTATTTGAATAGTCGCGGCTAACTATAACTAAGTTATGGGCTGATCGTCCTTGACAGTGGAGAGGAGGATGGCTGGGAATTGGGAGTTAGGACTCTTGCTGTGGCTGTTGGAATATCCGGGGTAGTAACAATCAACCCGAAAGGCAGGCGACTAACGACTGAGGACGGATTTAATGCGAAACTAAACAAATCCATTGAACAGCACAACATCGCTAGACATCTATTTTGACAGCAAAGCTTGTCTCCAGGGTGATGTCCAACCCAACAACACCGATTAATCCGGGGATGAACTCGATCCACCCGATCCGATCCTACAGTAAAATGTGACAACCAAATTAAATCCACTGTACAATACTCCGTCCACTCGATCCATAATATCCCTACTATTGAATGATCGCAGACAGCGGACCGTACGGATATCATTCCGGCAGGTGAACAAGACAGATCAACCGCGTCTAGACCCACCGGCTAAAGTATGAATCGTCCAGCACTATTTATCCCGGACGTTCTAAGCTCTGGTCCACACGGAGAAAGCGAGAACCATCAATTAGCGAGCCAGCGATAACTCACTCCACATTTTCCCCGGATATCGAGGATGGTGGACTGCGTAATTGGCAAAATGGAGAATGGCAAATGCAGGTGCAGTAATCAGCCGAGGGTGAGGCTTGCCCCTGGCGTAAGCTCAGCTCGGCTCCACCTTAGGGGCGTTGGATGGGGAGATATCGGCAGTCTGGCTCGGGAAGAATTAGCCCGGAAGAAGGATTTCCTGCGAGAGGGAAGGAAATGTGTTAATTAACAGAAAGTGTATACGTAGAGTTAGCGATATGCCAGAACGACCCTAATTAACGATGTATCGTATCTTCGGCAGTTTGTTTGTGGCTTCTGCCTACGACCGTAACACATGTTCTGATAATGCTCGGGAATATGTAACAATCATCTATCCGAGATTTATCCATAATCATACTATGATACTGTAACTCCCTTGCCTCGATTCCGTCTGCCCCGACAATCTGGTCCATGGGCCCATTTCAATGCAACCGTCAGGTTCCGGAGGATCGCCCTCGTGGACCGAAGTTTCCCCCTATGGAAGGCCCCTAGAAGGATTGTCTCCTTCTCAAGGTTCGCCCGTAACTTATTTGAAACAACCTTAGCTCTGAGCTACGACGGACTAACTGAAATAGCAACTCACACTAACACTTCGGTTATCTAGCTAGTGTAAACTACCCTGCCTAATCTAATTACGGGGATATCTCAAACCTGTACAGAGTGCGGAGTACACTAGCTTAGAATTTATCAACCTTCTTTTCTAAGTTAGGAGGTATAACCACAAAACTGTAATAAATAATGATCAAGTACGGAGTACTGTATATACTGCTGTTCTGTGCAGTCGGGAATCAAAACCCGACATTCCGCCGCTTCTTACCCTTCCATCAAAGTTAACCCCCACACCACCCGAAAAATCCAATTGTTCAGTCCCCACAACCGGCCTTTCTAGCCTGCTTCCCCGGAGCGAGTGAAAAGGCTAAGCGCAACCCCCCTAGAAGCCCTCCCTAGAAGCCCGAAAGCCCCAGTCAAGCCACTAGTCGTGCCTCACTTATCTGTCTAGTATCCACCCCCATTTCCGGAGAAGACCTGATCCCCATCGGGCGCGATTCCCCGGGGGTTTTCCACCCCTGGCAGGCGTAGCCGCCCTTTCTTTTTCCCCTTGTACGCACTCTATGGAGAACTAGAAGTCTTGTTCTGGTTTGGGCATGTCTAGGCCCATTTTTTGGCTCTTTGTTTTACTTTCCCCCACACGGAATTACGGGGAACGCGTCAGTGCTGGTGATGTACATGTACCTTGTACATCCATCTGTACACTGTGTTGTTAGGCGCTGGTTTGCTTTGATTATACGGTGTGTATGTTTGCTCTATCCATAGTACTTTGTAGTAGGTGAGATATTTTGGTCTTTTTACTACAGTAAGGGTGATTATCTGCTTCGTTTGGGCATACCTGGGCTCATGTGGTGTCTGATTATTAGGCCCTTTTGGGCGACGAGAATGAGAATGAGGCGATGGGGCTATCTTGGCGGGTCGATCTTGGATCTTCGTTAAGAGGGTTTGGGTGTTTGGGTGTTTAGGTGTTGGTGTTGGCCAGGCCTTGGAGAGGCGGATTACTCGTGATCATTTTCCTTATACGGAGGATGGAGTAAATAGTCAGTACTGTAGTAACTTGAACTAGAAAAGAGGTAGTTGATTATAGGATAAACCTAGAGTACGGAGTAGAGTACTCCTCTGTGGGTGAAGAGTACTTTGTCCTTTGTAGCGGGTACTTTCTGCGGCTTTCCCCAGGAGGCTTTGGGCTGACTCCACACGGGAATTCTTTTTGTTTCCCCGTTCGCTTTTCTTTTTTTATTATTATTCAAATATTCTTTCTGGGATAGAATTATTATCCGATTTATTCAGCCTGGCTCGCTATATTTCCCCCCAGATTCCCGGAGAACTCCCGCTGGTTTTCTTTTCTTTCTTCAACCGTCTTGCTAGCTCGCTATCATACTTCAGACCTGCTTCTTTTAAAGAAGGCAATCTTTCAACTTACAACTACACCTTCTCTGACTTCTTAATACGGAATCTCCCCGTTATCTTGCTATCTTACCACCAACTCGGTCTTATCTCACCGACGACAAATTATCACCATTTCTCCTCACACCAACCTCGCTTCCAACATTCTCCCACAAGCTTCTTTTTCTACACTCCGATTGCACCATTTTCAAAACACGTTACATCTTCATGTGAGTCCTTCCTTTGAACCGTGATGATCTTTGTTACATCACCCCATCTCGCCACAATCACAATCTCCGATCCTCCGAATCCTCTCCCTCGGGCAGTCCCGGAAACTCCCTCCAATCCACCATGAGAAGAACAAGAAGAAACACGATTTTCTCCGATCAACTGCTAATTCTATAATTCACAGTTAAAATAAGCCCAAAACACAAGACACGAGGCAGAACCCAAGCTCGGCCGACCTTCTCAGCCGCAACCCAAAACCCACCCCATCGTGCCGAGGTCCAACTTCCCACACCCAAACCGATCTCCCAGAGCTGGCATACAAAAAGAACCAAGCTCCTCCAAACTCCTTTATTCATCTGAAATAAACAAAACCACACTTCCTCACATCACAACTTCTCTCTACATACTACCTTTCACAATGGCTACCCGCACTCACTCCATCGCCCCACCCACCACCGCCGTTACCTTCGGCGCATACTCGCAAACCATTCCCCGTGCCATGACCACCTCTGCTCCATCCAAACCCACCAAGCTTTCCCACGGTCTGGTCGACGGTATGCCTCCGGCTCCACCACCTTCGCCGGTCAGCTTTGCCATTGATAGCAATGGCGGGACTATCCCTCATATGGAGAAGATTGTTCGTTTGAGCCTGGAGTAGGGATCAGGACATCGGCGAGCTCTTTCTTGGGGGTTACTTGCTTTGTGTTTCCTTGCTGGATGGGCTTTGCGGGTGACTGCAACAGCATCTGCGACAGCGGGCTCATTCCCCATTCTCTTTTTTCGGGTGCTGCATGGAGTCGATCTAGATGGTTGCTTTCAATATCCCTGTGCTTCTTGGGATTTAGATTGTATTTAGCGAGCATGGTGGCGTTGGATATGGATACTTTTGTTTTGCTTGTCGTTTCATGGGATCAATCACCTTACCTACAAACGAGGGATGTTTCAGTTTGATGCTATTTTTCTTTGAATATTGAAAAGTAATTCTGGGATTGGGTATTCAGTTTATTTCGCAAGGCTTCGGTCATAATATGATTTTCTCTATTTTGAACCCCTACTTTAAACACTGTACCTCAAAAGATATCTTAAACCGGATGACACGAGCCGCGGCGCAATAACTGTATAACTCCAAAATCTAATAACATTTGACATGAGCTATAGCGTATAGTTAAACTGATTTCCCCCGAACCCTCGAACCCTTAAACCCTCGATGATCTCCAGCCAAGCTCCATGACTAAACTCGGCTAGATCTTGAATACGAGCTTCAACCACCGCACCACAATCACCTCCTCAATATTACTACTTTATCCCCTCCCACTTACTAGGTAACACGGCAAACAACAAAGCACCGATAAAAAAACATACAGACCCAACCAATCATGGGCGAATTCGACTGCTACTGCCTCCTCTGCAGCGGCCCCCTGGTCCCCTGTGATATCGGCTCCACCTCCCGAGCCCGCCTAACCCAGCGCCGACGCCGAATCGCCAAGAAATTACTAGCGATAGAGGAGGGCCGGAGTTTTGATTCATTTGCTAGTGACTCGGACGAGGAAGCAGGGCACGACTCTGAATCTGATTGTCAAGAGGGCGATGGCGATGGGGAGGTTTGGGAGCAGGATGAGAGGAGGAGTTATGATCCGGATGTTGCTGGGAATGAGTTGGTGGGGTGGGTTGAGGATATTAGGGTTTTGGGGGTGGACGGGGGTGGGAGGTTGGTGTTGGACTTTTTTTGTTAGGGGGGTATGATTTAATTTCTTATTTAGGGCTTTTGTGTCGGGGCGTGCGAATTATGATGATGCTGTGAGTTTTGGCGTTCTTCATTCTGTGTTGAGTTGTTATGATTCTGATTTCTGATGTTTGGTTAGGGGTTGATATATGTTGAGCAAGGCGATGGTGAGTAAACTTGGTAGGATACTCGACTGCGTTTAACAGATGAACTAAAGTACACTTACGTATCAGATCCGAACCAACCCTCCATAAGCGAAAAACCATACTATGACTGGTAAGTCATAAGCTACTGTGGAATTGATAATAACATCTCCGCTAAAATATCCAGTTACGTCCCCTCCAACGATAACGAAGTCGTATTCCCCTTCCATACGCACTGTATGCTCGTCTTCGAGGAAGCATTCAAGTGGTCCTGCACTCATTCTCGACGAGGCAAGGAGAGGTACGTTCGTCCACAATATATCGTGTAGACATTAATTTCATCTGCTAAGCTTGAATTCTACAGGTTCGTTCCCATCAACACAACCTACCCAAAGATGAACCTATCCACTGACAGACCGCACCCAGCCTCGATCTAACAACCCTCTACAAAACCGCAACACGAATCGGCAGCCTCACGAATCTGAATCTAGACTACGGTGGTATATCCGGTGTTGATCAATGCTGGGAATGTATACCGGGCGAAGAGGTAGAAAACCCGGCCCCTATCCAGTGTTTCTAACATGTCTCAACTAGATTCTCCTACTAATAATGTCTTTTAGTACTCCGTAATAGATCCCCTACGATTCTCCCTCGACGCACTAGATTTCATCTACAAATGGCCTAGCGCCGCAAACCCCAGCCAACCCACCGGATCAAAAGCGAAAGGAACAGAAACAGAAAAGGTGATAATCGATCCATTCAATTCCCTCCCCATCGAGATCCTGCATCTTATATGCGGACATCTACCCGCGGACGCACTACAGTACTTCCTAGCAGCGTCGGTAACGGCGTATTACGCTACGAAGAACGAGTCTTTTTGGAAAGCTCTTTGTTTGGAGAGAGTTCCTTGGGCTTGGGAGGTGTGGAGGGATATTGATGGTGATGGTGAGAAAGAGGTGGTTGATACGAAACAGGGAAAAGGAAAGGTTGGGGTTAATTATAAGAAACTCTTCTTTTGTCTTGAAAGGAATACTGAGCAGAAGTTTGGGCTCGGGGTTGAAAACCGTGGGTGGTTGGGGTTGGTTAATCGGAGGAGGATTTGGGATGTTTGTGTTCGGGTTTCGGGGGAGTATTGGGAAGATAGGAAGGGGGTTGATGGTTGATAGTTGAATTATGGGTTGAGGGTATGATGGGCATAGAACGGGTTAAGGAAGCCAGAATAAGACTGAGGGTTACAAGCGTTGTGAGTCTGGGAAGGGATAATTGTCGATGTTTACATCTAAGACTCTCGAAAGATAATGTCAAAAGGTTATGTTATTCAGTTAGACATAGAAATGCGTTAGTTGGTCTTCCGATGTACATCCAACGTAAGTTTGTACTGAGCATCACACCGCAGATCACGACGTCACCCCCCTCGCCCCAGAAATACATTCACATCCTACCACAAACTTCTAGTGTAGTCGATCGACGGTCGGGGTTTCGGAGGTTATGTGCTTGGACAATTAAAGGAAGGCGAGCACATGAGATTCGAATTTAGATGTCCAGGAAAGGATAGGACAGGGTATCAATATTTGATTCGATGTGGATGAATAAAAGCCTAGTCATCGTCGCATCATTGCGACAGCTCGGCCCATGTCGGATAGGCTATGACGTTATCCTCGTAATGGTGTAGATGATCACCAGCTTCTGGGCTCGTTAAGGAGGCTAGTCAGTCCGGGGCTGCCGGGTGTGGGGCCTGGATAGCACGGAAGAGCGGGTGTATGAGTGCGTAAAATTTGATGCAGTTTCTCAGAGAAACTATCTCCATGTACTTGGCGTGTCGGGGTCAATCGTTGACGCTAAGCTTGAGCATAGGGAAAGTCGTAGTCACAAGCTAACAGCTTCTCAACCTATGTAAGAACCCCTGGAATTGCGATAAAGTAGGGTCGGCCACTGTTTGCTTCGGTATGGTATGGCTCGGTTCTTCGGCCCGTGACCACACGTGATGAGAGCACCATCGGCCTCATTGTAGCAACGCTGACAGGTGCCGATAGCTGAACAATATCTCCGGGTGTCCTAAATCGCTGGTGTCGGGCCGACTAACAGGGTCGCAGTGTGGTGCGAATTTCAGTATGGTTTGCTCTCCGCGGCTAGAGATCTCGTCGCTCTCCACCTGATGTCAAGCTCGTCCCGTCGCTTGTCGCTGCGTGTTCTCACATGAGCTGGGGGTCAATCGGGAGCAGCGATGACGGCTGCTCCTCTTCCTCCTCCTCCTCCTCTCGCTGCTGCTGTTGCTGCGCAAGCTCATACATCAAATGTTCCAACGCCGCAATCGCCTCGGCATCCCCTTTCCGTGCACGATCATTCAACGCATGAATCTCCGCCAACTGGGCCTCCGTACGAGCCCACGCACCCAACCGATCGGCAATATTCACATTCCGCCTCGCGTTAAAAGTCGTCCGTACTGTATCCGTCTCTCCCCTCGCCGTCTTAATACTCTGCAGACGCGCCAGGAAATTCGCCTGATGCGAGGGCTGGATCGCGCGGCGGGGCACACTCGCGGTCACGGGAGTCTGGGTCTCATCTGCAGAGGTAGGAGTCGCAACGCTCGTGCTAGTCCCTATCTGCGTCTCAGCGACCAATCCCGAGCTAGCGCTGGAGGTAATGTTGGCCTTGCGGCCGAGGATCTTCACGCTGTTGGCGGCGAGAAGCTCGAAGGAGGGACCCTGCAGGAGTGGGGCGGGGAGGGGTTGGCCCGTGCCATTGCTTGTATCTGGGTGAGCGTCTGGGTGGGCGAAGATCAGTTCTGTGCCTATTTGATCGGCCCAGGTGCAGCTGAAGAGTTGGTCACAGTATGAGACGATTGGGTTGCACGTGTGGAGACCGAGGATCTGGATTCGTTCGTTGGCTAGAGCCTCTGGTTCGGTGGGTTCGAGGGGCGTGAAGAGTTCGGTGGTTGTGGTGTTTTCAATTGAGGGTTCTGGTGGGATTGATTGTGATAATCCGTCTTCTTCTGCGTTGGTGGTGGTGTCTTCTTGTTGGCGTCGGCGTGGTGGGCGGATGGGTCCGTGGACGGAGGAGAGGTCTAGGTTTAGATAGAAGGACTGGGGGAGGGTGGTTAGCTTTGCGAATGACCTGGGAAGTGCATGAGATGGTGTACCTCTGTTTCGGTGTAGTGATACTCGTACTCCCACTCATCCATTTCTGCATCCATGGGTTGTTCCATCTTGAATGTTTTTTTTTCGAGGGATGATGATTGGGAGATGATTTGATTGCGATAAGATAGACGGCAGATGGAGACGGTGAGAAAGGCGGTGGCATCCGAGCGGTGAGAGGAAGGCGAAAGCGGCGGGGCAAACTGCCGGAGTATCCATTCTTCAGTACTCCGGAGTACTTAGTATACTACTAGAATATTCTAGGATACTAGTAGTAGTAGTATTACTACTACTAGGAGGATCATGGAGTATACTCGGGATTTCATCGGGTTTCCTGCTTTTGTTTGTTGACACTGACCTTGGTATATGATCAACAGATGCGTTGTAATTATTCCATGTATACAATACTCAAGTACAGTCAATAAAAATTCATTCTTACTCTACTTGTCTACCATGTAGTCTACAATGTACTGTACATCTCTTAAGGTTCACTTCAGGGTTCACCCTAGACCGGCTTTCTCAGCCTTACGCCCTTTTTGTACAGTAATTCCCTGCCCCTCTTCTCGACTCCACCACTTCCTATTCATCCTGGAGGCATTAGGTATTGTCCCCCTCCTCCTGCCGTCATCGAAAGTACCCGACACAACCATGGCCCGACCATCATGGATTGGTAAGTGATCCGAGTCTTCCGTTGATCGCGTCAGGCCGCGGGTCCCCTGCAGGAGGGGGACCATCCTGTACATGACTCGATGTACCGTGATAATCATCGACCCTCTGGGCGATCGCATCCGGCTTGGCTCTGGCTGCCATGCATTTCCGCACGTTCCCGGCCGCCCGCGCTGACTTGTTCGAGATTCCCCCATTTTTTGACTTTTGGCCGCTTTCTGTTTGATTTTTTTTTTGGTCTATTATTTTTTCTTAATTCCTTTCGACTCATCTGCTCACGGGGGAGATCGCTGGACTCGGAAGTCCCGGTTAACAAGAGCCATTGATTCAAATGTGTCTCTGACTCTCGGTCTTTATAGTCTCTCCCCTGCCGTACTTACTACTACGACTGCTACTGTTGTGTTCTCTACTTTCTCTCGTTGCTTCTCGTCCCACTATAGATCACCGTGATCCCTTCTCCACGGCATGCTCGCCTACCACGGCAGTACCCCTCGCTCACCATTGCATTGACTCGGATCCCCACGACCATTCGGCTTCGTCTGGATCCCTTGCGACAGCCGCCCTTGCGGTCTATGAACAGCAGCAGCCCGCTCCCGCTGACCACTCGGCGAGCTCGACATTGGCAGTCGCTGCCGAGTCGCTTCAGCAGATGACGCGCAAGGTCAAAGCGGCCATTGCAACCCTCACCTCTCTAATCCTCTACGTCTCCATCAACAGTCTAGCCCGGACCCTCCGCCCCAACGCCTGGGTCTGGTACGAAGAGGATAAGGAAGAGCCGAGCTGGCTGGCCACCTCGGGGTCATGGTTCGACCGCAAGGCATGCCGCTGGCTCGGAGTCTGCGGCGCAACACACTTTCGCATGATCTCCCGACACTATGGACATCGTGATCCGACGCGCTGGTCCGAATTGAATGACGAAAATTTGGCAAAGAAGCCGTGGCGGACGTGGTGGACTAGCGGGGCCGATAAGGATAATCAGTCCGAGTGGGATGCCGATGAGCGGGCGCGACGGGAGATCCCCGACTACGTCTTCGACTATGCCCCACTCGTCCATCTTTATTCCGGCGAGCAGTTTTGGCCCGGGGATATCGCTGAGCATTTATATCATACGACGCCCATGCTCAATTATACCCCGATTCAGGCCCAATGGGATCATCCTACGTTGGAAGATTTGAATGGGTTGAATCAGTGGGAGGGTGGTCGCCATGTGTTTTTGACTAGTGATGATGACCCCACTACGCGCCCGCCGTGGCTTGAAGGGGAGCAGAATATTCCCCGCATACCAGGGAATGATGAAGATGAAGATGGCAACGGCAATGGCAATGCCTTGGATGAGTCTTGGGCCGATTGGGATGGCCGAGTCGACGGTGAAATTCTAGATGAGAGTGATGACGATCGCGCCGAATGGGACGACTTGAGACGATATACCGAGGAAGGACGGGACCGCATAGAACAGGAACAGCTAGCGCGGGAATCAGAGGAAGCCCATCGCCGCTTCAAGCAGGAATTGAGGAAGCGATACGGGGGGCATCCTCCTGTTCAGGAACCTCTTCAGGGGAGTCGCAATCAGGGCGCTGGAGGTCGCAGTGATGCGCCTGCAGTCTTGCTGGTGATGGACAAGGGAAACGGAATTGTGGACGCCTTTTGGTTCTACTTTTACAGCTTCAACCTTGGGAATACCGTTGTCAACGTGCGATTTGGGAACCACGTTGGCGATTGGGAACACTGTCTGATGCGATTCCACAATGGCCAGCCGAAGGCCCTCTTCTTCAGCGCGCACACTGCCGGCGAGGCATATCGGTACGAAGCAGTTGAGAAAATTGGACGACGGGTGAGTAGCAGTCACAACCAAAATCCCCTTCCCCAAATCTAATACTAACACACCAAAGCCGGTCATCTACTCCGCCGAAGGAAGCCACGCCATGTACGCTCACGCCGGCGTCCACGAATACATCCTCCCCTGGGGCCTCCTCCACGACATCACAGACCGCGGCCCCCTCTGGGATCCCGTCCTAAACGCCAAAGGCTACACCTACGACTACGACACGGACGACCTCCGCTCATCAACATTTACACCTGACGCACCGACGGAGTGGTTCTATTTCCGGGGCCACTGGGGTGATAAATTTTACCCGCTGGGTGATTCTCGGCAGTATCGCTTTGCGGGCCAGTACCATTATGTTAATGGGCCTATTGGACCGAGATTTAAGCATTTGAATCGTCGGAAGGTGTGTCAGGGACCTGATCGCGAGGCTTGTGTTATTAGGGATTACATTGGTGAGGCGAAGAGGGCGCCTAGGTGGGCTGAGGTTGGGGTTGGAGAGTGATGATACCCCTACACCTGCGACATACCGAGTTGCACACCAGACATGATGCCGATTCCTATACCAGGGATCGCTCATCTTTGATATCGAGGATTTGCAAGGATTTGCATCCCTGCGGTCCCGTCTTGAGGACCCTTTCGGATTACTATTGACCTATACCCCATACTGTTTTCTTTGCTCTTTCATCCGATATATACCCCCCATACCCCCTGTTTATTCTGTTCTGTTCTGTTCTGTTCTCCTTTCCTTTCCTTTTTGTTACAGTTCCTCTTACCCACAAAGGAACCAAGAGTATAGACATGCCCCGGCCTGGCGCCCACGAAAGCGTTTCCATTCCTTTACTACCCGGCCCTGGTCTCGGCCTACAGCGACACGAGAGATGATGACCTGACTTTTTTTGGCTTTGATCACGACTTTCATTTACTTTGCTTTACTTGGACACGGCGCTAGAGATGACTACATTCCCTCACGACTCATCCGCACATTCACTCATTCATTTAAGATTTAGGCATTGGCTTATCGCTTGGATTTGTTGGACTTTCATGTTTTTGTTTTTGTTTTTATTTAGTTGAGTTTGGCGTGATTTGGATACTCGGATTTGCGTTTTAGAATTTTTTTTTCTTTACAGAGAGAGAGAGAGAGAGAGAGAGAGAGAGGGGAAAAGAGGTTGGATACAAATATAAGATTTAGACTGATTATCTTGTTTATTTTTGTATTTTGTACTTCGTTGTTGGGATTAGTTTGTATCTTGGTTTCAAGATATACTGCGTTGTTATAGCTCTCGCAGTGGACTCTAGTCCAGTCACGTTCTTGGGTATGGTGAATACACCGATTTGAGTCCTAACTTGCTCATTTCCAGCCTCGTATCCCATCAGAACATTACTATATTACCTGATTTGATAGTCACTGTTAAACCTTCAAAGAAGTGCGATGAAAATAGTGCATTCATGCAGGCCATGCCATATACTCAAGCTATTTACAATACTCGAGCATGCTCTCAATGACGCCGGATATAAAATATTCAAGACAGAATCACCCACAAAACCACGAGATATCTACCCTCTAATCTCGAACAGGCGGATACGACCCTGCTCATTGGCCACGGCCAACTGCTCGTTATTGGGCGAGATGGCCACGGACGAGATACGGCCAAGTGGGGTGTTGGAGGTGGGCCAGTTGCGGTAGACGGTGCAGGAGGGGAGGTGTACTATTATATAATTAGCGAGGTATTCACCAAAAAGGATCGACTCGAGGCAGAGTCGAGGATGTTGTGCTATACGTACCAAGTCTCAGCGCATCACGCTTCCACCGACTAGCCATCACCATCATCTGTCCATCCGGTGCAAACACCAAATGACTAATCGGCGTGGTAAGCTGGTCAAACACACGGGCTGGCGTCGGGCTTCGCGGGACACCCGCCTGCGTCGAGTCGTCGGCATTACTCTTTGCACCTGCGGCTGCAGCCGCAGCCCATTCACGGCGATCGTAGATATTCACAATACCAGTGGTGCTACCAATAGCCACCCAGCGGTCTCCACCAAGGTGATCCCGACCACTGCGTCCGCCAAGGGCAATCACGGTATTACCCACGGCACCGGCATCCAGCCAGCGCGCGATAATACGGCGCTGTCGGCCATCCCACTCGGACACCTCGCCGTTCTTACTGGCAACGGTCATACCCTCGCCGTCCGACCACCATGCGAAATCAGCCACACCTCCGCGTCCGTCAACCCGCACCTGCGCGATCCATTGGGCGGTGCCTGAGTCTAGGACGTTGATCATACCACCGCCCTTGCGCGATGTACCGACCAGACCGACGTACCGTCCGCAGGGGGATACCTTGAAGCGCTCCATGGACTTTTGTTCTTCCTTGCGGTCGGCGGGGCCGTTGACTTTGTCCACTTTGCCCGTGTCCAGGTCCCAGATGTGGAAGTAGCGGCGGCGGCCGGAGGCGAAGATTCGGTTTCCGGTGGGAGGGGCGAAGGCTGAGGTGTGGGGGGGGGTGTGCTTGATGTGCAGGGAGGTGAGGAGGGGGTTTGGCGAGGGTGCAGAGGGTGAGATGTGGTGCAGGAAGAGGGTGGAGGCTGGGCCGGAAGAGAGGAGGAGTGGGTAGTGTGGGTGGAACATGAGGGAGTCGATGGAGGACTGTATAGATTTGTTAGAACGGAGTGATGTATTTTGTCAAAGGTCGTGTCTGTTCTTACCGGTTGCGTCTTGCCGATGTCCTTCAATCGTTGAATGTCAACCACTTCCTGGCGCAGCTTGCGCTTGCTACCTGTCTTGGTATTGTCCTCGATGCGAGTGAGCTCGGTAGTATTTTGGAGGAGCTTGGCCAGCGGCTGCGCGGCCAATTCCTCATCCTCATCAGAGTCCATCGCCTCATCTCTATCCACATCCGAGTCGTCTGAATCGGTCTTGCGGCGCTTGGAAGCGAGCTCGGGGTCTGCCCACTCGGGGGTGGGATTCATGCGCTGGAATTGCCGGCGCAATCGTCGAATGTACTCCGTGCCACTGATGATATCTTCGGATTCGGTGTTGCGCAGTTTGCGCAGCTTAGACTGGCTAACCAGAGAGACCGCGATGCGCTCGTCGTCACTGTCGTGCCAAACTGCGGGAGCAGATTCCTCTTCATCTTCCTCGTCGGAGGGAGTCTCGGGGGATTCAATGAGATCGGTGGTTTGCACATCGCCGGAGTCGAGGAAGAAGAGCTAATTGGAGGGGAAATAGTTAGTTTGACTGCTAGAAGAAGGTTGGAGTCGAGAAGCCACATACATCGGCGTCAGCCATATTGTTCAAATCATTTTCATCATCCGCCTCTTCATCACCGCTCGCGCTCTCCGCATCGCTGTGCAAAGTGAGCTGCATGCCACCCTCCCGCTCCTGCTGAGCCTTCAATGCGCCCATGAAACCCTCATCATCTCCAAAGAGCATACGCTCGAGCTTCAGCTCATCCTCGCCCTTCTCAGGAACACTCTCCTCGTCCGAGCTCGTCTCATCATCCATCTCAATGTCCTCGTCCGCGTGAATTTGAGCAGTGGTGTTCTCGAAGGGTGACCGAGCGGAGACCCGCTTGGTCTTGGTCTTGAGTCCAGCGCTGGACATGGTGGTGGCGCTGTGCTGTGAGATCAGAATCAATCTGAAAAATTGCTGCACAGATTAATTCCTCCGCGGCGATCGGCGTCGGGAGCTTTCTGCGGCGGGATCAGAATATTTTTCGCTTTGATTTTTGCACCGCCGGCAGAAGAGGGCGGTGGAAATGGCGGACAAAATATGTTGCCGCCTCAGGCATAGATGGTAAACACCTTACGCTTCAGGTATCAATGGAGGGCATGCCTAAGCAGTAACTATTACAGTACAGCTTTCTTTAAAGGTTAACGAGTAAGTGTGAGTGAACTTGACAAATTTCTCCTTTTTCTTCATTCCTACACAAATTAATCATTAAGAAGTGTCAGAAGAGGTGGGCTTTTCTCTATATCTAAACGAAGATCCGTGGTAACAGTACTTTACCTCGATACTAGTATATAAGAAAGATCTTTATTAATCGAAAAAATACTAACTGCATAAAAAAGTATAAAATAGGCACTTATTCAATAACTTCTACCTACAGTGGCCGTTCATTAGTATTTGGAACACAGTACTTCCGCCCACGGGTAAAATGCTAAGTGGCGCACGTACCATGTTTCAAATACTTATGAACGCTGACTGTACTTTGTCAACCCCCTCTGTACTGTAACCTTAAAAGTATTCTACACTAGTAAGCGGCTGAAACAAACATAGGCTAGGAAACAGTGCAAGAGGTGCAGCCAATATATCATATACCATTGCTAAACAATTAGATAGTGAATTCATGCCAACCAGGCCGTAACGCCAAGCTGCAAACCTATTTCGTTCTTTCTGAAATAGTCTGTACAAATGTCCTTGAGACCGTGACATAGTTCCCCGAAGTGATGGGATTTGGCTCAGGGTACAAAGCTTCTTCGCTGCTGTTACCAGTCATAAAATCCCGGAGTGGGGGAATTGTGACTTGATTGACTACCTTGCCGTCATTGCAAGACCGATTTCCCGAATTATTACCTACCCTCAACCCGTCGTTGTTGAAACTGGAGAGCGCGTATTTGTTATAGTCTCGTCCTTGACTGCGAGTGTTTCGACCGTAGGACAACTTTTCGTCGAGTAGCCAACGAAAGAGTGGTCGGAGAGTGAAGAGACTGCTTGCTGTGATTCCGAGGCCTGTTTCGACGACTGACCAGATGGCTATTTGATAGGTAGAGTCTTGAGGAAGATTAGAACATGTTTCAAAAACAATACGCCCGTAGGAGTGATCGGCATCTTCCACCACCGACTTACGGAGGAAATTTGTGTCAGCATAGAAATGGAGGAACGGGATTCGGATAATGACTGCGACGCTTGCGCTATTCCATAAGTGTTAGATGCTTCAACACAGGCAACCAATATCATAAAATTGTTCACTTACATCGCGCCCATACTGAGGATTCCGCCAACCGCAATCTTCGTCCGATAGTTCATCTGCAGCTTCCAGACGAGGAATATCGGCAGGAGTCCGAGTGTCAAGTCGCATATAATCGTCAAACAGCTGTAAACATATGCAACTTTGACCAAATTATTCGCGGACATGCAGCTTCCTGACTTTGAAGGATCTGCATAGTCCCAAAAGTATGAGATTGGGTGGCAATCAAGAAGTAGCACCAGCCAAAACATGAAGCTGACGGCAAGCGTAAGACCGATAGTGCCCCAGATGATGATTCGGTGAATTCTTTTGACCGTTAATCGAAGGAGGGCGACAGCGATAGATACTTTGGCAAGTGCGGATGCCCATGTGTAAAAGATCTGACAGAGCCACCAGTACTAGCAGCAGTCATCTCGGTTAGCGCTCATCAACTTGGATCAACGTGGGATGAATGAATGGAATGGAAAGTTATCATGTGCGTTCTAAGCAAACTTTCTTACCAGCAACGCCGTTCTATAGACTTCGTGATTTTTGAAAGCAGCGCTAGTACGGCCAGCCCCATTCATGGCCCCAATGAAGCTACATGCGTTCAAGATCACGAATAATGCCTGTCATATAATTAGTAAGATATTCTGCTGACATTTCTCAAAGAACCTACTAGCGCTGCCAGCATAAGAGCGTCATCCCAACCAAATGCTCGAACGATATAGAGTCGTACGAAAGTCCTCAGAGAGACGGCCACGATCGAAAGAACCATCATCACAATCGAAACGATGAAAATGGCTAAACTGGGACCAACGAGAGGCATTTTTGAGCCCATTTTGAAGATGCGATGCCTCTCTGTCTGCCTTTCCTCTTTTCAGGTCTCAATGATTTATCGTAATGGCTGCTGTGAGCTCTCTGATCGAAGAGTCACTAATCGCTGGCTATTAATGTCGCATCTTTCTTCTGCGACATAAATGTAACAGTTAGCAACATCAAGAAAGAAGCGAGTTCTCCTTCCAAGAAACAAGACTCGAGAGGAGAATTCGAGAGGGGAAGTTTCAGATTTTGCGATTTGGCCTTGGAGTTAGGAATATTCGAAGCGACGGACTACACACGAGCCCTTCTAGAGTGGAGATACTCTTGTTGGAATGATTCGCTCATTCATCGATTAAGCTACCGAATTCGATACGAGAATAAATAACCCAAGGAAATAGACCTTCGAGACACCTAGCTAGGCATCAATCCCGCTGGATCTCCGGTCGTCTCCATCGGGCTTCAAGGATACCATCCAATGGACATCTCTAGAGCCCCGCCACAAGGGAGGATTGCCGTGACAGTGTCCCACTGCCTGCGAGGAATGTTTTCTATCTTCAAAACCGCCCCTGTCTAGACTGCAGGAGCTACGGCAGCAAGGTAGCATCGAATGTCACCCGAGGCATGGAAACGTGCGCTAAGGGGCGGATCCACTATAGATGACCATGGTTATTGGGCAGATTACGGGGGACTCGCCGGACGAACGAGATACTGTCCAATGGGCAGTTTTCTTGTTATGCGACCTTTCCACATTAAACGACGGGGTCCTGGCAGTTCGTTCAAAAGCTGCATGGCATATCTCAGTTGAAACTGAACCCGAGATGGGACTCGGCATCTTAGAGTGGTTTGACAACCATTGCTCATATACTATACAAAATAAGAATTAGTAGTGTAGCCACTGATGTTAGCTATTTCCTAATGTTCTTGTAATCGCAGCAAGTGAACTACTCGTCAGTGATGGGGTGCTTCTAGAAAGGTTTTCTGAAACCCCGCCCCCAATTAAGCTTTCCGTGAAACTTCGGCCTTCGGTTTCCCCGTTGACTTCTTTCACATGCTTTATTTCTTCTTGCCGTCATCATGTTCTCGTCCTCGTGAATGAAGAATGACTCGCATTGCATTGATTGCCTTTCGCATGTCTGAATTCCATGCGATTGTATATCATGCTCTACTGTGAAATACGAATCGTATAATATAAATAGAAACGTGTTTCGGCCAAGCTAAGTTATTCTACGTAAGAGATGTGGATCGGTTTTACGAGGCTTATCCACCTTACTGAGGCATGCCGGTCCTACTGAGGGTCTAGGGGTCTTGGTATTATCTTGGCCATATTATTCTGCTCAGTATATATACGAACAGGTGTTCCACTGTAGTGTTTGCCGTGTGCTCTGAAACGAGATGAGTAGCGATATGCACCACCGAAATGGAAGTAGTTAAGATCTGCTCATAGGATCAAGATGTGCGGGTTATCGTAGGGAGAAGCTAGGAGAACTAGACATAGTTGATTATCCACTTGGGAAATTCTGAGCTCCCTTGTTGCAACGAAGTGCCATATCAAAGAGCAAAATAGTAACGACAAAGTCTATTAGTCCCTTCTCATTAATGTTAAAAATTTTAACCCGTGAATGTTTGGAAAATGATTCCAAGGCGTACTTTTCGAATTTATTCCTGGCGGTGTATTTGTTTAGGTTATCTGTACTCTTCTGTCGAGGTCGGTACTTCTCTTTTGCGCAGTTATGATAGACACGGTGGCTCAAAAAATATCCCCATTTCTGAAATAGGAATTTTCAAGATATAAAACTAATTCGAGAACAATCCTTTGCCATTTAACAGCCTTTCGTGTGTCGCATTCAATTGTGGAATGACCACGAAGTAGACAGAGGTTCCATTGATAAAGCATGGCTGGGAACGCCTGGACTTATACCATCGTGGAAAATCTTTAGTTCCATTCTTTGGGGTGCTGAAATCTACTAGCCCATCCTTCTATCCGTCGAATTCAACATTTACAAGCTAGATGTGTACACAGTGTTGATACCACCAGTCACAATCATCTTGATGTTAACATAGTCGTCAATGCCGTACTTGCTGCCCTCGCGACCCATGCCGGAGTGTTTAACACCACCAAATCTACCAGCAGTCAGTACATCTATGCATCAACCCTGGGTAATGGGTAAACTCACGGCGCAGCAGAGTCTGAAATGATTCCAGTGTTGATCGCAACCATACCGAATTCCAATCGCTCAGATACTCGGTGTGCCTTACCCAGGTCGCTCGTCATAAGGTAAGATGCAAGACCAACCTCACAGTTGTTTGCACGGCGAACGACCTCATCTTCAGTCGAGAACTTGGCAAGCGCTGCGACGGGGCCGAAAGTCTCCTCGTACGCAATCTTCATCGAATCGTCGACATTGCCCAGGATAGTGAGCTCGTGGAAGTTCTTTCCAATAGATAATAGAGGGTTACCGCCGAGAAGTACGGTAGCGTTCTTGCCCAGAGCATCGCTGATGTGCTCTTGTGTCTTGGCCACGCCGTTGGTGAGAGGACCGTGGGTTGAGGCGGCATCATGGCCATTACCAACTTGGAATTTCTTCATTTCCTCCACGAAGCGCTTGCTAAATTGCTCGTAAATACCCTCTTGGATAAAGAATCGGTTTACGCACACACAAGTCTGTCCGGTGACCTTGAACTTGCTGATAATGGCACTTGAAACGGCAGTCTCCACGTCAGCGTCGTCAAAGACAATGAATGGAGCGTTTCCGCCAAGCTCGAGGCTCAGCTTCTTCAGTGTGCTGCTAGACTGCTGCATGAGCAGCTTGCCAACGCGGGTCGAGCCGGTGAATGAGATCTTCTTCACAATATCCGATTCGCAAAGTGCCAGTCCGAGAGAAGGTGTGTTATCCAATGCTGTGACAACGTTGAACACACCCTTCGGAACACCAGCACGCTCGGCAAGAACAGCCAACACGTTAGAAGAGAATGGAGTCAGGCCGTCTGACTTCATGACAACAGTACATCCAGCCGCCAAGGCAGCAGCCACCTGAGAAAAAGCATTTAGAGTTAGCCTATGAAGACTACCATTTGATAAATTCTTGGACTTACCTTGCGTGCTCCCATGGCCATCGGGAAGTTCCAGGGAGTGATCAACCCACACACACCGATGGGCTCCTTTAGGACCTGCGTACGGCAAGATGGGTTGCTGTGTGGGATAACATCACCGTAGATTCGCGGTGCCTCCTCCGAGAACCATTCAAAAAATCCGGCAGAGAACAGAGCCTCTCCTTCGGCATCGCCCTTTGCCTTGCCATTCTCGGCTGTGATGATCTTGCCAATGTCTTCCTTGTTCGCAACTAGCAGTTCAAACAGTCGGCGCAGAATGCGTCCCCGTTGCCGACCTGACTGAGCGCGCCATGAAGGGAAGGCTGTTGATGCAGCCTGGATAGCGGCGTTAATGTCGTCTGTGTTCGATTCGGGGCATGAGCCGACAACCTCTTCGGTGGCGGGGTTGTAAACTTTGAAGGTTGCGTTTGACTTGGATGAGACCCATTGGCCATCAATGTATGATTTCTCGATGAAGAGACTTGGGTCCTTTAGTCCAGTCGAGAACGATGATGCCATTTTGAAGCTTTCTTCGGATGTGAATTATCGTTCAAAGAAAATAGAATCAGTGAAATTGAATACAGTTCCAGAAAGTAGAGGACAGGATTTAATTCTCCTCGCGATGCAAGCCTTATAGTTCTTTCTCACTTCTCCCAGGAAGCTGCCCAGCGTCATTCTCGGGTTCTCGGGCCATATCCATGTCGGTGGAGAACCCCTCGGATGAGAACCCGATCTACCCGAGGGGGAAGTTGAGCGGGGCATTGGGGTATGTCTTACCATAACAAAGATCCATGATGTCCCCCAGAAATGCCGAAAGCTTAATACGATTTTGCCGTCGCCCCAAAAGAGACAACTAGAGAATAAATCGCCATTTCATAGTGGATCAACAAGCCGGGTATTGAAAGTCTCCCGATTCAGGCTGAGACCATTGCCTAGAGCTCGATTTTAGTTCGTGTCTTTTGCTTCTGGGTCTACCTTAGTAGATTCGGTCGGTTATAGTTTACTTTTCATGGCAAAGATAGTATATGGAGGAGTAAATAATGCCTGCCCATGTGTCCTACACAGAAGAAATTGCATTATCTCTAGTACCAGCATCCAATGACTTATTCTATTATCATCATCTATTCTATGTAAACTTTCTCATCAAATATGTAGTTCCATCCAGTCACCGTGAGCTCAATATCCGAGTTTCAAATTGTTCTAAACCATATCATCGCTCCTTTTAGAGCCATCTTCTGTCATCTCGTTCATGAAGGTGCTTCGGGCCCGAACCTCTTTCCCCCAAACAAACATAAGCGTCGGAACTAGCGAGAGCACCAGAGAGATAAAAGCAAGCATTGTGCTTGCCCAGTTTAGTCCCAAATTGTTGTACATGCTGAATGTTGCTAGGGGCAAGAAGGCAGAGAAGATATTCTCTCCGGTGGCAACGGCCCCCATTGCGCTCCCGGCGTAGTGACTGTATGCGTCGACCACATAATCGGTCACTCCTGAGACAACGAGGACACTGCCAGCCCCGACCATAGTTAAACTGATGGCGGGGGCGATCCACGGGATATGAGGATAGGAAGTCCAAGCGTAGGTAAACATGCCACCGGAGATACCAAAGACTCCTCCAAAAACGGCCATGTAGAGTCTAGCCTCTGGAATTGGAGCTCCGGGAACTTCAGTATTTCGTGAAGTAGACGTAAGATAAAGCTTCCGAGATAGGAAATTCAGAGACCATCCTATACACTCGCCGATCACAATTGCGCACTGGACGAATCCGGTCTGAGTGACACTCCAGTCGTATATTTCCATGAATACTTGTTCAACTGATTGAGTGAAAAGAAATAGCGTTCCAATTGTGAAGGCAGACCATAACGTCGACACGAATAGAACTGGCTCGGTGCAAAATAGTATCATTGGCCTCGTCGCACTGGCAGTGAGGTTTCTTAAGCTCGACGTAGATGTCGTAGCCGTCTTTTCTGAACCGACAGAGTCATTTCCTTTATCCTTAGATTTCCCTTGTTGTGTTAGGATTGCGCTTCCTCGTGTCTCATGGAAGAAGAAGTAGTAGACGGGGAATAGTGCTGCAAACCAGATAAGCTGCATATAGCCTATCCATCTCCATCCCAAAGATTGGAAGATTGCAGCTCCCATTACTGGGCCCATACTGCTCCCAGCCATATAGCCCAATATGTACAGGCTGACCGGGACTGATCTTGACCACTCGGTGCTCCAAACATTTCCAGCTACCCCAGCAGCCGTGTTGGCTAAAATGGCAGCACAGCCACCTGCAAAGAAGCGGGTGACCACTAGTGTAGCATAGTTTTGGGCGACAGCTTGTGGCACAAGAAAACAGAGAAATACTAGGTAGGTCGAGAGAAACACTGGTCTGGTTCCGAAATCCTCAGCGAGGGGGAGGATAAACAGAGCAGAGCATGCACCACCAAGGGCCCATGTTGTCACAATCCAGTAGGAATGGGGGAACGATGTTTCGCTTATGTTGAAGACCTCGGAGATCTCAAAGTGCGCAACAGTAGCCATTGTCCCGTTCATCATCGTGAGGAACGTGGCAAAAGCGGCGAGGCAAGTCAGGGCCCATTTTCGCGAAGTAGGCCAGTTGTAAGGATTTTTGGGATCATCATCACTATCCCAAGAAGGCATGTTTGTGTTGCTTTCGTCCGATGCAGAGATAGTATGGGAGATTGGATAGGAGCTGGGCCCCTCTGGGGATTTGCTGTCTTCGTATGTCGCCATTGCGATTCCGGTGACGCCCTTGAAAAACACAATAGTATCGAGAGCAATATTCAAAGCAGCGCAAGCGGATTTAAAGAAAAATGGTTGAACATCGTTAATTTGCTTTTTGGTCTCTTTATACATCAGCGAGTCATAGAATTATCCGCTAGTTCTGGATTGCTCCGTATCTCTCCAAATATTTACCCTTTTTGGACGAATGCTGTGGCTTGTTGATCCGTTTAGCGGTCTGCTTAAATTACGGAAAAACTACTAACAGTTGAGATGATTGGATTTGAGCGCTCATTGAATTATACTGCAGCTGCACAGACTTGCGTCTGCGCATCAATTCCATTCCGGAATTCGGCAGGGAAATAAATTTATAGTCACCAGCCAGAAAATTGAACTGGACTGCACAAGGTTCTCACTACTTTAGATTTAAACGATTTGATGAACTCAAGATAGATCATGGGAGCAGTGATATGCATAGCTAAGGCTGAGAAGCAAAAGGTCTTGGTCTAAGAAACTTGAAGGGAATACTGCGCCTCGAGATCGAATCCATAGATAGTCAGGCTCTTGCTGCTTTAGCCGCATGAGATCGCTCGAATACACTAGTCCCGTTTAGGTCAATGAATGGAGAGAGGACGAAAACGGCGAGTTTCGGTACTTCCTGTTGATTATCGTTGCTAGTAAAATAGATATTACCTTTTTTTATTATGAAACGAGTATGTAGTATAAGGAACTATGAAGAATTCCCCTAAATCCACTGAGTCACCATTCATTACGCAACCCTATCTCGCTATCGTGTCATTTCAGATAATCTGGGCAAAGATGCTAGACAACAACAAATGAATGCTGAGATATCCACCGATCTCGCAAAGTAACAGTCCAAATCGGCAATGCTAAGCTCTCGGTAGTCGGTACATATCGTGTGCGCCCGTCTTGAGGCCCGAACAAGTGCCAACCGGTCTTCGTCTGGGGTGTTGGGGCTTAGTCCGGGGAAGCAGGTCGGGGAAAAAAGACACGGATAGTTACTGGAGTTAGTCATGTCAGTACTTCTCTGTTATCGGGCGTGCCAATCATGAGACAACTTGACGGTAAAAGCGATCAAGTCGAGAGTACTGGAGGGTTTATCGGAAAACTGCCGGGTGGTTCCCCACTTTGGCTTCGCGAGAATGGGGCTCGGGTTCTTCTTCCGAGATAGTACTGCAGGAGCATCGTCGGCATACTCGGGGCGCAACCACTGAACACTTACCGAGGACGACAAATGTAGAGATACTTTGAGCAAAATGTATGCGGACTCTGGATCTGAAGGGTGGTTGACTGACTATAATGTAGAGGATGCTTAAATAGCGGGAAGTAAGTGTGATTCCTCAGAATATCCTACTTCTTCAGTACTTTAGTTGACCCTGCAAGTCGACTTTAAGGAACCACATTCGAACTTCCAATCTAAAATTCACAATACCAACGGCATGTCAGCCCTTGACTTGAGCGATATAGCAGCTGCGCTCCGCACAGCACGCGATGAGTGCAAGCCCATCGACGCACCAACAAAGAAATGGACGTCCCTTGACGCAGAGGGCGCATTCCAGGTTCAGAAAATCAACTCTGATTTCGCAGTCCAGAATGGAGACCGTCTTGTCGGTTACAAGCTTGGAAACATCGCCAGAGTCATGCAAGTCGCCTTTGGACTTGACCACCCCGACTACGGCTTCCTGCACGCAAAGACATTCCATTATGAAGGCTCCCCTATCCACCTGGACCAGTTCATCAAGCCATATGTCGAACTTGAGCCCGCCTTTGTCCTGAAAAGCCCTCTCAAAGGACCCAATGTGACTGTTGCAGACGTGATCAGTGCAGTTGACTACGTCGTTCCCTCGATTGAAATCATCGACTCCCGTGTGAAGAATTGGGCTATTGATCTTCCGGATACATTGGCCGATAATGGTTCAAACGGTGGTGTGATTCTGGGCGGAACTCCCAAGAAGCTATTTGACCTCAATCTCAGCAACACCAGGGGAATCTTGCGGTTCAACGGTGTCGAGGTTATGACGGGAAACACTCGCAATGTGCTTGGAAACCCTCTGGCGGGTGTTGCCTGGTTGGTGAACCGCCTTTCTGCCTATGACATTGAGTTCCAGGCAGGCCAGATTATCTTGCCTGGAAGTTGCTTGGAGGCTGTCCCGATGGATAAGCCTGGTCGTTGGTCTTGTGAATTTGAGGGCTGGGGCACTATCGAATTTGATGTTGTTTGAAGGACGGTCGATGAATAGCGATAGAGGGAGATGGGAAGATTTAAATAGAGTGTTAGAACAAATTTCAATCGTACAGGTTAGACAGTCTTGTCTTTAAGTTTCATGTTTATGTGTAGCGAAATCGAAGGAGGTGTGATCGGATATTTGATGACTATGTTACGGGGTTGGGCTATGTTGTTATTCCTCGGTTTCCATATCCATCTTGTATCATTAAGACTTCGGATGGTTACCTGGTAAGCAGAGAAGAAGAGCTTCCTAGTTTCCAGTTGTTGATCAAAGATATGTAGGAGCGCAGGGTGGCTGGTTCTCTGTTTTTTTTACTTCGGCTAAGAATTCTTCATACCACACACAGCGCGCGGCAGGGGAACACCAAAGTTAGGTTTACAGGACCATCCACTGGCGGGCCGATTAAAATTATCTACTGGCAATATTTGCAACGACGTGGAGAGAGTTGCTGTGCGCGTTTATCTGTATAGAATCTTTGGCTATGATGACATATTGAGCTATTGGGCAGACTTGAATGTCTGACTGACCACCTGCCGAAGCCCAATCATGTCAGTAATCACACTGTTCATAAAGAACCCTTTGCTAGCCCACTCCTTTGCATCCTCGCCACTGTCGCAATAAATACCTGCAGCAATACCTGCAGCCTGCGCAGCTTCCTGCACCAATTGAATAGCCTCAACAAGCTCCTGGTCCATTTTCCCAGCAGTGATAGGATGACCGATACTAACACCCAGATCAAAGGGTCCAACAAATAGGACGTCAATGCCAGGTACCATGGCGATCTCCTTCACATTATCTAGAGCAGACTTTGTCTCGATCTGAACAGCGATGACGAGCGAATCATTGGCTTGATCCAAGTATTCCCGCCCAGTGAGTTCCCTAACACCACCACCATGAGGGTGCTGCTCAACAAACTTCTCCACCGCAAGAAGAGGCTCAAAGCCCCTCGTGCCCATCGGAGGGAACTTGGACGCCTGTACCACATCCTTCGCATCTTGCACAGTCTCCAGGACTGGGACGAGGATACCGTGTGCTCCGGAGTCCAATGCGCGTTTGATCATCCAGTGGCGTCCCTCCGCGACGCGCACAATTGGTGAAACACTACAAGCGGCTGCTGCGGCGACGATTTCGTGCATAGAGTGATCGGATATATTTCCATGCTCGAGGTCGACGAGAAGCCAGTCCATATTTGTTGCTGATCGACACATGACTCGGGTGAGGTTCGTCCCTGGAAGCATCTGCCATCCTCCATAGGACGGGCGCCCTGCTTTGAGGGACCTTTGAAGGCGGTTGGCTGCTTGCATCGTGTGTTTGGTTTTAGGAAAGAAAGGCAAATTTCACGACTTGTTTCGTGCTGCGGGAGGGATGCAAGGTGGGATATTTGGGAGATGTGAAGGCAGTTTTTGGCAATGAAAAAATTTGAAGTTGTAGATATTTCACAAATCTCAAAATATCATTGACACTAAGCTCACTATCACTCGGCCTATAGATGAATTTACCCCAAAGTACCCCCAACTCACGCGACAGTATAGTCCGGGGATCTTCCGTGGTCAACAATAAGCCCCGAGGAAGCCGACTTGGCATGCATCGGATCAAGTACGGGGCTAAACTCGGTCGAGAGAGAACCCCATGGGCTGGGCTCGCTGAATTAACCGCAAATTCCACTTTAACGGAAATGGTATTGTTGGCTCGTTCGGCTCCTATCTGAATAATGCAAGCCACTTATTTTGCCCCATAGATCAGCTTTCTTGGTGTTGTGTGTTGAGAAAGCGATGCCATGACTTGGCGAACTTTAATGGATATAGTAGACACTTAGAATGGTGATATCAGCAATAACTACCTTCATAGAAAAGTGGTCAGGCACATCTTCAAAGTCAATACTGAATACGAACGAGGATTGCCTTGTTAATTATGAGAACAGGGAAAGGCTAACTATATGGGCAAGAGTTTGGATCATATGGTGTATTAAGATAGTAATCAATACTTCTTACGCAGTATGAAGTGCATTGTAAACATATAATTCATTCAATTGAGGAAGTCTAGAAGGCTAATAACACAATTAAATCAAACATACAACCATTACTCAATGAGCTCCTCAATCATCGACTCGATGAACTCCTTCTGTTGAGTCAAAAAGGCCCTCGCGCCAGCAATATCGAAATCGCGCTTCGCAAGTGCGCTTCGCTGCTCCTTCTTCAGGCGATCACGAATTCTCTCCTCGAGCACCTCCAGCCTGTACTGAGTGTATTGGCTGTATAGCTCGGACAGGTTGCTGATAGGGCGCACGCCAGTCAGAACGCACTCATCGATGACATGAGGAGACTTTGCCCGGAACGAGGTAACCATGCTGATACGTTCACGACCTCCAAAGGCCTTGAGAGCCTGGTGCTCAATGTATCTTCCCTGCATCACCACCGCGGTTCCCTGTGAAAGACGATTAGTAGGAGTTATTTGATACTCGTGTGACGGGATACCATACCATAGCAGGGCCGCGGACTTTCATGATCTCACCCCAGGCAGTCTTCAGGGCAGTCTCTCCTCCAGTCATACCGACGCAATCGGAGAGCATGGTGACGCAGACAAATGGGTAGCTGTCACGGTGCCATGCGAAAGCAGGGAACTCATCCTCATCTGGCTTGGGAGCATTGAAGATGGGAATGGTCTGGTCGTTGACCGAAATATTGATAGCAGCAATTTCATAGTCCATGGCAGGGACCAGCTCAATGCCAGCGACTTCGGAAACCTTAGCCAGAACTTCAGGGCTGTTCCAGGCGTCGCAAGTGAAAGGAGCTCGTCTATTATGGGAGATCAGAAAGTGTTCATGCAACAGTAAATATTTGGGGCAACTTACGCAGATCCCATTCCACGGACAGTGCTCTTGACAAACTCAGACATGTAGAGGCAGTTATCCAGTACAGGCTTGCTGAAGATCTCAGCTCTCATCTGCTTGATAGCCTCCTCGGTGAAGAGCTGGAAGGGCGCAGTGACAGCAACGGGAGAGATACCCTGACCCTCAAGGCCGATCTCCTTCATGGTGTAGATCTTGCTGGGAGGCTCATAGCGCAAGTGTTGCTTCGCATCAAAAGACTGCTTGGTTTCAACTTTGGCCTCATCAATCAGGAACTGAGGAATCGGCTCGGTTGGACGAGTTGCACGCCATGTCACCTGGCCAACATGTTGCACCTTGGGTGCGGCCGTTGGGGTGATCACTTGAGTAGCAGACATTTTCTCAGAAGGAGGACTTTTGAGAATGGAAATGCTTGTTATGGCACTTTTGAATTCGAAGATGATTGACGAGGTTTACTTGGTGGTAATTAAATATCAAAGTTTCTCATGACATTTAATAAGAGCCACATGATGTTTCTTGATTAGAACTAAACCCCGGACTTGGAAGTTGTGGAGGTGGAGACCAGAGATCGGATGAAGCTCCCGAGAGGAGTGTCGCAAGAATTCCACATGCTGTGCAACTCATATTTGCTATCATCCGATGGCTACATTGTGTTACCTTTATGGGATAGCTTGGAATTCTTCGGGTTCTCGGCGGCATCACCTTTCCGAAGCCCTTGTTGTTTTGTTACTGGGACCCAGATCGGGTCCTTCGGATTCATCGGGTTCTCGGCTCAATCTTGGTAAATAAGCTTCAGCAGTAACTAACACACAAAAACCTTAAACCTGTTTCGTATAGGCGGAATGGATCATCTGGAGAATGGATTCAGCTATGAACAACGCATTACCACACTCAACAAATTGTTGCACGGAGAGAGTCCTTCAGCCCCCGGCGCTCATCATCCAATCAGGACCCTCAAAATTTCAATCCAAATGTTGGAATTCCCTCATTTTGTGGGGAATTACCTTGGCTCTGGGGTACGGGATTGTTAGGGCTTAATGATGCAGCCTCTACCGAGTTGTGGAAATCCGGGGCCGTATATAGCTGGAGTAATCCTGATAATATCACAACTATGTTCCTTGTGAACACTTATTCTTCTTGTTCTATTCTGAAATCATGGCTGCAAAAGATGGAGCATCTGGGGAGACTATCGAGGATGTCAGCCTTGAAGGAAGCCCTGGTGGTCAAGATATCATGAAAGCTGAGGTCACTGACCATCCTCCTCCCCAACTACTTCGTCGTCTCGACAATCGCCAAATCCAGATTATGGCCGTTGGTGGCTCTATCGGAACTGCTCTGTTTGTCAGTATCGGTGGTGGTCTTGCCAGGAGTGGCCCTCTCAGTCTGCTTCTTGGATACGCTATTTACTCTGCTATTCTTGCTTGTGTTAGCAATGGATTGGCTGAGATGACTATTCTGTACCCCGTCCCTGGTGGATTCATTCGACTGGCCGGAAAATGGGTTGACGATGCCTTTGGGTTCATGGCTGGATGGAACTTCTTCTTTTATGAAGCACTTTCTGTGCCGTTCGAGATTACCGCCCTCATAATGGTACTTCGATTCTGGAGAGATGATATCCCAGCAGTAGCTGTTTGTTGTGCATGCATTGCCGCATATGCGTGAGTTTCTGGCCTTTTCCTTCCTCTTGTCTTTAGGAAGCACTACTGACCCGGCTATTCTCCTTAGCGCACTGAGCATTTTTGCGGTCAAGATCTATGGAGAGGCTGAGTTCTGGGGCTCTGGTGGCAAGGTGATCTTGATCACTTTGCTTTTCACTTTTACTTTCATCACCATGATCGGTGGCAATCCCCAGCACAATGCCTACGGATTCCAGTACTGGAATAATCCTGGACCTATGGCCGAATATCTACACACCGGATCTTTGGGGAGGTTTGAAGGCCTTCTATCTGCGCTTTGGACCGCTAGCTTTACAATCGCTGGGCCAGAGTATGTGAATCTGATTGCAGCCGAAGCGAAACGCCCCCGGGTCTATATCAAGACGGCTTTCAAGGTTGTTTACTGGCGATTCATTTTCTTCTACATGGTTGGCGCTGTCTGTGTCGGCGTTCTTGTCGCCTACAATGACCCAACCCTAATTTCCGTGTTTATCACGGGAGAAAGTGTCAGCACGGCAGCGGCAACGCCATTCATCATCGCAATGCAGAATATGAAAGTCGAGGCTTTGCCACACCTAATCAACGCTCTACTGGTGACAACAATCTTCTCAGCTGGCAATACCTATATGTACTGTTCCAGTCGCAGTCTATACGGCCTGGCTCTAGATGGAAGAGCACCGGCAGTTCTTCAGAAATGCACCAAGAAGGGAGTGCCAATCTACTGCGTCTTTGTGGTGATGCTGTTCCCCCTACTCTCGCTACTCTCTCTCAGCAACGGGTCTTCCGTGGCATTGACTTGGCTGACGAGTCTCATTACTGCCGGCGCTTTGATTGATTACATTGTCATTTGCGTGACATATCTCTTCTTCTACCGGGCCTGCAAAGCACAAGGTGTCGATCGAAAGTCTTTCCCGTACTATGGACGCTTCCAACCATACACTACTTGGATCGGTCTTATTGGCGAATGCTTCATTCTCGTCTTCTATGGATATTCCAGCTTCACACCGTGGGACGTGACCAACTTCTTCACGCACTACGCGATGGTCATCGTAGCACTTGTGTTCTACCTTTACTGGAAGATCTTCAAGCGTACCAAGGTGGTCAAGCCTATGGATGCCGATCTGATTTGGGAAAGACCTGCGATCGATGCGTATGAGGATGCACTGGAGGAACCACCAAGCAATTTCTGGAGGGAACTACTTGACATGGTTCGGTGGAAGAAGGGCTCAAAGCAGGGACAGGGCTCGGAGACCGATATTGAGCTATAGAGATGGGTAGACAGGGAAAAGTCGCCGGGATTTACTCTTACAATAGTGTCTCTTTTCTTTCATTTTGGAGATTGATTAGGCAGTGTTTACCCCATTAGATAGACCAATCGATATAAAGTGGATGACAAGGTTGTTCACGCAACTCGCTCTTCTGGATATCTCAATATCTTTGAGTTTGGAGGCCGGTAAGCCGAGAACAGCCGAGATAAGGTCGCTATCTCGGTTGACGGTCCCGAGAGTGTAAGGTCTCGTTGGGGCTTGTTAGTATAACCATCAGGCACTTATTACAAAAGAATTGACAAAAGCTCTCTCAGTTTCAGAGCCCTGTACAAAAGCAATGGTGATTTTACCAGTGTCTATAATACTGAAATGAGTACTAAAGGGGCACCAGACCAAAGGCAGTTTGTTATGGTGGCAAACAGTGGGTCGTTCATAAATTACCATTTATTACCGTACAGGCCCTCGTTGACATGCGGGGTGCGGAGAGCGGGGTACATACTGGAAACACACGTCGAGCGTTTCAAATACACTTTTTCTTCCATCCTGTCGATGTTCTTTCTTCCTTGTCAAGAATAACCGATCATGCAATGATCATGCAAGGACAGACTCGCAGAACAAGACGGACCGCGAACGCGTAAATCCATCCAGTGGTTGCATGTGAATCAGCGCTAACCAGTTCAATAGGTGTATCGCGTGTCGCCATAGCAAAATCAAGTGCTCAGGCGAGGAGCCCTGTAACAATTGTCAGCGGCGAGATATCAGATGTGAATTTACAGAGGGTGTCAATCGGGTTGTGGTTTCAGAGAGGTTTGACTGCCATAGATTATCCAAGGAGTCTTTACGCTGACATCAGGCATTCTTCAGATATTTGCGACAACTAGAGGCACAAGTCCGAGAACAGCAAGGATATGGCACCACCCAACGCTCCCCAGACACCCCACAGCAATCAAATGCGGGGGATACAACGGTATTTGCCTCCGAGCCCCCTGTCCAATTTCCAGGAAGCCCAGGTGTCTCAAGTGTCGGGCCCTCGCCTGTGCCGACGACAAGTGATGCTCCTAGCGTTTGGACAAGTCCATTCACTCTACCCTCGACAACTATAAAAAATACAAAGGGAAACAAGCGCAGCTGGAGTGAGTGATCAAGCCCTTCGCTCTGTTTTCGCATGCTGAATTAGTGTATAGTCTGGCTTGCCCCCTCCTCCATGTGGTCCTTCACCACTCGATTGACGATCCTCATGACGGAGAAACTTCACTCCAAATATCCTGATAGCGCTCCTTCTCTAGTAGAGAAGGAAGTCTATCCATTGCGATGGGACTCTTGTGCAAGCAATGAACGGCCCGATATCAGTGGTCTACCATCACTCGACTACGCGCTCTACCTTTTCGACACTGTCAAGTTCCATTTAGGCCAGAACTATCGATTTTTCGATGAAGAGCTTTTTACCAAGAATATACACGAGTTCTACCACGGGGATCCGGTGAAAATGGCGAGTGAACATCGACTTTGGTTCGTACAATACCTGCTGGTCCTTTCATTCGGAACGGCGTTTCTCTCGCGTACGAAAAGTGATGAACCGCCCGGATCGAACTTCTTCGTCCGTGCCATGTCCCTGATGCCGAATCATGCGCATTTATGGAAAGATAGCCTGTTGGCAATTGAAGTTCTAGCCATGGCCGGACTGTATCTGTATTCGATTGATCAGAGAGAGTCTGCGTACATTTACGTGAGTTGCGCAGGAATCTCTTGATATATGAAGTTACTAATACAGCCCTCTAGCTTGGTCAAGCAATACGGATAGCGCAGTATGAAGGCCTGCACACTCAACTATCAGAAGAACAGCTAGGTGCAGATGTGGTGGCACGATGTCATAACCTCTGGTGGACACTGTACATCATGGATCGACATTTCTCATACTCAGTCGGACTTCCAATGTCCACACAAGATAGCGATATCAGTACCCCAATTGAACCTTCCACAATCTCCCATCGAGACGTCGCCCTCAGTCTCCAGGCTAAGCTGTCACATTTATTGTCATCCATCTTAACCAGTGAGTCTCCTTTGGGAAATCGCACAAGTGACCTGCCTGCTAAATTCCCCTGCAGCTGTTTACAAGACAGAGAAGACTCAATGGAATGTCTTCCTGGACACTACGAAATCAATCCTCCAGACACTCGCTGGACATGCCCAGGAGGTCGAAAAGATTATCCATGCCACGTTCCGAAATTCAGTCGATTCGATGCCTAGGGGAACAAGACATATCACCTTGTTATACCATCAGGTTTGTATTGAGCCCCAAGCCCACCCAGATACAACGAGTGTTCTAAGACGCTGTCTACAGTGTGTCATCGTCGCTACACGCCCCCTCCTTCTTTCCGCTCTCATGGAACGACTCTCCACAATCGACAGCAACACCGGAGAAGTCGAGAGCTCATTAGACCTTACAAAGACCCTAATAACCGCCGGAATCAAGTCAGCTTCTAAAACCCTCCAAATAATATCTAACAGCGACAGTCTCCTGGGTAATTTATCCCTCACTCAACACCCCCGGGAAACACCATCCATCTAACAAAACTACAGAAGTCTTCCTACTCTACAACCTCGAATTCACCTACGCAGCCGCAATCCACCTAGCAATGGCCAACGCCCTCTTCCCCGACGCAGTCGACGGCCCCGCCTCCGCACAAGAAGCCCACTCCATCCTAGACCAGATGATCGTCAACGGCAACAAAGTCGCGAAAGTCCGGAAAGAAGAACTCGTTCACGTCGAGGGATTATTCTTAGAGGTCGCCGCCCGCGCGGAAATGAACGGCCTCCAACCTCTAACGCTATCTACGGCTGTTAACGTGGAAGAAAGGCACGTGCCTGCTGATCAGGGTAGTGGTAGTGCGAACAGTGCTGAAGGGCACAATGGGTCTTTGAATAGGGGGTCAGAGTTTGCGGAACAGTTTGTTCATGTTGATTTGCCTAATACTGGGTATGGGCATGCACCGTATCATTCGGGTATGATGATGCCGAGTGCGGAGCTTTTGGATGATATTGGGATTTCGTCGGCGGAGTTTTTGGCGATTGTGGATCAGATTGGGAATCCGGATACTTCTTATTCTATTTTAGATTTGGGGCCGTGAAATATGATGGTGAGATGTGGAAAGGACCCGTCAGGTGCTTATAGTATAGCATAGTTATGAAACCTTTAAAAGAGGAGAACCCATATTTGTTGGTAGCATATATTCGTGTACACATAGATCATAAGGAAAGCCCAAAGCAACAATGCAAGTAAAGAAACCAATCTCCAACGCCCATAATCATGACTTTGCTCGTATTTCCAGTCGTATCCTATTGCAATTTCCCCCTTACAAGAGTTCACAAATCCTGTTTCGGTTCACGATCACGTTCGTTGCGGCTGCTACTAGAGCTCGAGCTCGGCGGCTCGTAGGGCGGAACCGGTGAGAATTCGTCCGTGAGGACATCCTCTGATTCGTGGAGGGCATTTGCAGTAGCCTTTGGTTGAGACACTGTGACTGACGGTTTTCCATTTGTTTCGTCGTCAGAGTCAGTGGAGTAAGCTTCGTCCAGCCCGTCCAACAGAGCTTCTCGCCGGTGGATATCCTCGTCGTCCTCGATGGTGTCAGGTGCGGTGTAAATGTCGTATGAGAGGGGTTTCTTGATGAAATGATCGATTATGTAGTATTGGATGGCGTTCATGATGACGGGGAAGAGGAGCATGACGAAGGCGATCTGGTAGGCGGTGTTTCCTTCTGTCCAGCCCAGGGCCCAGTCGCCGACCTTGACGATGAAGGGGAATATCGAGATCACGATGAACACGCAGACTTTCATGCCGAGAAGTCCGATGAAGTATATCATTGACTGCTTGAGCCACCATAGGGCTCGGGGTGGTTGACCGTAGTTTCCTGATTCGATGGATTCGGGTGGGTTGGCGAGGGGTGTGTAGGAGGCGAGGTAGTTCAGGATGCGGAGGATTAAGATCAGAATGGGGATGCCGAGAGTTGTCTTTTCAAAATACTTTGTAAGCATCGTTATCGAAGTGTAGGGGCATGGTTTAGATCACTTACATCGATTCCCAAATTCAGCAAGTAGAAAGAGCAAGGGTTCGGCCTGAAAGTTGTTCGAATCTCAAATTGACCCGCCGAGAACATGGACATCAAGAGATTCGCTAAATGAAGCATCCCCGATCCAAAGACTTGTTTCGACGCATCGAATGCCCACACTTTCAGTGGCCGCTGAGGTCGTTCCCTCCATCGCTTGAATACCAATGATAGCAGCGCCAGTGCTCCCAGAGCGGCCTGGACGAGCAGAGAGAAAGGTCCAAGGAGTCTACACTCCCCATCATCCTGGCCGTTTGGATCCTGACCCGGTGGAGGAGCCCCATGGTAGTACAGCATGTGTGAAGAGGGCGACGGTGATGTGGAGGTGCCTAGATATGATACTGGACTGGGCGGTGAAGTCGCAGCGATTAAAGTAGAGGCCGCGGTTGCGGCCAGCGACAGAGTGGTAGCAGCATCCATAGCTACTTGAGAAGAAGCCAGGCCAGCTGAATATCTGATTTCGCCTTGGAAAAGACGAGAAGCGACCCGCGCTGTGATGGGGTCGTGGCAGTGTAACGTTCGGAGGCTGGAATGACGCGGGGGGCCGGACGGGCCTATTCAGTGCCGAGACAGGGCGTCATGGGCAGGTGACAAGAACAAAGTATTTCGTATTCGTCGCAGGTACCCGATATTGGAAGGAAACAAAGCTTAGAACACGACCAGCGCGGATAGAAGAAGACTGCAGCGACGTTAGTGACGCCGAAACCTTGGAAGTGAGCTCTGCCTAAAGGCGGTGTCGGGCCGAACTTGTCCTCCCCGCAAATACCGCAAAGGGGATCGGCGCGGCTAATAATTCTTGGCTCTGCTTGGCTTTGGCTGTCAAGAAGGGATAGATATAGGGTACAGAACTATCGTAGAGAGTTTCAAGTGTTAGAAATATACTATTAGCCATCTTCTACCTGTATTATCCATCAATTTGTTTCTTATTTATGTCCTACGTATTTGGAAGGACATTGGTAGCCTGCCAAGACCAGAGACCCGTCCCTTTGCAGCTGAGTGGGGACCTGCTCCTTCAGTGACGCAGTCTCAGCCTTATGGGTGAGACCCTGTTTTTCCAGGTTGTATTGGAGATATAACCATAGATTCCGGTAGGTATATAGTTACTCCTGTTTTGCTTCGTGGATCGTTGAGTGGATATTGGAACTGGCTGCTTGCGACTCCTTAGGGAAGATATCCATCCATGTCGAGGCAAGAAATATATATCTGGAACACGACTACTTAAGCGTCACTAGGCGTACACACCTTGGTTCTACATGCTGAAACAACAACTTGAAATGCGAATATCCGGTAGCTAGGCGGCGGCGTTGAACTGATACTGCTCGAATCGTGGCCAGTACCTAGGGCTAGACCTGTTCTACAAAAGTAGTCAAGGTAGATCCTCTACAACAAAAGTTTGCTGAGCAAAGTGGGGTTTCGTATTGATCACGAAGTAGAAGAGAATCAAAACATAAACATGAAAAGATAAAATCTTCCGCTCGGCATATGCTTCAAGCGAAAGTTTCCCCATACCGGTAATCGATACTGAGATTCAACCCATCGAACCGTTCCACCCTTCCGAAAGGAGTCGTCAAGAAAACAGCATATCCCGAAGGATTAAAAAGAAAAACAATAACGCCGCTAACCCCTCAAGCCATCCCAGAATCAACATAACAGGAGATCCGTTGCAACACCATGCGCAGCTAAATGCTTGCAGAGGGCATCATTAGAGTCGAAACATTCCACCCACCTCACTCTATCCCATGCTGCTGTTTAAGTCGTTCCAGATTTTCCTGTCTTTCTTGGATATCCTCCTTTGAGCGGACCATCTTTTCTGGCTGGTGGTATAATACTAAACGAGAGGTGTCAGTTTTGGGTGTTTTCCCATCGTGGGTGATGCGCGCGTTGCCGCTGATCCGGGGGGTCACACGTACCGACCAAGTATCTGCTCTGGAAGTTGAAGCCATTGAGCTTATCGCATGCCTGCTTGGCGTCGTGTACGTCCTCGTAGACCACAAATGCTGTCCCCTTGGAGTTGTTGGCAATGCCTTGACGGATTTGGCTGCGAAGGAGGAAAAGAAGCGACAAGTTAGCAGAGGAACGGAGTACCGCAATGTAGGGAGCAGGAAAGCTCACCGGATAGGCCCAAATTTGCCGAACAGGTCAAAAAGTTGCTCCGCTGTTACGTTGTAGCTGTTGGAGAAGATATTAGCATTTCACTTGTCGGTTTTGCAGTGATCGTGGGATTGTGGTTGCGGGAGAGATGTGGGCGAAAGTTCCGATTGACGGCGGGAGCGCGGAGGACGGGTATGCGTACCTGAGGTTCTTGACGAAGAGAATCCTATAGGAGGACCAACATATTAGCTTTACAAGTGAAACATAAAGGCATAAGCGAGGCAAGAGAGTCATCATCTCCCCTGTTGGCGATGGGCGATGATCGATGGGCGCGGAGACGGACTGCGGGAGGGGCACGAGGAAGACATAGGCACGTACCGATTTGCTTCGGGGGCGAGCTTCCGGCTCATTCTTAGGACAAAGGAGGTCCAGTAAACGGTTGAATGAAGTGTTGAAGAAAAGTGGTTAGATACCTGGGGTATCGAGGGCGAGTGGTGGTTTCAAAAGACGAGCAGCGCAAGACGAAGAGAGACACGCAGAGAGAAGCACAAGGTGGGCTTGGCATTTCCCTTTGTGGCTTAGCGTCTGCCTCAGGCTAGGCGCATGAGGTAAGCGCAATCCTGGCGATGACCATACGTGACAACAATACAGCACGTGCCGCCACTTCAAGCCACCAGATCCAAGGCAACTTTCTTGATCTTGCGGTTACAATTGGTATTAAACGGTATCAGCCAGGCAGCTCGGCGAAGACGCTCTCGTCGCAAGTCGAAGCTCGGGGCCGCCGACGGGCTCTCTTCTCTCTCTTCAGACACAATCCAGTCGCGAGACGCAGTTCACTCTCGTACCGGAATTCATATCGATTTGAAAGGGGGCCAACGGCATCAGGATACTCCCTCCGGCTGCAACAGCTGGTTCCGAGTACATACCTTGCGAACAGGCTCTCGACCGACCTACCCTCCTCCTTCGCCTACCGCGCTCCGTCCTCCCCTCCTCGCTCCTCCCAAAACCACCCGGAGACGCTTCCATCCATTCGGATACCCCCCGTTCGTCATCCAGTTTGCAGGAATCGACTCCTGCTGACTGGATTGAATTCGATCCGGTCTCCTTCCTCCCCTCCCCGCGGGTTGCGGCGCGACTCCCTCGGCGCCTTTGTCGACCCGCCGCCTCGACGCTCAAAACCCCCTCAACTCACTCCGCCGCGACTGACCTCGCCTCCCTCGTCGGCCATCTCCTCCACCCGTCTTCAATCGTCCCTCGAGCATCGCTGTTCATCTCACGGCCCTGCGTGCGCACGTCCTGCCACCAGGAATGACACTCCTTTCCTCTGCGACGGCCTCTCGCTAGTCCGTGTGGTCCAACATCCCCGCTTTGCACCCACTCCGCCGCAAAGTCGCATTTCGTCGTCGCACCTTCGACCTTTTCCCACCAACCCATTTCCGCGCCCGACGCTCGTCGGAATCTGCCAAAGATGATGAGCGCGGCATCTTTTATGATGCCTCTGGGCGAGCGTCCACCGCAATACCGAACTCCGTCGCCTCCGCGACGCGCCGTTGAGCCCATCACACCGTCGACCGCTGATTTTCGAACATCCTGGGCCGAGCGCAGTTTCGCTCGGGCTGCTAGCCTTGATCGTGATCAACGTCCGTCAAACCATGCCCGGATTCCCCCCGCGGATGCTGGATCACATCACCGGTCGGGTCATGGCCGGTCAAATTCGACTATCGACACGCTTGCGACGATTGCCCTCGCAACAAGCCCTACCTTTGCGCCCCTCCCACCTCGCCCATCCTCCCCCAATTCTCGATCCGCTGTCCCCTTATTTCCTCCCGAGCCTCAAAATGCCGAACGACCTGCGAAACGGCCCCGATCAGAGCGGGATCCATCACCATACCGTTCTTCCTCCTCTTCCTCTCGAGCGATGCCACCGACCAACAATCCTCAGCCGTCGATTTTGGATAGCATGAAAACGGATGCAGAGCTCTTGCTCAACTTTGCCCGACCCACGAACTTCCAGCCTAGCGGCCTCCACACGAAAAGAGTCAGCATCGATGAAACCTATCACCACCACAACAATCTCTACGGAGGTGACTCGATTCGACACAATCGAGTCGGTTTTCCCTATCTCGAGCACGGTGGCCCCTCCGAGGATACAAAGGTTGCATATCACCCCACGGAGGATCACATTCCGCAGTCACGTATGAGGTCGCGTTCCGATGGATCGGCATTTATGTCGCGCCCGATTATTCGTGGCGTGCGGCCCACCACGAGCGCCGGTACGCTCCCTTCCATCGTTTGGGAAGAAGACAATGAGGACGGCACTTCAACGACGGAGGTGTCCCGTTACGCCGGGTACGCGGAGTACAAATCCTTCAGCCCTCAGCAGGAGCCCCATAGTCCCCATCAAACAATGGACGTGACACCCAAGGTTGAAGAAGAGGACGACCCGAGTGATACGAACCAGGCAAGCTGTGCTGCTTGTCACATGGTGCGGATACCAATGGAACCGGAAGAACAGCAAGAAGAAGATACGTGGATTGGCTGCGATGGGTGCAAGCGCTGGTTCCATATCGTCTGTGCCGGGTTCAAGAACGATCGAGAAGTCCGCACCGTTGATAAGTTTATTTGTCGCAACTGCCGATCCATCCATGGCCAAACGACTTTCGTACGCAAATCCTCCCGGGCTCGGACCGCAATCGACTATGCTGGTCTCAACCAAGGCGTGGTGAAAGCGGCTTCGGATACGATGGAGCACCATTACCTGGAGCCTATCCGTCAAGGCAAAATTCGATTCCTGCCCGAGAACTTCCCTAGGATGAAGCCGGAGTTGGTCACGGCCGAATACTTCGAACGGGGAAATGGGTGGACGGAACCAGTCGTGATACCTGCTGCTTGGAATACTCGGGAACCTGTTCCGGAGGTGGACGAGGACTTTGAGTCTCTTGTACAAGAGGCCTCCACTCAGGAAATGTTCGACGATTTGCTTGAGAACCTCGACGAACATGCGACGCGTCTTCGGGAAACAATTGACTGTGGACAGGATCAGTTGGATATGGTTATTCCGCAGGGGCTGACCGTTCGTGCCGTGGCTGAACTATATGGTCCCGAAGAACGAGTTGAAGTAATCGATGTCAAATCACAACAAGGAGAGGACAAGAGGTGGAACATGCAGAAGTGGGCCGATTACTACGAGAGCAACGAGCCTGACAAGCCAGTGCGGAATGTCATCAGTCTCGAGGTCTCACAAAGCAAACTAGGCAGACTCATCAAGCGACCCAAGGTCGTGCGCGACCTCGACCTTCAGGACGCAGTTTGGCCCGAGGAGCTCAAGGCCATTGGCGATTACCCCAAGGTTCAGTTCTATTGCCTGATGTCCGTTGCCGACTGTTATACCGATTTCCACATCGACTTTGGTGGCTCTTCGGTGTACTACCACATCCTCAAGGGGAAGAAGACATTCTTTTTCATCCCTCCAAAAGACAAGCATCTCAAGAAGTATGAGGAGTGGTGCAACTCCCCTGCGCAGGATTCAATTTTCCTTGGGAACCAGACAAAGGAATGCTATCGCGTGGATCTGTCAGAGGGAGATACTATGTTGATCCCTTCGGGCTGGATCCATGCCGTCTGGACCCCGGAGAACAGTCTGGTGATTGGTGGCAATTTCTTGACCAGACTCAACTATGGCATGCAAATAAAGGTGCTCAACATTGAGAAGGACACCAAAGTGCCCAAGAAGTTCCGCTATCCTTTTTTCCAAAAGATTCAATGGTATACGGCTTTGCGTTATTTGGAGGATGATCCCATTCCCGAGAAGGTCATGGATGCATTCGCACAGGACGACAGCTATCGATTCCACCGGCATTACCCTATTTACTATGAGTTTGGGGAACTTGCCAATCAAGAGCCTGCGGGATCACCATACTTCAACGCTCGATTCTACTCTCAAGCTGAGCTGGAGGGACTGCCTGAATTGACTAAGTATCTCTTGAGGACAGCACTCATCGCCAGCTCGTATAATGTGGAGGGCGTCACCGTGGATACTCGCAATGCGGTCCGACGGTCCATCCCGAAAGGCGTTGGTGATCCCGTGGACATGATCAGGAAGTTTGGCATTTGGGTTGCTTGGAAGCGCGGCAACGAGAAGGCACCACAATGGACTCACCCGGGTGTCATTGAATCGAATCCCAAGGTTTCTCTTAATGAGAAGAAGTCTGCTGGGCGTCCGAGCCGACGGTCCGAACGTAATGTCGACAGCCAGCGCACATATGCAGAAAGACAAGCAGTACAGCGCCCATCGGATGAAGCTGTTACCCCACCTGCTCCTGCAGTCAACAACAACCCACCCGTTTACCCGCCAACCGAGAGTGCCACACCGGTACCGGCCGCTTTCCTTCCTGAGTTTGTCGCTCGAGAGTCGACATCCGCGTCGAAGCCACGACCTGCTCCGCGCGGATCTGGCTTGGGGCCCAAGCGCGTGGCTTGTGATGCATGTCGCCGACGCCGTATTCGTTGCCGCCACAAGGACGAGCCGAATGACTTGGGCATGCTGGGTGGACAGTTGGGCATGAATGGCTTTGGTCCTGCGTCAGGGCTAAGCACTCCCTCATCTCTCGCGCAGGACGCCGTTTCTGCATTGAACTCATTGGCAGCGATTGCTTCTCAGGCTGGGTTCCAGAGCAACGGTGTGGTTGGCTTTGACCGATTCGATGGCTCGGGCAAGTTCCACTCGGCAGTCATGGGTACGTCAACGGCTGCTGCCAATCGCCTCAGCGACTTGAGCCCCGATGGGGTCAACGGTGGGAAGAAGGGACGAAGCAAGGCCTGTGACGATTGTCGGAAGAGCAAGGTTAGTACCTTTGCTGAACTGTTGCGTTTTTACGATGTTTATACTAACCTTTCTTACAGCGCCGTTGCATTCATGACGAGTACGGTAGAGTCGATCCAATCAAGGCCCAAGAACGCTCCAAGCCTCGTGGAACGGCCTCTTCCAAGCGACCTCGACCCAACGAGGACGAAGCTGCTCCTGCGCCAGCCAAGAAGACCAAGCAAGAGAGCACATCCCCAATCACGCATCCTATGAATTTCGAGGGGTACGCCGCTGCAGCAGTCGCCTCGCATGATGTATCTGGTGCTAGTGTTGCCGCATACGATGCTGTTGACCACCTCGAACCCCAGCCAAGCAAAGTGACTGAGGTGGTGACCGTCGGCCAAGCATTGTATGCATCGCCTCCAGTTCTCCACGTCGATTCGGTAGACCTCAAGGATGCAAATTCCTTGTCCGTCTCTTCCAAACCGACCACGTCCTTGGTGTCACCACCCACGTCGCTGGCCGACGAAATGGACGTGGTACAGGATGGCGAACCGCTCGCATCCGTGGAGGGCGAGGCAACTACTGCCCTTCACACACCAAATTCCAGCTCCCGCCATTCATCCCGTCAACCTCGATATGTCGAGCGTTTCATGCCAGAAGCTACCGCCCCTCGCCCTTCGAAACCTGCCTTGTCGTCAACCGCTCGCCGGACTACTCCCGGCCCCTCATCTTCGGCTAGGAAACCGTCCTCCCGCCCTTCCTCATCCCATGCCAAGAAGAGCTCTCCAATGGTCGAGAAACGCTTTGAACGGCATGCCACCACTTCCTTATCTCCCCACCAATCCAAACATGCCAAGCATCGCATTGAAGATGACGCCGATGCCGAGAGTCTCCGTTTGATTCGCGAGCTTCAAGAAGAGGAGTTCGGTCTAAGGCGAAGACGTGGCTGATTGTGATTGTGGTCGGAAGTTGGTTTTTGTCTCCTCCATACTTTCTTTCATTTCCCTTTTTACTGGTCCTTTTTTGTCATCGCGATGGGTTTATTCAGGATATCATTCTAGGAATTGGGTCTGGAAATTCGGAGTTTTATATATCTACCCCTTGCTTTTGCAGGCGTTTTTCATTAGTTAGGTTTGGTTGGAGTTCTATGGGTGTTTTCTTTTTGAGTCATTGATGATATTTTCATTCTGATTGCCTGCTTGCATGGGCCTTTTTTTTCTCTTTGATCTGGCTATGGCCTACTTGCTTGTCTTGTGCGGACTTTTTAGTTTCTTTTGTTCTTTTGATAATCCATTCCAGATTTTATGTGGATGTTCATTTCTCCTGGTCCATCGTGTTGAATTTCGTATACTAGTTTCACTACTGTGTGTCTAATGACTGAATATGACTGCCCGCGGTGGCGTGTTTTATTATCTCTGTATCTTGTACCGCGTATGCAGCACTCGGCTTCACTTTGTTTTCCCTAAGTAACCTCGCGGGATTCCCTGTCTACTCTTATGGCGAACGAAATGTTAACAGAATAAATTACTTCGTCATTCTTGGTGGAGGAATTAGTAAGACGTACATCTTCATCCTTGGCATTAAGTCGAATCCCGGGGACAAGGAATTACAAGGAGAAATGTTACCCAGAATATGTTGGCAGGAAGGGTTATCATTAACTTCCTCCCCAAAATTGGTAACCCCCGCGCTTGGCCTAGTGGTCAGGGCTTGGAATTAACCAGCCTGATTCCATAATCTGGGTGTAAGACAGCTCGACTGTATCTTGCCCCGGAAGGTTCAGCGCGGGGGTGCATCATTTTTGTTTATGGAACCTTATATTACCCCGCCACAACGACAATTTCTGATTTTTGTATAAGAATTTGATATCAATATTATCAAGAAAATGAATAGAATTGTTTTGTAGGTTTAAATTAGCTTTTAAGAGCGTTGGTGGTTGGATATGTTGGGGGATCTGTTGAAGGTCAGCGTTTGAAGGAGGTCACTGTTGGGCTCGCGATGAGTTGGTATGGTAGCCAGAGGTTGAGGGTTCAATCCATGGAGGCGGGATTATTTTATTCTTGAACACTGTTCTAGAATCCTAGAGCTTTTCTATCCCAGATCTATCAACAAACAATTTACACAAAGTCATCGCTGTTCCTGGCACGTCACGGCCTCAGTTCCCCGTCCACCAGACATAATCCCCCGTCTCAGCCGCGGTATCCCATACAAGAAGCGAGCTGCTATTCTCCGGCCTTCCAGGCCAAACATTCAACAGACCATCCCAGAGCTCGATCTTGGAGTATTCCACCTTCGCATCCGGAGCAGAGTACAGCGCGATCCCGGTACTATCTTCACGACTGGGGTAGATGCGAGTCGTCAGAGCGAAGCGCTCGTTAACGTATACCTCGACCAGGGAGCCGTCAACGAAGATGCTCATCTGGATGGACTCGGTGGTGTTCTTCCCGTTCTTGCCTCGCAGTGTGTACAGCTTGAAGTAGCCTTCGTGCGTGGAGTTGGCGAACTCGGTGATCAGCGAGGAGTGGCTGCGGTCAACGGCGATGCTGTTGTTGGATGGGTTGAAGAAGATGTTTGTGTATTCTTCGCGGTTGGGAGAGGCGGCGATGGTGACTCCTGCTATTCCGGTGGTTTGTTTGATGTCCACATCTAGCTGGTATGAGTTCGAGAGCTTGGAGGGTAGGTTGATGTTCTTGCTGTCCTTGTGGCATGGGTAGCGGGTATGGTTGGATCCGTGACGGAGGCCCTTGACAACATCGGGTGCTGGACGGACACCGAGGGTGCTGGCTGTCCATGTGCCGTTTGAGTTGGCAAAGTAGCGTGCGTTACCGGGAGACGTGCTGTTGGTAAGATCGTGGATCACGTTGGGCGTGTCTTTGATGAAGATCTCCCGAGGCAGCGCGAGTGATCCTTGATAGCCTTGCTGCGTGATGGCATAGTTGTTCATGTCCTCTTCAGCCCAGCCCCATTGGATTCGACGGTTGTTCTTGGTATCGTTGAAAGTAGTCAACTTGTATCATGTCAGTGGATCTTTTTTTCAAGAGGAACTCCCAATGAGCTTTCAAGAGATTAGTACTTACCGCGTACAGCAGACCCCAATCACTTGCACCGCCAGCAATAGGTTCGAAAGCAACGCTGCCATTGGCCCTCACGGACAACGTTCCCTCATTCCACAGAGACCACTTCTGCTGATGGAAACTGACATTGCCACCTTCAACGCCCATACTGACAAAGTACCGATCACCAATCGAGAAGAAGTTTGAAAGCTCGAAATTGAACCCGTAGGTACCAGTTTCCTCCAGTGAGCCAAGAGTACTATTCTTCTCCGGCTCCCAGAGCGCTCCCAAGAAAGTCCAGTTGGTAAGGTCCGAAGCCGGGGCACGGTATAGAGGCATCCGAGGACCAACCTCCTTGATACCGGAGCCGAAGACAGCATACCAGTGAGGCTCGGACAGGTTGAGGAAGGCGTCCATTTGTGGCCATGGCTCGAAGAAGGGATCACGCCAGCCCGTAATGTTCCAGTCGGCGGGAGGATCGGATAAGATAGGGTTGTTCTCGTATTGCTCCCAGGTAATTCCGCCATCGGTAGAGTAGGCAAGACCTTGGCTTTCGGTACCAGTGAGGTATGGCTGACTCCATGATGTAGGGAGACGTGACACAGCCGTGTAGAAGGTCAGAATAGTGCCGTCGACGCCGCCAGTAAGGTTGACAGAGTGACTGGTTCCTGAGAAGATACCCAGGTGGTTGTATAGAGATGGGTTGTGCTTGCTGGTGATATTGGTTGTGCCGATTGATTGTGCTTGGTCGTCCTTCCAGGCAGGGACTCCATCGTTGGGGAGATGGCCAACATCCGTCCAGGTAATGAGATCGGGGGATGTTGCGTGTCCCCAGGAGATATTACCTGGAACAATGATCAGTACCCCGCTTCAAAAGGTTGCAAGGAGGAGTCCATACCCCAGTTTACATGGTTGGGGTGGAATTGGTAATGCAAGTGATAGAGATTCTGAACCGGGTCATACATCGGTCCACAAGGGTCCTGATCAGCAGAAATGTGTTAGCTATGCACATTCAACGTCTCGATCTCCTTGAATTAGGACGGGGTTATACATTCATCCATCCTGCAGGGGCAAGGAAATGCGAAGTCGGCCTCCATCTCGTGAAGAGTGTGTTATTGGCCATTTTGTCAATCATCTCGACCGTAAGAGATTGACCCCATACTGGCGAGGTACTCGCGCCTAGTGTTACCGCTGTAGCAAGTGTGTTTGTCTTCATAATTGCTGTACAGCTCAAATGAAAGAATGTGCAGATCTGGGGATAGTTCTATGCGTCAAGACCCCGCCCTTTATATAGAAGACTGGGGAAAGCGATGTGACAACTCCGGATTTTAATCGCCACATCTTCGGATCTCTGTGCACGACAGGAAACTCAACATGTGGTATTGGCGGCCAATCGACGCTAAATTAGCCTTTGGATTGCTAGTTTCTGGGGTGGCCATGAGCCCACGGGGTTTTGGTTGCCAAGAATGCAGCAGCTGCCAAATAGAAATGACGCAACCGCCCGAAGATCTCCCCATATTACTCCAGTATTTCCCCGAAATCACCTCATTGACCAGATACGGGCGCGATTCGGCATCCCGGTGGATCGAATGCGGGAATTTATGGGTTGATTCCTCCGAGAATCTTCTAGGGAGCCGAAATTACTCCATGCCCCGCCATCGTTATGCTTTCCGTGGCGTTTGTTTTCATCCTAGAGGCGCAGGAGTATGGAATTCTAGTACATTTCCCCGCAAGAGAATCCGGGGAGACCATAGTCCTTCGCAAGGAGGAATTGTCGCAAAGAATTTATGTATGGTGAGATGGCGAGATGTTTCCCTGCGATTATTGATGTTTAAGCGGTCGCTTGTAGCTATTAAGCGGAATAATAACCTGGCTTTAGTATCCCTGCGCAGGGCTAGTCATATCATTATTCTAAACTCGTCACCCACGTACCTCTTGTTTGCTAGCCTGAGCAACAACCTCTTAAGTGTAATTTATGTTGACTTAGCTACATAGTTGATAACCATTATGTAATGCGCACGTACACCTTGGACGTTATTTCCATGGAGCTGTCGATTTTATAGTTCGAATGGGAAGATTGCCTCTTAGCAACGACAAAAGGCAAGGAAATGTGATTAAACATGACGTTACTTTTTTGCGAAAAGTCAAAGTTAAGATCATCTAGATACTCTCTCTAGAGTCACGATAAGAACTTGGTCTTTGAGTCTACGCATAGTGATGGAGGTATCAGAGAGGTGAGGAGAATTCAGATTACAAAGGATGTTGTTTACAAAGCACGCAGATTCTACAGTTTGTTTGAGCTAAAAGGGAAGCAAGTCTCACGCAAAAACAGCCCATTGTTTGGGCTTACTGATTGAAAACTGCAGTAGCACTAGGCTACTGAAAAGCACAAAAAACAAATCCACACGCCCACGCCCCTTGATTGGGCCGTTCCACCTCACAGCTCCTCCGAATCTCCACTATTCTTGTATGGGCCCCCATACTTCTCCTTGAGATCCTCATCCTTTGTGGCAGGGTGCCGGAGGATTCTCTGAGCAGGATCTCTCGGATCAGAGTGAGGGCCCGCAAGATAGTGGAAGCCTTCAACTTCCGGCAAGAATTGAAAGGCGTACTTCTCCTTGGCCTTGATGACAAGGACCTGGTGGGACGCCACGTCCATGTCGAGAGCTATGCCCTGGCGGGCAATAGCATCCTCCAAGGAGACCGGAGGAACAAACTCCAGGGCTAGCTTATAAGGGCTGATCCCGGAGGGAGAAGGACGCAGCCGGTGACCATCCAGCTGAAGGGGGGTCGTGCAAAGTTTGGCAGCTTCTGGGGGAGCGACAAATTCACCGATCTTGTAGCCGTAATCCGGTGATACCTCGAGGCTCCGAAGCCAGCCAATTGCTCTCCACCAGGAACCGCATAGGATGTTCCCACCGCGGTAGGTGGGGAACCAGTTGATGCCGTGGCACTTGATGATCATCGGCGGGTCTTGGGCGATGCGACATTCTCGAAGATCGCCGCGGGAGTCGAAGTCGTACGGGAAGTATTTGGCACGCATGGACGGAGGCATGAAAACAGAGAATGAAAAAGCGGCCTCATCGCTCAGACGCATGTTCTTTGGCACGCCTTTGAATCCTTTCTTGGCGAGGTCCCATGCACGTAGTAGGTCGATGTGGTAGATTTGCCATGTTTTCATACGCCCAATATCGAGGGCTTCCACGGGAGTTCGGGTGCCACTGCGGCCGTCGTGAAAGTCCGGGACTGAAGGAGGCATTTTTGAGAGTCAAAGGTAAGATATCAATCGCTTGAGGATGGGTGTTTATGTGATGAGGATCGTAGGTTTGAGAAGAGGATATCAATCGCTTGAAGAAGGAGGGTTGAGCAATGTGGACTGCGAGAGTTGAAGGTGTGATATCAATCGCTTGAGGATCGGTGTTTAGGCAACGAGGAGTGCAGGAGTTGACGATGGATGGTTGGAGTTGAACTTGAATAAGTTAAAGAGGAGAGTTCGGAAGAATCACAAATGCTAGGCCGCGAAGCAACTAAGCAGCCTGTTGATATGAATATGAGGTTGCCATCGATCTCGAGGACGGTTACCACCGCCCTTTCCGCGAAAGTGACCACATGGAGAGGCCTCCAAAATGTATCAACATAAATAGAATGGGCTTGAAACGAGAGCGGTAGATCATTCGGTACTTCTAAAACCCTATATGTTACACTCAAGGTAACTTTACACTAACCTTTAGCTAGCGGAGAATGTTTACTATTTTGTGATGTTTCTTTTGCGAAGAGCTCTCGTTCTTAATGAAGTTATAGAACTCAACGCATGGTAAGCAGCGAGGGAGGGGCGGTCAGGAAGTATATTAATTGATATGTACAACCGTTTCTGGGTGAATTGAGAAGTAGTGATCTTGTTGGGCGGACTAGGCTCTCTTAACGAGGTTGCTCGGAAGAGAAACATAAAGAGATAGTGCTGAAGGTCTCTAGCGGCGGTTACATGATAATCTATCTCATTGCTGAAGCCCAGAGATAGGTTGGATAAAATAACCCAAAAAGTCTTTGAATCAGATTCTTCTAATCCGCAGACTAAATCTTTGTAAAATGCCTCTGCGGCGCCCTTCAATACGAGGGGGCTACGATGCTAGGGAAATTAAACGAATTGTAGCACTAAATCATAGATACAGGAGAGTGGATATCATATTATCTTTGTCGGGCAAACTGTCTTTAGCTGAACTGTGGATATAACGTATGAAATCAAGAGGGCAGCTTCTTCGTTGGATTAAGAGTATCATCTATTACCCGCCTCCACATGAAGTGCGGCGTATAGTCTAAACAAACCTCCCTAGGGATATTCTATTTGATTAAAGTTAGCAAATGCTTATATGTCCATGACTGGTTAGCCTTATTACCAAGCTGGCAAGAGCTTAGGTACAGCATACACAGAATCAAGTCTCCGGGCCAATCATCACAGGAATCTGCAGTTATCCAGCCTGTTGCCTGCCACTTTCCGCCTCGCTGGAGCCAGAGGTCAGGGTAACAAAGTCAACTGGCGGTCAACTGAACCTGGCTTCCTGATAGTTCATTCTATAAAAAGCATCAAGTTTCCACATACTTCAGCAAGTGTCGTTGTGAATACACTTCCGAATCAGGGGATCTGCAGAAAGTCTAACAACCCAGCGAACCCGCCATCAAGACGAGAGGAGGTCTAGGCTCACGGTATTATTGTAGTGCGGAGAAGCGACAATGATCAACGGGAGTTAATTCTCATGGTAAATACCCCATAGACGCCCATAAACCTCTTCTCATCATCTTTCTCCATGGGGACCGTGCGGAGATGTATCCGAGTCGTGGGGGGAGACCCCACACTCGGTGAGGCATCGGATTTCTATAGCCGAACATCGTCAATAGCCGACGAAGACAGAGCCCGCATTGCAAGGCAATAACCGTTGCAAAAGGCTGTAAAAATGGATCTCACGATACTTAATTTCTTAAATTCGCTTGTCTCGGGTTAGATCTATCCTACAATTTTCTACTGAGTTCGTTTTATCCGTGGTTTTACCCGCCTCTCCAACTCCAAATCCACCCAAAGAAAACAATCAAAATGGCCAAGCCAATCGTCCTTCAATTAGGTGATGACATCCGCTGGAATCATGAATTGTACGCAAAGTTCAAGGATCAGTTTGAGATCCGTCGCTCGTACAGCATGTCGCGCCCGGAGTTCATCTGTGCTTTGAAGGAGAAGAAGTTTGGCGACTTCTCTGCTATGTATCGGCCCTTCTGGAACACAGGTGGTGAGATGGGTAACTGGGATGAGGAATTAATCTCCCTGCTTCCTGACTCATGTAAGGTGTATGCTAGTGCTGGTGCTGGCTTCGATTGGGTTGATACTGCCTGCTTGGCGAGGAAGGGTAAGCTCAAATCTTTTGGGTGGACTCGAGGTATTTTATACACCAGGAGGCGGATACTGATGAACGATTTAGGAGTTGTGTATTGCAATGCTGCTGCTGCTTGCACCGAGTCTGTGGCCGATGCAGCCCTCTGGCTGATCATCTCCACCTTCCGCTTATTCTCTTGGTCGGGAATGGCTGCTCGTTCTCTGGATCCTGATCAGTTTGTTGATGCGAACCGCAATCTCGCGCCGGTCTCTTTCAACCCCAAGGGTCACACTCTTGGTATCATCGGATTTGGTCAGATCGGCCGCCGTACTGCTGAAAAGGCGTACCTCGCTCTCAACATGAAGATCCTGTATCACGACATTGTCCAGATGCCCCGCGAGCTGGAGAAGGTCTCCCAGGCTACTTACCACAAGAGCATGGACACCCTCCTCGCCGAGTCTGACTGCGTCGTGGTGGCGACACCTTTCAGCGGCGAGACCTTGCTCAATGCTTCTCTGCTGTCGAAGATGAAGCGCGGCTCGCGGCTCGTCAACATTGCCCGTGGTAAGCTCCTCAACGAGGCTGCCTTGCTCGATGCTCTGAAGAAGGGTCAGCTCTCCGCTGCTGGTTTGGACGTGCACTACAATGAGCCCCATGTCAACCATGAACTGGGTAAGATGAAGAACGTCGAGATCCTTTCGCACAATGCCGGTGCTTCTCTGGACTCACACATTGGCTTTGAGCGTCTCGGTATGGAGAATATCATCTCTTTCTACGAGAAGGGTAAAGCTGTTACTCCTGTCAACGCGCACTTGGTTGCTAAGGCTACATCCTCTAAGCTATAAAGGTTGGAATTTTGAAGTTGTACATTACCTGAGCATATAATCACGAATCACGAAAGTCAAACAAAATATTTTACTGTTCACTTCCAGTTGAAAGACTAACGGAAGTGAAACCTAGACTTTTTCAAAAGGGAGTCACCCGGATCCGTAGAGAAGACGAGAGAACCTACCTAGCTCTTATGATAGCATCCTCACAACCTAGAAAAGCTCGTTGCCTTGAAGCTTCGCTGCCTTTGTACCGTATTACCCCACTTCCCCCAAGTGCCTCTGAACAACTTGTTCACCTACGAAGACTTTCTGAGGACCGTTATACCCGGCCGGGGTAGGGTTAGTTGAGAGGCTGCCCCGGTACCTCTCCAACATTCAATTCGCAAGGAAAAACTCTAACATAAGTGATCAAAAAACTTCAACGGCACTCGCTGTCTTCTCCGACCCTTGCTTTCAAGCCTTGGCAACACCCTCTCATTTTGAACAATGACGAAGCCCTGCCTCCTCAACCTCAACAAGGAGCATATTGCGCAGCCCGAAGGCTACATCTCCCCCATACATCACCACCTTCATAACAACCTCCAAAGGCTCTTCTCTTCTCACCACGCACTCAAGGTCAGGGCATTGCTCGACTGCTACCGGCCTGGCCTCACTCCGTCAATCCATAGAGGCCAACGGGCTGGCCGTTTAACTTGCCCAGCAGGCGGGTATGGACGAGGGCATTGAAATGACCCTGGAATAAGTCAATGCCAAAAACCTATGATGTGGGATTTCCCGAGTCCTGAGGAGTATGGGGGTGCATGACCGTCCCTATCTCAAAGATGTCCCTAGCTTGTTCAAAGGATGGGACTACGTGGAGAAGATGGTGAAGGTATTGCTAGAGGATAGTGTTGGCGGGGACTAGCTCAGCAAGGGTCAGGGATGATCGTTTTATGGTAACTCATATTTTCTACAACGTCTCTTCAGGCCTTCATCATACTGGAAATGTATATCTCGCTTGACAGTTTTGTCATACCATACATGACTCTTCGATTTCATAAGTATCAAACATCATTTGCGAACACCTCGCCTAACTTGACCAAGCTCTCCCAGCGTCGGTCCTTTTGTACCTCAATAGTACCATCAGGCGCGGCTACCTTCATCTCATCGATCGCACTCGTACCGAATTCATACGCTTGATTGTCATTCACAAAGGCGACAAATTGCTCAATCCAATCCTCCATTAATTTTCTCTCAGCCGTAGTCGGGCCATGCAAGATCGAGAAGCTATTCAGACACGTTAGTAACTTTCTATCTACATTCACCTGCACATCTTCTAAGGGTACTTACTTCCAGAATGGCTTGTCCATGGCATGGGCCACACCAAAGAAAAGAGGTGCTACCTTTTCTGTGATGAAAGATAGTCTGTATGCAATTCTGTAGCGCCAAATATCCCGCAGAGCGACTCCATGAGTACTCAGATTGTGTATCAACCATCGAGAAGGTGCTCGGACTTGGCCGTCGGAGATGATCTTTCCAAAGAGCGTCTTCCATTCACTTGGGTCACCGGTCGAAGGGAGTTGGTATTCCTTGATTACCCGGTCCGCAGTCTCTGGGGCGTAATAGTTCGATACCTGGAGTCTCAGCGACTCAAGGTTGGGCTCGGGACTGTTGTATGTCGCGTAAAGAGTCTCCTCATTCAAAACTTCACCGATCAGAATGCGAAGACGCCGCTGTTTGAATTCTTCCGCAAAAGCACCGCTGTGATGATACTGAGTGAATCCCTGGAAGATGAACAAATCGTCCGTAACAGGTCGGAAGGTATGATTTTTAAGGTGGCTCATGGCTGCGACAAGGTCTTTATAATCAACTTCACGCAGCTTGTCCACTTTCTCTGGCCCTGAAAGGTCACCGGGGACCTTGAAGTATTCACAAAACTCATCGAACTGAGGATTGACATCGGCAAGGGCTTTCGGTTGAGCTGGAATCGCATTCGAGTACATGTAAAACCGGTGGAATAGCTGAGACTCTTGCCGGAAGTCATAAAGCACCTGCGCATGTGTTCCATATGCACCGGCACTGCGACCACCGAGTGTGATGTTGTTCAAATCTCCGTTGAAAGCTGCGATGTTCTCGTAGACCCACTCCATCGCGAGCCGCTGGTCCCACAGTCCAAAATTGCCCGCACTCTCGCCATGACTGTCTTCCAGCAAGGCCTCTCCGGCGAGGAATCCAAAAACATTCAGTCGATATCCAATTCCAATCACGATGGCGTTCAGTTTTCCCGTGGAGATGAGTTCGGTTGGATTCATGCCAACCTCTTGCAAGGGTTCACCAAGCTGGAACCAGCCACCATGGAGCCACAACACGACGGGCCATTTCTTGTCGGACTTGGCGCCAGGGTCTTCAACGGGTGTCCAGATGTTCAATAGTAAGCAGTCTTCGCTATATGCTTCCACGCCGACATCTTTCTCGGCTCCTCGAGAGAATGCCACTTGAGGGCACACTGGGCGGAAATAGGACGCGTCGAAAGCAGTGCCGTCGGGTTGAGAATAGCTGTGTCTTGCGGGTAATGGGCGGGGCTTGCGCCAGCGATGAGCGCCGACGGGAGGCAGCGCATAGGGAACTCCGGCATATCTTCGGGCTTTGTTGTCATACTGGATGCCTCTGATCTTCCCCTTGGACCCCAGGTCGATCTCGTGGGGAGTTTCCTTGTAGGCTGAAAGTGTGTTGCCCATGATGGATCGCCTCCTGCTTGGAGAAATTGAGCTGCGACAACGGAGGGGAAGATCGCGACAGGGTTATAGATCTTTAGGAGATGGCAGTTGTCCGAGGTGCCCACTTTGTTGAGCCAATGAGCTCTAGTCAGATGGATCCGTCGGAGCGATCCCAAAAGATCCCGAAAATTAACATTCGGAGCTGCGTACTTCGGAGCCCAAATCTAGTCCCGTGCCGACGAAGAAGGTCCCGATACGCAGGGCATACAGGACAGACTGGGTAAAGAAACAATGTACATTCAATCCTACTACACAGAATTCGCTTCTGGTGCCCTCGTCTATTTTCAATAAAGAGGGCGGTCAATGAAATGGTAGCTCGGATGTTATACTAGATATTTCTTGCACGATTTGACCACTTTACCAACATTCGATCTTCTTCGTCTTCAGAATCATCATGGCATTATCAATTTCCTCTCCAGACGTTTCAACCAGTGACAAGACTCGGCTGCAGAACTCACTCGAAAGCGTAGCGGCATGAAACGGCCCCTCGGTCAGCTTAGCTAGAATTCCCGGGCTACTCATTAGCGCGAACAGTGGTACCCGCTAGGTGAAGAAGCAAGCCACCAAGTGTATGACTTATTGTGATAAAGGCTAATTTCCTTCACATATTAGGGTCTAGTCGACTGCAAACAGGGAAATATCGATGGCAAGGATATGTACTTGCAAGTTGGAGCTATCTCCTCTGCTGGGGTATCTCTGACTGTTCGCATTCTAGCCTCGGATCTACGAATGATCAAAATCAAACGAGCCCTCGATTGCAGCGCCCATAGCATGATGATACTTATGTGCGAAACTAAGGTAAATTTACCCCCCTTGCCCTCGCGAAACGCACCGTGTATCCTTTATAATGCCCCGCTGATTGAGAGTTTGAGCTTAGGAATAAGCGAAGCAGACTTTTCGAAGCTGTAAATATCCCACAAGTAAGTGGCCCAAGGGCTACCACGGAGCTGAAGCGTGTTTGCACCAGCAGCATTCCACCGAATGGCCGACAGTATAAATTAAACCACTTACAGTTAACAAGGTTACCCCCTAAAACCCTGCTATTAGTTGGTCTGGAACCGAATTGTGAAATAGATCAAAGATTACGTTTGCATCGAACACTGTTCCGGCCTTGAATATAGAGAATATAAGGATTAGATTAACTCGGGCTCTGCCCGACAGGTGCAGAAATCAAACCTGAGACTCTTAGGCCAGATGTACATGAATCAGCTGTAAAGGTTTGCCAAAAACACGCTGTACTACGAGTCGCGATGATAAAGGTATCGATCGATTTTCCAGAACATCTGCTATGGATTGCTGGGGATGTGAACATGATTGGTACTCGTAAGAATACTCACGGGAGATTTTGGTGTCTATAGCCACCCTGAACATGACAGATGTCATCCAGACCCTTCCCAAGGACCGAAGCGTATATAGATGGCATTCGCATATTGAATGGGCGGATACGAAGAGTATCCTTTACAGTCCTATCCATTTCATACTCGACCATTGTCAAACGACCAGTTCTCAGACCCTCTTCATCAACCAGCATATATGGGCCTCAATACCCGTAGTTGAGTACGGTGCCAGTATGTGTGAGATAGATATCAATGAAGTTTGCAGTCTCCAAATCCTGCCAGATCAGAAAAATCTTCAATCGAAGGATTAGTGATGGTGGTGGTCTCTGGGTTTAATATAGCCTCTGACATGTGTCTATTGAGGAGACAGTGCCCGGTCTCAATATCATAATTATACAATAGAATCGCGAATTTAACCCATCGTGCCCGATTAGCAGTATGGGCCTCGTGGACAGGGACAATAGAAACTAGACCGTTGGTATGGCCTGGCTGAAGAGTATCGTAGATATGTGCCAATGCTTCGGCTGGATACTGAGGGCCTTCAGGCATGGGCGCACGCGATTGGTATGACTGAATAAATGAATTAGTTGATGCGCTACATCTAAGGGATTTGACAGGGGCTGCACATCACGAAGTTCCTGTGTGGCTGATGCCCATTTTTCAATGAGGCGGTGCCTTTGATGCAGCTCATATTCTCCGTCGTTAGAAGCAGTAGTGTTGGCTGCAGGAACCCAATTTTCCTGACAGTAAGTTAGTACTCACTGTATGCGTGGCTGGCTGGAAAACACAAGATCCATGCCTTTACAAAGAGTAGCCAGCCCTTGACTTCTTCTTTGATCTGTTCCAGAGATAAATCTGTCTTTGGATGTGGTCGGATGAAACTGGGAATTCCCCCTGGCCAGTGTTGGACGGAACGTGGCATGGCTCGAATGTCGCTTTGAAAATGAAGGATGCGATCATTAAATCAAAGAGTATTGTGTAGATGGGAAGGCCCTGGTTCTGTTCACAACTGATGGAGATTCCCAAGTCGTCCGATAAGGGGTGTAGAAGGAACTTCGGGCATGATCGTTTCGAAGACGAGAGAAGGCTTCACTGGAGATGCGGCTAACTGGATTGGGACAAGCGGAAGCTTGACCTGACCTGGGGTTGCCCCAGTGAAAGCGGGAGTTAAGATAGGCCCAGATGGATAGTTCGTGCTCACGAATATCGCATCAGTCATCTAGTTTCTGGAAAGAAGTTCCAAAGCAATTAGCACCTTATTAGGAAAAGGTAACCGTAGGTCATCGGTGAGGAGGGCCGTCTTAAACCTGGATAAATAGTAGACACGAATGTCTCTTACCGAGGGCTTCTTTCTAATGGACTGAGTAGATTCAATAACCGCGTCTAATTCTTCTGACGATGCCTGGGCTTGCTACCTTAGTATTTTGGCTGCCCCTATCCCATGCTGGTGGCTGTTTTCAATTTACCTTTGTTAATGATAAAGTTTGTAACCTATTCGCTGCCGTTATAAGAGCAACTTGTTTTATCATGCTGTATAGGCGATTACTACCAGGTAACGTTTCGCCACGAATGGATATTTACTGTATCGTACGAAGAATTAAGTGTCATATTTTCAGTAGGAAACCAGGACAGTTTCAGTTGGTTTAGTGCTCATAGCATTATGTATTTACCCCATTGCCAAACGGAAACCTGTTTTTCATGATGTGCGATCCGTGTAATGTAACCTAATATTGCATGCATGCTTAAGCTAGCTCTCACCGGATCCCACATCGCACTCAATAATGACCCTCTCCCGTAACTTCGTTTAGTAAAAGGACTATTGACCCGCAGTGGAGACTCTTGCAGAATCGCACCACTCATCACGCCTATTATTCGCTTGACCGGTCCATTAAGTGGGTTGTTGAAAAAACCTCGGTTGCAGATAGCCCAGAAGAAGCCGACGAGTCACAACCTTGGGCCATCTTTCAAGATAAGCCAGTTGATCAACCCGTCCCGCTCAAGGTTTCTCATGAATTTTGGCTCCAACATGATGATTAACTCCCAAGGCGCCAACGTCGTATTGTATCGGGCCGGCTTGATCCAGCAAAAACCCGGAATGCGATTATGGTCCAAGCCAAAATCTCGCAGTGGGCCTAGGGTCGGCCCGAAATCGAGATCGTAGAGCTTAAAAGCCCGGATACTGCTGACCAGGAATTCGGCTGGGCGTGGAGTTGCTGCCCAGTTGTCATTAGAAACGATATGGGATATAACATTGCTGATGTATTGACTGTCAATTGATTCGGCGGAAATTTGAAGAGATCCTGCGAGTCTCGAGATGTGCTTAATCTCAAGAGAGTCGACATGTCCTGAGCGGTAGGATTCGCGATGAACATCTTTCGTAGACCAGAGATCTTGAATACGGGCTGATGTCTCGACTGTCATGATTGCGTTACCTAAGTAACTACTAGGTAGGCATGGCTCGATCTTTCCACGAATGTCTGCTGCTGTGAGGATACTCGATTCAGCGTTGTTCGGCGTTTCTGTTGAATCTAAACCATGATGCTTGGCACGGATCCAACACAGCCACAGTATGGCAGTTACAACAGTGTTGCTTGTCAATTGTGGGTTCGGCATATTGGGGTGCTTTTCAACCATGAGCTGGCACTCAGTTTTGATGCGTTCGATTTTGCTGGCATCTAGCTTAAAGATCTTGCTGGTCGGCTCATCGCATTCAGGGCTGGAACTAAGATCCCACGAATACTCTCCATACTCAGCTTCAAATTTGTCGGTCCTCTTAGCAACATGTCCATTTTCGAGAATCAATTGGCGACTGTGTTCTTCCCGTTGTGGGTCAGTGGGCAGAGTTTCGATCTCAGCCCGAGAATCACGGCAGCAAGTCGCAAGCGCTGTGGCGACATTCAACAAGCCGACTCCATCCATTGCCATATGGTGGAAAGCTAGGCAAAGAATCAATCCATTGCTCATAATATTGGCTTGAATCCTGAAGATAGGACTTATGGCCTCCGCGGCCATTTCGAAGGGAATCGGAACAAGGCTTTCATTGAGCAATTGGTCCGTTTTGATATTTGAGCCTGAGGTCATAGGAGATATGCATTGGCGGTGATGCTTGATCTTCAGCATCGGGTGGTCCATCAGAAATCTCTGCGTTGGGGGCTGCACCTCTAACACATTCTCCTTTCCTTTTAATTGAGTTGAAGCAGTTATATTCCCAGTCAGGAATGGCAGAAGATACACAAGCCGTGAAACGGCGAGTTCGAGAATCGGAATGGCCAAGCCTGGGCTTTCGATGTGGAAAGCAAATGACGGATAAAGATAAACAGGAAAAATGGAATGATCGAGTGGCGTGAGAACATAAGGCTTAAAAGCTGGTAGAGCGGCCATATTCATAATAAGGTTATTTTGCCTTATCCGATGTAAAGGATCAAGTCCATACCCAAATTCGTGAATGAAGGGGTAGGTTGAAGATCAAATACAATTCTGCGGCATTTATGGCCACTTTATCAGGCGCCTTACCCCCTAAAGAGAACTAGGATAGGTCTATACCACAAAGACTCGCTGTTTCATCGCTTTGGGTGGGATCTGCATATGCTGAGTGTCGATGATCTCTCCAGGGATCTTGAGAAAATCCCTGTATTAAGACTATTACCATAATCTGTATGGTTTCACTGTTTTCTTCTCCTTTTCTCCCAGAAACTCAGACTAAGTTTTGTTTAATTGTGTCGATCATGCGTAAAAGCGGGTCATTCTAGTGTCTGCCTCTGTTATTGTAGGTTGTCACGGCTCACCGTTAGTTCTAAAACAAGGCAGGCAGCTGGGTGACTATATATCTATCATATATAGTTACATGTCCTTTGCATAAAAGAACATCGTTTCTGTCATATTTAGTCTTCAGGCCCGTTTAACCAGTCTCGGGGCAGGAGCCGTAACGAGAACAAGAAGGTTGAATTGAATTAGGTTCAATGGGACTTGTCATATAGTATTAGGCATGGGTTCATCCCTGCAGTCGGTGTCACGAGAATCTCTCGGTCTTGCTATTAGAACGTACGTACAATACTGAGGGCCGCGGCCACTGCAGGAGTAGTGTTATATCTACACTATATGATATAATATATGAGAAGAACTAGAAACCCAGAAAGTCGGATCATAAAAGTGATTTAAGTCTTATACTAAGCAGGTAGTAGGTATCAGTCACCGCCCGATACAATCTTGGCTTGAATTTCCAACAGGACAAAAATCAGATCCAATGCCCGCTGTTATTATACTAGCTCAACTCAACTAGGAAAATAGAAACAGACATACAGAGCCATTTAGATTCACTGTTACAAATTCAACTGATACTCATATTTCGTCTGCTACTGGAGAGAATTGACGCAATTCGATTCCACCACACTGGGTCAGGTAGCCACAAGATTCGGCCTAACAATGCGTTGAAACACTTTTATGTACATGCTGCTTCTGTAAGATCGCTAGCTGTTGTGGAACAAAACAAAAAATACGTACGTGGCAGTTCTAGTCCCAATATGGTTTTGTCAAATCTAAATATTTCCGTGATCGCGGATTTCTTCGATCTTCTATGCATGCCAAGACTGTGCTGAAAAAGTTGATTGACACGTTCATCAATGCACAGTCTTGCTGCCAGGGGCCCAGAAACTGATGTTCAGTCAATATTTCAGCTAAGCCTCCCTGAGAGGCCTTGCCTCTAATTATTGCTCTATGGCAAAGGACAACACATTGCAGGACAGCTGTCGGTTATTTTGCCTCTCAGTCCTCGGCTAGAAGCTAAATCAATGGGCCTTGTGGATCAAACTGCAGGTCTAACACGACGTCTCAGCTACATACATATACTCCTGCTAAGTAGCGGTGACAGTTGATAAGATATCTTCGCTGTCTTCAGCTGAGCCACGAAGGTTCAGTTAGTAAAGGACCCGCCGTCGCTTAACAATAAATAGGATCTATAACTAGAGCTATGTATGGCAGTAGAGAAACTCTCCGAAAATTTAGTCAACCAAGGTAAATTATCAAGCGTTAGTCATGACTGAACAGTCGGCCGATACACCCCATCAAGCCTTCCGAGAATCTTTGGAAGGTCAGATTGTCACTATTCCTAGCATCTACAAACTACTTCCCGAATGGCAGCCAAATCTTCATGAAGACTATGAGCGGGCACGTGAGGAAGAGCTTGATCCTTGGATTCGGAGGTAATGTCTATCTGTTGCTTTAATTATCCCGCGCTACTTTTAGTTAATCATCGTGCTAGATGGGTGCCAGATGAGCGGACGGCTCGATCCCTTTGTGCGGCCGACTTTGGTCGTTTTGCTGGGGTTTGGGTGCCAGGCTGTCAGCCTTATCGGGTTCTTTGCACTGCTGCGAAGTATTTTGCTTGGGTTCGTACTTTCTTTCCTAAGCTGATATTCTTTGTTAATGATCCAATAGTATTTTGTATATGACGACAGTACGAACCCCATTAACGAGACGTGAGAGAGATATTCTTGTCAATTCTAACATCATTGCTTTGAACTTCACTTCTAGTTTTTGACTGCGGTTCATTGAAACATGATCAGCAGGCTGCCGAGACCTATAGGCAAGCGAGTCTTCAATATTTCAACTTCACCTTGCTCGGAAAGGGCGATCAGCCAGACCTTTCACAGTTCGACGATGAGCTTCAGAAGGCTTTGCATTGCTGGGATGAGGTCGGAGAGCATATACGTGAAGTCTGTTCCGAAGGTATCTTGTTATCCTTGAACCTATATCTGGGACTGGTATCAGGAAACCAGATCGTGACTGACAAGATTAATAGAGACGCGCGAAGTGCTGTGTGACGAGATGCTCAGATATGTGGGGAGCCTGAACAATATCGACAGCATTTTCAGAGAAAACGAAATGCCTTCAGTTGAAGAATATTGGAGCCGGCGTGAGGCCACTGCTGCCGTTTATTGCGTGGTTGCAACCGTTCCGTATGCATTTTACTCGGCTTTAAATATACGCTGCTAATGAGCCTCAGCTTCATTTACGGAGTCGACATTCAAAAATCCGATGTCAATATTCCAGCTATGCGAGATCTATGGAAGCACACCTCTTATTTTGTTCATATGTAAGTGGAAATATCTGCCAAGCCATGAAAATTCTCTCTGATCAAGTTACAGATCAAATGATATGTTCTCTCTGCGAAAAGAACTGGTATGAATCCTCACTATGGGTCTTAATACACTACAAGCTAACAGGTCATAGGCAGATGATCAAATCGAGAACCTGGTCCCCGTGCTGATGTTGAACCGTGGAATTGACTGCAACACTGCAATGCAACAGAGCTACGAGCTACTCCATGCTACAGCAAAGGGTCTCCAACGCGCGGAGTCAAACCTGTCTGACAGCCCTCAGCAGGTATCACCTAAGATCTCGACGGCGTTCGTTCAAGGCTGCTTTGATACAGCAATGGGTCTTGCTCATTGGAGGTAACATCAATCTGTGTTTTATTCCCCCGATCTCAGCTAAGCCCCTTTTTAGTTACTGTGGCGCCCGGTACTTCAAACCTTCGGAGCGGGAAGACGGACATGTCATCAAGTTTACGATTCAGGGACACAAACGGCAAAAGGACGACATGATATCAACCAAGGAGGTTCAAAAGACGGCCGGTCTCGCCACCTGGTATCGCTTCCTACCATTTGGAGTTCTCTTGATTGCCCCGAAGATCTACTCACTGGTTGCATCTACCACCCTCCGTTGGGTGCCTCGTGGATGGATTGGAATATGGAGCAAGTCGCCTTCGCATTAAAGTAGGGTGAGTGTTTCGCTAGCTAAAAGGTCATGAGGCTCAAGGAAACTTTCATTCCCAAGACTGCATTATTAGAACCAAATTTATACATTGAAGAGCCATTCTCCATATTTCCTCTCTCTTGCTGACTTGGCTCTTCAAGCATGTCTATAGAAATTCGCTCAAACGGGTTGTATACTTTTCATGTATATTTTGTGAAGCAACTTGTGCGCAACCCCCAAACCAGCGATGACTCTGATTTTAAATCATGGTCCAGTTGCTGGGTGGATTTCCAAGATCCACATTAATTGCCCAAGACATGAGATCAAAATTTTCATAATCATCCAGGTTAATAGCATCGATCTCTCCATATCCATCGGAGAGGGAGCTGCCAGCATTGGAAGTCAAAATTGATATCGGGCTCACGTCATTGCTGGTTACGATATCTGGGGTTGCGAGAGAATTAAACGTGGCGAGCTTGTCCAAAGTCTTATCCAATTTTTCCGTGATGGCCTTGGCAGCCTGCAAGCAGAAAGTTTGATTTCTTTCTCGGGGGCTGGGTACACTTTCAAGTAGGGAAGCCAGTACGGACAAGTTCCGAATAAGTGCCGACGTCTTGATGCCGGGCGGAAGACTTCTCGAATGGTCTTGGGTCGTATTCTCCAATGCAGTCAAAAGGACTGCGGCCGAGGACAAGCCACAAGAAAGAAGCTTCATTTCGTCAGCTCATGTAGAGGTGGGGTTATTTCTGAGGGAAAGGGACCTACGATTTCAGGTAGATCATTAAAGGCGAAAGCACCTTTGCTGCGGGAATTTCCCATTTGCACGACTGTCTCCAGTATATTTGCAGCCACTTCAAGGATCTCCGGAAGCGGTGAAGAGCTATCTTCCCCAAGAGTGTGGTATATTTGGAAATGTATTTGTAGATAGGCCAGGTGAACCTTTGCATGCATGTAACAAACGGTAAGAGGCATGTCGGACTTCCAACAGTCGTGGCTATATCTTAGGTGGGGAAGCAAGTTATCCCAAGTCTGACGGCACCGGAATGATAAATCCCTAAGCATTGTTAGTACAGATGCAACATTTCTCAAAGCAGTCGTTCATACCTCAGCTTGGAAGGGTCAACCGTTTGTGATGGCTGAAATTGATATTCAACTACTGCCTCCCGAAATTGACTCAAGATGTAACGTAGTCGAGCCCAAGTTGCTGCCCTATGTTTTCCATCCGTATTCCAGCCATCTTCAGTTAGCCGGCTTTTTGCTTCCTCCAATTCATCGGGTGTGTGAGCAAGCAGCTCATCGTCTGATAGATCCAGAGGAAGCCTGACGTCGACGTATTGGGCCGTAATCCGCGGGGGAAGGTTAAATACCAATCCAAACATCTTCTCCAGATAATATTCGGTAACGAACAATCTTCGTCGGCACTCCGCAAGAAAAAATGGCGCTCTTTCAGGAGAATACGTTGCTTCTCGATGTAATCCCAGAGCCAATAGATCTGTCGTGAGATCACCCACCAAGCGCCAGACACTTAAGCCTGAAGATAATTAGCTTTTGTCTGTCAAAAATATTGGAATAATGTGACTTACTGGCATCTCCTTCAAGAAATGACAGTAGCTGCACATTTTCATTCGCTAACCATATAATGACGTCTGTTGACTGAGGCGCAAGGTCACGAGCTAGTCGTAGGCTCAAAGTGCTATACCAAACCATGTCTTGAAGAAATCCATCGTCCTTATCTTTGTCGTCGCGGTCAACAAAAAAGAGTGACGCGCGTGCCGCCATGGCGTAAAACAGACCGATCGTCTCAACTCGCAGATTCATGCCGCAGAATAATGCCAAGAAACCGTGCAGATCCAACGATGGTGCTATGACTACTTCCGTGGAGGAAGAACGCAGCACGGCTTCTGAGATCTCAGATACATTACCAATCTCGACCCGCTCGTCCATTTCTCCAAGGATATGGCCTGAAGACACCAAATCCTTGCGGAGGGTTTCCACGAGGTGCATAACAACTGCCTTCGGTACAAGTACATTCTGCTTGAAAGAATAGTACTGGTGGAGATACTTCTCAATGATTGGGAGATATTTCAATTGAGATACAATCTCCTTCATGGTGGCTAAGTGAGCATTATAAACTTTGCTGTTCTGAGACCCTGGCGTGGGGGTCTGTGGCAGCGTGTCTTTGCAGACGGTCGACATGAAAGGCCATGTGTGGAATTTGTGGGGCCCAGCTGTAGGACGTCCAAGATGGCCTTGACGGCCCTTCGAAGTGTTCCTAATCCAAGGTGGTGTAGCATGGCTTGGTCGGGGTAGCGTAGGCACGATCGGCCTCTGCCCTATCGGGTTTTTGGAGAGAGGTGCAGGATGGTAATAGCATCGAGAGTCGAGCCCACGACGCTCGCAGGCAGCACAAACTGGTTTCTTATGATCGCATCTAGTCTTTCTCTCCCGGCAAGGCTCACAGGAAGCTAAGGCACGATTGCGTCTGGTTATGGGCGCTGACATGACCAAAATGTAAGGAGACCGGGTGACGTCGTCCGTACCTCCGCGTCACATAGACGGACCCACACGGTTGGGAGTTTGCAGCTTCGTCGATCTTGCTTTTCTCATTCACTCAGTAGCATACTGGTACTCTTCGTAGTTAGATTAGGTTCTGACACCTAGTTTTGCTTTTTTTTCTCTTTGGGATATTTAGTAATGAGAAGCTATCGAGAAAGAGTTCTGGATGTCAAACCGTTGTCACGTGAGTTTAGTCCGATACAAAACCGGTAATAATCAGAGTATCGGACTTGTATCGGATAGCTGATTTTGCAGTCAACATTGGAAGTGATGCTGTCAGTAATTAGTTAGAGGTAGAGCGAGCTAACAGTATAATAATAAGCGGAACGATTACTTATTCTGAATTGACGGGAGACACCCTAATTGTGGGGAGGAATTTATGTGATATTATGTACGTTTCGGTTTCTCAGGGATTTTTGCCCCTCCAACATAGTGAACTGGTCTAGCCAGACACGTTTTAAATCTATTCTTTTTGAAGTGACCTTTCGGGATGTATCGTGAAAGGTCTCCCTAACATCTATCTACGTAATAAATTTTGACTACATGTATCTACGTCGTGCATAGGAAGCAGAAGAGGGGGAGCGCCCAAACGATCCATCCAGTTATCTGTCCTATAGATGAACCAAGCATCTGCAGAAAAGCATACTACAGTGGTGGAAATCCCGCCGAAGGAAAACCCTCCCTAAGGCGCCACGAGCCCTAGGAAACCTCAGATAAGAAATGGTCATTAAAAATACATTGTGAGCACTCCGTACCACGACAATAAATTTTTCAGCTACCAGAGTTCACTATCCACAGCCATTTTCCCTATCTACAAGCCAACTTATACGGCCCCTCTCATATATCTTTTCTTTGGCGCTTTGTTCCAATTAATACAGGATGGGCAAGAATGTTGTTTCCTCCCTTGGTAATGAGGACATGTTTATGTAGTTCTCGGCTACGGGCTTTTTCTGTAAGCCACCTATCTATTAAAATAATCCAGGAAATTGTAGAATCCTCAAAGTTGAGGAATTATAAGGCTAGCCGTCGCAAGCTCACATACCTCGGCCCAGGACCTCACCAGCCCTTGAAAGAACCACGATTTCGCTCACTCGTGGAGAGCCGCAACCCGGCGGGACTAAAAAGTGGAGCCGGCCATGCTTAATTTTGGAGCAGATGTCCCAAGATTGAGTGAGACATGCGTAACACTTGTTTGCTGGTCAGTGCGCGATTAAAAGGCCCAATTTATAGACAGATGAAACAGAAGCTAATAGAGCTCTGAACGATGAGGCTTGAATCCGGATATTGAGGGCGAGAAGGGGCTTACTTTAAAAAAAAAGCAATGTTCAAATATTGACTGCAGGCCCTCGATAGATCGGTAGATCTATGCAGGTTGTCCGTGACATCTCTTCATACCCCAAGAACCGCTTTTGCCCCCACCCAGCTTGACTCCTAGGTCTATTGAGTGCCTTATCACCTCTTCAATGCTGCTCAAGGTAGCGTATGCACTCCTGGCACTCCAGGCAAGTGCTGTCCATTCATTTGCGATCGGAGATGAGACTTTCGACTATGTCGTTGTTGGTGGAGGTACCGGCGGCAGCGTCATTGCGACACGTCTCGCACAACATTCTTTCAGGGTCGCATTGATCGAAGCTGGAGGCTTGTACGAGTTCGAGTCTCTGGCGGCTGTCCCTGCAGCCGATGTGCTTCCCGTGGGATCGGATCCCAATACACAGGCCGCAGTGGACTGGGGATTCGTGACGAGGGGGCAACCTGGTGCAAATGGGCGGGCGATACATTTTGCTCGAGGCAAATGTTTAGGAGGATCGTGAGTGATCGCCTTCCTAGATTATGGCTCAGGCCACTCTGACACTACCTCACAGTTCTGCTTTGAACTTTATGATTTATCAACGGTCAGTAATTCCACACAAAACTTTTCAATCGACCATAAACTCATTCTCAATCCCATAGACCGACTCGAGATTCAATGCAAGAATGGGCAGACGCTGTCAACGATCAAAGCTACACCTTCGACAACGTTCTTCCCTTCTACAAACGTAGCACACACTTCACAGCCCCAAATACCAAGCTTCGAGCTTCCAACGCCACGACGGAATACAATGCCGATGCATTCGACTCCAACGGCGGCCCTCTCCAGGTATCATACTCGAACTATGCCCAACCCTTCTCGTCCTGGATGAACCTCGGCATGCAGGCAATTGGCATCAACGAGACACAGGACTTCAACTCGGGTTCTTTAATGGGAGGACAGTATTGCTCGTCTACAATCGATCCATCAAGTGAGCTTCGCAGTAGCTCCCAGGCGTCCTTTCTGACAGCTATCAAGCCTTTGACCCTCAAGACGTACTCACAAACACTCGCGAAGAAGATCGTGTTCAATGAACAGGATAGAGCCACAGGCGTGCAAGTTAAGGGCATCTTCGGCAATACCTTCACTCTTTCAGCCTCGAAGGAGGTTATAGTCTCTGCTGGTGCATTCCAGTCTCCGCAACTACTGATGGTATCCGGTGTCGGTCCCGCAGATGAGCTGAAACAGTACGACATTGCTGTAGTTGCCGACCGGCCTGGTGTCGGGCAAAACATGTGGGACCATCCATTTTTCGCGCCTTCATATCGGGTGCAGGTCGACACCGTTACTAAAATCACGAGAAACCTCATATACGCGGCCGGCCAGCTTTTGAACGGGGTAGCAGAGAAGTCTGGCCCCTTGACAAACCCGGTCGCCGATTATCTAGCCTGGGAGAAGATCCCACAGGCCCTACGCTCCAAGTTCACTCAGGGCTCTCAAAAGGCTTTATCTAATTTCCCATCGGACTGGCCCGAAGTTGAGTACATCTCTGGCGCGGGTTATATCGGCAATGTCTCCAATTTGCTCTCTGACCAGCCAAAGGACGGATACCAGTACGCCTCCATCTTGGGCGTTCTGGTCGCGCCCTTATCGCGAGGCAATATCACCATCAAATCTTCCAGCACTGATGACCTGCCTATCATTAACCCTAACTGGCTCGATGATCCAGCTGACCAGGAAGTCGCCATCGCCATATTCAAGAGAATGCGCGCGGCCTTCCAAAGTGATGCAATGGCACCTGTGATCATCGGAGAAGAATACTACCCCGGCGTCAAAGTCCAAAGTGATAGTGATATCCTGCAGTTCATCAAAAACAACGTAATGACGCTTTGGCACCCGGCTTGTACCTGCAAGATGGGCAAGTCTGACGATGACATGGCTGTGGTGGACGCTCAGGCACGCGTATACGGCGTACAGGGACTCCGTGTTGTGGACGCAAGCGCATTCCCATTCCTCCCGCCTGGTCATCCCCAGTCGACCGTTTGTAAGTTCCATCGTCCAGACTGTGACTCCTAGCTTTCTAACCAGTACGCAGATATGCTTGCCGAGAAGATCTCGGATGCGATTATCAACAGTTCTTAGATCGCCGCAGCGGGGGCGCGCAATCTATATCATTTAATTGCCGGAAGACTTGTGTGTACAATTAACGCCTTGATTGTGTGCGTATTTCGAGGATGTGTCTGTATAATTTTCTTGTATTTGTTTCGAAATTCCACATAGTCGTCAGTTGGACGGATACTTGTGTCTGACTGCCTCGACACTGCATACGCTTATCTCTCTCTGCTAGCTTCTAGAACTCTACGGATTTTGCTCCAAAGCAAGAATTCATATGCCGCACGAGGAGAGAATGAGTAACATGTGAAAGCTTCTAGCAGGAGTATGCTGATAAGGGTGTTATAGAGAATAGCTAGGCATGGAGAACTAGGTTATTAAGTATCTGGGCAATATCATGACCTCTGACCGTCGTTGATTATCGTACGGCATTACATGATATCCCTGATTATTTACAAAACATAACGGAAGGCTTTGTTATCAATCTCAGTTTGATCCTGGATAAATGGTCAGTCCCGGGTTACGCGAGCCATATACGGCGAGGTAGACTTACCAGCATTCCATTCTCAACACCATCGCCCTCCACCTCCTGGCTTTCAAGCGCCGCGCGATCACGTCTCTTGTTCTCGAGGTACATGTACAAGTACAGCGCCACGATAGACACAGTCTTGACCGCATATCCAGCAAGCATTCTAAGAAAAGTCAGCCAGGTTATACATCGTGGAAATTGCGATCACCAAATACTCACGCAATATAAGCACTGTGATATCCCGGCGCCTCGCTTTCCTTAAACGTCTGAGGCCCAATGATATTGCCGACACAGTATCCAGTAAACAGCAACGCACCAGTAACCTGCTTCTTTGTATAGCCGGCAATGTTGGAGCTGACGATCGTCAGACTCATGCTGAAGCCCAAACCCTGGAAGTAGCACAGCCAAAGTGCTACCAGGCGACCCCATTTATTCGAGTCTGGCAGCCCGACTAGCAACCCCGAGCCAAGGATGCAAGTCAAATTTGCGACAATCATGCATGCACTTCGCGAATGGAATCTGTCTGCATATTTGGTTGCGATCCACCCACCAATTATCAGAGTAAGGAAGTTGACTGCGCCGCCGGGGATCTGGAGGTACTGTGTGCCGAGGGTATCGAAGCCAAAGGTGGCGACAATAATGGAGGTAAACTGGGGTTCATATCGGTTAGTCTCATAAGAAGCAAGAGAACAGAACATCTAGTGTGTAGGAACGTAGAACGTACGCTTGTCAATGCTGAATTAGGCACCTGTGCGCCTATAGCCATGATGAAAAGTAGCCATGTCTTGGGATCTCGCGCGGCTTGCCAGACTTGGTACCACTTAAACTTGTGGCTCTTGACACCCTGTCGGTTGATAGCAACGCGGTCGACGGCGATGGCACGTTCACGCTCGGATAGGAACTTTGCAGTTGATGGCAAGTCGGGAAGAAGCCACAACGCAAAGATACCGATGACGACAGAGAAAGCCCCAAAAATGAGGAATACATACATCCATTTTGGCAGACCAGTGTTAATATGGCCAACAGCATAGCCAATAAGTCTATCATGGTGGGTCAGTTTCATTTCTCCCAGGCAGGAAGGTATGTATTTAAGCATGTACTTACCCTCCGAACATCGTCGCAATACCATTAGTGCAGTAGTAGGATTCCAAGCGCAATGGCTGCTCACGAGTCGTATACCACATACTCATCATAAGGACAAAGCCCGGGTTGACGACGGCTTCGACAAGGCCGAGGAGAAAGCGGTTGATGGCGATGCCCGCGAAGTTATGGCAAGCCGGTGTTGTCATGAGCAGGCCACCCCAAACTGTGTCTGTACGTTAGAAAAGTTCCCCTACTCTCCAATGTTTTAGAATCGTACCTATAGTTGTGCTGCCCAGAAACTTTCCGACTGGAAGCTTTTGGAAAGCCAATCCAGCTGGCCACTGGGCGATCAAATAACCGAAATAAAAGATTGAACCTGATAATGTCAGCATTGCTCGATATCGGATATCAGGATGGAGACCATACTCAGCCACGAGTAATCCTGCCCTTTGAGATGGGTTCCTTGTTTGAGGCCATAGACAGAGGCGAAGTTGATACTGTTTTTGTCCAGGTACTGCATGCAATAAGAATCCGCAAAGACCAAAGCACTCCAAACGTCACAGCTAGTTCATACCTGAATCATGTAAATTATGAATAACAACGGAATCAGTCGTTTGTCAATTTTCCTCAAAGTCTTCTTCGCTTCCTCTGGGGTATACTCGAGTCCGCGATTCTGGTGATAAAAGTCATAATTTTCATCACGGTCCGACGATGCCGTCGACGAGAGGACTGGCGAGGCCCCGGCCTCAACTTCCTTCTCGTAATCCACCATTATCGGAGGATTTCAGGGAAATCAAGAGGGGACTGGTGAAACTCCTTTCTTAACGCCTGGTGGACTTTTTTCGAGTGTTGCACAGACGAGGGTCGGGCTGACTGCAACCAGTTCTTATAGGGAAAAAATACCAACATCTTCAGAGTCCCACGCCATGTGGAGCACAAGGAATGCACGCCATTGACCCCACAAGACATATCAGGGGAGAGACAAGACAACGTGAAGAGACGGGAGGGGAGGCGTATTGACGTCGAGTCTTGGGCGGCAGGTGAGCGGCGTGATTGGATTAGATACACAAGCGAGCGGGGGGCTTTACGGCTTTGCTAGACCATCGGACCTATAAAGAAGAAGGGAGAAATATATTCTTTCGGCATTTTGGCAGGAAAGGTTAAGTGGGTTGAAACGTTGATCAATTCGGTTCTAGTGGGATTTTGGTGGTGGTGCGGGTGGTGGAGGTAATCACGACATCGCTGCGCCGATTGCGTGGTGAACAGTCCAGTAGAGCATGTTAGGGATAACACCGGAGCAAGATCTTTGCGTAAAAGCTTTGTAATAAGGTGGGAGATAATTTGGTTAACCGAGAATGAAGCAGAGACTTGCAGTTTGTCTTCGAATTTCCAATAAGCGACTGGACTTTCTGAGGTGGTTTACTCCACGCTTAGCTTAAGCTTATCTGTATTCGACCTCGGTACCACAACTCCAAGGAAAACGTTACCTTCTAGAATTTCATCAGCCCAGTGCACTTAAATATTGACATGAGCGTATTAAAGAATACGCCTTCTCGCTTGAATTTTTTCTCGGTCATATCCACCAGTCTGGATTGCCGATGGGTGTCTTTCGCATCACGCCCTTCCTGGGAGTGGAGGTGACAGATAATGTCTACTCCCAGGCAAAAGGTTCTGATGGGGGCCAGATATTCAGACTTTGTCGTTTGGTAACCAGATGGCGGCTATGTGAGACGAAAGCAAGACACAGTCTCGCCCGGGCCCGTTTCTCGTTACTATACGCTCCGTAAGACATCTAGCTTCACCGATATCGAATATAGAAGACAAACTAGAAGGATAAAAGCCAAAGCTTTCGCATACCTAATTTAGACTATAATTTTAAAGCCGAGAGAAGAAACCTCATTCCCACTATAGGCCATACAGGGAGGAGATGGCTAAGTTGGGTATGGGTTGGTCGCTCAAGCGTTCACCATATTGATATGTCACCCGTCTGGAAGGCGACATAAGAACCGCCGAAGTCACCATGGCTTGTCAGATATCTTCCAACAATGTACACGGAGTAAGGCTATTCATGCTTCCAGGGACCGAACAGGACGGACAGTTGTCCATTAGAAAGATTATTCAGCAATTATGAGTAGTTACTAGAAGGCCTTAAGGAGCGGTGAAGTTGTAGGCGGCGACGTTCTGAGAGCAGGACAGATTTCTGGCTTCGAAGACTAGCAGGCTTCCCTTTTCTGAAATCATGTCACTATCATACCTGCAGGAACACCCGTCCATAATTTGACCGAAAATAACCATTTATCTCCGGCCCGGTGATGAGCCTGTCGCTATGGCGCCAACCTATCCCAGGCCCTAAGAGCCACACTTGCAGCGATATTGTGGAATCCGGGAAGATCTCAAGGGTTTCCAACGGAGCCAATTATCATCATCGGGTCTCAAACCCGCTTGGGCGATCCTGTGCGTATAGTTAACCCCTTTTAGAAAAGGTTATTCTGTTGTGGGAACGGGGAAATGCAAAGACAAAGCCGATGCATCCTACTGAATCCCTACAACATAGTAGCCTATGTTGACCACCCAGTATATCACCACAGATGATCAAATGCCGGATTGCTTCTCCGCCTTCCGGTGGGGATCCTTCCTCTTTTCGGGCAGAGCAACCAACGAACAACGGTTTGCGTGGATCCACCACAATATTGAGCTACCGGGCACCGGCTGGGCTGAAACACTAGGGAGCAGGTGATCGAGACGATCGCAATCGGGGGCCACGGGCTAGCCGTTGAGAACGCCGTGTGAGCGGTGATTAATCTAATCGGCTCCGGGGAAAGACGACTTACGTCTGGTTGAAAAAGTACCATTCATCGATCTAGAACACTTTCTCATGCGCAAGTACTGTGATAGGGGATGTGACCATCACCTTTTGCTAGATCCTGTGGGTTATCCTCCCAGGCAATTTTTGGGGCAATCTGGACTCGGCTACTGGGAAAGTTGATTGTTTTCCGGACGGAGGATCTGTCGAACGTGTCAGGTGAACCACCTGGGCAGCTCCTTCCTAAATTGAATAAAATGGAAAAAAATAAGATAAAATGGAGACTAAGGTACTGGTATACGCAGGACAGGACAAATGTCCCTACAACGCGGTGCGGTGGAACAAAGGCGATTCAGAAGTACATATCCAGGCCTTGGATAAAGGTTCCATTAAAGGATGGCTGTCACAGATATGATCTGCGCTTCTGTATATCATTTGCAGACTTTTGAAAAGCAACTATTAGTAGGTACTATGTTTATTACATGGTATCTGGTGAAAAGTACGGTATTATTTCCCACTTTCAAGAAGTGAATAAACGCGTGTCGATTGGTCCGTTATTAATTATTTACGTATTCACTTATTCACTTATCCCTTTGTTCACTTGTCTAATTGTCCACGTGGTCGAGCGATCGAGTATAGTGTCGAGTGTCGAGTCATCGATCGATACGTCTGTCCAGTCATTCCTCTACCGTTACCCCAAACTCATTCTCTCAACTTTAGGATGATATACATAGAGAGTAGGTCAAAAAGGAAAAAAATGAAATTGCAGAGTCCAGGTTCAAAAGTACGAACGTACAGAAAATCAATTCTTTTTATTCAATTCGCCACGTACCTTCGTTTCCGAAGAGCCTCACCCCCTTCCACCCCTCCTGCTCATTCCAAATACTTATATTCGTCACAATTTACTCAATAAAAACTCCGAACGTGCCTCTTTTGCAAGGCACATTAGGTTCGACGAAAAGTCTATCTTCCTTCGCTTCCACGTCATCTCAGGAACCGATTTCCAACTTACAACCCCCTATCTTATCGAATCGGGTACCTTGGAGTTGATTCCCCGTAAAAGTGCCCCTATAAGCTTGCATTTGCGTATGTCCTCACAAATAATTTTATTATGCATACCCGCTTAGAAACTACAATCCTGCTCGTCCCCAACACTATGGAGATTCAATGCGGCTCTAGGTCCATGTCGGTGGGTCATGACTTCGGTGGAAATGAAGGGTGGGCACTAACGAGAGGCTACTGGTAGCCCAACATCTCCGATTGAGTCGAAGTACACCTTTCAGGGTGACTGCTCGTTTATGTACAGTTCCTTCGTTCCCACTGCCCTTTTTAAGTCCATCTGCACCTAAATATTCCGTATAATCAAAAACGACAATTATATTTCCTCAGATCATTGTGCTGACGCACAGGGGATATTGCTGTGAAAAATCGGAATGTGATCTATCAAGTGGTAAGTCAAAATTCCACCCGGGTGCCAGAGCGTCGGCTTCGCCTGCATGAGCGTCCCTGTCCCCACTGGTCGTAAGGCCGCTCTTGCGCTTAACCCGCCAGCTATCCTCATATCGTTCCCAGCGAGGACAGGGAAACCCAGTGTCCTTGTCGAACAGCGCTTCTTTTCGACCGATCCTTCGGTACGTTGGGTTCGAAAAGTGGACCCATGGACCCCATGCGGTGAAGGGTCACGAGGATCGGTGAATCGCCTCGATGTGACAGGGGACCGAGCGTAGTAATGTCTTTGGTCGGGGCGCCTTACGCAGCAGAAACTTGAGCTGCAGCTCGGTTTGAATAGTTAGCCTCTGGGTAAGTCATGATAGGATGATCCGGTTTCCATACCGGGCACATGGGTGGTCCCACCTAGGTAAGCATAACTACGACAGACTAGAAGGCCAAAACGTGGTTAGTCCAGCCAAGTACGTTTGTCAACCCTTCCTCTTTCAAAGATCTTATTATCCTATATATCAATTTTCTTTTTCTTTTTACGAAATTCCATGAGTGAAGTCGCCGTTCTCACCGCCACGGCCACGTAGTTCTTTAGGCGCATGGCGGATCTACTTCCGGCGGAGCCTATTTCCTGATACTTCCTTCTTGCAGCATACCATAGCCCGTTCATTTAATAGGATTCAAATAAATCAGACTGGAAATCATTCCAGAACGAAAGATGACCCGCTAGCCTCCGTGGTGGCCCATCAGACCGTTTCCCGCCCTGAAGGCCCGTCGACAAGTCAATCAATCTATTTTAGCGGTATCAGATGCTCCACACCACCATCGCCAGCACGTCGATCATGCTCTCCATCAACTGTCGCCTGCCTACCATTGCCCCTTAACCCTCAAGCTCCGTACGGGTGTACTTCGTATACAATGGATTTCCGCCCCCATCTGCGAGTCAGTCCCGTCTCGTCCCGTCCCGCTCATATCTCTCCGGTCCAAAATTACAAAGCTACCCTTGAGCTTAAACCGTACCTATGCTAGAAGTAGAAACACCCTGACCTTTTTGACGAGACTATGCATAAGTAACATGATTCCGAAGTTCACTTTTCACTTTTCAATAAAAACCCCTTTTCATGAAACACCGTAAATACTTTGTAACCCGTTTCACCCGCTTTTTTATAATCATCTATGGCTTTTAGCGGTGAAACATCGATTCCACCTCAAATCCCATGTCAAGCATCCACTATGTAGTAGTCAGCGCTGTTGATTCTAAGCACCATTCACGGTCGGGGTAGTGATCACAATCTGCAGCATATGGAACTCGCTTCCGAAGCTCACATCGCTCGGGCTTCTTCTCACGGGAACTTGTGATGGCTTCGTGGACTAGGGTAGGTCAAGAATTTGTAGTCAGTACGGTAGCACGATAGACTGGCGGTATGGGGGATGGACATTGTGTAAAGAGGAAATATTCACCTGGAGCCCGACGCCAGTCACTATCCTCCCCAGACTGCTCTTGAGTGCCCGTCTGCTCCAGACCAGACGCTGGGTCACCTTCCTGGGAGCTAATCACAGCATTGGCCTTCCCAGATTCAAATATTTTGAGACACGCAGGGCAAAGCTTGTCAGATGAACTGGCCATTGTAACAGAATGGTTTATTTTGTCGCGAACCTTATGATTGAGAGAACAAAAAATGTGTAACAGGCAAAGGAGCTCGTTCTTGGGGAGTCGAGCTTTTTAAAGCTCCCTGGTCGACTTGGCTAACTACTTCAAGCATGACCTGAACTGTAATAACTCTATGCAGACAGGTCACTATGTGGCCTCTTCTTTGGCGGCAGTGCAAAAACACCCCTTTGCACACAGACTAAACAGTCATCGAATTGATATCCAGTAACCATTCACCACTTCTGGGCTAGCGTAGTCCTACGAGGGCACACACTGGTGCTGAAACGGCCACGAGGGAGTTATCCATCAGAGCAGGGCAGATACATCTATCATAGATAAAATTATATTTCGAATACTCTTGATTGGATCCCAGAAGCCCCCCGGTGGCTGGGCGAATTGCATAACTAGAGTCTTTTATCATAATAATTGGGATTCCTATGGGAGTTCAGGTACATGCCCACCATTTCGAGCTAGATTTCTGAGCGCTCCCATTGGGGGCATCTACTCCGTTACGTGTCGATCATTTATAGTCCTCTTCTCCCCGTGGAGGTGCGCTAAGGCCCAGTACGGAGGACCGGGTCCAAGCCCTATCTGCAGATTCGTACCCACTGGGTTATTTTATCCTCATGCGAGGCGAGCTACTCCTTTCCTTTTCGTTCGGAGGGGCTAGCATCACATCAAAGAAAAGGGGGAGCGTTGTAACTCGGTATCGCAATGCTGGCCTTCCAATATCGATGCCTGGCTTCCAAGGCGTTTAGGATGTATCTCAGATGACCCGGCATGTCTGTGCTGTGTTTCCAAGACTTTCTATCAGGTTCCCCGGATATCATAGATTAGGATTTTCATGGTTGCCCACTCGTCCGGGAGATTTTCTCTAGTGGAGACCCTAATGGCTTAGACTCCAGCGCCATTTAGTCCAGCTGACGAGATTAGTGTGGCAAAGCCCTAACCTTGGCAATGCTGGCAGACTGGTGGATGAATCGTGGTATCTTGTATTGAATTGCCTTGTTTCATCCTTTGTCCTTTTCGTCAGGAGTCAGTCCCCATCTCTTCCCTTCTCAGGTGGGAATTAACCCTGCTCGCCCGGCATATCGAGTTCACTGCCGAAAGAGGTAAGAGGGTAAGAGGGTGTGGCCCCGACGAGGCTAACCAACCCCGAAAAGAAAACAACAGAAAACTCTGACTGACCCCTGCACTCCGTAAACTCGAGAATAAGCGGCTCCGTGGTACGTATTCTACATGGTAAGCGTAGGAACTGTAGGGGCTGTACACGGTGTTCGGCGCTTGTTGTAACTTAGCGTTCCCCTTCCGGCCCCATTATTCCCCATACCAGCCTTTAATTTGTTCTGACTTTTTCTGTTCTCCATCGTTATACTATATTTGTTTCTTAGGTTTCCACCATTTGCGGAGATTACCAGGGAGTAATGCCGTGAGACGTTATCAAGACGTGATCATTTTCAAGGGAGTGTACGAAGGCTGCGTTGTCGCCGCATATGCGGAGCATCTGTATAGAGGATATTCGGTGCGAACCTCTGGGAGACTACTTTCAGTCCTACATCCTATTACTAGTGAATATCTCCTTACTACACATCTTCCTTTGAAACCACAAGGAGTTTGGGTAAATCAAGTTCCGAAATCTAGGTCTACCTTGAGACTAACAAAATGTTCTATCCAAAGTTGATATTCCTCCCCCAAACATCGTGAGAAGCATCCATTTCTCAAGTCCCACGTTCAAATGAACTCGTATACCGCAACGCCTTCTTCCATTCCAGCATGCTAGACATGCAATGACGATGACGCCTTACGCAAAAGTAACGCCAGGCCGAGATACCGATAATAACAAAATACCCGCTAATTGCATAACGATGCATCAACTCGTAGCTTTTCAAAAAGCAGAAGAGAGATATACTTATTGCTGAGGAGCTCGAGGAGGTTGCTGCTGTGGCTGTGGCTGACCTGGTGCACCATCTGCCATTCGAGGCCGCTTCGGGTCATTCGGACCAGCAGGTGGAGGTGCAGTGGTGGGATTCGTGCCAGGTGAAGTATTGGCATTGGTAACGTCGCTCAAAGGCGGACGCTTGCCGTTCAGATTTTGCGGCGGGACGCTGGCCCCTCGGGTCACTGGGCCTGAGTGGGTGGCGTTCTTCGGATCGATACTTGGCCGGGTCAAAGGTTTAAAGGACGAAACGGACGGGCCTCGAGATAATGGGCTGCCGAATCCGCCTGGTGATGCTCCTGCGCCGCCAACTCGGTGCTGCAGACTCGTTGCAGGGTTGGTAAAGTCGCGAGAACGTCCTTTCTCTGGGGCGGGTGAGACGCCGTTTCCACTTCTCATTACCGCGACTGTCTTTGTGTGATCGATTCCTGCGGTTTTTCGAATAGATGGGCTCTCTGCGTGAGGGTCAAATTGTGATCCGGGTACTGGCGCTGCGTTGGGATTATCACGCAGCTGATCGGCCGCTCGGGCGGAGAAAAATCCCACTGTTTGAGGGGGTGGAGGCTGGTTCGAGTTGTCTTGATTGAAGGCTGGGCCGGGCTCTCTTTTGATCGGAGGTTGTGCGTTGGCATTCGGTTGAGGTTGAGGTGGACCCGTCGGTCTGGCACTGAGCATGTTATGTGGCTGACCTGGAGCAGCCATCGGTCGTCTTTGATCGGCCATAGATGATAGGTTCTGTCGCGCGTTTGGAGGTAACGATTGCCTTGCGGCGGGATTATTTGTGCCGCTCCATCTCTCAGGTTTTGAAGGGGTCACGGCATTGGAGTCAAATCGGCCCGGGGGTGGTGCTCGTTGAGGGAATGGACGGTTCATGGGAGTTGGTGGTTGCTGATCTGTTTCTATCACAATCTCATCGGGATTGCCCGTATTCGTCACCACGAAGTCGGCTTCGTCAAAAAGATCGCCTGTCTTTGGTCAGAAATGCTCAAGGGAAATCGATCGGCCACACGTACTGCCAAATTCACCATCGCCATCAAATGCAGTAGTATGACTAGGAGCACTGCTTCTCGCAGGCTCAGCGGGGCGTGGAAGAGGCAAGTCATCATCCTCCATTACTCTGTTATTCGGGGCTTGTTCTTTTTTGATTGGTGCGAAATCCGGATGTCGATGGAGGTCATTAACATCCCATCTGGCCTGTCCAGGGTTTAGCAGGGACGACACTTCTTCGGGACGACGGGTGAAACACTCACAGGCGCAGTCTTTATCTTGGTGACCTTGGAAAGGTAATCTTTGTCATAAACACAATTTCCCAAAACATTTCCAAAGTTCCTCAGGGCACGTTTCAAGGCATCTGTCGTCCCCTCTTTCTTGGATTTCTCGAATGCGGCTGCTTTGCCCTTGCAATTCTCGATATGACCGTAGCCAATATCCTGGCAAACAACCCGTCAGCCGGTGTTTCCGAGTATCTTTGTATAAAAATTGGGGTTTCTTACCTCGTGAAAAGACCCATCTTTGAGCGTAACCCTCACAATAACTGATAAACCAAGATTAACCTTCCCCGTGTTTTCATTCTCGTCAACCTAATCGACAGACGTTAGCCGTTAATCCGTTAACGACATTCAACCACAATACAACTCACAAAATCAATATCAACCCTCTGAATCGAGCTCGACCAGCCATTAAACCCAAACACTTCGTTTGCAAGGTTAATGCATTTATCCGCCGACAGATAATGCACTTTCTGGCCCGCGGCACCAGGTCGCGCGGAGATGTATTCGGGTCCAAGTTTCCTATCCAGTCGTGCTTGGAGGGTGGCAATTTGCATGGCAGTGTACTCGCTCATCCGGCGTTCGGGTTCCTCGAAGGGGTTCGTAATGACGGGACCTGCTCCATTGGGCATGTTAATGGCAGTGGGTCCGCCGCGATGTTGATCGCCGACACTGGGAGATGCGCGATCAGTTAGCGATTCCATGGTATCATTGATTTTGATGATTGGCGGCTGGATACTCACGCTGGCATATTTTGTGGGTGTTGTTGTGTGTTTGGATGGTGGTGATGAAAGCGTGTCTGGCGCGTCTTACTCCTCGCGCGATCGATCGCGATATCACGTGCTGATAGTGACTGATAAGCTAGGCAGCCGGCTGGCAACAGCAGAGCCTCATACGAGTTGGTTGTGGTTATTTTACTGAATTTGATGGATTTTACTGATTCTTGTTGCTGGGTCTATCAGGAAGCGTAGTTTCTCATATTCTTTAGCAAGACTTGGCTCGCTTTATATTCGCATTTAATGCTTAACACGCTCCGCTACCTCATAATTCATTCCTGGCAAGTGATATCTGCGCCAAGGTCCTCAATAGAACTGCGAGCACGCTATTGGACAACGAGACTAGCGCTAGGCACCAGACCAAGCTCCTTCAACGTCTCCCCAAAGAACTCGGCATCGAAAACCTTCCTGGGGAAGTTTTGGGTGAAGCTTTGAACCTCGAGGCCGTCATCTTGCTTAAGGGCCGCAACAACCTCGAACAGAGTCGTGGTAACGGGCAGTGTCTTCATGATATTGCCCTTGGGAGTCTGGAAGCGCAGACGAGTCTCGGTATATGCAGAGGCAGGCTTGGATGTAGCAGGGCCAGGAGCAGCGGGCGCAGCAGCAACAGGAGCTTGAGGAACGGCTACACCTGCACGTTCAGCACGTTCGCGCTCAGCCTTCCGGCGGCGTTCTTCCTTGTCGGCTTCGATCTGGGCCTTGACGCGCAACAGGTGTGCCCTGTCGTCCAATTTCTCCTGTCTCTTCTTCGCTTCCTCCTTCTGCCTCTGCTTCTTCTCCAATGCTTCCTTCACATCCTGATTCTCCTGTGTGTTCTTGCGACGGATGTTCTACCAATAGATCAGCCAATGCCCACTAATCCTCCAGTGTAACACCTACCTCATTCTGTCGCTGCTCAATCTTGTCCTGTTCAGCTTGGGCAGCCCGCTTAGCGGCGAGCTTCTGTCTCAACTCCTCCAACCGTTCCTTCTTCTGTTCTTCGGTCAAGGGTGCAAGCTCTTCGGTAGACTCGGAGAAGTCGGTGTGCTCGGTCTTGGAGGCGTGGAACTCGGCCTGCGCCTGGCTTCGGAATTTCTTGCCACACTCGTTGCAGACCAAGCTGCGGGCTTCCTCGCCAGGTTTCAGAGCAGGTGCCTCCTCATCCTCGGCTTGTTGTGATTCCTGAATCTCCTCCAGGGACTTGTCCTGGTTCTCCTCCAGCCACTCGAGCGCCCCTTGCACTATCCACGTTGTTAGGAGCGACGTAAGGAAAGACCATGAGGGATGAAAACTTACGACCACCAGTGCTTTTGACTGCCAGTTGTGCCCTCTCCTTGTCAAAGCCCATCTCGATGAGCTGATCCAGATCGGAAGCCATGGTTTGTGGTGCTGATGACAACGGCGCGGGGAAGGATGGTGTGATTGAGGAGTGGTTGCTCTGAAGCTCTGGATATAGCACCAATATTTGGATATACCAAGAGGGACGATGGTTTCGGTGATAAAGAGAAAGAAAAAGTGGTGTTCAAACCCGGCAATGGTGGATGAGAGATGGTGGTGGGTACGAGCTGGAGCTTCTGGGTGACGTATCGCGAAGGCGGCGAGCGATAAGTGCGGGCCTGCTCCCCACCTTTAAAGCGTTCCTGGGCAACTGCCAGTAATATACCTATAGAGCGATATCATAGACCCAACTGCCAAAGATCAATGTAATTAAATCTATACATCTTTTGAAATATGAATATATATACCGGTCAATCTTCCCATGTATCTATATTTAACTTTATGCAAGTTGTCGGTGACGATATGTTTCTGTGCGCTTTAACATTTGGATCTAGCACCAGGCTGTGATGTTTGCCCTGCCAAGCGTTGAGTATAAACAGGGTCCATCCTTCACATTTAACCTGCTACTAATAAAACCGGGGCATGGAGAAGGTTCATGCGGGCAGTAGTGAGCCTCTGTCAGCAGCATGTGCTACCCCGATACTAGTAACTAGTTAAACAAGACAGTACGACTTAGTAGCCGTACTGGGCCCTCCTCGATATATAAAGCTTGAGCTTTAACGGTGGCCAATGCTTGGAAGAAAGATTTGATTCTGCTCAATATCGTCTAGTTTCCTGGCATACCATTTGATCTAGATTAATCGTGTGGGAACTCCTCGTGATTGTTAATCGGCACGTCCCCACAACAGACAACATCACATGCAGTGATCACATTGGATTAGCTTCCTTGCATCCCGAGGATAGAGAGTTCTGCACACCGAGGCAGTACCACATATGCCAGAATACAGTATATTGTAGCCAATTTTTTTAGATTTCCCCACTAGGAAAGGATCGAGACTCTGTAGATCGAAATAAACGTCTTCTTGTTAAGATATGGTGACATCACCTGACTGCTGAGTCAGCGATATCCCCAAACTGGACAATAATCAACTCCTGAGGCGCAGACTCCCTTGACAAGATAACCTCCCCTCACTTTTTCGAGACCGCAATCGCAACCTCGTCGCGGCAACCTCTGATCCCGTGGAATACTCAGCTTGACTTTTCTTCCCCTTCTCCACGCCCTTACGATCACCATGTCTATCGAACTCGATCCCCCCGAGCTGGGCTTCAAGCGTGAGTGCCCGGAACTTGGCAACCTAGTCCGGCGCAAGACACTGACTGATTTTCTGAGATGTATAGGGCCTTTCAACCAGGAAGTATGCCAGATTCTTCACCTGCGCAATCCCACCCAGGAGCCTATGGTCTTCAAGGTACGCCGAGTCACTTTTGTCGAGTATTGGTCAGGCACGGCCCGCGGCTAACACGGATCTCTTTTGTTGTGCGACAGGTCAAGACTACTGCCCCGAAGCAGTATGTGCTATTCGCTACCTCCCGTATGCAATTCTGCGAGCATCCCGATTACTGACATGCGCTAGCTACTGTGTCCGCCCCAACTCCGGCCGTATCGAGCCCGGCAAGCAAGTTGATGTCCAAGGTTCGAGATCCGCCTCCGATAAGCGCCAAGAGCTGCGAAATTGACTTGATGGAATAAATAGTCCTGCTGCAAGCTATGAAGGAGGAGCCCGCTGCCGATCAGAAGTGCAAGGACAAGTTCCTGGTCCAGTCTGTTGCGGTCACCGGTGGTGATATGGAATATTCGAACGTTACCTCCATCGTACGTTATCTTCGCAACCGGGAAACACAGGAATTTGACTAATCGGATGGAAAACAACAGTTCGAGAAGGCGTCCAAGTCTGCAGTTATTGAGCGCAAGATCCGCGTGACCTGGCTACCAGCTGATTCTGCTGCGTCGCAACAGTCCCAGGCCAACGACTCGGTAAGTAGCTTCGCATACTTCCCATGCCTCGCGCGCTCCCTCTAACAATCATCTAGGTATTGGAGGATGAACCCCCTGCATACACTTCCCCCGGTGGTAACTACGAGACCCCCGCCGTCGGTCTTGCGAAAAAGAGCCCTGTCGAGCAGCCATCTCCAATCCCCGCCCCCGACTTCTCCGAGAAGTCCATCCAGCCCGAGTCCCCCCAGCCCACCGAGTCTAGCTCCTCCTTTGCCAACGCCAAAGCCGCCGTGACCAGCGCCTTCCCCTCCAGCGATGAATTGAAGAGCCAGCTCGCCGACGCCAACGCACAGATCCAACGGCTCAAGGACCGACTCGCAGATCAGGGTTTGCGCCAGCGGAAGACTGGCGGCGAGGCGCCGGCCGCCCCTGCAACGATGCAGCAGTCACACGGACAGACCGAGTCTGGAGTCTCCGTTCAAGCCGTTGCTGGGCTGTGCCTAATCAGCTTCTTGATCGCCTACTTCTTCTTTTAGACTCGTTGCGTGGATGGACCATGCCTGCGTGGTTTCCATTGTGTTTACGAACCCGATCACGTCTCAACGCCTTTCTCCCGCTTCTCAATCCCCTCCGAGCCTCATCTCTTTTCCCGTGTCTCTCGAAGAGTCTGCCGTTTTGATTCTAGCATCAGCCTTCTTGTCCTTTGTCCTCCTTTTTCCTTGTCCCCTTTTCCTTTTCTCTCACATGGTATCCATACCTCTCTTGTTCTTTTACCCGGTCTCGTGTGTGGCTCTCGACGAGTTCGAAGCCCCTTGGTCCCATTCGGTTCTGCCCCCTGACTTTTTCCTTACATTTCCTCTCTTGTCTAATATCTTATGATGAACGGACTAAGTGCTTCGATTCTCTCTCGTGTCATAAACGATAGTCGAACCTTGGAAGATAATCCATACCTTTGCTTCCATATGTACTTGCACTGTAGTTGTCTTCGCATAGAAGGATGCCGGGCTGATGAAGGCTATACTTCTGTTATGCTTCTAGACTGGTTACTTTGATATAGATCTACCGCGACGTTCTGCCTCTGTCGAATATCAAGCGTTCTGGCTCGGTAATTCACCGCGGACTATATAAACTCAACAAAGCTCCAACAGGGCAATCGTAACTTGGAAATAAAAAAAACATTTTGATTCGAGTCTACTGTCATAAAATCTCAGCTTGAGACCCGTGAAATACACGCATCCAGTTAACACTGAATCTCACTCTCCTTCCACCCATCACCCTCCTCACCAGCCGGACCCGCCGACTCAGCCGAGATACCCTCACCACCACGTCCATTCGAGGTCTTCCCAGAACCCCCACCGCCAACAACACGTCCACCCTGAGCACGCTTCACCCGACACCACGGGCCAACATCCTTATCCAGGATAAATGTCCAAATAACCCACACCCAGCTCCGATGGCAAGGCAACGGCTCATAGAACTCCTTCGCAATCTCGTGCAACTTATGCAACTTCGTCCAGGGGATAGCAGGGAAATCATGATGCTCATTGTGCAAGCCCACGTTATACGTGAGGATATTCAACGGGCCGTAATACGAGTACGTCTCCGGCGGAGCGAGACCGCTCAGAGGATGCGACGCATCGATCTTAGCACCAGGCTTTTGCTTAAGTTGCGCGAGGGACTCGGTGCCGCCGGTTTTCACGTTCGAGAAGAAGTAGTGCTCGGCGATGAAGTGGCCTGCGCAGGGGTGTAGGGATCCGGCGAGGAAGGAGCTTGCGATGAAGTAGTAGAATGGTTGGAGCGAGCCCGTGAAGCGGGTTAGGGCGTAGTCGAAAGATAGTTGGACTGTTAGGTTTAGGAGGTGGATTGAGGTGAAGGGTGGGCTGTAGATGAACATTGGGCGGACGGCGTAAAAGAGGATTTGGAAGGTGCAGAAGAATGTTTTGCCAAGGAGGGAGTTTAGGAAGAAGGCTTCTAAGGCGGTTGGGAGGTCGGTGTCTAGACCGGTTACGCCGAGGGATTTGTGGTGGGTGAGGTGGTAGGGCTGTTGTAGGGTTGTATGTTAGTATATCTGTTGAGTTGTGGATGTCCCCGGAGTAAGGAGATTGAGTGCTCACCCGGAAAGCAGCACTGTATGGCAGTCCGATAGGGAGGTTTGCGAAGATGGCTAGCACACGGTTGGCCAGGGGGGACCGGAAGGCCAAATTGTGGGAGATCTCATGGATAGCGAGGAATAGGTTCTGGTTCGCCGTAGCTCCAACCACGTATGCCGTAGCCAGGAAGCGCCAGTCAAGGATGGAGGTATTGCGGAGGAGATACGCGCAAGTCAATTGAATAGACACGACGAGGAGAACGACCCATTTTGTCAGGGGCTCTGGACCACAGAGTTTGGTGACCTGAAAGTCAAAAATAGAGGTTAGCAATTGCGGTTCAGGAACGGTGGTAAGGTACCAGGGAAACAATGGTGCTACCTCCGCAACCGCGGGCTGGAAGACTCCCAAGCCAGGGGTTAGGGGGTCTCAAACGATCTTGATAGATACCGACATACCTCTGGATGAGCCTTGATAATTGCTTGTCGCCTGGAGCGGTGTGGCTCCTCTGTGTATGTCCAAAAGAAGTGGTCTTCGACCGAGGAGGTCTCCGGCGGCGTGATTCTGGCGGAGGGGGCTTCCGTGGCCGCAGCGGACGACGCCTTGGCTGCGGACACCCGGAGATGCGGCGAGGCGGTTTCGACGACCGAAGGCATGGTTAACTAGTGTTAACGAAGGACTAACGAGAGTGATGGACGAGGAGTGTCGACATGGAGGAAATGCGCGGCCTAGAAAAGGCGGAAGACACTCCACGTGGGGCGACACGGGAGAGTTGGATGGTCCGATGGGCTTGGCTTAGTTATCATACACTCCAGGGGCGATAAGGGTTACTGTGCCATTGTAGGACATGGTAGCATCTGGAAAGGAAAACTTAGTGAATTAATGGTAGAGAGACGTGAATTAGATTGTACAATTTCTGCTCACAAACTAAAATCTAGTAAATGGGACTGAACTACAAGGTTAAGTGTTATCGATAACGAGCGCATACAAGTTCGGACGATATACATCACCACCACAATCTCCATCTATATCCTCCGTCTTGATATTTTTCATTCTAAGTAACACAAACCAAATGAGCCCTCACTCTAAATCCTAATTAGCATCGTTTTTATGTCTGCTGGCAATCGAAATGAGAACAGCTGACGATATCGGTACGACAAAGATTAAACGGAGTAGATAATGATCAAGAGCTCATTTGAAAATTGTAACTTCATGATTTGACCTGGGTCTAGTATCTAGTCTATCAACTGCCTAGTGCTTTGGAGAAGCTCAAAAAGGTCGTAGAATGAAAGGTAACATAGACGGATCGACCTCCGAAACCCCAAATGCGAAGCTGGTCATTGGCACCGTCTACGGCAGACGTAAAGGAATGCTTTACCCCCGGTTCAGAAGAGTCAAAAACTCTTCTCTGGTCCGTGCATCAGATCGCATGCATCCAAGCATACAACTGGTGGTTGTCGTGCTGGTAACCTTCTCTACCCCGCGCATAACCATGCAAAGATGCGAGGACTCCATAACAACCCCAACGCCCTGCGGTTTCAGTACCTCGGAGATCGAAAGAGCAATCTGCTTGGTCAGGCGCTCTTGGACCTGGAGTCTGCGTGAGAATACCTCGGCTAGTCGGGCAAGTTTGGAAAGACCAATTACCCGGCCATTAGGAATGTAACCGATATGTATCTACCTCATCTCGTCAATATAGTGCAGCAAAGATGCATAGAAAAGACTGTACTTTTCCAGTGAAAGGGACCATGTGATGCTCACAAAGGGAAGAAACATCGATGTCTTTCACAATGACCAATTCATCGTAATTCTCATGGAAAACAGCTCCATTGAGCAGGTCTTGGAGATTCTCCTGGTAACCCTTGGTAAAAAAGAGCATAGCCTTGGCGTATCGCTCCGGAGTCTGAAGGAGTCCTTCTCGATTTGGATCTTCACCAATACACTCAAGAATAGTTCGCACGGCTCCTTTGAGCTTCTGCATTCGATCTGTGTGTTCTTCCGGGATTGATTCTAACCGCTTTTGTGTACCGGAACCTAGTACGTACAGTTTAGTATGGAGACTCTGCACTTAAGAAACATTCTGGGTATCTTACATGGCCGACTGAGACTGTCAAGGTCAACTGGCGATGTTTGGGTACTGGGAGTAGCGAGGAGGCTAGAAGTTGGAATGGTTGTTGGATGAACATGATCCCCAGAGTCATCTGGTGCACTCGAGGTAAGCCGACTCATGCTCATGATTTGGAGATATGGGAAGGCAGTAGATGATGATAATGTACCAGGATCAATTGAGACAGGAAATCAAGGATCTTTTTTCAAGTAGCCTGGTACCTGGCGGTTTTAATGAGCAGGATGAGAAGGCCACAAAATGAGAATAGGAGAAGAAAAAAGGTGCTTTATGTACATGATGAACATGAAGAAAAAATCAGTCTTTGTCTGCCTGGACAATCAGAATGATAATTGCTGTGCATTCAAGCTAGGCCTAGACAGAAGATCGGACTTCCAGAAACTACTACGAGAGACGTCAAAGGGAGGAGGTAAGTTCTGGAATTGACGAATGATGGCAAAAATACAGAGAGACGCGATAGAATCAAACTTCGAGTAAATACAATCTCTACACCAACACAGGTAATGTTTGTTTGTTTAATTGATTGTATAAAAGGTTCTATGATACTCGAATCTTTACCTTTCCTATCGGGACTTTCCGCAGACGGAACTTCCCAACATATCATGTTATGAAGCCCTGTCAAACTTGCATCAGAATACCATCCTCACCTCCCACTTCTCTTGTCGACACATTTCATTCGCCGGTTGACTCCCTCATCTGAATCTATTCCCCATCACTCAACCACCATATCAAATCAACATGACCACCCTCCAGTCCCTCAAGCAGGCCCTGAGACAGGAGGCCGAGAGAATCGAAACGGTCTCCTCCATAAGAGAACCTCTCACCGACGAGGAGTACAGTATCGGCTTCGAAATCTTGCTGCGAGACTCAGGATGGATCACGTATCGAGACTTCGTCGTACCCCATCTCACTCAACTGTTGACCCCCATCTTGACATCGCATACTCGGATCTCAGTGCTGGAAATCGGACCTGGCCCAAGGAGCGTCCTTGGACAACTTCCTCTCGTTCTGAGACGGACAGTCGGAAAATATGCTGCTTACGAACCCAACGCGCTCTTTGCTACAAGAATGAAAGAAAGTCTTTCCTCATCCTCGGGTATGGAGTCTCCGCTGCCCTGCCTCGAGATCCCGCCTATCATTCATCAAAGACCGTTCAATCTGCACGAGAGTGAGTCTCATGCCGAGAAATTCGATGTCATCCTGTTCTGCCATAGCATGTATGGCATGAATTCAAAGGCCAAGGTCATTGAACGTGCACTCGAAATGCTCGTTCAGCGGCCAGAATACGGAATAGTCGTGGTTTTTCACCGCGATATTTCACTGAAATTTGACGGACTTGCCTGCTATCTAACAGCTTCTTTCTCAACTGGAGCTGTCTGCGTGGCCGATGATGACCTTGAATTGGACCGCTTCGCTCCTTTCGTGGCTGGGTTCACGCTACAGGATATCTGCAAGTACGAGAATCTTCGATTCGCATGGCGAAAGGTGTGCCGTACCCTCGGTCGACGTGACGAAGCCTACCTGGGTCACCTCTTCTTTGGATCTCCTGATATCATGACAGTGTTCACCAGATACTCCACTTCATTGCCAGATTTGGCGGCACAGGTGCCGTTACTGAAAGGGGAGCTGGTTGTTAAAAACCGCGAGGCTCTTTCTCACCGTCCTGCCTGTATTGTCAGACCGACGAAGATTCAACATATTCAGCAGTGCGTTCTATGGGCTCTCATGAACCACGTTGGCTTGACCGTCATTGGCGGAGGCCATAGCGGACACTGCAGGCAGCCCAACGTCGTTGCGGTCGACATGAGTGCCTTTGACAAAGTTCACATTGTCGCAGCCGGAGATGACAAAAAAGATCCCACCTCTAAGTTGGGTCCCTTGGTCATCGCCGAGGCCGGCTGTAAGGCCGGGGGTATTGTCCGCGAATCAATGGCAGCAGGGTTTACAGTGCCTCTAGGGTCCCGCCCCAGCGTCGGTGCAGGCCTATGGCTACAAGGTGGCATCGGGCATCTGGCCAGGCTTTACGGACTCTCCTGTGATGCCATTGTCGGTGCCATTATCGTCAGCGTCAAAAATGGCCGACTCCTGTGTGTTGGCCATGTACCAGCCCAGCACAGGCCGGCGGGAGCCATGTGTCCCGAATACGAAGCCGACCTGCTATGGGCCATCAAAGGTGCCGGAACCAACTTTGGTATCGTCGTCAGCGTTGTGTTTAAAGCGTACCCAGCTACCACCCACGGAGTACGCAACTGGGTCATCCCGCTAATGAATGATAATGATGCACGTTTCAAGATCAACTACTATGACCTCTACGCCGCCCAGCGACTCCCTGCGAATTGCTCTGTGGACATGTTTATCTACCAGGAAGAAGACCAGATGAGATTGGGGGTTACATTGTTCGAGAATCCCACGGCAGAGGTTAACCCAATGACCGCTACCATACGTACAGTCTTGGGATCCGAAAGGAGTTTCAAGGCTGTGGATGATATGGGTTTGTTCGAGACCGATATGTACATGTCCGAGATGCATGGTGGACACGGTGGAAACAAGATGTCCTCGTTCAAAAGATGTATCTTCTTGAAAGATATCGGCTATTCACCAGTCGTTAATTTGCTGATCAAGACCATGAAAACTCGGCCCACATCACTCTGCTATCTACATCTCCTCCACGGCGGTGGAGCAGTACGCAATGTAGCAGCTGATGCCAATGCTTTTGGCTACCGACAATGGGAATTTGCTTGTGTGATCACTGGAATCTGGCCCCGCGGTGAAGATGGAACTGAACTCGCTCATAATGTGAAGGAGTGGGTGTACAAGGTCGCCGAGGAGTTGTTACCATTCAGCTGGGGAATCTACAGCGCAGACCTCGGGCCTGGGCCTCGAGACGCAGCGTTGGCGTCTCGGGCTTTCGGCCCTAACTACCCACGCCTAGTCCAGCTCAAACAAATCTTCGATCCGCATAATGTGCTCGCTGATGCCTGTCCCCTTCGACAAATCCCAGCAACGCAGAAGCTCATAATCCTGGTGACCGGTGAAAATGGTGTTGGCAAAGATTATTGCGCAAATACCTGGGCCTCAGTTTTTAATACAAACTATGGAAACCACGTCGTTGCCCGCACAGTCTGCATCAGCGATGTGACTAAGAGAGAATACGCAGCAATGCACCCCGATGTCAATCTGGCACGTCTGCTTCATGATCGTGATTACAAAGAGCAACATCGGCCGGCGATGACGGCATTTTTCGACGCTCAGGTGGCCTGTCGACCTCGCATGCTTGAAGAACATTTCCTGGCGGTGGTACGCGAAGCTATGTCTGTGGATGTCCTGTTTATTACAGGAATGAGAGAGAAGGGGCCCCTCGTGACCTATTCTCATCTAGTCCCTGAGCACAGACTCATCGAGGTTCGCGTTCAGGCAAGCCCACAGACCTTACGGGCTCGTCGAGACTATTACGGTGCTGATGGTCGTGACAACGACAAGCAAGCCACGTCCGGATATTGCCCAACCATTGTCTTCAAAAATGAAGCGCCCGGCATTGAGCCGGTGCGACACTTTGGAGTGTGCTATTTGCTTCCCCTCGTTAGTGAGGACATCCAGCGTCTGGCTAAAATGGTGCGCCCCGTCCCAGACTTTCCACGTCCCCATATGACCTTCCAACATGTGCTCGGCATTGCAAAGCACCCGCAGGGCTTGGAAGTGTGTACACGCTTACTAGCAAGCCTCCTAATTGGTGGCTGGATTACTGTCAGTGCCATAGCGTGTTGCGAGACTGGGGGCTTTACATTTGCCTCGCCATTAGCAGAGAAGGTTAAAAAGCCAATTGCTTTCATTCGTGAAGCTGGCAAGCTTCCCCCGCCAACGATTTCCGTCACCAAGTCTACATCGCATATCTCAGCTTCAACGTCTAGCAGTTCAAAGGATAAAGTTATCGAAATGGAAATGTACTCAATTCCTAGAGGTTCTTTGGTGGTGGTTGTGGATGATGTGCTTGCGACAGGCCATACTCTTTGCGCGGTGCTGGAGCTCTTGAGCAATGCTGGCATTCGCCCGCAGGATACCGTCGTTTTGGTTGTTGCTGAGTTCCCTGCTCATCGTGGTCGGGAACTGTTGTACGAGCGTGGGTTTGGCGCGGTCAATATTAGGAGTCTTCTGGTTTTTGATGGAGTTTGATTGAAGAACAAGAGCAGTTAGAATTTTGTGTGACTGAATTGAATGTTGATTATTGTCCGTGTTTTATCTCGAGGCTAACATGTATTATCTGAGTGCTTGTGGAATGTACTGAAAATTTAGCTCCGAATTGCACAGTAATTTAATACTTAATTGTGGCGAATGATTCATTATCTCCAAATAGATTGAGATTCGATAAGGTTGACGAGGGCAGCTAGTTATAGTTGTGTTCTACCAATACACCGGATTTGACTGATGGATTGAGTAGGTTATGCATCCTCTTGAGAGTCAAGAAAGAGCCACTAGGATCTATTATCTCTGGTATATCATCTTCGGCATATCCAGCTGGGTGGGAGGGCAGAGACCAGTCGTGATAATGACAAGAATTCAATCTTGGGCTCGTATCAATTTGATACAAGGAGAACAAAATATTCACAGCGTGCTGCTTGAGCTACAAGTAACACATAGACAGATCAAGATCTTTGTCTCGAATGCCCGTGGCACCAAATAACGTTTCCCAGCAACATTCTTTATTCAATAGAGCATGACTGGTTAACAGACTACGCCGCTATATCTGCAGTGGGACCCCTCCTTTTCACACGAACAGGCATACCATCCTTTGGATGATTTGTCAACTCATTTGTGGTCACTGCCTGGTACGCCGGCTCGCCGAAAAGCCGGGTCGCATCCGCCGCATAGGCAGGTTCAATGTCCAACTCCCTCAGCGTCAACACCAGCATAAGCCTAAGCTCGAGCAGGGCTAACTCCTGTCCGATACAATTTCTCGGTCCCTGCTCGAATGGCCTCCACGCCAGCTTCCTATTGTTGACGCTGCTATCGTCCTCGACTAGCCACCGGTCAGGGAGGAAGTCGTTTGGTCGATCCCAATATTGTGGAAGTCTCTGCGACGCATTGGATGTGGACAGGAGAATGAATCCTTCAGTCGCGAACCGCTGACCAGTCTCGGGATGCACTAAGTGCAGATTGCGAGATCCAGAGCGGGTGGACGCAAGGGGCGGGTAGAGTCGGAGGACCTCCTTGATGACCGCAGCTGTGTATGGCAGTCTGTGAAGTACGGATGGGTCCCTGGAGATCATGGCAGCGGCTTCAGTTGGGTCAGCGCCGAGCAATTGATCGTGTTCCTTGCGTACACGGTTGGCTACGTCTGGATTGCCGTGGAGGCAGTAGTATGCATAACACAGTGTACTCGCTGTAGTGTCGTGGCCTGCAATGAGGAAGATTTCGATATGTGCAAGGGTAACAGAAAGGAATTCTTCGTCAACGGCCTGGTCTATAGATGCAGAGTCCACGGTACGCCCTGTTTCTTTCAAATGGGCCTCAATGGCGAGTCGGCTCATTGTCTGGGGACTTCCAGCGTGGGCTGTCTCAACCATCTGTCTTTTCAAGATTGGAATGATCTCATTACGTAGGATCCAATTATTTCTCCAGAGGGCGAGGCGGCGCAAAGGGTGGTTCTGTCGGTGGAATGGATTGGGACCGTCTGCGATTGATATCCACCCAAGCTGGTCCTTCAAGGCTTTATACAAGCGACTATCTGATGTTTGTGCACCTAACTTTGTTCCTCTGGCCATGCAATCTGGTTAGCTCTTCTTAGGCTGTGCAATTCGGACCTCTCTAGGAAGGACATCAAAATTCTCACTCACAACACCACCCGCCCGATAATATCAAACGTAGCCTTGGTCGCCGGGGTTATCAGCGGGAAAACAATAGCCGACCCTGCATTCTTCAGGAGATTATCTTTGAACACTTGAATCTCCTCGATCAAAGCTGGGATAAAGGAAAGAATATTCTTGCTAGAAAAGCCCGGGTTGAAAATAGAGCGCCACCGCTTCCAATGATCCCCTTCTGAACACAAAATGTCTTGACAGTGGGTGAAATCCTTGAATATCGAATGCAGAAGATCACTCTTAGGCATTGAGGGAGCCTGGCAGAACTGCGCAACCATATCTGGTTGGAATACTGCTAGCATGGGGCTGGTGATAGGCCAAGCGTCCATACAAACTAGTCCTTGGGCTTCAAGCTCCGGGTACTCATTGACCAGTAGTATTGGAATGATTTGCCCCGCTGTATCTCGAGGATATTTAGTCATGAGCTTGGCGAATGCTGGAAGGTGCCCTAGTAAGAAGGAATGCGGCGGAGATTTCTTATTGACGGTCAGATAATATTACAGTTGCCAGTTTGCCAAACCGGCATTATATCCAAAAGAAAAGGCCTATCCTTTCTTACCAGCCCGCTATTATTCATGAAACGGCGCACCTGCATGCGTACTCGGATCAGCCTATAGAAGAATCTCCCCAGGAGGATGACGAGGACCAGACTGAGGATCCGTTTCAGGACGGCCATTTGGATCGGAAGCTCCATGCTTGGCAGATGATGAGAAAAACGGTGGCAGATAGCATGCAAGGTCGGGAGCGCATGATTTATAGAATTTCAGAATAGTAAACCATGCATGCTCATAGGCAGCTCATGCTTGGTCGCCGTTCCGCATATTTAGTGCTGACGCCAATTTTGGCCCCCACCCGAACAAAGTTTATTAAGTCTACTATTAATTGACACAATCGCACTGTGTAGATAAAAGGATGCTTAGCCTAGGCATGACGAGCCTAAATTGGGTAGAGTCAGATTTTGCGACTAGATCACGGCCCCAAGCTAATTTCCATGGCCCAGAGCCGTAGAAATGTCTTGGCTTTTCATCTCTTCTGCGATAAAATCACCCTCTTCCGATTACAACTTGCATCTTTGCACCTACCAAACTCTCAGCAAGACTCAGTAATCCACTAGTTTATACTGATCATTATCAGCCCCATCAGCCGTGCCCAGTCTACCACGAGACGATCTCAATGCACCCCTGCTAGCATCGACCAGAGGGCTAATCCATTGGAAACTGTCCTTTTCAGCAGATTCGTCCACCTTGACCTTCGTATTTGTAGCAGCTAAATAAATTAGTTCTGGTGACTATGTCAGGGTAAAAAGGAGCCAGAAACATACCCAAACCAGTCCGATGAAAGTTGACATAAATATTCTCCGAGTGACCCCTTGGAGCTATATACGTCTCGTGCATAATGCTCAAGTGTGGATGCTGACGTGAAACATTGTTGAACCATTTCCACACCTTGAGATGCATAGGGCTGTGTGCCCAAGTATAAACATCCTTATAAGTACGGAAGTAGACGGCGACCATGAGCTGGTTCGAGGTTTTGCGCTCTGAGACGGGCATCCAACTTGTTGATCCGAGGACTTTATCATTTTAGTTTGATATTCGACATAGTCAACAGAAAGAAAACACTTACAGCCATTCTCGTGTGAGTTCTGACTCAGATCGGCGAGGAGTCCTTGCATGTACTTGGAAACCTGTTGGTAACCAGGAGCCCATAGCCCCAGAGGGCTGTATATCTGTGTCAGCTATAATCCGTAATAGTCGATCAAAATTCAAGAATCCATACTGATTTGATCGCGTCGCCAAATGTAGAACCACGACTTCATGCTCGGCGGGTTGCGAAGGTGTATTTCCCTCGCGATCGGGAATTTGGGCACTAAATTTCCCTCTCACAACGCCTTCGGCCGCACGGTTATTTATTAAACCATAATGCTGAAGTAATGTATGGATGGATCGGAGGGACAAAGTAAGTACTGCGGGAAGAAGCGCGTAGTGGGTTGGTAGAATATAGCTGAGGACACCGTGTAGGACTGCTCCGATGAGGAGCCAGGTAGTGATTGTGAACTGATCTCGAATGATCTTCATCTTTTTGAGCATGCGGTCTTATCAATTCCCTGGAGCTTCAAGGAGATAATTTACTAACATTGTGTTTTATCGCGCTGGGAGATACAAATGTCGGTCTCTGAGAGACTGGTGGCTGAAGAGGTGTGAAGGCCATTGGCTTAAAAAAGGACCACGGATCGATGGAGCTCGTGTTCGGGTGAGCATACATGAAAAGTTCCAGCGACGTCCTTTTATATTTTAGATTCTCCAAAGAGGCTAAATTATTCGCTCATACACGTCAGCATCTTACACACGTCCAAACTGCAGCGCAGGATCTGGAGGATAGACCGCCTTGTCTTCCAGCCAATAATCAAGGACGCTCGATGTACTAGTATGGCCCGATGTGCCTACATTAGGCCTAGTGCATATGCCACAGTATTGAAGGTCCATTCAAAGGCCTGGCAATACTAATAAGCCAATACCATCACCCGTAGATAAGACAAAAAGCGCCCCCATAAGTGGGACGCCCGAAGGATAAACCAGTGGACCGTGGGGAAAGGGGCTTAGAATCACAGCTTGACCTATGGAAAGCGCCTCTTTCCCTTCCCGCAAGGCTCCGCGAGCTCTGGGCAGAGACTAATCGTTTACGTTTATCATAAGTTCTCAATATTACAGGTATGATATACGAGATAGACAAATGAAAGATCATCGCTACTATTTCGTGGTAGATGTCGTTTATGGTTTCTAAACTAGTTCATGTGCCCTTGAACATCCTAGTAGTCGTCGCCGCGACTAATCACTTCCTTTACGTTAGGACGAAGGAGGATGGTCTGCAGGTTGGGTTAGCAATCAATCAAAGTCAACAGGGACTGTACGATAAGGACATACGTGTTCATATTGAGCAGTGTAAGAGCCCTTGATATCGCAAAGGGGAGGGTAATCCTGGACAATACCAGAGGAGACCAGGTTGTTCAACTACATTTGAATTAGTGCATTTTCTCAAAGAGAGTTGCTTGATATAACATACCCCGAGGAGGTACTTATCCTGGCCCAATCGGTCAAGATAGCGACGGCAGAAAGGCAGGGTGCCGAAGTTCTTGTGGATAACGTTCAAGAGGTTCTTAGCAGACGAAAGGCGGAGAGGAACGTTGGGCGCATCCGCAGCAAGGGCGTAGTGAGAGCATTCCATCTAATACAAGGTTAGTACCCGATCAATCGCGCCGTATAGTTAGGGGACTAACATCTTCCCGGACGTAACCCTTGCCGGTACTTCCGAAGGTTTCGATGGCGAAGACTTCACCCTCCTCCATCTTCGTTTGGTCGGAGCCCTTGACAATAGGCACGCTCTTACCACCGTGAATAACGTGCTGCTCGATGTTGTGACCGTTCAGGTTACGGATGCACTTGACGGGGTACATAGTTCCGTTAAGCTCGACTTCGTAGCTCTCCATGGCCTCCTGGATGGCGGCACCGATATCACTCATACGGACGTCAATTCCAGCTTCCTATAGACATGTTAGACCGATTCCACAAGTCATTTCCCCAGGGGTGAACATACCCGAATACCAGTGTTGGTGGCATCCTTGACCGCTTCCAGAAGCGGATCATAAACAGGGTCGAAGCTCATGGTAAAGGCACTGTCCACAATGCGACCGTTGATGTGCGCACCAAAATCAACCTTCATCACATCACCTTGGTTTAAGACCATCTTGTTGCCGGCATTGGGAGTATAGTGTGCCGCACAGTGGTTGATGCTCAGACCGCAAGGGAAACCCATACCACCCTTGAGGTTGTCGCCCTCCTCCAGACCCGAGTGGCCAGTCAAGGCACGAACAGAGTCCTCAATACCCTCCGCGATCTCCGTCAGAGTCTGGCCGGGCTTAATGTTCTTCTGTGCATACTGGCGGACTTGACGGTGGACTTCAGCACCCTGGCGATACTCCTGAAGGAAATCATTGTTCATGCGATCGAGGTAGCGCTTCTCCTCGTTGGTTGTACGGTAAGCATTGTCGTTCTTGTACTCGACAATCTCGCCCTCGGGGTATACGTTGTTGGGGAAAAGGTTGGAGACGGGGACTCGTGGCGGGGAGCTCTGGACCTTGGCGCCGCCCTTCTTCTTCTTCTTGGACTTGCGCTTCTTCTTCTTTTTGGCGGCTGTCGTGCGACACTATCGTTAGCCTCATTTTGAAACCTTGCGGGTGCGGGGTCCGGAAAGCGGGGTCGTAAAAGTATCAAATTGTAGATAAAAACACATACCACCAGCTGCGCCAGCATCCGGTGCGCCTTCTCCATCTTCTTGGTCGTCGTCAGAATCGTCCTCTGCCTCGCCGGGGACCGCCTGGCCAGCAGCGGCGGCGTCGGCCTGGGCGCCGTTCTGGCCGTTCACTAGAAAGCCTGATGAGTACCGTACATAGGGCGAGATAATTATTGGCGAGACTCACGATCCAGCTGCTCCAGCTTCTCGGTCGCCTGGGCTGCCATTGTGTAGTATGGAGGACTTGCAGTGGAGTGGAGGAGGAAGAGGGGAGGCAACTCGGATGTCGGGGAAAGATTTTCGCAGGCGATAAGATACGACCCGCTTAATGACGGAGCATTCTCCAACTAAGCAAGCCAGCTAAATACTTCAGTCTATACTTCTATCGTTTGAGGAGACCTTTTTAGCACTAAAAGTGACCGTTTTCAATCTTAGACACATACCAAAGTCACGGCAGGACTTTAATTACATGTTTTTTTCTTCAAGTTTGCACTGGGAAATGTAGCAGACTCAGTATAGAAACATGAAATTACGTGGAAATAGGCTTGATGTATTCCTCCAAAAGAGGGCATATTATTTCCAAAGTCTTCAAACTCCCTATATTTTGAATCCTCAATCTACAGAGTAACCGTGTTCCGATAAGTCTTCGAAGATGCGATATTACCATGTAGGTTCATATCTACAGATACAGACTTCTTTTGCAGGCTTCCCCAGCATGTACAGCGTTAAATACTATGATCTTCTATACTCGAGTCGATCAGTATTCTAGGGCAAGGGAGGGTATAACTGCCGCGAAAACCACCGAGATAGGACTCTTCTGATGTCTCGGTATTCGGTGTGATATGCACCAACGAAAGTATCGCCCCAATCCTTTGAAGCGAGGGGGATGGTGCTCAAGTGCTCCAAAAGGATCTTGACAATGCCGATATTGCCTTTGCAAGCAGCCTTGGCCAAAGGACTCTGTCCACGGTTATTGACGAAGAACATGTTGGCACCGTTCTTCAATAGAAAACGAGCCGCGCGCTCCTGAATTCGACATCTTGGTGGACTCCCCGTTCTCCCTGCCATGAACAACAGGGGTGTCTCGTCGGTCAATTCATTTCGAGCCTCGATATCGGCGCCTCGTTCCAATAGCAGCTCAGCCGCTGCCTCTGCATCGTCCTGGCGAGAACATGTCAGGACCGTCGTTAAGACGTGCATGCTGCCATGGCCTGGCGTTGGATCGATGGAATTCGCATCGAATCCTGCATCAAGGAAGATTTTCAAAAGCTCGACATTTGCTGATCGGGCTGCTCGCTACATTCCACTTTGATGCGACGAGTTATTCGGGTTCAATTTTAAGCCATGTTCAAGCACTAGCTGCAGTCCGGGTACGCCCCCAGCCACAGCGAATTGAATAAGGCCCGTACTCCTCATGTCAACGTCAATCTGCGATTGATCAAGCCGTCGCAGTAGTTCCCGTGCAATCTCAACCTTGCCCAAAATAAGAGCAGTTATGAACAAGGAATGTGTCACACCCATGTTGTACATGCTAGCCCCTCGATCTAACAAGAGTTTGACCATGTCGATAAAATTTGGCCGAACCCTTCTTGAGTGAACAACGTAGTAGAGTGGTGTGTCTAGACCACCTTCTGGACCATTGACATCCACCCCATAGTTTAATAGTAGCTCTGACATTTTTGTGTCTCCGTCTCGAGCCGAGGATTGAAGTGCCATACCCACCGTGGTTGTCCAGAAATCACGATCCGAAACGGTACGTTTCTCAAGACAACGCTCCACCACATCCATGAAGCCACAACTTACGACGGAAAGGAAGAACACGTGGAATTTCATGCGCTCTGCACCACAGATGAAGTCGTCGATGTCAATCATCGAGAGAATGATCCGGGCTACCTCAAAATGTCTTTTAACTGTCGCTCTGAAAAGATATTCTTGAAGCCCTTTCTCCTGGGGGCCATCAGGATCGACTCCATGTTCGATGAGGTATTCGAATCCTGCTGTATTTCCCCCTTCAACTGCAGCGTACAGCACAGTGTACGTAGTTTCATTGATTCTGGGGTCCGCTCCTGCATCGATGAATGCTTGGAGTAGCTCGGTGCCGTGATGAGCAGCAGCATACGCAAATGCGCTCCTATTGCGATCGTCACAGATATAGGGACTGCATCCTTTTTCGAGCAGAAATTGAATTAATGGCAAGTTGCCCTTTTGAGCCGCGACCGCCAAAGGTTGTGTAAATTCGTCAGTATCAGCCGGATATTCCACTTCAACCCCACGATTGATTAAGAGGTGGACAATCTCGTCGTGTCCATTCGCGATGGCGAATGTTAGTGGGTTGCCCGTTTTGCCTAGAACCCATTGGTCGTGTTCCTCTTCACTGTCGTCTTCTTCCTGTTCCTCTTGTACCTCTTGCCACTGCAGTTCTTGTACTTGCTCTTCTGTTGCTTGTTGCATCCTAGCGAATTCCCGGTCCACTGCTTCAGCTTCCGCTTCTCCTTGTGCTTCTTGATCTTCTTCCTCCTCCTCCTCCTCTAGCTCCCATCTGTGAGGTATTCCTGGCTCTAGATAGAAACCCGTGGGTGGATTGGGATCCACCCCCGCGTCCAAAAATAACTGGAGAACATCACGGTGTCCATTTTTCGCCGCAAGAATGATCGGATGCCAGGGTTGATGGCAGACAGTGCTTGGAGGAACACCAGCTTTGAGGAGCTCCCGCACACAATCGATCTTTCCGTGTGTTGCTGCCCATTCTAGCGCTGAGGATTTGATACCTCGATGAAGGTTATCCACTACGCGTCGATAGAGCAGGTCATTGATAGCGGCGGAACAACGCCTGTTAACCAAGCAGAAATTGTGAAGGTCTTCCTCCCATTCTAGATGTTCCCCAATGAGAAGAAGAAGCTCCGGCGGGAGATTGGAGAAGGGCATGGCTCATGGTTAATAAGGTCTCGTCGTTGAAGGTGTGTAGTACAGTAGCTTTGGGTCCTTGAGACGGCAATCCACTTTGCGGGGCAGGAGCCGCCACCATCGGTCCCGCTTCAAAGGATTAGTCAGTGGTCAGCTGGATGGACTAACTAGTGTACGAGACGAATATTATAAAAGAACTTCAACTCAAACATCGAATGATAAGTAAGGTACAGTTCAGAAAACTCCAGGCTGAGATTGCTGTACAGTTTCCCGCTATCGTTACCTTATCTACGGAATGGAATATAAAGTGGAATATATAGTGGTCTCTATACTTCAAAAGACACTTTAGATCGAAAACCTGTAGGTCGCTAAAACAGAATGCCCTATCGTTTCAGAGGATTTTAGCCACTGCATATTGACCCGAGTCCACGCGTGTCCAGAATAGACGTTCGGTGCTACCAGGGTGAAGTCATCCATGCTCACAGCCTTGTGAGGTGTGATCCATGTTTCCGCGATTGGACTAAGTTATCGTCAGGGCCGTGAGGAAAGGCCCCTGGCAGGAAGTGGGATTTCTCATCACTGGTTCGTTCATGGAAATTGGGGGCGGGATCGAGAGGGCAAGTATTTCTGTCTCTCCCCGAGCTTTGTAGAAAGGTATGAGGTCGGTGTGTATGACCAGTCGACGAGGCGTCAGATGTTATCTTGGGCGACAGGCTCCCGCATAATAGAGGAGACCGGGCCTCTAGTCATTATATAATCTGGACAGTAGACGCTGTCTAACGGCCTTGGTCTCGGGTGGTCGCGCATTTGTCTTCCTCTGCATCGGAGGCGGCTGATAATGGGAACAGCCAAGGTAGTACCCTGGAAACCAGGGCTTACCAGTTACACGGAGGATCGCTTGTGGGTAGGGCGTTCGTAATCACCAAGTTTCTCCCTGGTGATCAAAGTCTGCTTGCATATCTTCCATCCACTTCTTGTGTCTTCAATGACGAGTATCTTGTTCCGTGGATAAGCGAGAAACCCACGTAGGTAGCAATCATGGCTTAAAAGTTTCACAGTATACAAGTCGATCAGTCAATCAACTGGCATAGTGCATGGCGGCATAGCGTGTTCCAAACTTAAGGAAGCGAGAAGGATGTGTGTCAATTTGATTGTACATAACAGGTTACGTACTTGCCCTTTTGCTTTCGCAGGCGTTCTCTTTCCTTTTCTCGGTCTTTTCTGTCGTTTCGTGAGCCGCCATTTCGTTCCAGTAGCCATCGTTAGGCAACTCCGGCCAGTCTGGTTGGCTGGTATCCTTTTGCCCATTAGCAGTGGCAGGGCTACCCTTGATAGAAATATCATCTTCCCATCCCGTTAGGGCGGGCATGGGCGTCTGGATATCGTGGCCCTCAGTGGGATTTACCGGACTGGGCCGCATGTCTAGGATCCGGTAGATACCAGGGCTTGTTGGATGTGAGCTTAATGTACTGCAAATATCCATCTTTTCGGTGTTTCCTTCAAAAGTCTCGAGGACGTTCAGGCAGGAGTTGGATGACGCCGAACACAAGGGTGGCGTGTAGAATGGGCCGAGGAGACTGAGGTGGGTTCATTTTGGAAAACAGATAATCTGGAGAAGGATAGATAGCGGAAGAGTGAGACAGGGGTGTTGAAAAAGTGAGATATTCGTTAGGATAGGATCACCGTCGATAAGCGAGTATCTAACTGTATGGTATCCTGTTGTCATCGACCAATAGAGAATTGCTTTCGTGAGTTGGTTGTCCCGAAGTCGTGAGGGGGGTGATAAAAAGCTCGAGCGATAAATAAACGACCATGAAAATAGAATAGCAGATCCAAAATCGGAAAATAAAATTACATCACAACTGGAATGGTGGGTGCATAAGGTCGAGTCAAACCATGGCCCAAAATCTTGCTTGTTCCACTCAGGTATAATGAAACGAAGGAACTTCCCAGAACAAGAGGGGCAAGGAGGCGACGAGCGAGTTCAACCTTGCGCCAGAGCCAAAGCTGCACGTTGGTCGGGTAATTCTGTCCCATTGCGTTCAGCTACTGCATTAACTGCCGGGGTTTTCTGAAGTAATAGATCACTAGTCCAACTGTTCACTGGGACCATGGAATATTCCAGCCTGTGTTCCGTCATGATATCGGGATGCTGGATATACACCCTGAAGATGACGGTTTAATGGGGAATAGCTATATCTGGCTGTGTCAGTGTTTCAAGGTTAACTCTCGTGTCTGATATAACGGGGAAACTTACAAAATATTCATTTTGCAGAATCTCAGGTAGCTTCAAATACTTTCATTGTGCAGGTCGATTGAAAGATCGAGAGTTGGAATGGCGGAAGGCTTCTGGCCTTCGTAAATACTGAAGCCGACAGGAGAAGATGATGTAAACAGCAATAGTGAATAGGGAAAGAGCGCTTTATAATAATATATATGGATGATGTTGAAAGCGAGAGAAAGCCAGCCCACATTTTCTTTGCCAACGGAGCTTTATATAGCTGCTAGTCCTAGTAGAATCCTCAGGAATCCACAAAGCAAACTACGTTATCTAATCTGATCATCAGCTGGCTCAAGGGTACACTTTACACAACACTAAGGGAATGACTTTAATTAATTCACAAAAAATCACCAAAAACTAAGCTATATAGTAGAAAATACTATCTGAATTTTAAATCAAATGTTTCTTGACTAAACTCCCAAACTGAGGCACTCCTAACCCACACCCCAAACTCGCCGATGACGCCACTCCGATCGATCAACCGGGTCTCTGATCTCCCGCCAACTCCAACTCCTCCTCACACAGCTCCCCTCTCCCTCCCTCCTCTCCGCTCCCTTCATGCGCCAAAACCAACACTAGAACCTAGGCAATGCCTCCACCCCGCACAAACCCTCTCTTCCTCCTCCAATGCCCACAACCAACGAGTCTACCCTCGTCTCCGCGCGTTATCCACGGGAATCGGCGCACTCTCACCCGTTATCATCGCACGTCCACGCGACCAACGAGAACACAACACCACCATACAACACACCCTTCCCTACTACACGCGCAGTCCAAGTCCTTCTCAACGAGCGTCTCTCTACGCAAAGAACAAAATCACTATGAAATCCTAGACGTCCCGATAACAGCGACCCCGGCTGAAATTAAAAAGTCCGTCTACACCACCACCCTCCCCCTCCCCCTCACCATCTCCTCGCTCCTCCTCGCTCCATAGCAAAGCAGATATCTAAATACCGTCCCAGAAAATTCTACTCCCTCTCCCTACGCCACCACCCAGACCGCAACCGCACAGACCCAACCGCCAGCCAACGCTTCGCAAAAATCTCCTCCGCCTACTCGATCCTGTCGAACCCACAAAAGCGATCAACCTACGACCGGGATAACGGGTTTCACCGCGCACACGTGCACAATCCACACTCCCCCTACCCACAAGGCTCGCACAGCAGTCACTCGGCGAATCTACATAAAGGCAGCCACGGGGGAGGAGGGTATGCGGGGTCCAGACCGGCGAGTGGATTGAGTAATCGGCGGGGAACGTTTCGGGGGCCGCCGCCCAGTTTTTACGCGCAGGGGGGCTATGGGGAGACGGGGAGGAGGGGGGATGGGTATGCAGCTGGGAAGGCTGGGCCGAGTGCTGGTGCTGGTGGTGGGTTTGGAAGTACTTCATCGGCTGGATCTGGATCTGGAGGGACGGCTGGGACCGGCAAACAAGCTGACCCCGAAGACCCAATGGGTTTCATCGACCGCAATCCGCTGGGCCACTTCAATGCGCGCGGACACTTCCGCACCCAAAAAGCGGAGGATGCGAGACGGCGGGAACGCATATCCAAGGCTCGATCTGCGGCGAGGGAGACGGCGGATTCGTTTATTGGGAGTGGGGATTTTGGATTGTTTCGGTTTGTGGTTGTTTGTGGGATATTAGTCGCTGCTGGTGCTATGACGGGGTTATTTCAGATACCTGTTACGAGCAGTGGGGAGGATGGGAAGAGTGGGAAGAAGAGGAAGGACGGAGTTAGTTCTTCTTGAGAATATGGGAGGAGGGACATGCTTGGTGGTTTACTGTCGTGTACGATACTCCTATTGTTGGTTTTGTATGCCATGCTCAGGTAGCTGGCTGACCCTTGACGTGAAGAATCATTGGGTGATTATTACAAATAAATAATTCTTTGTCAAACAAAGGAAAAGCTTTAGATTTGATATACAAAGCGCGCTCGCGGTTAAAAAACTACGACACGCACAAGATTATCTGAGAACGGAGTGTAGATAAACCTTCACTGAAAACGCCATTCTGGCCAAAAAGTACTGGGAGGATCGGCGCAGCAATGAAGAATTACAAACTTCCCCAAGAATCCTCATACGAGGACTCTCGAGTTACCAAGGAGTTGGCGAGGGGAAGGCACTTAAGCCTCGAAGGTGAAGCTGGCGCCAACCTTGTGGGCGGCCTGGTTCAGGTTCTGGGTATCGAAAGAGGCACCCAGGCCGAGGGTGACACCAGGGCGGAGGAGAACGTTGTAGGCCAGAGCGGCGACACCGCGGTCGTTGATCTTGGCCTGATGGGAAGAAAAGAGATAAAAGTTAGTTGGGTCTCAAACGGCTAGTCTCAATCCAAACTTCTGGGTGTACTCACCTTGGCGAAGGAAGAGGGGTCCAGGCGGTACTTGCTGGCGACCTCGAGGCCGACGGCGTTACCGGAGTTGGAGTCCCAGGAAGCCTTAGCACCGGCCTCGACCTGAGCGTTGACGCGGTGGTAGTAAGAGGCGGAGAAGAGGGACAGGTTGTTGCTGGCAGTGATGGCAGCAGAGTACTGGGGAACGGAGTAACCGACGGCAGCGGAGTACTTGGTGATGGCAGCCTTGTTGACGTCGTAGCCACCCTCAGCACCGACCAGGAAGCCCTCGTGGCCGAGGACGGCGTCGAGGTTGGCGGTAGGGCCGTTCAGGAGGTCGAAGAAGGCACGGGCGTGCAGGTTGGGCTGCTTGAAGTACAGGTTGAGCTTGGCACCCTTGGACTGCTTGGCGGGCTGGTACTGGGTAAGGATCTCAGCCTTGAGGCCCTTGGCAATGTTGTTGTCCAGCTCGAGCTTGGTGTCGAGGGCGTTGGCGGTGGTCCAAGCCTGGGTCAGGGTAAGGCCTGGGCGGGGACGAAGCATTAGCTTAATTGAATGCGTGGTAGTGTTTGAAAATACAAAAAGGGTCACCTGGCGCGACACGAGGTGGCCGCACGACAGAAAAAACGTCATGGGCCGAGCCTTGGACGCGCCGGGATCGGGTGGTTTGCGCTGGATGGGGCCCTTACCGGTGGGCGCATCAACGTACTTGGCCTCGAGCTGTGATAGGAAGAATTGGAGTCAGTATGAAACGGGGTTGCTAGTCCCGCCACGCGGGCTAGGGACTGAGGAGGGGCGTCCTCGAGAAAACTCACCTGGCCAGCAATGGAACCCTCGTGGGCGGACTTGCCCTTGACGGTGAAGGTAACACCGTTGGGGGCCTTGGACTTCACCTCAAGGGACGCTGCAGATGAATTAGCAGAGCTTTCAAGAGAGTAGGGGGCAGCTAGACATACCCGGGCTGGCGTGGTAGAAGTCCTTGTTCAGGAGCTGTCGGGGGCCATTAGCTTCGAGAATTCCTTTTTGGCGGTGAAATCTGTAGCATCCAGCATCATAGAGCTATACGTACGTCATTGGCCGCCTTGGCGATGTCGGAGAAAGCAGCAGGAGCAGACATGGTGAATGTATAGAGACAGGGATACTCGTGGATGAGGAGAAGAAAGAAGGAGAAGGAGTGCGATGATGTTGGGGAGAGGTGGGAAGGGGCTCCAGCCACGGGCCGTTCAAAGCCTCGTGATTGGTCGTTGCTCGGTTGCCGGGAAAGCCCGCCGGTAAAAGGATATTAGGTAAGCCCCGATCGGCGGGAATGAGGTGAAGACTCGAGTTTACCCGAGGAATGTCGTAGTATTCGAGTGAATGACGACTTGGATGCAGATAGTGGAGTATGTGAAGAGCTATATTTGTGGGTTTAAGTATACTAGCACAATATTTTGACTTATTTTTACAGAGAAACCACCGCTGGGTATATACACTTCTTTGCATTCTTTTCCAGAGCTCTATCATGCCCAACGTGAACTGATCTAAGAACAAACAACCTTCCCTTTTTTATATTTCATATGAAGGTGGATTTAGACGGTATCATACTTGGCGTTGTGAATGGCAATGGCACTGTACATGTATGTTAGCATTGGTTGTTGTCACAAAAAGCAAACCGGGACAAGACTTACCGGCCACTGGGATCGCTCTGCTTGGACCAGGTAGGGGTCCAGCGCTCGACGGTACCGGCACAAGTAGGGGGGAAGTGCTCATCGAACATCAAGCGGTACCAGTAACTAAAGAAAAGATCAGTCAGTATTAAAGTTGCCAATTTCATGCCCTGGGAATATAAAACGTACGCCTCCTTGGTATCGGGAATATCAGAGCCCCACTCGGGCTTGGGGTTCTTCATCTGCTCATCGGTAATCTGCTGCTCGGCGTGCTCCTTCAGACCATCAATCCAGCTGTAGCCAACACCGTCGCTGAACTGCTCCTTCTGGCGCCACAGAATCTTCTCGGGCAGGTAAGGGGTGGTCTCGGGCTCGTCGGTGGTGTCGAAAGCCTTGCGGATGATGTACTTCTCAATGCGCTCCTTGGTGATCATCTTCTCCTGGGGGTCAACGGCCATGGAAACCTCGAGGAACTCCTTGTCCAGGAAGGGAACACGGGCCTCAAGACCCCAGGCGGAAGTGGACTTGTTGGCACGCAGGCAGTCAGCCAGGTGCAGGTTCTTCACACGGCGAACGGTCTCCTTGTGGAACTCCTCCTTGTCGGGGGCGGCGTGGAAGTACAGGTAACCACCGAAGATCTCGTCGCTACCCTCACCACTCAGAACCATCTTGACACCCATGGCCTTGATCTTGCGGGACAGCAGGTACATGGGGGTGGAGGCACGGATGGTGGTGACATCGTAGGTCTCGAGGTGGTAGATGACGTCGGAGAGGGCGTTCAGGCCGTCCTCGACGGTGAAGGTGAAAGCGTGGTGCTTGGTGCCCAGGAACTTGGCGACCTCCTTGGCGGCCTCGGTGTCGGGAGCACCGGGCAGACCGATAGAGAAGGAGTGCAGCTGCTGGAAAGTGGTGACAGTAGAGAGATCGTTCTCCTCGTCGATACCGACGAGGTCGGAGTTATCGACACCGTTCTTAGCGGCGGCGTGGGCAGCCTCCTGCATACGCAGAGTCTCGCGCTGAGCGATGGAAGCCACCAGACTGGAGTCCAGACCACCAGAAAGCAGAACACCGTAGGGAACCTCGGCCATCAGACGCTTGCGGACAGACTTCTCCAGGGAGTGACGGAGCAGCTTGTAGTCAACGGGGGTGGAGGGGATCTTGGCGGCGTCCCACCACTTGGGCTCGTAGTAGCGGGTCAGCTTGTCGGTCTTGGAATCGTAGATGTGACCGGGAGGGAAGGCAATGATGTCGTCGCAGACGGGGTGCAGGGACTTGAGCTCGGAGGCGAAGTAGACAGCACCGGGAGTCTCGGAGGAGCGACCAAGGTAGAAGCTGGTGATACCGATGGGGTCACGGGCAGCAACGACACGGTCCTGCTTCTTGTCCCAGAGGACCCAGGAGAACATGCCGTCCAAGTGCTTAGGGGCATCGAGGCCGTGCTCCATATACTAGTGAGAAATGAATCAGCAATTGCGCACCGATGAATGCAGATATCCCATATCCCCCATAGCCACATACCAAAGGAATGATGACCTCACAGTCAGAGTGGGTCTTGAAGTTGTACTTGGTCTTCAGGGCTTTCCGCAGGATACGGTGGTTGTAGATCTCGCCGTTGACGGCGAGGGCAAGGGTCTCGTCATCGTTGACCAGGGGCTGGGCACCGGAGTCTGGATGGGAAAATAATCTTTAGCGACTGGTATTGAGGTGCAATTATCGTTCTTGTTGGGGCGATAGACATACCGACACCGACAATGCTCAGACGCTCGTGGGCGAGGACTGCAAGACGACAGGGGTTAGTATGAGGACACGCGACAACCTTAATTACTCGGTCGAACTCACTAGTAGAATCGCCAATGAAGTTTCCGCCTGTTGGAAAGTGTTGTTGTTAACCTCCTAGCTGCCAATTGATCATATCGCCTCTTGCGCTTCCAGTTGTGACTCACTCCAATCGGGACCACGGTGACGGATGCTATATAACGAGGGGTAGGGTTAGCGACAAATTCTATAGTTCAAGCAAGAGACAATTGCGCAGAATATAGAGAAATACTTACGCCTTAGCCATGCGCAGAGCCGTGGGCTTGAACTTCTGCACATCGGGGTGACTATTGGAGTCGTTGGGTTAGCATTGAGTCAACCATCCCACCCCTCGCCAAAAGTGCGCGTCCGGGGAATGGAGCCATGGCGGGGCAAGGGTGGGAGATTGTTGAAGGATTCAGGGTGCAACGCACTGGTGACACGCGAAAATTCCACACATGATGGGCGTGAGAGTACTCAAAAACTGAGTAGAAGGAGATCAATTGAAGAGGATGTAAGAAGAAAGAAAGATTGACTAATCGCTGGTTCTGGGGGAGGATCCGGGTCAAGGGCAAAGGGCTTTTTTTTTCCACAGCGGGGCGGGGGGCGATGTCGGCTTTCCGGACAGTCTTTGAGTCACCGATAAGATAACTTCTTGGCACGTTTGATTAGTCGGCATTCTTAGTCTTTTTATACCTCTGCTCATTGGATACGGTGTACTCCGTAGTCCAGTATCTACCATAAGTCGATGCTTATTATCACCTACATTCATGACGGCTACGGCGCCTACACAAAATGAGTACAATCACACCGAGTCCATACAACTTGGAAATGCCAGCTGTTCACTCTGAAATAAACGCCTTCCATTGGGTCAACGCCGCGCTCGTGATCGGTTGCTCAGAAGAGCTGGAGATGCTCTCTTCGCCGAGATAAGTAACCATGCAGTTCAGTCCTTCTCTCGCTCACCGAAACCTCATGACAAAAGAAAATTAAGTAGAGAAAAAAAGAGAGAACATTAATCTGGCGCCGTCGTCGCTCATGCTTTTGAGAAATCGCCTGCCGCGCTTACATCGGCGGGTTTTCCCTGACAACCTGGCGCACACGACGCTCATATGCAGGACGATCCTTCTTGAATAGATTGTATGCATCGGCCTGCGCGGGTGATTCAGGGTTCGGGTCGTTAAGCAGATCCTGAATACCCAGGAGAATCTGCTTGATCGTGATTGCGGGTCTCCATGCTTCCTCCTCGTTCAAGATTGAGAGGCAGACCGTGCCGGATGGGTAGACATTAGGGTGGAAAAGCGGGGGAGTGAATTTACCTGCAAAAAGAAACCATCACGTCAGTCCGTATTCGTAGTTGAGAAAGGCGAAAGCAGTGGAGAATTGTTGTCGCAGCCAAGGTCATGCGGCCAAATAGTCGGAGACCCCGCACGATAAAGGGTTTGAAGAGTGTTGCTCGATGGCAATGGTACTAATACGTACACTTGGGAGGTTTTGTTGGGTATTCTGGAAGCGCAACGAATTATTAGCGATCAGTATGCGGATCGTCGATCGCGAGGAATGTGCAACGCTACTCACCGTCGGGGAAGATAAGCTCCAGCTTCAGCACACATCCCTCCCAAAGAGTGTCCTTCTTTCCAGGGATAGCGCACTCCCAGCGCTTCAAGTCCAGAGTAGCCTGCGGGGTGCGTTGGGGCTTCGCGACGAAGCCGAAGGGGTGGTCACGGCGCCACTGCTTCCTATATGATTCATCAAAGATTAGCGCATATTCTGGAATGACATAACACAAGCTTGGTCTTTCGCTGGGAGGTATGACATACCGCTCTTCCTGAAGACGGTTCAAACAGAGAGTCATGATGGTAGGGCGTGGTACGCTGATATGAAAACGAGGTCTGAGATAGAGATCGAGTGGGGTGAAGAGTAAATGGTGCGGAAGCAGGAATGAGGGGGAGTATTAAGAGGGAAAAGAAGGAGTGAGACAGAGGGAGAAGGTGGTAAAGGAACGCAAAAAGCGCAACTGCTTGGCGCAGGTCAATCGCATCAATCGACGAGATTCCGACTGGCGGCCCCGCCAATAAAGCTTAGGTAAGCTGTTTGTATAACTACCCCAGTCATAATAGCTTACAGTATCACTATCCTGACTTTAATTCTACAAAATTAAATCCTGAAAAATGTTCTCTGAAGACTACATCTCTTTATGAGTGATAGGTTGGATCAGGGCACCGTGCTAGCTAGAATGATTCTAGTAGATCGGGTACACACAGCATATAAGTCCACCCTACATAAATGCCGTGGACCGAAGGGGTGCACTATTGCATCAATATGGCCAGTACAAAAGCATTAAATGTTTCTCCCGTCCGACAGTGTGAAGACTGTGCTTTTGAAATTCTATGCATATGCTGGTTAGAACCCGGGTCTCCCAAAATATGTTCCCGTAGTTACAAGCCTGAAAATGCTGGCAACGATGTAAAGTGTGATATATAGCAGATGGAATCAAAAGAGATAGGAAGCTCGCTTTCTTTCAAGCATTTGAATCTATCCAGGGGTTCCCTGGAGGACGTAGAAACAAGGTTTCTTTCATGAAGGGCTAGTACCTCGTTAACACTTTGTCATGGGTGATGACATAACTCTTCGTTCTTTCTTAAGAGCAAAGTCATTCAGCCAGTAATCTTATGGCTTGGCTAAATTGGCATCGGCACCAACCAAGTCAATCCGCTAGAAAACGCTCACAGAAATCATGCGCTTATTTACTTTGGCTTCAGGAAAGGGTGCCCAGCCAATTCGCCTGCCGTCTTTCTCAAATCTGGGTGCTAGATAAGCATTCCCCTGGCGAGGTCCAAAAAAGCTTCCTTTTCCTCTCCTTTAAGGAATGAAGCTGCATGTCTTAGTTTGCGATTGGGGATCAAGTTCTCGTAGAGGAAGCGGCCTAAGATATATCATCTCGTTAGTTCGAGAATGTTTTGTTTGAGATAAGAAACTTAGTGATACCTTTTTCGTCAAAGAATGGCCCATTAAAGTACTGCTCTGCGGCCCCGCAAACTCTGCCATCTTCGCGTCTGACAGGTTCCGGCCATGAGCACTCTAGCATATATTGATACCTTTGTATGATCTCTGGAGGAGGTGGACCGAGTAAGGCTATCATTTCGGCAATGTGTAGTTTAGCATCGTAGCGACCTTCTTTATCATGGATATGCTGAAATAGTTCTTTGCCTTCGATCATATCCCGTAACTGATCTAGCATTAGTAACTACAATAAATGTTAGGTGGAGAATAACGGAACGCACCAGAACACCAAGGTTCCAAATATCTGCAGGCATTTGCCATCCACTGCCCGGTATGACCTCTGGCGCTCGATAGTGGTCTGGCTGAATAGGCCAAACGCCCCAGTCATCGTCTTCCTCGAGTCTAGTTGTCAAACCAAAGTCGACGAGCTGTGGTATACTTCTTAGGCTTTTGAGTGGGCCGAAGTCGTTACGAGATTGATATACTGGTCGTCCAGTTGAATCAATCTTGAAAGCCATCGGTTTCTTAAGCTGAGAATCCATGAAATCAGTAAGCACAGTTGGATCCTCGAATGAGACCATGATATTCTCAAGCTTTAGATCTAGGGGCACTTGGGTTTAGCATTGCAAAGAAGAATCAAAGCATTAGAGGGACCTACCTGTATGAACTGTCCTACATTCTTTATGTAGATAATCAAGCCCCGTTAGAAGAGCACGAATGTATGTTTTAATAGGCGGCAGTGGCATCTTTCTGTCTTTGAAGCGCCGCTGATACATCAACAACGGCTTTCTCATAGGTGGATACATCAAGCATGAGTGATAACCTTCTGGGCCTTCGACTTGAAAAGAGTCTAGCAATGTCCGTATAAGCGAGCGACCGCGATGACGGGTCTGCCGTAGAGATATGCTCTTCAACTTCGCACTGAGCAGGACTGGAATTATTATTGAGAATTTTCAGTGCCATGACGCTCTCTGACTCTTCGACGTGTCTGTGCTTTTGTTAGAGATACGTATAGCTTCAAGGGGCAGTTATCCAACGCTACCAATACAAATCCCGCGCGAGCCATACTGTTGAAGACACGCCCCAACCGACCTTGACCAAGTTTTGATAACGATCGGCGAGTACCTCTCCAGGTCTCGCTGGATAAAAGCGCTTGGAATCGTAGACTGGCGATATCTCTTCATCAATGAGTATGCCAGGCGGTAAGGGTGGCCCTGGGAAGGTATGGGAAATGGTTTCTTGCGAAGCAAGCTAGGAAAACGAGTAGTTAATGGCTTCGTAGTCTTCATTGCGTAGTTACTTCCTGTAAACTAATAGAAAATGTGATTCCAGGGGTTTTTGAAGAAGCCAGGGAGCCTAGACGCGACTGCTGAACGGGATCATGTGGCACGTTTAGTAGGTACAATAGGCTGGCGCAGATTGCTGCAGTCTACAAAAAGTATTTCGAGGTAGTGTACTCGTTATTAGATGGGTAATGCAAGTTGTTATTTGACATCGACTCTGCCTCCTGACACTAAACGAGGCATGTGAAGCCAAAATGGATATCATTATGTACATTATTCAGCATATACTCCCTGCTCGAATTTCTCAGGGTCGTAGAACTGAGCGAGGATGGTATTGCCGTTAAAGATTCGCCCTTCGAGAGCATTTACCGCCTAATAACCCCCAAAAATCAGCAAGAGAACCATGGATTATAGACTCAAAAGAAAATTGGAGAACTCACCCGTAGTGCGGATAGCTCATTCGTAAATTTAACGAAAACCGGTATGGGCGTGCCCACATTCTGAGCGATGAACACTCGCTCCACTCGCCCGTACTAGATGTCATCAGTACGGTCTGTCGTGAGTATCAGGGCACTCCGTGACATACCTTCTCATTGCACTCTTCTCCAATCTCTTGCATCAAGCCACCTCCCTCGCGGTGTAATTCCTCCTCCAGATCCATACCATCCAGCATCCCACGGAGAATAACTACGGGACTCATCGCCCCGAACTTACCCGTGTCCTCATTCTTCTTCTTGCCGCCGATAATCTTACCCCGGCCGCCAGGTGTCACGAAGCCTCCACCCTCGGAGTCGGGTCGCTTCTTCCGCTTCTCGACCTTTACTTGGAGCGGGTTGACGATACCCGAGCCCGTAGCACCAAGTCCAGAGCCCTTAGTCCAGCCATATTTGGCAAGTTGTCGTTCTGCAAAGCCTTTTTGACCGGGAAGCCGTGAGCGAGGCGCATCTTCGTCTTCTTCTGGCGCGGCCTGTTGCTCCTTTGCGAAAATTTCTTCCAACTCCGCTTCCGATGCAGGAATATCTTCGGGCGGCGGTGGCAGTGTGTAACGGACTGGGGCGCGGGAGATGGTTGCGGAGCTAGGTTGGAAAGCATCAAGGGGATGCGGTGGCGGGGGAACTGGTGTGTGTGCTGATGGCGGTTGGTTTTGGGATTGCTCAAGTCGGCGTAAATATGCGTCTTCGCCGGAGGCATCATTAGGAGGAGGAGCTGGGGGTTCCTCAGGTGGAGGCGGTGGAGCGATGTCATTGTTCAGAGTTTGACTCATGCGAGCCCGGCGTGCGAATGCGTCTTCTCCCGAGGGGTCATCGGGAATCTCAGCTGGTGGAGGTGGAATATCGTTGAGGTTCGGGGGCGGCGCAAAGCTTCCGGGAGGCGCAAATCGAGCTGCAAAGCGCTAATTAGTATCCGATACAGCATTTTCTTCGGGGCGCCCAAACTGAACATACGATTCATTGGTCGGTCGTAATCGCTATCCGAGTCTGGCGTTGGTGAGCGCTTCATCCGGTGCGCATACAAGCGATCCTTCCATTCGCGGACCTCGAGGATCTTCTCGTCGCTGTGTCGATATTCCTCGTAATTGTTCGGACGGGATGGATCATAAATGTCATCCCAGTTCTGCATGACCATCTGCGGCTCTTGGTTCTTCTTGCGCTTCTTCCTCCCGCCTCGTTGCCGCTTCTCGCCCACATAGTAATCAAAATCATCCTCTTCTGTCGCAGCCCAGTCGGCAAGCTTGCTCTTCGTGGGTGCTGCAGCTGAAGGCGCAGCTTGGATCGCGCTAGCTGGTAGCCCTGCTTTGGGTAGTGTTGGCTTGGGTTTGGGTTTCTGGTTCAGTTGCGGCCTCTTGGTGGGCTGAAATCGAAGTGAAGCTGTCCGGTGGAGAGTAGGTGAGCCACTATTGCCTCGGTGCAGTTATAAAAGAAATTTAAAAGTACCAGCATTGAGCTGCTGCTTTTTCGCAGCGGACTCGTCAGGTTGCGCGTCGGTGTCGGAGCTCTGTTTAAAGACGACGGGCGCGCGGGATATCGTTCCAGGCGTTGACTCGGCTGAAGGGTCGAGTAGATTCGCATAGAGCGACATCATTCCCCCGGCTTTGGACGAGGTAGATTCGTGAGCCATGGTGGGCTGATTGAAACGGTTTGCGATGGCGAGTTGTGTTGAGAAGGACAATGATGTAGGCGACGATAAGCAGGGCCAGGTCCTGTTTGATTGGTTTGCAGTTTGTCCGGCCGCTTTGCAGAAATCCGGGGATAACCGGACAATGCCCAATCTTAGGTGTTAACAGTTTAGCTTTCCATCAATGGGCTAAACCTTGACGGTCGAAATATCAAGTTATAAAGTATCGCTTTTACTATAGTGTTTTAGGTGTCCAGGACGGTGGCCGGGTGTCTGGATCGGCCGGGAATTACGTTAGCTACTTAGTGCATTAACTATTAGTTAGTTATCCTGTTAGATAATAATATTAGGTTACTTGGTTAATAGCATATTCTTTTGCAAACGGTAGCAATTTTAGTATTGAGGAATGCTTTCAGCTCGGCTACCCTACAGATTCCTTTTTAGGTAAGATTTAAGGGGGACTCACTAACTCAGCCGTGGTGGCTGATTCCTGAGCCGCGCTATCCCTAGAAGAAGAAGAATGATGATGATCGCTGGCTGGGGTAAAGGAGAATAATGGGATAGGCTTAGTGGCTTAGTGAGCGGTGAGAGCGAGGCTTTGAAACATCCATCTGGCCCTCCGATTCTTTTTTGATAGTATATCGGATAGTTGAAAGGGGTAGCACTTATGAATGCATCTATATCCCTATTTAATAGCATATAGCTTATAGATACGCTCTCGAAGCGCCGGTGTAACCTCCTTTGAGTGACCCATCGTATTCAATAGTGGTGTCTGTAGTAGATATAGCTAATTGATAGAGATAGGATCGATAGAAACAGGTGTGTCGCGGTTGAATCGCTACAATATCGCGTTGTGCATCTGCTAGCGTGGGCGGTAGGGAAGTGGGTCCTCTAGGTGTTGTTAAAGCTTTTGCGTAGTCACTGTAGGGTAAAACTTTAAAGGGGTATTACTGATTTAGGACTTTGTATCGCTCTGAAGGATTCTGAAGGATGAAGTCCATAATCCCGATCGACTTATCCTCGCAAACTATAAAAGAAAAAGTAATAAAGTAATAACCGATCATATACAGATTAAAAACTATATAGGTCTCCTACTTTCCTGTTATTTTGAAACCTCCCTAAAAGCACCAGTGAAAGTCCTATATCATAATTCCTAAGATTTTCTTTTATCTGTTCAGACACCAATCCTTGGCTAAAGTCAATATGATCGTTCCTAAGACTCTGGTCATTCTCGCCACAGCTCTGGCTGCCACCGCGACTACGGTCCACAACCAATCCGGTAACCCTGGCTGGATCCAGGACAACAAGGGTAAAGACCACTACTTGAACAACGGAGGCTCCGTTACACTTAGTGGCGGGTGGGGCTTCTTCTGGATTGAGGACGTCTCTTGCCAAACGCAGAATTCAGCGGCCTTTTCTTGGCCATCTGGCTATGGCGGTATGTTACTATGATGCCCTCTCTCTATCTCTCTATTCCAATATGTCTATGATCTATACTGATATATTCTTAGACGTCTATCTTAAGACCAACAACTTCAAGACCTACCTTTACGATAGCGGAAGTAAGTATAGTACTTGCGAAGATGGAGAATGAGATACTAACTGTGTTTTAGATACTCAGATTGGGACCGCGCATCTTGACTTTGGGACCTGCTCGTGATCTTTGACTCTATCGAGATATAGACAAAGAAGTTGGCGATGAGTTTGGCAAGGTGTTTGACTAAGACTCTATCCACCCATGACGCCAGCCAATACCAGCATATCTGGATACTGTGATAGCAATCACAACAATCAAGTGTACCTATACTATCTCTTTATCTAGCAACCTGATATATTTAACACCGCTTGTCAGCGCAATAGCAAACAACCACGCCTACCACGCGTGAAAATTGCCATCCTTTGAAAAAGTAGAATTGGAGCTGGAAGAGCATTCCTCCCGGATCGAAGGACGTTCACATGATGATTCCACCTGAATCTTAGTTTCTGTTGTGATAAAAGGATATTGATTTGGAAAATTTTGACGACAAGAGTCTATCTCATATAGAAAGTGCTACACGCAGTACTAAGCCGAATCCGACATCGAGCTTGGCAGAATTCGAGAACATCACTCGGAGTCATCAGCAGGGGCTGGCGGGGGAGGCATTCTCCAGCCACTTGGGGCCAAAATGAACTCCACGCCGGAGACTTCTGAGCGAGCAGATTCCACTCCAAGTGCTCTCCCCGCATTGTCCCTCTCCCAAAGAGTCTTGAGATCGGTGTCTATATGAATCGTCTGGTTAGTATATGATCTGCAAACCCACAAGAATTACATTGTCCAGAGAGTTTACCTCTGCTCTGAAGATAACGCAGGTTCATTGTGCGTTGCACAGACTGCGAGGCGGCGGCCATGGCTTTCCACTTTGCCTCCTGTATTCTGGTGTCTCCTTCACAGGTGGCAATGACAATTCGTGCGTCATTTTCCGCTTTGGCCACTTCGATTCTAGCCTCCTTGTCCATTTCCTTGGCCTGTAAGGCATGACGGCTCTCGAAGAACTTGAACAAGCAATTGAGACTGTACATTGACTTTGTATTAGCATTGGAATGACAAGCAATATCTACACCACGACAGAACGCTGCATCTAAGCAGCAGACACCATTACACCCTACGGTGTCCCAAAGTCATGCGGCTTTTACGCCAACACCTCCCCGCGAGTGGAGAGACTTACAAGGTGGACAAAACCCAAACGAACGCCAAGAGATACACTATACTCCAGACATCACCGATGGACTTGTCGTCCAAGGCTTTCAAGAGGCCAGAGAGGTCGGCGATTCTGGGGCGGGCGGGGGAGACGGAGGAGGCAGAGGCAGAGGCAGAGGTCGCCGTAGCAGTCTCAGAAACATCACGAGCATCAATTGATGGCATTGTAAACAAAGTTGCTGGTGTATCCATTCAGTCTGTTCTGTTGTAAGATGTTGAAGAACTACTGTACTCGGGGGGCAGAGGGCGGGATTGTTTACTCCCATCCCACCCAGTTCCTCCTGCCATCGCAGACTCGTACTTTCCCTTAGTTCTACAGTCTGTATCTCTCTATTTCAATTCCATACTCGATCAGTAAATTTCGCTATACTAGATGGATTTTGGTCGGAGAGATTCTAGAGTTAGCTGGCACGTTTCGAATCCCTTTAATTTCAGGTTAATTGAGGGATCATCCTCTCAGTTTCTGTAGATTTAATATTGTATGAATTTGAAGATAGATTTGCTGTAATCAAACTATGAGTATAAAATGAGTGAGCCATGGCAGTAATTTCGGGTGAATTTGAGAAGGAAGTAAGGATGAAAAGGGAAGGAAGTTGATGTTGTAGTATAGTTCGGGCTTTCGACCAATCGGATAACGGAATCTCGAATAGTCATCCTGGCCGCCCAATCAGAAGCGGCGAGGTATACTTTTGATGGGCGATCTCGCCTGGGCCTCGATTTCATCCAAGCTGTTCCGTGATTTCTTCGATCTTTAATTCTAGTTGAAGTTTGGTGGTGTGAAAATGGCTTTGGAGAATGGTGAGGTCACTAAATGGGGTTGTGGTTATTAGGGTGACACATTAGATTCAGTGGCAACTACGGAAGGCCATCATCATATTAGTATGAGATTAGAGTTTCGCAGTACGCAAAGTACAGCAGATAAACTATACTTTCATATAATATTCTCCTCGGAAACTCCTTTCAACTCTTCATCTAACTAGCGCGAGATCAAAAGCGAGCCGTGGGGAACGAGCCCTGTAGATCTCTGTCGGGATGTTACACACAGCGTCTAACTACAATTCATCGTTGCCTCGCCGGCACCGTCGCAGGGAAGCTCAGCTTCTACCACTTGTTAAGAGGTCAGGTGATCTCTGAGTCTCTTCCTCGCTCACTAGTTGGATTTCCATATTGCTTCATTAATCAACACACTCATTCACTCTCGGAATAGGTTATGGGCCCGCTCGCCCACTACTGCCTGACCTGAGTCCAGTAGTATCCTCTGCGCACTTCTCGGTCTTGCTTTGTACGCATCTTTTCTTTCTACACATATCTCCGAGGCCTCCAGATCTCCACGGCACCCTCGCCTCAAGCCCTGCGAAGTATATTGCAGGCCCTACTCCTAATAACCTCATCTATCTGATTAAATTTCTCGAAAAAATCAAGCAATCTATCTCAAACAATCAATGACGCGCGTATATATTACACCTAGGAGGTTAGAACGATTTTTTGAAGGGATTGCATATGTCATAGAGTATCGATTGTGTCGTCGCGTTTGTCATCTTGGGCGGCGGCTTCGGGACGGGAGTCGCACCTCAAGGAGTCATATCTCTGTCATCATCATCGTCATCTCTTACTTTTAGGAGTTTTTTCTCAATACACCTTTTACGACTTTTGGAACATCCTTTCTACCGCGGCAGACCGACCTGCGTTGACAGCCCATTTACTTCTATACGTCTGTTTGCCAATGCCGGCCCACGAGATGTTCGAAAGGTCTGATCAAGGATTCGCGCCAGTTACCAACTATGGACGCCCAGAGATGCGTACACATTTCTGTGACGCTGAGGACTATTACCGAATTCAATACGGTATTCTCAAGTACCATCGCGACTTCTTTATTGATGTTTTTTGCGCTGAGTATGGTCTCCGGGCCACTGTCCAAAAGTTAGAGACGACACGGAAGAATATTCACGCTCTACAGGACGTGGCAAATATCGAGGAGAAAAAGGGTCAGCTTAGCGACTTGGATACAAAGTTAGAGAAGCTTCGGCGACAGTGCAGAATACAAGAATTGGATCTCTACGAAAAGGAGCTGATGATCCCTGCCCGGCCATTAAAAGAGAAATATGATTCTTTGAGGCAATGCAGGACATGGTACATGCGAAAAGAACTCATCGAAGACTGTGTATCTCGTGGGGGCTGCTGTAGTCGAGGATGTGGATGTTGTGGCCGACGTCATCTGGATTCAGAGCGAAAGAAAGGCATTGGGCACTGCACCGAGGAATGCTCCTGCTGTTCAATCTACCGAGAAGTGGAACTTTTGTCCAAGGAGAAAGACCAAATTCCGCGCCTTCGTCGTCTTCTTCAGAGTAAGAATCCGGCATTTTTATTAAAGATAGCCGACGCTTATTTCTTGGGACCTGCTTTGGCAGATTCGAGGTTAGTAAAATATAGGCCTATGAAGTCCCGATCATAATTTGAATTAACATGTTGAGTCAACATCTAGATCAACAAGCTCCGAGTCAATAAGCTCCAATTCGACAAGTTCCAATTCAGAAATCTGCCATTCAGGCATCTGCAATTCAGAAAGCTCCCGCTCAGAAAGCCCCGGCTCAGAAAATTCCAAGTCAATAAGCTCCGATTCGACAGACGCTGACACTGCAAGCTCTGGATCGGCGAACTACTCGACCTTGAACCCTTAATCGGGGTGGGATAGACTACGTGAGTAGGCTATTTTGCTATAATAACAAGAACTCCCGAGAAGGATTGCTAGAATATAAGTAGCTAGAAAAGATATAGCTATTTAATAATAGCGTTGAATTAAATCTACTTTATCCCCATACCATATTCAAAGTAAGTAGACAAGTTTATAAAGCCCAGTACTCGACAGACCACTCTACATGATCTTACACATAAAAGGACCGAATTCTAATAGATAATATTCTAGCTTTTAGAAAAAAACGCTTACGGAATCACTTAGAAGCCTATATGAGCATAGCGCTAAACATTAGGATCAGAAGTTAGACAATTTTATGTTCTATAACTATAACGATGGTAAGGTTATAGTTATTGATCTTAAGGAAGTATCTTTTCCCGATTAAATTAGAGACTAGGAAACTAACGTTAATCTAGGCGGCGTAGGATCTTTGATGGATGACTTCAAATATATTAGGGATCGAAATCGTGAGTTGTCCCCTGTTGGCTTTTGGATAACCAAGTTTTATAATGGGGTTTCGGTAGAAATATCTGAAGCAATAAGTTCCTCGTAAGTGACGTAATGATTTAGTTACTCTAGAGTAAGGAGCTGACTCAATTTCTAGCCGATTTCCCCTCGCCAGTTACCCTGAGTGCGTCTATAACCATGTAGGTGATGGATGTATATTTTGTATGCAGATCATATATAAAAGGTGTATCTAACTAGGCGACGGCCGTGGGCCTCAAATGTGGTTGTTTGTAAAAAGAGGCTAAGAATCATAGCCACACTCATCGGACCACAAATAAGAGCCACCGCTTCTAATATTTTCATTTTTCAACCCTGCCATACACCGTCATAATTAACCTACTAGCCTCATCATGAGTGACCATGACTCACGTCTTGGCATCAGCCATCGGGTCCACTTTGCAGATCCACTGGGCTTCGGCTCAGCCCGAGCACCAATCCAACGAGGCTGGATCGAGAGGACCTCGAAAATATTGAATACATTCTCGACAGGGAGGTGTTTCTATTTAAGATGTCGATTAGTCCATCGAAAATGTCTTTATTCTCCTCATTCCAAACCAAAACGTTTCGTTCAGTGGAGTATCACTCCCACGATGGCTCTCAGGGACCTCCTTTCTTGCAACCAACCACCACCCAGCGGGGAAAGCTCGGACTCCGATTTCGACCGCAATGCCATTGAGAATCTTGATGACAAGACTGTCGACACTCACTCAGTACCAGACTCCAATGGATATGATAATGAGCCTCAGTACCCCAACAAACTAAACCTCTTCTTCATAATCCTAAGTCTGAACATGGCCCTCTTCCTTGTGGGTCTCGACAATACCATCATCTCAAGCGCCATCCCCAAAATCACAGACGAATTCCATGCCCTCAGCGACGTGGGATGGTATGCCAGTGCCTATATGCTCACAACATGCTCGTTCCAATTGATGTGGGGCAAGCTTTTCACCTTCTACATTGTCAAGTGGACCTGGTTGGTGGCAATGTTCATCTTTGAGGTCGGTTCGCTGATTTGCGCCGTTGCTCCTTCGTCGACGGTTCTTGTTATCGGCCGTGCTATTGCAGGAGTTGGAACTGGTGGCGTCAGTAATGGTTGCTTTTTGCTGGTTGCTTACTCGGCACCACCTCGTCAGCGACCAACCTTGATTGGAATGATGGGTGCTATGTACGGTCTTGCTGCCATTGCTGGACCGCTTCTTGGCGGTGTTTTCACTAGCAGCGCGAAGTTGACCTGGAGATTTTGCTTCTATATCAATCTCCCGTTGGGGTTTGTCTGTGCGCTCATTGTCGTTTTCTTCATGTCTTCGTTCTCTGGGGGCAAGACTAGTAAGGTCGGTTTAAAAGAGCAGGTGAAGCAAATGGACATCCCTGGGACGCTCATCCTTCTACCCGCAATTATCTGCCTCCTCCTCGCTCTACAGTGGGGTGGAACCAAATACCCCTGGGACAATGGACGCATAATTGCGCTCTTGGTGCTTGCCGTTGTGCTGCTGTCTGTGTTCGTCTTTGTCGAGTATCGTAGCGGAGAACGTGCAACACTCCCCTTCCGTGTACTGAAGAACCGCAATATCTGGGGATCCTCGATCTTTGGCTCTTCCGTTGTTGCCAGCTTCTTCACCATGCTATACTATGTATGTTTCTGTCTACTTCTCGTTTACGTTCCTCGAGGTCTAACGTTCCTTCTTCAGATTCCCATCTGGTTTCAAGCCATCAAGGGCGCCACCCCAATCAAGTCCGGAGTCATGACTCTCCCACTTGTCGTGAGCTATGTTATCTTCTCCTTCGGAACCGGAAGCCTTACTTCAGTGCTTGGTTACTACGTACAATGGGCCTACCTGACCGTTATCCTCGCGGCAGTCGGTACAGGTCTTCTCACTACACTCAAAGTCGATTCCAGTCACGCCGAGTGGATTGGATACCAGGTTCTCTTCGGTGCAGGCATTGGCTGCGGTATGCAGACTGCCTTTTCTGCCCCTCAAACTGCCTTGCCTCTTGAGGATATACCCGTCGGGACTGCCATTGTAATGTTCGTGGAGAACCTTACGAGTGCGATTATGGTTTCCGTGGCACAAAATGTCTTTACCAATCAGTTGAAGACTAATTTGGGCGAGTATGCGACTGCTGTTGATTACGGTGCTATTGTGTCTGCTGGTGCTACAGAGCTCCAAACACAGGTGCCAGAGAAGCTTTATCAGGCGGTTCTCTTTGCCTACAACAAGGCCTTGGATCAAACTTTTTATGTTGGTGTTGCTTTGGCTTGTTTGGGGATTATAGGTGTTCTCAGTCTGGAGTGGATCTCTGTCAAGGGAAAGAAGGCAACAGGTTCAAACGATGCATAGAAAAGATAGAATTTTTGTAATATGATCTGGGTCACAACGATCCCCCTTTTTTCAAGGACAATCTCCTCTGTTGTTTTCTCACCCTCGATAGGAAACTGGATCTCTCGCCGATCACCGGATAACCCGGTTGATGCTCCAGCCGAAGATATGGTCGCATATATCAACGCGCAGGCGAGGAAACCGAAGACCAGAAGATAAATCCACATCTTGTGGAGACTCGCCGCGAGAAAGTTTAGTGAGGTAGAAAGGATACAAAGACAATGTCGTTGGATTCTTGGGTCTTGCAGTGGGCTGGTCAATTTAACGTCATTTTATCTGAACCCGTGGCCGAGACCACTCGTTATGAGGTAGAGACTCTTTAAAATTCGTGGAAAGGTTCTACTTCTTCATGTAATTTATAGCCATGTGGAAATGCCCCTCTTTGATTACCTTTCCAGGAAACTTTGGCCACTACTCTGTATACTTTGAAGGTGGCTGCCTAAGGAATATACCTAGAGCTTCACTACTTGTCCACCTCAACCCTGCAAGTTCAAAGTAGCTGCCAAGGGGCCCGCCCGAGTTATCTTTCAATATTTATCAGCGACTCGAATAGCCTTAGTAAATTAGGCTATAAAAGCCCGAATGAAAACCCCCGATTGAACCCTCCAGTTGGCCAGCGATGGATGGATGTCGCTCCCCGATGCTTTTGCGATGGATGATTCGCTGACCGACCGACCGTCCTGCCTTTCGGTCCAATAAAAGTTGAGACTAAGAACTCCGTAATGCCCCCCCCCCCCCCCCCCCAAGTCAGACTGTCAGCCTCATTATTCTCCCATGAGCATACGCTTCTCCTGAGGCTTTGTTGGGCACTGATGTTCCCCTGCCTAGGCCGTACTCGGCCGCTCAGGAGAGTCGTCTCCGGTATGTCATTGGACTGCCGTTGAGGCGCAGCAATATTTTGCATCTCCACCCGCGAACCTGCGGTGGCAAGCCTCAAATAATTAGGGTACGTCAAGGGACTCAAAACACAGCGGATAGAATCTCATATGGAGAAGTATGCTGTATGTATCTCCCGCGTGGAAGCTGCCGTTGATCTGCTGGATGTGCTAAGCTTTATCTCAGATAATATTCTTGGCATCTTATACTTCGCCCCCCCCGGCTTCTTTGCACCCCCTTTCGATTTCCTCCTTTCGATTTCCTGTTATAAAAAACCTCGGCTCCCCGACTTATGTTCAAAAGATGTCTTCAGAATCAACCGGGATTGCTTTCACAGAACCGAGTCGCTGGGTTTTGATTATCTTTCTACGATCTACACTTTGATCAAATTCAAGACCTGCATATCAACATATCTATCGAAACCCGCATTTTCCCCACCGTCATTCCAACATAACCATGAACGTCGACCTGAACCCTAATGTGACATCCTCCAACTCCTTGATGGGGATTACCCCCCCTCCCCTCCTATTTCACCCAATCGCCTTCCCATCCAATGTGAATGGCTATCAAGGCTCGAGTGTCACTGCAGAGCATATCCGAAGCTCTGCTCACCCATCGCAAGGAAATCCATCACAAGCCTCTGCCTTCGAGAATACTCTAGAAAATGGGTTCCCAAGTGGACTGCCCCGCGGTCATGTCTGTCCCGCTAACCAGGCGCACCGAGAGAGTCAAGAAGTGCAGCTGAGGTTCGTATTCATAGGTCTTAACCCTGTTATGTGTATCACTCTGCTTTGGATCTGTACTGACGCTCTACAGCAACGAAACTGATCCTCTTTACAAGTGTGGCTGGGTAGGCTGCACCAACACCGAGGGTTTCAAACGTCCTTCATGTCTTTTCAGACACGTGAAGAGCATTCACATCTGTCCGGGCTGGTTCAGGTGCCCTCACTGCGCGAGAAAGTTTAATCGGAAGGATAAACTGAAGGCCCATATCCAAACCGTTCACGTTAGCAGAAGTCACGGCGACATCAACGATTGTGACTGTTGCCAGCACTGTTGACCCTGTTGAGATCAGAAGCCAGGCATTATTTAACTCTTTGATTATCAGTGCTTTCTCTTATGCTTTCACTTCTAGGGTTGTCTTTCAATTCTACTGTTATTGCACTCTTTAGTATTCCTCTGTATAGAGTGTTTAGCGTTCATAGAATCTGAAAAGCTATATAGTACGGGCTTAACTTTGTCGACCACGCTCTTCTACACTGGGTAGTAGGTTCCATCATCTGTCTAGTCTGAGGGCGCCTTTGATCAATGAATATCACGTAAGTTCCTGTGACTTTTTGGTTTCAATCTTCACATACAGGCTTAGGGCGGAGCTATGTCAGCATCGCGGAACAAGACGGCGCAAAATGATGTAAATATTGTGAAAGAGTATGCGTAATAAGAAAGCGTTGTTTACGAAAGTAGCTAAAGGTTGTGGTAGTATATCGCTCAATAAGGTAACGATCACGTTATCTTGTAAGGGAAACTCAGGCGTCACGTCTGCTAATAAAACCGTCCAAAGGAAAGATACGATGATACTTGATGGTTTACTTACCTTCAGCATAAAGTAAGAAGAAAAAATAGGCTGGCAGCAAGGTGGACAAGTATCCTCTATCCGGGGCTATGTATTCAACCCACTACCTCCGGTAAGTTATCTACAATAACTATTTATCAGATAACAGGAAGTCGGTCATGCTTGCTTGACTCCTAATCTCTTCCACTCAATATTTAGTGGGCAAGGCATACCTTCCCAATACCCATATTAACTCCCTCATCAGCGCTCTCTACGCCCAGTAACTCCAATCCCCATTCTGTCGATACGCATACCCCTCCTGCGGCCCCTCAGACTCCGGGAAGTATCCCAACTCACAAGCTGAGAAACTAATATCGGGCTGCGCAGCATAGAAAGCGTCATACTTGGGATTCAGTGCTTCGGAAAGACTAGTGACCTTCTTATCCGGATGAAGCACCTGCCAGGGAAGCGTGCATTCGGAGCTTTTGCAGCTCTTAAGCACCAACAAGAGAGCATCTAGCCGGGAGATGACCTGCTTGATATCCCGTCCAAGTAGCTTGCTCTTTGACTTGGTGAAAAGATTTCGCATTTGGTAGGGGTCATTCTGCAGCGAGTGTCAGTTGTTTGATTTCACGGGAGATATGCTTGATGATTACTGACCGTCAAATCGTAAAGTTCGTGCTCGTTAGTACACCACACCGAGTAAAACAGGTTGTACGAGTCACCAATAACCCGCATAGCCTTATAAGTGTTGTTACCATAGACAACTCCAGGCCCCGTAGGTGAAGTACGCCCGATACTACCTTCCTGAAGGTTCGTACCCCAGTATTCGACGGAGACATGCTCCCGGCGCGGGTCATCTTTGGCATCTTGCATCTCCGAACTGGTCAATGGCATCGGGAGACCGTCAAAGTCCTCTCGCAAGGGAATACCGGCCAGATCGAATAGAGTCGCAGCGATGTCTGTATGCGAGGTGACAAAGTCCACTGTCCGGCCCTTGGGCACTCGAGGACCACGGACCATCATGGGCACATTGATGTCTTCTTCGTATGGACATCCCTTGCCGGGGACCATGCGATGCTGTCCGACGTGATATCCGTTGTCGGAGGTGTAGAAGATATAGGTATTGTCCAGTAGCCCGTAATGCTCGAGTTTCGTCACTACGCCCTCTACCAGCTCGTCGACTGCTTGGAGGGACTGGAGTCGCCTGCGGTAATACTCGTCCAGGTAGGTGACTTCGCTAGAATTTAACTGGGGCAGATCCAAGACCCAGCTGGCTCCGCTCGGCTGGAGGATACAGAGTCAGCATTTAACTCGTTTAAAGTCGCAGGTGCACACATACCGTATCTGGATTAAAGTTTTCGCCTCGAGGAACCTTTGCATTGGGGAATTTATTTGCGTGTCGCGCGGCAGGGACCGGGTCGGTGAATGCTGGAATAGACGAGCCCTCGACTGCAGCCGTCTGCGCATGCGGCGCGATAGGAGCGATCCCGATGAAGAATGGCTTATCAGATCCCTGTGCTTTCTCAATGAAGTTCAGGGCGTAATTAGAGATTAAGTCGGTTGAGTATCCGTCCGACACTACGGGGGCATCGTGGTTGCTCTGGAAGGTGGAGTTCCAGTAGCTGTATGTAGACGGGTCCATCAAAACTGCAAGCTAGGGTCAATCGCAGGCCCCTTATTCCTCAAAAGGGTAGACAAAACATACAGTCTGTCCCATTCCAGCCCTTGGGGTATGGATTGTTATAGTTGGAAGTAGAGTGCGAATTCAGGAATTTGCCGGTATAATAGGTGTTGTAACCCGCATCCTGAAGCCAGATGGGCAAGTAGTTGTCGTTATGGCCTTCTGACACAAATTTCGGATATCCACCTTGTAAAAGTTAGCCTTTTTAGTCGACAAGAGGAAAGGACTGTGTGCCATACCATAGGGAGGAGTTACATCGGTGACATTGGTGTTGTGTGCCAGCTTGCCTGTCATCAAACTGACTCTTGACGGACAGCAAACAGCAATGGTACAAAAATGTCGCTCAAAGACTGTGCCTTCATCTCCAATCAGTCGCTGCAGATTTGGCATATAATCAAGCGAGTTTAGATGCAGGTCCTGATCATCCGTCAAGATGAAGACAAAATTGGGCCGCTTGGACTCCTGACTGTGTCCGGGGGCATGGGCTGCTCCCTGAGCGCCTGAAGCGCCGGCATTGGCCAGAAATAGACCGAGAGTCAGAAAGAGCGATGCTATTGAGCGTGGCATTCTGTATGGTAGAAACGACGGCCATAAAATCTATCAGGCTGGGGTCAAGCTTTTATCTCTACGATCCAGTCTCCCCGGAAAACCCATCCTTCGTTAACCTTTTCCCCTCAGCCATAGACCTAACTTCATTTAGCCACAGTTCTTTTACAAGTCCCGAGGGGCCCTCGGGATGTCCGAGTACATGCGGAGCTTCCCTCTCGGGTATACCGTGTAGCTTCACCACGTTTGTCGAGCGGCTAAAATGCGCTCGAGCCCGTGAGGACCCTCGCGTGGGCGCTAGAACTGTCTACGTTTATAATAATCTTTATAAATCGGGTTCTCACTGATTACTGTGGGCTTGATGATCTCCGAGCTCGGACTGGAGTCTGTAATAGATTAATCTATACCATGTCTGGCTGGGGCACGCGTTCATCTGCCAAGATCGAGGAAATGGTTTTGGCTCAGATATTTCCGAGTCATTTAATCAAGTCCTATGTAGAAATTCGCTCCATATACGCTTGGAAACGTATGGACTTCACATCGCTAGTGAGTCTGCACCCCAGCGCACATCTCTCTTGCAGGTTAATTACACAACTCGAGGCCGTTGAACTTGAACTAGACCTCCGCTGGACAAATAACAATTTATCACCAATGAATTAATCTAAAATCCAGAATCTAGAGCTCCTAAAAACCCCATTCCTAGTGGACCCTTACCCCTTAGCGTTAGCGATGATATTAACTTCATTTACCCCACCCCCACAAATTGATACCCCATAGAGAAGCTCGCTTAGAGGAAGCGGATGTTCCGAGGATTTTCGGAATGTGGAGGGAACATCGGACGTCGATCCTAGTTGTAGTATTTAAGTAGATATCTTCACCACCGAGACTATAATTCTATTTTTTTCAGCTTTGTACTACTTCACCAATTGGTTAATATGTCACTGGTTTCGAAGAAATTGCCTATGTGTCAGAAATGCCCAGAGATACTCATTCATCGAACTCGGTGATTTCATGACAAACTACCTAGGGCTGACAGGCTAAATATCCAGCTCGTCAAGGATCAATGCTGTAGGCGCCACTCAAAATTACTATGTATTCCCATCGCGGACGGCTCTCAAGGCCAAATTTGGAGAGAGTGGTGCACACTATAGATACCCCCTAACGCCCGTCCGAGCTCATCAACCATAATTCAATACAGAAACCCGCACAAGGTGTTCTAGAATCAGTGCCGATGCTCCTTATCTCAAAGTTTCTCAGTCTCCGTTCTTAACAGATATAACATCTGCTATGTAGACCTACACTGGGACCTCTTTCCGGCCGTATACCCGCGACCATTGTCTTCGGAATCATTGCAGAATTGCCCAATTGAACTCGACATCAACAGTACTTTATTAGCAATCTCCCAAGATACGCTAAGCCCCTACAATATCTTCAGTCTAATACAAAACCCTCACTCAATCTTCATCAATGGACATCCATGCATATCATGCTTACTCTAATTCGATCTACCGACGCTAACCGATGATCCGCCCCCACGTCTCTACACCCCTCCCTCCCCTCCCCGCAGGGTCATCATACAATGAAGTCTTAAAATGCAGCGCAATGCAACCAAAAATCTCCAATTCAATCTATCCTACAGCTCTTTGCGCACAGCAGACTTGAACTAAACCCGAGAAACAAGCAATTAGTAACCGCTCAGTAAACAGGAACCCGCACCCGTATATCCGGCTGTGCCTGGACACCCCATTTTTTTCTAGGGATTCATCAAAGATGAAGTAGCGCGTAACGTACCGGGATAATCTGGGCATTAGCCAAATCCCACACACCGGAGTGAGCGTAGATATCGTTTTCCAGGATAGCGCGCACTTCGGCTTCGTTCTCGGCGAGGGCGAGCATCATGCTTCCCTTAAAGGCGGGGATTTCGCCTTCGGCGGGGTGGGATTCGAGCATTGCGCCTGCAACAAGGGAGAATGGGTTAGTTAGATTATTGGTGGGGGGAGTGCTTGTTCTGGTGTTTTGGAAGGATGGATGTTTTGTGGATTGGTGTAGGGTGCTGGGTTTTTAGTGGGATGATGTGTTTCACAAGAATTGGGACTCGGAAAGTAGAAGGGGATAAGAATAGGAATTGTGATAGTAGCAGTGATAGCAAACACGAGAAGAAACGTACCACCGGCAACGATAGTCCCCGCCGCAACGAGGGGCTTAACACCTTCAAGGTGGGAGCTAGTAAACAGCATCAGCCAACATCCTAACCAGAATACGCAGTAAACCCCTCATCTGCATCCATAATGCTAACTCCAGATATAAACGATAAACTCACGGTCGAACCTCCAGACGCTTAGCCTGGGCACCGGGGAAATCCGGCAAAATGCAAAGGAACTCCTTCTTAGCGGGGGCGCCGGAAGACATAGTGCGGACGTTGAAGGTGTGAGGCTGGCGGTGGCAATTGCGTAGCGGCAGGGAAGCGTTCAAAGAGGAATAAAATCTAGGAGGAGAATTGGAGGGGGAGGTAAAGCGAGAAGGGAGAGAAAGTAGGGAGGAAGCACGATAAGACGGAATTATTCTGGACGGGGCGCGGAGGAAGTATTGCCGAGTGTGGGGGGTGGAAAGGGGAGAAGCGGGGAGGGAGGAGAGTTTGAGGGGCATTTTATGAGTTTAGAGAGTGGGCTGACGTGTGTAAGTACTCGGTAGTAGTGAGTAGTAGAACTGTATGATGTGAGAAGTGGGTTTGAGAAAGAGGATTGGAAATAGGCCAATGGGGGGTGGAAGGGAGGAAGGAGAGCCTGAGGTTTGACTGTCAGCTCGGATCTTTGACTCGGGCTGATGCCGAGATATGTGTGGGGTTATCACATCAGTAGAGTACGACGGAAAAATTACATCTCGTGAAAAAGTCAATGATGAGCGGTTTATTATGTACATGAAACTATGTGAGTCCGTCCCAGGAGTATCCGATAGTACCTCCGTCCGGTTCTGCATACCCCAGACTCAGAGTACTAGGCCATATCCTCTAGGTCTAAAGAAACTATATCATGCCACCGATCCCTCCACACTCATCGTCCAAAGGGCTGGCTAAGACACGCCGATTCAACAAGCATAGAGAGAAAAGAAAGAGGGACCAGCAATTGGACAGATCCCATGTTAGACTCGAGGCAGGATTGAAGAAAAAAAAAACGAAAAGAAAACGAAATGATTGAAAACAAATGACATGACAATGATAGTAACGGTCCGGTTCTCGATCCCCAGAGGAATGTTTGCAAGAAGAAAATATGACGATGATATGGGGAATCCACTCAGATCAACTCAAGCCAGTCCTGGTCTATGGACCCAGCAATACCTGAAGCATGGTCAAGATCCAAAACACAAGACACTGGCTAGAGAAACACTGGCAACCCCCCGGGTAACAACAACAAATTCAGTATATCAAAAAAAGGAAGGTCTGGAGAACCGGCCAACTCTATAGACCCTGCAATCCTGCCAAACAACATTTTCCCCCGTAGCGCCAAGGTAAAACAAAGACACACAACACATACACACACTCCCTAGAACGCGACAACGAAGATAGGGTGGATTATGGGAAATCATTAGGCTTCCGTCGCGCGAAAACATCCCCTCCGAGAGTAGATGGAGAAAAAACAGAGCTGGGTGGTGTTACAGTCACGGTTGGAAAGACCACCGTGTCTGTAGGACATGACGACCGAGTATATACCAGAACCTATCGTGTGGCTCCGGTCGGGTCGATGAGGATAGAGGGAAAAGCGGAGGGGATGATTGGGGAGAACGGATCGAAGGGAGCAAAGATCAACTTTGGACCCCGCGGAGCGATGTGGCTCACTGGTTTATGTGAGATGCAAATTGTTTTTTCGTTTAATAAGCCTTGCGATCTCCCAGGTTGCCGGGCTTCTCGTCTGTGTCAATGTGCCAGACCACGTAGTTGGGCAGACCAACGACCTGGTAGCCAGCACGCTTCGCCATCTTGGCGAAGCCCTCGGTTTCGGCCTGGTTCTCGAAGGAGTATGCGGGGAAGTTGATACCTAAAAACACCATAGTGGTTAGAACCGAACCAAAAAAAAAATTCCGATGAGCAGTCATCACGTACCGGAACGGTGAACGTCAGCCTTGACGAGGATGTTGACACCACCAATGCCGTCAAGCTCAACCTCCTCGTCCTTGTTCTTTCGCCAGTCACCCATGCTGACCAGGTAGGTACGGCCAGTGTCGTACTCCTTGTAGCCTTCAGCCAAGATGGTATCGGGGTCCAGGGTCTCGCGCAGGCGGCGGGCCTTGTCAGATTCGATCCAGGAGTTGTAGTCGACTAGAAGAGATGAAATGGTTAGTAAAATGCACACCGCGACTAGACACTTCTAGAGAGAGGAAACATACAGCGACCTTCAACGTCACGACCGTCGCGGTAGCGGTGGAACCAAATGTCTGTCAAATACTCGTTAGCGTAATCCACTCATGCGTAAAACACCTCTTCGGCTGGAATCAACATACTGGGCACGAGAATATCCTTATCGTGGGCCATAAAGTCCTCCAGAATGCGCTCGGGGCAGTCAGTAATGTCCACGTCACGCCAGTAGACCCAAGAGTGATCGGGCTTGAGCGCCGAGTAAAGCAGGTAGTTACGGGCACGACCGATGGCCTTGCGACGAGGACCCTGAGCAGCAAAGGAGTGTCGCTCCTCGACGCTCATCTCCGTCTCGGCACCAAAGTCCTTCTTGACCACGGTGGCGCTGCGGAAACGGATTTTTTCATCGGCGTGATTTTGGATGCGATCGAGCTCGGAGGCCAGGTTCGCCAGGGTATCATCCTTGGAGTCACCAACGAGGAAGGCCAGATCAATCAGGTCGTGGGGATAGGTCAACTTGTACAGGAGGTCGAAATATTTCTCGAGGTAGGGGGCGGCGTCGCGCAGAGGGGTCAGGATGAGGACGCGCTCGCGGTTGAGGAAGGCCTGGGTGGTGGACTTGATAGGGTTGAGATCGACTTCGGCGATGGAGGTGCTGTTGACTTCGTAGGGTTCGTGGTGGTTGAAGAGGACGGGGGTCTGGGCGTGAGCATTCCACTCAACCATCTCGTTGAGGGACATTTCCATCGGGGATTTGGAGGAGCCGTAGCAGTAGAAACTGGATCCATCGGGAGTGGTTAGTTATAGGAAGACAGCAGGCAAGGGTGGAGGATCGCGCCATACTTTTGCATCTCAGATGCAGACCTGCTAACACCGCGCCACAGTAGGATAACTAGGCCCGTCACGGCCACGGAGACCAAAAAGCGAGTCCGCGTCAGGAGAACGAGGATGGCCCTCCATGGGGGCAACCCAGCCCTGGCGGACTTCCAATTAACTCCGCCCTTTGGCAACAGCATGATTTGGGAATGAAGTGAGGTGATTCGGAAAAAGGACGTGGTGGAGAGTTTGTTGTTGGGTGGATTCAACTTTCAGGAGCCTTGTGTAAAACGGGGATCCGGGGAGTTGAGATTCTGGGTTCACTGGAGGCACGCCCGTCGAAAGCCCCTTACCGACCGAACGAATGAGGCCTTGGAGGACGCGCGGATGGCCAGATGGGAAAATGTTGATGGGGGGGAGAGGTAGAAGGAGTGGCGGAGATAGGGAGGTTAGAGAGGAGAGAAAAGAGGAGGACGGGATCGTCGGGGGTCAGTGGAATTGGAGGCCCTGCCAAGCGGGAACGGGCTAAAATCAGCACGACGAGACAGCACACCGGTCCAGAACATGCTAATAGAAGACTAATTAGACTAGTAAGGTTTTGATTAGGAGGGCTCAATATAGTCTATATCATGACTTTAATAGAAGCCATGAACCTATTGCGGTCTATTCACATGCACTATACACAACGCTGCCCCCATACAGTATTCCGATAACACTGGAGTAGCGATCGTCACTTTTCTTGCCTTCAATCGATCCTTTTTGACATCCATAGACCCTGATACTTATTTATAGCATACCAAATTGACGGCCACCTTATATATGGAACTGTGCCAGCGATAGTGCTGTATACAACCCTAATAAGTGTTTAGTATACTTGGAATTCCTAAATACCCCTGACACTCGTAATACCACGTATCTTTCTCGATCGTCCCTTTTAATTTCGACTTGCGTGTCACTGACGCATCGCTGCGCTGCTCATTTCGGCCGGCTGTGGCGTTTTTTCTCCCACCTTTTTTCACCAACATACATCAAGCTTTTAAACTGAAAGACCTCTATAAACAGAATAATTGCCATTTAAATTACTGGTGGTGATACTGCCACTTTGTATTTATTCCATAGAACCAATCAGGCTTGCCTAATTCAAAGTTCATCACACTGAACACAGACATCCGGCAGAGGTATAAGTACCCTGGTCAGATCGACTATGGTCTCCCCATATTAACCCTAGTTAATTATACCGATGTTCTTGCTCTTTATTAAAACTTTAAATCGCTATATATATATGCCAAGAAATCCATTCTTATAGATATCATTTTCTTCTGCTAGATATAGATGGCCCTATTAAGTATACGATCATTCAGCCGGTACTCAACGTCCTGTAGATGACAATACTAGTTTATGAATGGCTTAATATCAACTCCTTTGTTATAAATCACTAGAATGGAGTTTATTGGAGAATACTAACCAAGATAGACAAGCAAACATAATACAGACCGATAGGGATATCCTACTTTGTAACTAAATTGTGGAAGTTTCCACTTGCTCGTATTTCTTTGCATAGCTCATAGAAGACATCATAATCGTACACTTCATGATAATACCTAAGATTGAGATCCAACCCTAGGAATAAGACACTGACAAAAAGAGAGATACTATCCGCATCTCTCAACTCAAACACCGACAAATCCGCTCCACCTCGCTAATCACACATGAAACGCAAAAACGCCAAAACCGATCGCTAAGTCACCGCAGAATCATTCACAAACCCACAACCCACAACTCACTCCGCCAGGAAGATGGCCCGCATGAGCTCGTACGCCCCCGAGGCACCAGACAACGGAAGCACACCGTACCACGAGTACGTCATGGCCTCCTCCATGATCGTACCAAACGCTTCCTCCATCCTCCCCAACTCCCCGTCATCCGAACCAATCACCAGCTCGAAAGCAGCCTGGGTGGTCGGATGAACGACACGCAGCCAGAGGTCCCTCCCGGTGAGATCGGACAAGGTGATCCCACCGAGCCCCTGGCTGAGGGCGTCAACGAACCGGACAAACTGCAGTCCGGCACCGTCAACCCAGGCCGTGTGCAGGAGGTTTGCTGTCTGTCCTGCAGGGTTGGAGAGGAGGTTGCTGAGGTTGAACTCAGCGTGTGGAAGCGCCGGGTCGGTGTTGACTTCCCGGAGGTAGAACTGCAGATCTGGGATCCAGTTTCTCTCCTGGTTGTCTGGGCCGGCGGGGGGTTGGACATTTGCTGCTGCCCCTGCTGCTGCCGCGGTAGTGGTTGTGTCAGTAGCAGCAGGGGTAGCACCAGGGTTGGCAGCCTGGGTCGTAGCTTGAGCAAGTGCAAGTGCCCAGTCGAAGTCGAAGTCGGAGTCGGAGTCGTCTTGTGGGGGAGGCGTAGGATGGTTCTTGTTGTAATCAACCCAGGACTTCTTAACCAGTTGAGCAAGTTTGTACAGCGCGTGGAGACACTCATCCGATTTGCTGGCGTAGGCAGTCCGAATAGAAGGACAAAGTTTACCATCCGGGGCAGTGATATCTCCGATCAATGCGGCTTTGAAGTCGTCTCGATTCTTGGCAGGGTTGAAAGACTGGATATCCAACTCGATCATGAGTTCGTTCAGAAACTCGCGAGTGTGGGCTTGATCTTCTGGACTGTTCGAGATGCCAAGCGTGTTGTACATCTGCTGGCGGGTCATGGCCGGCGGCGGGGCAGTCTTAGCCTTGCGGGGCATCTTGTCGACGTTCCGCGAGCACTCGCCTGATTGGGCGGAAATCGAAGATGCGGTCGAAGATGGAAGTGCGCGGCGGCGGTTGAAGAGCGTGGCGGTGGTAGTAATGTGAAGTTTCAGACGAGGACGGTGATGAGGATAGAAGATTTAGACGATGATGATGAGGTTATTGATGCAAGACGACGATATTGATAGAACAGGATGAGGATGATAGAGACGGTGACGAGAAGGCTTTGTCTGCAGAGGAGTAGAGAGGGTGAAGAAAAAAGGTAGACGCTGGGTATCGAGTGAGAGATGAAGCTGCTCGACGCGTTATAGAATCACGCTAGAGGATCGCGTCCTCGGTGTTTACGAACGCGAATAGCATCAAATCTATAGGATTAGGCAGGCACGCGATAAGACCTGTTTTGGGCTACTTGATATCTCCCTGACCGCCCGTGCCACTTGAACGACAAGATATTATGTCGGGTTGAATAGCCTCACTAAGAACATGTAGGCGGAATCATGATTTTGATCGAGTGTATATACTCGAGGTTGAGATATTCAGTCGCATTCACACTCGTAGAGGCTAGCCCTAACTCGAACACGATCGATATACTATCTATTCGTATTTACACGCATAGAAACAAGCCCCAATCCATATACCAGGGTTCATGTACCGTCATTCATTCTAGTTATAGAGCACGAATTGAATTCATTGAGCAGATATTATCAAAGTCTATATGGTTTCTAGTGCAAAGTCATGAGTAGGCAAAACCTTCCTAATTAAGCATACAACTACAAGAGCTACGTTATATCATACATCAGTTATCATTCCAGCAATCTAAACTGAGCATGATGCGATATAAAGACACACATAAAAAGCCCACGAAGAGGCCCTATGAAGAACTTATTTACTCACTAACTATGAAGAGAAGATATCATTTAAGCCAATGTAATATACCCGTGAAACCTTATATTATCTTAAATATTACTTTTCATCTAGTTACAACGATGCCAGTTATACTAGCATATACAAAGCTAGCAAACTATCATTTAGGAGCTTGAACAAGTGAATAAAACTCATTTTATATGCCAAGTCATGCTTAATCCAATCAGTAATGATATATCACACTGACTACCTAAACATGAAACGAGTGTGTTTGTCGCACGACCCACCGGACGTGCAGGTAACACTGCATGACTTCCGGTCTGAACCCCTAGAAGACTTTCCATGGAACAGTTTACGTGGCAAGATCTAGCAACTTCGAATTACGGGAAAATCATAGCTACTAGCTCGAAACTACAAAACTACTCAGAAGCAAGATATTTCCGTTTCATCATATCCAATTGAAAGTCAACTATAGACAAGAAACCCACAAAGGAAACAAAAAAAAAGTATCAAAAGTATAGACAAAGAAGAGACATAAACCACCAGATCGTATATCCATATCGTCACAGCGCCAAGAATGAACAAAAGGAACAGAGAAAATGAGGAAATAAACGAGCCACCCATTTTTTGTGGAACAAATGAAAATATCAAAGATAAAAAAGAAGAAGGAAAATAGACGGGATCCGCACCAACGAAAAATAAATGAACACCGAGCAGGGATGGAGGGAGAAGACGTCGCGTCTTTCCCGGGTTGGAAGGTGGATGGTTGTATAGGCAAAGGGCAAATCGAAAATTCAAATAGTGTTACAATGGAGACGCTAAGGGGGAGAAGGTCACAAAGTAGTGAAGTAAAAAGCAGACATGTGAGGTGATTCGATGATTCGATGATTTGAACCAGGCATTCATATGAGCAAAGCTCATCAAGTTCAAGGCCCGCGACGCAGGGGGAAATAAAGTTGAGAGGTGGCGCACCATCAACACCGCCGTCTGCAAGGGGGGTGAAGAGTGAAGGCGCGGACGGGAGAAAGGTAAACAACGGACACGGGAGATAGAAAGTAGTCGTGGACACATCAGGATCAAGACATTCGAGCATGGATCATTGCCACCGCGTTATTGGCTTATGGTGAACCAAGCAGAGAGGGACGGCGAGAAGCCGAAAAGGCGAATGAGGAGGTTTGTGATGAAGGGAAGGCAGGGGAGGAAGGGCCGGTGATGGGTGGCGTGGAACTGAGGTACGAACTACCGAAGGACTGCGAGGTGGCGCTGGGCAGGGCGTCGTGATGCTGATATGACTGCATGGGGTTGGCGTCGGAGGCCCTGCTAGCGCCGATCTCATCGCAGAAGACACGCAAGCCGGGGAGGGCCTTCTTCTGGCGCTTGTGCTCGGGAACCTCGATCAATGAAGGGGTAGTGACTTCGGGCTTTGGGGAGCGGAACATTTGCTCGTAGGATTTGAGTTGGAACTCGAGGGCGCGGTTGCGATCAGCCAGGAGGTCGTTTTCGGCCTTGGCAGCACGCAGTTGCTGTTGTGTGGTTTGGTTTTGTTGTTGGAGGGAGGTTACTAGTTGCTGCAGCTGCATGCAGCGGACCTGGGGCTGGAGCTTTTCGGAGAGTTGGGGGGAGACTTGTTCCTGGCGGATCAGGTGGACGATGATGGCCAGCATGAAGTCGATCAGGTAGACAGCACCCTGAACGATGTGTTCCTTGGATTGCGGCAGGCTCTTGGATGGGTTCCAGCCAGCGCGCTCCAAGAAGAAGTCATGAATGCGGCTGTCCAGCTCGCGGTGGAGCTGGCTCAGGTTCTTGCGACGGTTGCCCTCGGCAATGCGGTGCTTCTCGCGCTGGTCATCCGGGTCGGGCGAGATGGTACTTCCCTTGCGTTTACGTCCGCATAGCTGCTGGAGAGGCGCCTTGCGGTTGATGTTCTGGGGTGCGATCAACGCCATGATCTCGGGCTGGGAGAGATCGGTGGGCCATTCGGAAGAAGCAGCCTTTTGAGCTGCAAAGGACTCCTGCCAGGAGCTTTCGGCAGAGTTGGCCGGCGAGGGAGGGGCGATGAGCTGGTCATTGCTCGACCAGGGAGACTTGAATTGGACCGACTCTTGAGCTCCCGGGGTGCTGGGAGCAAAGGCATCCTTGTGCTGGAAAGGATTGAAGGGACCACGGGGCAGAGGGTCCATCCGTGGGAGGGGAGGCAGGCGGCGGTCATCGCCCAGGTTGGTGTTGGTCATGGCGGTTGATTGCAAAGAACTAGATGGTGATGTTAGGATGGTTCCTTGCAGGCAGGTACAGGTGCGACTCACGGGAGCGAGCAACGTCGCGGAATGTCGTCAGTCATAGAACCCATTTCTTCATACATCGTGTATATTCGTCAAATAACAGGCGTGAGGGTGTAGATTTGTGCAGGTAGTCGGGAATTGGGTGCAATCAAGATCAAAAAAGCCACACGAGTCTATGTACGAAAACAAGCAACGGGACGAGTTCGGTTGTCCTTGACGAGGGTATTGACGAATTTTGAAGATAGGGATAGTCAATCTGGTAGTAGAGATGGATAGATGTTGCAAAAGATCGTCACGGATCAACAATGGCAATGTATATGCACGAAAACCTGGAGATAAAACAAAGAGAGGGGCGAGATGTATGAACAATGCTGAAGCTAGGATTCAAGATCCACGCGAGAGTGTGAAGGCGAAGATAATGAGACAAATCCAGGTATTCGGGATACGGGGGCTGGGATGCATGTTTATATGTCGATGACGAGAAAGGGCAAACAGGGGAAAGGGAGAGACTAGAGGCATCGAATACCTCTCGGGAGGTACTTCTGATCCAGCTCGATCCAAACGCCATGTATCAAGCCAACGATGGGCTCGGGACTCGTCTCTTCTCCGGGATGCAGGAGAGAGGAACCCATGAACGATTAGGGCCGATCATCCAATCCATCAAGCGCGCAAGACCGGGATGTCATACAGACAGATACTGTGCATGATGCATGGCGCATGGCGCATGGCGGGTTGGAAGAAGACCCACGGTCACGCCGGGGAAGCGACGTAGACCATCCGCCGGGACTGGGCCCTTGGAGACAGGGAAGGTCGATCGAGGATCACTGTAGCAAGCGTATCTGTCACATCCTGCACGGACGAACGGGGTCGTCGCCATCTTGCAGATCGACGAATGAGAGAAGCGCGATGGTGCCCGAGAGAGAGGTTCGGGAGGGGGCGAGGATCTACAGAGGCTTTGATTTGTCACCGACCAGTTGGTGTTGAGATCGTCACGGGGAAGGACTTTTGGAGGATAGTTGGCCCTTGCATCAATAGTCGAGTATGATAGTAGTATAGTCTTCCCCATGGAGGTCCTTGAATGATATTCGGTTATTTCGGAAGAAAGTTCCTAAGGTTAATCAGTAAGAAGATTCTACAGTATGGAGTAGAGACCAGTACTACTGGGATTATTCGCATCATATTATTCTACGGAGGCCACTGACCCGTGCATCAATAGCTCACCGTCAAGCCCCCTCTTGAAAATCCTCCGGTGTCCCATGTGGGGTGTGACTCTTGACAATTGTGTCGACAATTCACGGGAAGTATATTAGTAGTCTAGTGGATATTAGGTCTGGTCTGTCTGGTCTGTCTTGGTCTGTCTAGACTCGGCGATAGCTTAAAGAGGGAAAATGATCTTTTTTTTTCGCTATAGATTATTATCCACGTCGTAAGGCTTCCAGAGGCAATAATTATTTATTTTAAAAAACAAATTTCAAAAACGGTTTCGTGATATTTGACTTGCATGTTTCCAGATCAAAAAAACAAATCAATCAAAATAGAAAAGAAAACACAAAAGAACAATTCCCCAATTCCAATCTCGACACATCATGAACTATCTTGAAACACTACTCATTGCAAGATAGATGCTCCTCTTGAACGGGTTCCTGGGAGAAAATTAAAGCCCCGATCACATGCATCGATGTTCAGGAGAACCGACCGTCATAGCGAAAGGTTCATTCAGACTAAGGGGTAATCCCGTCGATCTATTCTATTACTACTCATAACAACATCATCATTGATCATTGCCTCCACTTATAATCAAATATAATAAAGCAAGGATGTCCGAAAAGTCTCATCTTGAAACTATGCGAGGAGGTCATCTGGGGAAGGAATAGCATTTAATGAATCTTAGTGAAGGAGACTACCATTTCGCTAGATTATCATCTACAAAGTTCCGGCAAATCAAATCAAATCACTTCATCAGGAGATAACTCCAATAGCTAATCGAATGCTCCATATCTCGAATTAATCTCCAAAAAAAAAATTAAATCTCCTCTCGCTCGCACCTCCACCGAACACGGGCGGATCTACAGGGACCCCCCAGCCAATGCGTAATTATGACTATATTTTTCAACGACCAAAAAACGTTAGTAAACGGGGGGAAGTACTAACTATGCTGTGCGGTGCGGTGTAACAATACTACTGTAGGGCCAGCGAATCCCCCCTCTTCCGGCAGAGCAAATGACCCCGAAGCGAGATGATCGCTCGAGGAGTACCACCGAGCTGGGACGACCCAGGACCCAGCGACCGGGATACGATGCCTGTCAGTTGTCGAATCAGATGGCAGAGAGTGATTTGGAATTCAAGTGGAAAGTGACACACGGACGTTTGGCGTTCGTTAGTTTATCGGATGTGGACGAGTCATGGAGCTGGATCGACTATGGAGTAGTACATTGTTACTGGGGGGGGCCGAGCCCTAAATAGTTGCACGTTCCATGGACCCTTTCAACGCATCGCTATGAGAGGATGGGGATTTATTGGAGACTCAATGACGGTCCTAATAACGGAATCACAGTCTCTTAGTCTTGCCTAAACATTTCTTCACCTATGATGTCTCTAGAAATTAATTAAATCCTCGCTAAAACTGGGTGGGCCCTGCGATCACAGGAGGATCGGAGCTGTCATATTTCGCCTTGCCGCCCCCCCCATCGAAGGGGCGCACTAACCAGCTCGTTCCCACGTTCTCGCTGGACCTTTTGGTGAGATTTGAAGAGTTTTTTTCAAGTTCTAATATTGACCCAGGTAGTTTTGCTAATTGCTGACCGTAATATTGCCAGCACGACGTTAATTAAAGATTGACAGATAACCAGTTGTACTGAACTATGTAGTATAACCTCACAGCTTCTCTCTACTGTACAACATGTATCTGCCTCACTTCTCCCCAATAACACTCAATAACCCATTCCCAACCCCAAATTGGTATTCTTGCATACGGCTCCTCTCCTCGAAACCCCGGTGCCTGCGCCTAAGACCAGTTTGCAGCTCGCACGCAGCCCACAACCTGCAGCACCTCTCGAGGGGAACGGAACCAAAATTTAGCAAAACTTAGAACTACCACCCACGAACCATTCACAATCTGTACCTACATCCTCACCCATAGTCCCTATGGAATAGACAAACTCATTTTTCTGCTCTTCCGGAGCCTTCCCCGGACCCATCGAGACCCCCCTCAAAAGGCCAACGATCGCCAACTGGTTATGACTTCCAGCCTACCATTTCGAGTGACGTGCAGCCAGTGCCAGTGCCCACCCCTCTCTTCTAGAGATGCATTCCGGGTAATCTGACAGGCACATCGGTGATTCTGGGAGTATTTTGAGTTCATAGATCAGAGATCAGAACTCTGGGAACCTGATCCCTGGGAAACTGGATCGGAGTCTGAGCGTAGCTACTGTAGGTTTTGGTAGACATAATTGATTTCTTTTTTTGTGCGTGGTATCTTTTTTGCATTCAAATTCCTTTTCTTTGGAATCCCGAGTCCCAGGATAGACTAGGAAACGGAGAGATATTCATCGTGCAGTGCAGTGCGTGCTTTCTTCGCTTGACAATTCCATTTTGATAGACCCTTGATAGACTAGACGAACTACCTATTTTTTTATCGTACTTTCTTACCCCCTGTTTTCCCCCTGGGTTGGAACCGTCCAATTTCAAAACTATCAACCCCTTGTACATACAGCATGCGGTCGGGATCTTGAACCCGTGCGGCTCCAGGTACAAGGAACAGCCCTGCTCGCGAGGATTTCGCCTCCACGGGCCAGGGGTATCAGCATCGCCTCCACGATTGGAAGAGTCTGCAGGCGCCAATCATTGCTCTAGTTAGGGGTCATCCTCACACCAATTGATTTCTATCTTCCTCAATAGTGGCCTGTAGTGGACTAGGATGCTGACAGTGACCCGCCTTTGACCTGTCAAGTCTCAATTGTCCGGGATGACATGGCGGGGGCAATGTCGTGTCTCACTATGGAGGGAGGGAGAATCTACTATTACTGCGTCTGGATCTAGCAAGTCTAGTCCTTCGATTCTTCATCTTCAGTCAATATCAGATCTCTTACCCTACGGAATCCACTTGCTCTTCTACTACGGTGGGTTATGCTCCACTTCACATAGAATATTACCTGTGACCTGCTTTACAAATCCCGATGTACATGTACAGAAGTTGCAAAAGTACCCGTTCATGCGTTGTATGATCCACTGCTGCGAGATCTCGCTGTACCTCCGACTGGGATCTGCCACTGTACAGTAGATACCAATGTACTTGTACTTTGAGTACCGCACGCTACAGATCTACGTGCTCCCCACTCCACGCAACTCATTTTCCGAACTCATTTTCCGATGTAAAGTGAAGCAAGTACGATGCCAAGGAGGACCCCCAGCTTAGGGCAGACTAAAATCAGTATGTGTAGCGATCTAGTCATGCAGTCAGATACCGATTCACTCTAAACGGCATTTAGATCCTTGTTTTGTTTTTTTTAGCTTGGAGATATGTCTTCTCTCGCTTTGTTTCGCGTTCTCTCGGGATCATGTAGGTACAGGAGACTACTGTACGTGTTGCTGGGATCTGGCTGGAACTGGAAATCAGATCCGCCTCCACAATCTAGTGGCAAGCATTGACGCAGACTCTGCAGACTCTGCAGACTTTGCATGCTCGTGCTAGATACATAGCATGTTGAGATGCATGGCTCCTGGTGGAAGGGATGAGCATCCTCGTTCAATGGTGATACGAGGTCAATAATCTCATCATGTAAGTGTGCTGTTATCCATGGCCGGTGGTTATCTAGACCAGAATAAACCCTAAACACCCTACTATTTCCCCCAGAATATGACGTAATACATAATGCAAATGAACAAATAACTGTAACCATGTATATTATCTATTGGTAGAGATGCAGCAAGGGCCACCGACCCCATAATTCGAGGATCATCAATAGAGTGGACCAAACTTCATGACACATACTGTCAAAGCCCTACGCAAAAGACGTCCGAAATGCCTTCCATCTCAATAAAAAGTAATCAGTGTTACACAGTGTACGCTATGCCTTAGAACGAACCGTGGTTACGTGCGGGATTATAGATACCGGGGAGGAGGAAACACGCGATTATGCTTGCCAAAAAGACTTCCCAAAAGAGGAATCCAAAATCTCAATAAATTCCCCGACTGGCCACCGCCACCAGACCTGCTGCAAGGACTACAGGGTACCATACAGATCTATTAGCGCCTGAGCCACATAGTAGAAGGTCTATTCTGGGAAGATACTATATTCGGAACTCAAATTCGCCGCATCTGACATGTCTTCGTTGCAGGGTATGTGAAGGTGGCCAACACTTACACGTCCCCCGGCAAGAACCACGAAACCAAAAGCCAGCTCAACGCCCGTGGAGTTCGCGCAGGTTCGTACTGAGAGTTTATGGGTTCCTACATTGTACTACGTCCATTTGCATAAGTGCGAGATCTATGCGTAAGTGCATGTGTATGTGCGCTCGCGGGTTCGTCCCGTCGCTCGGGGCATCAACTACGGAGTACTGCATCTCGGGATCCTAGTTCGTGTTATCCTGGTTTTCCTTTCCCCAGTACCTGGATCACTGGTTGCCTCCAATGCAAGGCGAATGTATCTTAATGGGTCTATAGAGGGGATCGTGAATCCGGTAGGCTGGTGTTATGTACAGTCGCATCTAGTTCCCACCCTAATACCCTTCCTCATACAGTATGCAGCGGGATCGATGGGGAAGCGGGAGTGCAAGCTGCAAAAGGTAAATCGGGAGGTACACGGAGTACTGTACAACGGTGGTGTATCCCTTGCCACTGCTGTTAATCATTTCGTCTTGCCCCTGCGTATCGTGTACTTTGTCCACGAGAGGATGGGAATACGCAATGCTCTCCCGCCCTCTCCGCGAGAGGGATACAGGAAGTGGCAGGATTGCTTCGTGCCAGTGTGGTTACTGGATGAGAAAACTACTGCAAGAAAGACTGTGCATTGAGTCCACAACCCAAGGCCCTCACAAACCCACTACATAACCCACTAACACATATGTCCACTTCCTACGAAGTCCACTGCACATCGCCGCTAAACCTCAGGAATCCTCACAAAAGAGATACTTTCGGCACATCAACCCCTTTAACCATTTCCCCCGCCTCTAACTATCAAGATGAGCCAAACTTTCCATCTCCCCTCTCAATCGATTATTCTAGCACTGACCACTGACTACTCCAGATGGCGATCAGTCCTTCCCGAGAATCCCGGCCAATCACCCGCGCCGAGCCAGTGCCGTTCAGTCTCCCCAGTTGACAGGGGCCACAGGGCAAAGGGCCAGCAAAGTTTAATCGGTTCCCCGCGCGGCGGAGACGAGGCTGGACCCTAGATGGGTCCCAGGGATATGGGAAGAAGCTCAGCTATGACGACGAAAGGAGATCAACATCCCTTTGCTAATTTTTTCATTCGTCGAGTTGAAGAAATTATCGCAAGAGCCTTACAACTCTCTGTCATCGGCGGACCGTGCCTACGAAGGACATTCTGTGGCTTGGACGGAGTAGTTCGGGATGTGTTCGAGGTTTGCTCCCAAGGATAACTTAGTTCCAGCCTAAGAGTTAGAAGGTAAAGATTGAGGATAAGCGCATGTTCGATCTGTCGCTAACCTTGTACCAGGTTCGTCCCTGGCATTACGTTTGGCTCGTGCAAGGAGCCACGTACGTGCGTTCTCGGGCAGAGAGGACCATGCACTTTTCCATTCCTGGATCTCGTTCGCGCCAGGATGATTGAGTTAGCCAACTTAACTTCAATCGATTGGGCTAACAGGGCCGCTGTTCTCGAGCGCACTAGAGCTGGTTAGAATTTAGAATTTAGACCCGCGCACTAAACAAAGCAGCAGCCCACAGAAGGCCAGAAGAGCCAAGCCCAAGCCCAAGCCCGATCTGCTCTCTTCTCCCCCACCCACGAATCTCGTCGCCCATCGCTCGGTAAGGCCCTTCGTTCCTTAACTGCGCAGCGCCCGTTCCTGCTTCTCGCACATGCAACATGCAAGATAAGATCATATTGATCGCACACTCCCCTCTCTCTATGTGAACGTTTATATCGTCATAATGTACTTTCTTCCTTAACTTTGCCTCCCTCAATCACTACGCTATGAATCTAGTACTCTTTAGGTTTTCTCAACTCGATGTAGTTCGTACTTCGCCCCAGCCACCTATCGATCATCAATGGAGTCGATTCGATTCCACGGCGATCGCAAAGTGCCCACCGACTAAGAAACCGGGTAGTCCGATTTTTCACTATAATAGTTTCTAATTGGATCTTTAACCTGGAAATCAATGCACCTTTATCCAAACTTTGCCCGTGGAGCGATGAGCCACTTCCCAGCAGCCTCCCCGCCCCCTCCGCCTTGCTACAGTAGGAACAAAGGCCCCCGACCAGCAATCATGAACAACTGGATATGTAACTCCAGCACTCTACCATAACTAGAATAGTTTTGAGAATGCCATACTCCATACAAAATACTCCATCTTTCGCGCTTAGGCATCTCCTAAACCCCGGTCCATCATCGCCCCCTCTTCACAATCCATCTGATCCTCGAATCGGAAGCACGTAAGATACCAACAGCACAATTCGATACATCGACTTTTTGAGAATGGGAAGGTGGGCACTGCGCGAAAACGCGAACGGGGCCACGCGATGTTCGTTTCGTAGATGCAAGACAGCATAATCTGAGACGCACATGGCTGAAAACGAACGGATCCTGAGAATCGGGAGCGGGGAAGGTTTATACATCCAGAGGCGTTTGGGACTTTTGGTTATCGTGGTGAGAGGCTTCATGGAGTTTCGAGGGTGGGTTGGGTAGTTGCTCGACTACACTAAAACTGTTAGTAGGTAGTGCGGTAAGGCTGTGGCTAGAGCCTTCGATCTCCCCTAACCACGTCACACTTTTATGAGTTCAGACTAAGTATCGCTCCCGTCGTCTCCCTCATCGCCTCTGTACTACTGTAATCCACTCGATCTAACATCCTCTATGGTCGGCAACTTCTCCCAGAGTTTCCATGCCCAACACCGAGTCTATTTCTGTTTTATTCCACATCCAACTCCGACTCCGAGGACTTATTCTACTCCGTACTCCGTATATCTAACTTTTACTTTTTACTTTTACTTCAGAGCACTCTCGTCTTCCCGATGAACCCGTCCGTGCCTCCACCGCTCTACATACTCCACTCCGCCTCTGCAGGACGAACCTTCTTAGTTTACGATTAGCTTTCTGGTCTTATGTTCGTTCGGTGTTCGTTCGGTGTCTATATTTTAGTGTTAGGTTTTTTTCGGGATAGGTTTCGGGGTCTACATTAGTACGGTGTGCGGTGTGGCGTATGTTCAGGATAAGTCGCAGATTAAACCGGATAAGTAACTATGAGCTCCAATTCACTCAATATGGCGTGGACTCTAGATTCCGCCGATAGCGATAGTAATGCACCTAACTCTAGGTACCGGGCTATAGCGGCTATAGCATGTTCGTCTCGGATTCTTCCACGCTACCTCATGCACAAAAAACTCGATACATTCAACACTCACTCGTTTCAGCCCTCAATCTCACATATAACTTACTCTAAACGCAAAACCACATCCACAGCTAGATCCACATCCGGAATCCCGCAGGTACCAGACTCGCTGATCCTGTACGGTACTTCTGCACTGAACACCTCTATTCATCGGCGACCACCGAAACGTATTCCATCGCAAACTAAAAATGTGAAACTCATCTAGCCACACGCATGAGTGGATTCCTGGATTCTCGTTCTCCTCTCGAGATCTACCTAGCCTACTGCATGGTACTTGGTATGTAGTACTTCGTACTTACTTACCCCTCTCATCCTCGGGCTTTGAAATGGGGCTCCTGTCATGATTCTGAATACCTGGATACGTAGACTTTTTGAATCGAGAATCGGAGGTGTGGCGTTTCCAATTTTTAGTGGAGGTCTTTTGTGGCACTGGTCACTGGAGATGGTCGGTGAGGTGCGAGATGTGGCTGGGTGGATGTCCAGATGATGGATGGATGGATGATGTTAACATCACCCCGGGGGGATATTACCTATTCGGATTTGTAGATATGGTATATCCTGATAACGATGTTCTGTAGATTTTATTTGTGGTGGTTTCTCGAGAAGGAATTGGGCTCGACGGCCAGCAAGCAGGTCGGGGATTTGGATGGATGGTTAGATGCTGGTAAACAAATACATATTCACTTTGTAACATCAGAACCTGAACCGGCTACCTAGGTTTATAACCTAATCAATCCTAAAAGCCCATCAACATTGGGTAACGAATGGAATGGCTTCCATAGAGCGTGTAGTATCTATTGTACCCGAATACAGGGATATATATCGCAATCATAACGTGAATAGTCAAAGTCGAGACCCAATTATCCAAGATAACGTGATTTCTTCAAGCTACCATCTATAGAACGTACAACTGCAAAATATCCATGGGTATACAACAAAATACAATTCCTGCCCCGACAACCATTCATCCAAGTACAAACTTTGACAAGCACATTACCCAACTATCCAAGAAACAAAGCTGCAGAGCATTGAGTGTCGACATCGCATAAACATATCTAAATGAACATGACCAAAAACATACAATCGGAACGACACCATCAACTACAAAGGAAAGGGAATACCATACGCTTCCATCGTCCGAGGGAATAGATATATTCCCCAACATTTGAAGCAAGACCATACTCAAGAGAAACTACTTCCACCCCCAGGTATATACCTACAACCCTACGCTAGTCTTGCCAAATACAAACTGCAAACCGAATACATTAGCACAAACGTGCTCGCAGCTAAACATATATCGAGACAAGTAAAGGACACGGGTGGGGGTAATAAGATAGGATAAAAAAAATAGAGAAACTCCTTTCCGATGGGACGGGGACGAGGGTCTTCCGAGGACAGAAATCCATATTGTGAATTTTTCCTCATAAGGGAGACGGAATTATTATCATGAGAAAAACAGGCAGTGTAAAGACGAAAATGGAACCGTTGCTTGGTGGGACTCTGCATCTACAATCTTTCCAACACAAAAAAATAGAACACTCCTTTCCTTCCTCTTCAGACATGAATCAAAGACTCCATTTACAGGAGCTGAGCAACGGCGTAGAAGAAGGCGGCAACACCACCAACGGCAATGCTGGCACCGTTGGCGACAGCAGCACCGGAGCTGGTGGCAGAGCTGGAGCTGCCAGAGCTGGAGGAGGTGCCGGACTTGCCGGTGGAGGTGGTAGGGTCGCTGGTCTTGGCATCACAGTGGTAGGTACCCTTGATAACGGTCTTGCGGATGCTGGCGAAGTGGGTGCAGTTGAAGGTACCGTCAGTGCTCTGCAGGTTGAAGCCACCCTCGACATCGGTCAAGCTGGCAAGGTCGACACTGGAAAAAAAGGGAGGGGGGGTTAGTGCACCGTCCAACAAAGGGAAAAGCCACGGATGAAGCACTTACGTGTTGAACTTGCCGCTGAAGTCAATGGCACCGGTAACCTTCTCCAACTTGGGCAGGTCAATGGTGGAGAGCTTGTCGTTACGGGCAATGAGGAAACCACCGTTAACGGTCTTCAGGACGGGCATGGAGATGTTGGAAAGCTTGGAGTTGTCGTTGAAAACGAGGTCACCGGTGGTGGTCAAGTTGGGAGCAGAGAAGGTAGTGAACTCAGTACCCCAGAAGCCGAGCTGACCGGTCAGCTTCTCCAGAGAGGGAACGGAGATGCTGGAGATGTTGCGGAAGGTCATGTTGGTACCGGTGCCGAGGTTGGGCAGCTCAATCTTGAGGGCATCGTAGTTACCGGAGAAGCTGATCAGATCGGTAGCGTTCTGCAGGTTGTTGATGTTGATCGTCTGGAGATCAAGGTTGTTCTCAATCTCGAACTGGTTGACAGTCTTCAGGGAGATACCGTCGAGGGAGGTCAGACCGGTGTTCTGGATGATAACATCACCAGCCTCGGTGACACCAGTGTCGAAGTTGAGGGACTGGAGCTTGGGGAGGGCGTTCCACTTGATGGAGCCGACGGTGGTCAGCTCGGCGAAAGCGAGCTGAGTGAGGCGGGTAAGACCCTCCAGGTCGAAAGCATCGCCGATGGAAGTCAGGGAAGCGGCGGTGATGTCGGTAACGTTCTCACCACCATTGCAGATGATGGAACCGGTAATGGACTCGACACCGGAGATGGAGAGGGAGCCGGAGAAGGACTTGGAGATGGTCACGTCACCCTTGATCTTGGTGCAAGTGGCGATACCGTCGGCATCGGACTGGGAGGAGATGGTGGTGTCACCGCCTGAGAGAGTGAAGCACAATGGGGTCAGTTTTTATTCCGGTTCGTTTTTGATCATGTTGCTTGGCAATATGACGAAGATTCTCGGATGATTCGACTTACAGCTAGCGGCGAAAGCCACCTGGCTGGCAGCCAGCGCGGGCAGGATGTACTTGGCGAAAGACATTTTAATCTGCTGATAATGGGTGCGATGGTTAATTGATGGTTGTTTGATGGATGATGATTCTGCGTAGTCCAGGGGGAAGGGCGAGATAAGAGTGTTGTCGCGTCGGAAAAGCAGAGTAGCGCTGGGATTCACGTACCAGAGGGAAAGAAGGGAGAGAACGAGTGGAAAGAAGTAAAAGAGTCTCCTCAACGAAGGGGAGGAAGAATCAAGGGAAAGAACGAGTGGACGGGTTGAGGGAGAAGAGGAAGAAGGAATAAGAAGTTTGGGGGAGTTGGAGGAAAGGAGGCGCTGCAGTGGAGATTTCTGTGTTTTGGGTATTTTGGGTTTTGCATATCGGGTATGACCGTACGTATAAGTACCATACTATAAATACTATAAATACCATTATTTACCAAGGGGGGAGAGTACACATAATACCGAATCCGGTGCAGTCTGGTTTGTGAACGGCATACCTGACTGGTATTTAATGGTAAATTATGGTATTCTAGTGGTATTATGCTATATCATTCACTATCTGGCATGTCTCTGGCTGGTATGGACCTGGTAAAGGACTAACGAGTCTGGTTTCAACCCAATTCCTGCTTTGGCTGTTTCCGTAACACTTTGCCAATGGCCGATTCGCCCGTACGCCCCCCCTTTCTCCATTTTATTCTTCCCAAGTGGAGTCCACTCTTCAACTGGTATCATTTTCCTTCCACACGTGTTGTTCCTGTTATTGGCTTTCCATGGCTCCTCCACCCTCCATTGAAAATTTTCTGATTGGAGGGGAAGTCCTGTTTGAGAATTATTTTTGGGGCTTCGAGCTAGAAATAACTATACTCGTCATTGATCCTGATCTCCTATATTTATTGCTGAGGGATTCTAGAACTCGCTGTTATCAGCCATAGGTTAGGCTTAAATTGATTCTAGACGAGTAGAATTCCTAATTAAAGTCTGCAGGATATTGATTTGGGCCCGCAGACACGTCGTTGCATACGATTGCTATGATTTATCGATGGCTTTTGTACAACTCATCCTTACTGCGGTTGGTTTTTCCTTTACCCAGTGTGTACTGACTATGGTACGGAATATGGATTCTGGTTTGGTGAATCAGGACCAATCATTCAGTGGGTTTCCTTCTATCAAAACTCTCTTGCCTTGGAATTGAAGATACAATGGCCTTTGTACTCGCAATACCTTCCCACAGTTACTATCTCTATGTATACATCACCATACATTATTAGTGCATTTATGTATGCACACCATACAAATACTTCCTGTATTTATACTTACGAGTCAAGTTGCCCGGACGATTCATCGCCCCATCCACGTACTGTATTTTTCGCGTATCTACCAGTTGTCGTCATCCATGCCCCCAACGTCGAGATGATTATTAACCCTATCATTTCGTCTATCATGATATTGCTGATTTACCCCTGATCAACACACCTAGTTAACTGTTAAACTGATATCGCCTCGCGTCTTCAATTAAAAAAGCCGATCGGAAACCCGCTTTCTACCTTGAACAACACCAAATATACTCACCCGGTTATCACTACTACTAACTTGCCCGGTCGCATCCCCCCAAAACAGGGAATTAATTCCTCATCACTGACTTTGCGCTTGGATGGCCTTTCTAAATTTGCAGGAATTCAAGCCTTTTGCACGGGACCCGCTCGCCCCCCTGCCGCTATCGTCGACGGCCGGTATGTCCGGCCTCTGATTGGCACGCTGGAATGATTCTCCCTCGATTAATGTCCTTCTTCGTGGACTTCCGTCATGCTGTCGTTCTATCTGAGGCATGACATGTCATTCATAGGACCTGCACTACTGTCAGGTACAAGAAAAAAAAATTTGTACTATACTGATGATGTGGCGATGAGATATGGATATTTTCTTCTTTTCCGATATCCCCTGAGCAACGACCACGACACTACTTGGACTAGCTCGTTCGCTGCACAGATTAGAATTGATAGCGTGAGGTGGCAAAATGGGATCGTCGAGTTGCGCTTTATACAGTAGGTAGCTTATGAGTCTACGTCTTATACCGACCAGAGTAACTGGAGGTAATACGGTTTTTCTTGTGAACGCTTTTGCTTTGACCTGCTAGAACCTGACAAGGATTATCATTTTGGCCCGGCCCCCGAGGGCAGTGCCGATTAATGAATCATACGTAAAATTAGCTTACAACGGGCTGGTAGCTCCAGGTCACACTCGTAGGTGACAACCGAATCCTGGCAAGTTCCAAAACTATTAATTGAGCTCAGATCCGCCGGGCGCTCCTGTCACTTGAATAATGGCGACGATCGTTCGTCTAGAGCTTCGGCGGCGCTGATCTGGCTCCAGTACATTACGTCTCCTCTGTTATGATCTTTTCCGCCGATTAAAGGAGTTAACCATGGGACTTGCGAATTGTGGCCGTTAACGTCAGCATAAGTAGAACACTACCTCAATGCTGACTCCTGTCATTATGCTCTCGCTCTTCCCCGGTTATACTTCAATTGGCCATAAACCTTCTCGGCTGGAGGTGTGGTCACATCGCGCATTTCCAAAATTACCATTCAAATAACGAAATTCGTATGTAACTCGGTATTACTGGCCGTACGTAACGGTAAACTTGTTTCAGATCGCTAGGCGGAGTCAGACTTGCTCCGCTTTGGTGGTCTCGGGCCTGGCGCATCACTCCACTCTGTCAGTCCATCATGGCATTGATCCACCGGTCGCTTGTCCAGTTTGGAGCAGCCGAGTCAATAAACAGTCCATCACCAATCTACTCATTACCAGGAATTGACTTGTCCTTATTTACCATTGTGCGCAATAGCATACAATAAGAGGCTTATACATCCCCCAACGGCAATGCCGAAGTAGATGCTCCCACCAGCTAGCTTCTCGGCCTTGCCCTGTTACTTTGAACGCCACAAATATGGGTCATGATGGATACCGCGCGGCTTGCAAAAGCCAAGTTCCAGTCTAGCCCAGGCGAGCTGGAGAGCTCATTTACGGTACAGGGTGATCACCACTAGCCACCGCATGGCATTTACCTGAACATTCCAGAGAACCTATCGGTCGGACCGTTTGTTTTTTGTCACTAGGAATGCGCGGAACACCTGGAGCATAACAAGGCGAGGAGTCGGAATCGGGAACGTATCGTAATCAAGGGAGACGGGGGGTTGGAGCATTCTTAGGGGGCACGAGACCCCCTTCCAGACCTTTGGAATACATACTGGTTGTATGTATGCGCGAGAATTGAAGAGTTTCTTTCTACTCTACCAGGGTGAGTAATGTACAAAGTACGAGAGATTTAATGGGTTCGCCCTGGGAATTGAACGGGTTTGGAATGGTGTTGATAAAAAACCTGATTCTGGTTAGACTCGTAGACCAGAGTTGATGCGAAGCTTTTTCAATCAAGTTAATTTGTAGTCGGTGTGTTTGTAGTCCTTGAGCTTGTGCTAGCGTCGAGTCGCACGAGCAAGGACCGTTACTCAGTGATTTGTACGGAGTACTCCGTACTACAGTACTTACTCTACTAGTGTAGCCCAAACTTGAATTGAACCTGGTTGATGCACAACCTCTCTGAGGATCTACCCAGTCTTATTCCAATTCCCCAGTCACGAATATGATACCCCCCTCTGACTGGCGGATCAACAAAGCTATGCCTTGGAAGTGTCACTTTCCACACCCCACTCAGCGATGAATTTTTTTTCTTCTCGGGGAACTTGGCAAGCTGTTAACTTAGCGTATGCCGCTGACGCAAGCTCGCCTAGCGTCGGCGGAGTTATGATTCCGCCCTGTACAGACAGACAGGCTTAAATTTAGATTCTTCCATGGAATTTAACTCGGCTGAAGCGCTGATTCTTTGTTCTCAAGTTCAATCAGATGTGAGTGTATGTAATATTGAATGGGCTGGGTGTTCGGTTCTAGTGTAGGTTTTTGTGGGTTTCCGTGGATCCGATTTGTATCTCGCGTTTTTGGTGGAACCTTGGTACCAGGAGATAGCGGAGTAGATATCGGCCAATCGTGATGAACACCGTTTATTGATGTTGGTTGGATCGGGTTGAATCGTAGCCATAGATGGGTGCTTTGATCTGGTTCGGCGTTCCTGGATCTTACAGTGAATGGCGTTGGTTTAGGCAGTGACTTGGCGCGTTCTTTCTGGAATGATATTGGTGTGGAACTGTTAGGTATCAGAGGGAAAAGCGAGTTCAATTTCATTGTCTAGACGATTCCTTGCTCTTGTTACCTTGCTAGATTGCTTCTAGTTTTGATGCTGTGCTCTATCAATGGACATACTCAATCCAGCCTACTTCAGCTGGGCTACTTCCTTCGTTTGGCATATAGATCATAACATGTGGTTTCATCCGACTCTACTGGCTGTAGTACTGTCTGCTTGAAAAGCACCCTCTTCCGCTACTGGTTATTATCTAACTGATTCTGTTAATAACTTGGCGCATTCCTTATGGAATTGATATTGTCGACTGTACCGAATGGAGGTTTCAAGGAGCTGATGCTATAAAGTCTTGACATCCCGTGCAGTCCATATGAATTTCGGAATGAATCAAAATCAGAACTTAGATGTCCTCCTTTCATGGTTGCCAACCTCTCCCCTCTCCTCTTGGGGGATAGGCCCGAAGAATATGTTCAGGAGAAAGAACTCACTCTATGCATAAATATTTTCTGATTCCAAGAGTGAAACCTCGTCAGCAGTAAAAGTTGCATGTCCAATAGCTGGATCAGTCTCATCAGGACGCAAGACAACTCCCCATTTCAACTTCTTTTGCGCAAGATCCCGAGCAAACCCTTCTCGGAGATCCAAAGGCTGGCAAGCAGCAGCTATACTAGCACTGCAGCATCCGGCCAACGGAATTCCCCCGGGAAACTTCATCAACAAACAAACCATGACAAGAATCAAGCAAATAGCCCCATTCACAGGAACAGCACGAGCCATTTCAGGAACATGCCCATACAGAAATTCCATATTTTGCCTCGGGGCTGAATTTCGTAGATATTTCGTCCAGAATTCACTCTGACCAAAAATAATCATTTCCGATACCAACCAATGTGAAATTGTCATAGCAATCATAGTCGGAACACCCCATTTATACGGCACAGATAGGAAATAAGTTGATCGTTGTTCTGTACCTGGTGCTGGAGATGTTACTCTGAGACCCTTGGGAGGTTTTCCCGATTCGGCCGAGTATCCACACCACTCGTTCATAGCTAGGATAGTACTCATGATATTGTTTAGTCCGAGGTAGACATATGACATGAGAAGTTGGGGCATATTGGCGATTAGCATTGAGGGAAGAGTGTGGCTGTGATTTGGAAGGGAGAGGTCGATTGGCGAAGAGAAGAGTGTGGTATTTCGTGGAGTTATCTTCCCACTCACAAGAAAGGCAATCAGAGTCATCCCTGATGCCCAAGAGAGTGTGAAAATCCACCATTGTCGCTTATCGACGGCGGCGATCCAGCGTTGGCGTCTACAATGCCATGTATCTGATGAGTCGAATGTCAAACGGCCTGACCACCTGGGAGAGCGCCGGCGCGAGAAGATCTCATACTCTGCTTTCGAAGCAAGACATGCATAGCGTGTATGAATATCTGGTTTGTTGATGAAGGACTGAATTGCATCCCCAATTGTGCAGAGAGGAGTATCTCTTTTGGTAAGATGGAGTGTGAGGAGGAAGCAGACAGCCTTGATGCTAACGCAAACAATGACCAAGATCAAAAACAATGGAGCAATACTGGTCTTGCAATCTTTGGAAGCCGGAGACGTGTAGCAGACCTGAATCGGAGCACCACCTTGATCTCCTAGATCAGCTTCAGAAGGGCTCCAATGGTCCTCGTCGCCACATTCCCCCTTTGGACCGCAAAACCCCTCAACACCAGCCATCGAGGTCAAGTCGTAGGCTGCCAACACGGAAGAATGACTGTTGAGGAACGATGGATCATCAAGGATAGCAGGATCTTTAGGGATATAGTCCTCCGGGTCAATCACCCAGAGAACATTCCGCACGTGTCCAGCTTCCATATACTCATGATAGCAATCTTCCACACTCAGAGTTTCAAGAGCACCGTCTTGCACTTGCTGCTGTAACTCATTCACAATATTAAAGTAACCCTCACGATATGCATCACCACCAATAGAACTAACAGGAGGAAGTGACCACTCCGCACCCGTCGTAAAATTCTCAAAAATCGTCACAGCAGCAAATTCCTTAATAATCCTCGACTGAAAAACAACCGAGTTCCAAACCATATGCAAAGGAAACGAACTCGTAGCAAGGACAATCCAAGTCAACACCTTCCACCTCGACACAAAGAACAAATTGCGAATGCTTGGTATACCAATATCCAGGGCTTTGTGCTGGGCATGCGCGATATTGATCTCTCTTCTTGTGGGCGAATTTAGGCACTGCATGCTGAAATTGCTGGACGCTAGGAGCACAGTACTTAGAACGTTCACGATGAGGTGACTACTGGATGTCAGAACTTTGGCTGTTCGACAACTACCCATGTAGAAGGTGATTTTATCGCCGTCTGGTGAGTATTTGGTGTACATAACGGCAAGAGTAATGACGTTGACGATTAGAATTAGCATGGCTGCGAGGGCACCGCTTGCAACTGTGTATCGCCAAGCTTCTTTGCCCCATTGTTTGAGAAGCTGGTCTCTTCGTTTTCCAGTAGTAATTTGCTCTTCGAGTTGACTTGGGGGTACTGATTTGTCTGCCATATCGAACAAAGAGCGAGATGGGCTGAATCAGGGATTCGCAAGAGTACCACGCTGAAAAGAAGGTACAATTAATGTATAGATATAGGCCCTGCAGATTCTAAGGGCGAAGCTGGGCGCCTTACCCGAGGCATACAGGAAGCAAGGAGTCGCTATGTACGTTGTATGCAGCTCAGCCTCAAATACATCTCCTGCCTGGTATTGGATAAATACCTTTCAAACATCTCATTTCACGTAGGTGACGCCAGTGTAAAGTGTGGGTTACTCGATTTCCATCGAATTAGATGTTTAGCTAGCTGTGATCCCGTAATATCTAAGGCAGTCTTGGGAGTGGTAAGGACACCCTAACTTTTTAAGTAACAGTAAACAAAAGGGATGAATTATCAATTTATGCAGCCGAAAAGGGAAGGTCTTGGCAGAGTTATGCAATTGCGGTTCACCATGGTGAAGATCACAAGGCGCGGTTCACTATGTTGCGGTCTCGTGTTAAGGAACTAAAGAAAGCTCATTTTGGCCCTTTTACTTGGTTGGAATTTGTATCGAAGTGCCAGATCATGATAAGTATCCGTATGTGCGTGGACAGGGCAAGTATACTAAGGTTTGGCATATGCATCTGGCATTAGGAGCATAGTATACAATCGTGGAAGTACTTGGGAACCCATAAAGTGGTGCCCAACACACGGGTTCCATGACCTGTTTCCTGTGGAATAATAATTTTTTTGTTTAAATTTGTTGATTACAATTCCTTCAAGGAGCCTGATATAACTCCCTCCGTGGATTGACCGGGATTGACCGGGTGATTGACCGGGTTTTACCGCTTGTTATGTAGTATTCCGAACAACATGCGCCCTCGAGCAATCCTGGGGTTCTTGACTTGAGCGGATCATTCGTGTCTACTTTCACTGAAAGTCAAATCCAAGCCTTGGTGTGTGCAAAGAGAGCTTCTCATCTCGCTTGCGTGATCCCCTGCTGGTTTTCCAAACACAAGTAGACATCAACCACAGTGCTCGTATAACTGAAAGGAGGCACCCTTCGGATACCCGGCATGGCTGAACGTCGGCAAAACATCGGTAACCTTGTTCGTTCGTATCCATCCGCCCTACAGCCTGCTGTCGTTGTACCAATTCGCTACGTGCGGGGAAACCAACATCCATGTACTCCCACGGACCGGATCAGTTAGCCGCTATAACCTCGTTCAAGCAAATGGAGAAGGCGATCCTTCGGATAACCTGCCCAATAGCCCCTCCCGAACAAATCCTTTCGATTAGATTTGATTATCTGGCTATGCCTAAGTGGCTTGACGTCGCAATCTGTGATGCGGGGGAAGTGGAGATCTTCTGCAGATTGCTCGGTGCAGTACCTATAAAGGCAAGAGGTCGCGTGCCCAAGTGATGGAAATTCCCATCACTATCTGCCCTTGCGTCGGCATCCCTGGTCTTGATCCTAGAACGCGACCGTATTGATTCTTGACCTCTATAATTCACTCTCTCTAATCCTTTATTGTTTTGATCTTACTGGCTTCCATAATGGGTTCTATCGGGCAGCTCTGTGGGCTCTTAGGCGTAGCCGCTGTCGCTACCGCCTCTTACAGCAACAGGCCCGACTATGCCAGTCGGTTCACGTTCGCTGCTCCCTATGACCAGTCCTTTCTGGAGGGGTACTCGATCTTGAAACATATCGGAGGCCTTGGACCGTATAGCAACCGCATGTCCTACGGTATCGGTCGAGATCCCCCCGACGTCTGCACCGTTGACCAAGTCATCATGATCAGACGCCATGGTGAGCGCTACCCACAGGGTAGCGACGGAGTGAAGATCGAAGCCGCACTTGACAAGCTCTACAGCTCGAAGATTACGGAGTGGAAGGGTGACCTTACATTCTTGAAGTCTTGGGAGTATTATGTGGATAGTGAGGGTCTTTACGGACTGGAGACTGCCACTGGTCCTTATAATGGGCTGCTGACAACGTATAAGCATGGTGCTGAGTATCGGGTTCGGTATGGCCATTTATGGGATCAGAGTCATAATAAGACTGTTCCGGTGTGGACCAGTGAGTTTGAGCGGGTGGTGCAGACCGCTCGCAAATTTGGTATGTGAGAAGCTACCCTTCCAGTACAATGTGCTTTTCTAACCATTAAATTTCTGTACAAATCAGGCGAGGGCTTCTTCGGATGGAACTATACTGACTCCGTCTCTCTAAATGTCATCTCCGAGAGCGAGGACATGGGCGCCAACAGCCTCACGCCTGTGTGCCCAGTAGACGACCTTGAAAAATGCGAGAGTCTCAGCTCAGACTTGCCTGCATTCCGTGTTGCTGCCGATCGGCTCAATAAGCAGAATCCAGGACTCGATCTGAATTCGACGGATGTCTACCAGTTAATGTGTATGCTATATGATGAACATGAGCCTCGTTTATGACTTGCATCGCTAATGCTGTCCATCTACAGTTATGTCGGTCTTTGAGCTTAATGTTCGTGGCTACTCTGATTGGACGGATGCTTTCACTATGGATGAGTGGAAGTGGTTTGGATATACGCAGGATCTGAGTTTCTATTACTGTGCTGGGTAAGTACCGATTTCTTTCTTTCCATTCGAAAGCAGATAGCTGACTTGTCGCTTTACAGACCCGGTGATCCATATTCCAAAGCCGTGGGCGCTGTATATGCCAATGCATCATTGACTCTACTGAATCAAGGACCTGAGAAAGCGGGCACCATGTATTTCAACTTGTGAGTTGACTGCTGTACCCTGTGCACCACCAAGGCAAGATACTGATACCAGACCCCAGTGCCCACGACACCAACATCACCCCCATCCTAGCAGCCTTGGGTATCGCCTCCCCAGAAAAGGACCTCCCCCTCGACAAAATCCCATTCCCATCATCCTACGAGATCGGAAACATCATGCCAATGGGCGGACATCTAACACTCGAAAGAATGAGCTGCAATGCAACCGCAGCGACAGAGAAAGGGGTCTACGTCCGCGTTATCCTAAACGAAGCGGTAGTCCCATTCAATTCTTGCCAGGAGGGACCTGGGTTCTCGTGCTCGCTGGCCAACTACACTGACATGGTCAATGAGATGCTTCCTGACTTTGTGTCGGAGTGCAAGATTAATAGTACCATGCCGCAGCATCTTTCGTTCTGGTGGGATTATAATACGACGTCGACGTATAATCATCAGACTGCGAGGTATATCCCGTTCCAGGGGGATACTTTTGTGTAGGATTTGAGAATGGTCTAGCGCGAGTATGAGAATACAATACAGGCACATCTCATTCACAAAACAAGTTCAAATGTAGTCATGTAGAGCTAGAGCTCTTAAATCTCCATCATTCAGATACAACAGTTTAATCTCGGGATCCTTGAGCTTCTAGTTTCCATGCCCATGAACACAGCCCTGCTCATCTCTCTCCGCTCCCTCGTGGATGCATGATCCATGATGAATGCAAATCTTGTCAAGATGAAGCAGAACAAGGATATTTTTGAGACAGGAGCATCACAATGAGCAAGCAGAAGGTATACAGATGTTGGCTAAGGCGTGGATAACGATGATGAGGGGTCACTGCTTACAATATTGAGATTTGGGGGATAAGCACCAAAGGGGTAAGTCGGTATCAAACACCAGAGTTATCACCAACTTCCAGTTATTCCAGGTACTCTCCCCCCTCATATGGCCTAGTTGGTCAGCCAGGTTTGTCGCCACCTGGTTGGCCAAGGGTGTGCCCCTGTGAAGGAAAATTAAGGGGAAAATACGGTTGACTGGTATCCGATGTTGAGAATAACTCCACGGATGACCGGGCACACCCTAAGGGGGAGAGTGGGCAAGCGAGCTAATCCCCCTCGCTCGCCGATTTCTTCTTTTATTTTATTTTTATATTTAGTAGATAGATCTCTTCTATATCTTTTTTTCTATATCTAAATAAGATATTTTAAAGATATTATAGTGCTGTAGAGGCAGATTGTTTGGTGGGTTTAGTCCCGGAGGGTATGTACTTCGGCATCGTGGGATCGCGATGGAGCATTTTGGCGAAGTATATAGGGAATGCGAAGGTTGAGGGTTCGATTCATGGAGGGGTCATTCCCCTTTTGGATGATATGATATTTGGTGTGTGTCTAGTTGGACATGGCTCGATGTTTCCTTTTAATCTTGGAGGAGGCAGTACTCGTGATTTGGCATCTACATAGAGGCAACACAAATAAAGCCAATGGAACAAGACGATTGATATAATGGCTGACATGTATAGGCCTTCTACTGCATAGTATCTCCACAGCTAAATTAACGTAGAATTCCAAGACGTCGGTCACCAAGAGAGAACCAGAAATACACGTAAAGGACGAGTCAGATCAACTAGAGCCAGCGGTTAGAAAGCCTTGACAAGAAACAAAATCCCGAGCAGCGTGGGAATCAAACATTTCGTCGAATAGCCAAGATCCCTGGATGGCCTGAACAACGAGGAGTCCAATGCACTGGGTAGACTGGTCTTCAGTCGTTGCTGCTAGTGTATCATTCTCCCAAAACAGGGACACCTATATGCTTTCACCGGCACCATAGGAATGCCCAGAACAAGTCGTACATGTTAGAGGTTCCCTTGCTGCGTCATCGACAGTCGTGAACCTGACTCTCGGGTCGATCAACCATTCGTAAGGCCACCCTGACTATCCCCAAGGGACTTCCATTATATCCTCCCAGCGAACGCTTTAACATAGAAGGATCCTGGCGTCCGTGCTATCCGCTGATGTGTGCAATTGGGACGGCGTCAACTTTGACTTCCCCTTTTCTCCTGATGGCCAAGTTCTGCACGAACAACTGTCACAGATCTTGGATAGCCTGAGTATCCTCTAAACTAATATATCGTTACCAGCCACGCGGCGTTTGTCCTGTTCGCATGGGCATGATAAAACTTTTGGCATTCTTGGGGAAGTGCACGCTTCGTGGCGCCTTGGGGTGGTTCTCGAAGTTCGACGTGATGATGTTATCCTGCGTATTCCGGAGGGCCTGTAAATCAGGATCACTTCCTTACGGTGTCCTAAACATGCAAAGATCATCATAGACCACGGGGAAGTGGAATCCCGAGGACACGAATCAAATGCTTAACGAAATCAAACCTCCCAACGGACCGTATACGTTGCTGTACGTAATCCGGGCGGCCAAGGAGGAACAGAGAGGCAGAGGGCGTGATTTTGTGCTCAATTTGTAAAGATAGCTGCGAAATGGACTGGAGGGTAACGGCTGTGTACTGGTTTGTATGAGCTCTCGTAGCTGCTCGTGCTGATCAATTCTGCTTTGGGAGAAACCCTCTCCGCTCCCTCCATGTTGCAATCGGGACAATGTTTGCCGAAATTGCTTCATATGTGAGAGAGTGCTTGGTGGGAACAGCCGAGGTTTCGAATGCTTTAGTTTTGTTAGTTTTGCTGGATAATCGCATTCTCTCCAAGTCCTAGCAGGTATTACAGCAGGGATTTGGGAGTCATCCGAGTCAGTAGATTGAAACCGGAGAACATGAATCCCAGGTTTTTGCGTGAGCACAATATTACAGGCACGGTTCGATGGTGGTGGTATATCCTGGCGAAGGTGCCGTTATTGGGTGCGTGATGCTAAGGCGTGGGAAGCCAAAGAAGTGTCATCTCGATACCCGTGGTCTGCTCGACAAGCATAACGACTGGCTTGCATATGAAGTATAGTGAGTTTTCGCCCAGCAGTATGGTGTTCCCACGACGACATTCGTAGATGTGCATCATTGGCCCTGGATCCGGGTGTGTGGACACTGTTGGAAAGACACGTGGTTGAGGGTCAGGGTCTCTCCCTTCGCCTCTTATGCGATACGAAGACGAACGGCAGGGTGACAGGCCATCACGACAAGACCGTGAATGTGACGAGCCAGACAGAATGACTTTCACTGAGTACGTCTGACGAAGCAGTCTAATCTGGAAGGGGAGGAAGAGGAGAAGAGAAATTCCTATCATTATCAAGTGCTTCCGTGGTGGAAGCTCGCACTCGGAAGCTTCCACGCAGACAGCAGATCTGTTCACCAGTTTTCACTTCTCCCCGACATTGCCTCTCCAAATCCGAATCGGTTCATAACAGAAGAACCACCGATGGCACCGTGGGTTGAGAAGCAACTGGAATGGGCGAACTCCGGCATTCTAGGTATATAAATATAGCCCGTGAAGTGGCCAAAGTAGAGTTGTGTCGAGAAGTACCTCGCGAATCATGCTTTCTCAACTTTCTTTCGCGGAAAGCTGTGTAGTTAGAGTATTGTATGTCCGCGTCGTGGAGACATCAGGCGACGTGGAAGACCCTCGGGTTTTGTGGATGTGAACCTCTTGGGGCAGCTGAAGCTGACTTTCCCATTGGTGTGAGATATTAGTGAAGACTTCATGATAATCAGGGGAGGGGTCCTTACGGGCCAATTGTTGGGTAGTGAAAAAAAAACTAATTAACAAAGCGTACACAGGCACGAGTGCTCGTACAGCTCTCGCAGGGCACAGGAGGCGCATACTGCGTGTTTGAGGAGACTAAGAAACCATTACAGACAGCCGACGCACACAAGATCAGGTAAGATACTGAGCGCTCTGAGGAAATCTAACAAAGTTCCCAAAGTCGCAGACCAGCTCGCTGCCTTGGGGTGTATGGAAGGATCACCGCCGATAAAGCGCGTGTCGTCGTATCCGGGGCGCACGAGGGTAAGCGATACGTTCTATAACTAGTCGACCAGGTACGTGGCAGCTTTCTACCATTAAACACTGCCTTGCTGGTCACGATTGATGGATAGATGATCCTCTGATGGTATATTCCCAGGACTTTAAGATCCTTGGATAGGGCATGCCCGATCAAAATTGTATCGGGTCCCATATTTTCCCAGAGGCACTTCCGGGCCTTTGACCATCCGTAGATAACTCTCCCTTTGCGGCGAGCTTCATTGAGTGTTTTGGGAGTAATTTCGCCCGTTCATGTCTGCTCATGGACTCAATGTTTGATTCGCTCTGCCAAGTGGGGGTTTGTGCATACTGAAGCCAGACCTAGGCGATGCTTCGAGCGAACATCCGTGGTCTACCTAGGTAGACGATGGAAGGTTTGACTGTGAATTCGTTGGGTCTGTCAGTCAGGTCACTTGTCTCCTGCCGGGTCTCGAGTACATACCACTTGCAAGGTTGATTGGTGAGGTGATAAGTGTCGGTATTCGACTGGAGAATACCTATATATATTTCTGCTTGGGTTGCGTGGATATATATTGTGGTGTACTCAGAAAAGAAATAGCAGAGACAGCGAAGAAAGTTCAACTAATGTACATGTCAGAAATCCGACTGGGATAGCAATTGCTTATCTAACAAAGAAATTCGGTATTTACCAGCTACCTAGGTAGTTAGGTAGATGCACATATCCGCTTCATACTGCGATTCGACGCGCATTCTCCTTGTAAGTATACCAAGCCATTGTTTGTTAGGTCAACTTGACAAAAGGAAAATGCAACATTGCTAGATGAAGCTTTCCTTGGAAGGTACAACAATTTGCTTACATTGAGCTGGTCTTGGAAATTTCTACTTGTATCAGATCTAGATACTGCAACCTAGCTTCTATACCTTGATTCTAACAGTGTTGTACGGCCTCGGGAAGGGCCGTTTTTTGACTATCACAGGTAAAACGAAAACTAAGCTTCCGAGTCTGATTTATCATTAAAACTTTGTCTCATATTCACACAGGCTTAAAGATGTTGCATTGTTCTGAAGCTGCCTATCATGGTATGGACTGGAGAACTCGGCTTTCCCCCGCTCGGACTCCGCAGAGCCGCCAAGGGACTCCGCATGGGATGTGATTACAAACCTGACACGAACATACCTTGGTACCTCGGGGATCCAATCTGCACAGATTCTACAACAATACAATTAACCATGTCTCTCCGACGTTCTGCGCGACTGGGCGCCCTCCCAGTAAAACCCCTCCTACCAAAAACCCCCCTCGTCCACCACAGCGGAGTCGCAAAACCACGCAAGACCTCCAAGCCCAAGAAGACATCTACCACTCAAACCCCAACAACCTCTACACCATCCTACTGGTCCCCCGAACCCCCAGCTGTGACAGACACGACCCAAGATCCAGAAAAGCAACACGCCCCTCATACTAACAACAGACTCTCCACCCCCTCCCCGCTCAATCGACCCGTCGATCCGCACCGTACAAACGCAACCCTCCTCACACCCCACGGCTCCTCAGTAAACGCCTACCCGATTAACCTCGAAGATGCATCACCTTCGAAAACGGGCCTGCCCAGACCAACGGCTACAACGGGGACGCTCCTCGAAAAGGCAATCGCGCACTTGATCGCGACGGATTCCCGTCTGCGAATTGTCATCGAACAACATCCGTGTCCGTTATTCTCGCCCGCCGGCCTGGCAGAGCAAATCGATCCGTTTAATAGCTTGGTCAGCAGTATCATCGGACAACAAGTATCCGGCGCAGCGGCAAAGTCTATTCGGAATAAATTTGTGGCTTTGTTCGAGCTCGCGGGTTCTGGGGACGGTGATACTGGCTCGGTGCCGCATTCGAGGTTCCCGACTCCGCAGGAGGTTGCGCGGTGTGATATACCCGCGTTAAGGACGGCGGGTCTGTCGCAGCGGAAGGCGGAGTATATTCAGGGGTTGGCGGAGAAGTTTGCTAGTGGGGAGTTGAGTGCGCAGATGTTGGCGAGGGCTAGTGATGAGGAGCTGGTTGAGAGGCTTACAGCTGTGCGTGGGTTGGGGAGGTGGTCTGTTGAGATGTTCGCTTGTTTTGCGCTTAAGCGGATTGATGTCTTTTCGACGGGGGATTTGGGTGTACAGTAAGTGTTTTTCTTTCTGTTGGGTGACTGGCTTTGCTGGATCATGGCGAGAAAGATCCTGTGATGCGAGACTCTAGCACGAGGCTAACTTTTTGCTAGGCGAGGGTGTGCTGCCTTTGTTGGGCGTGATGTAAATAAGTTAAAGGGTAAGGGAGGTGGTAAGTTCAAGTATATGTCGGAGAAGGACATGCTAGAGTTGGCTGCGAAGTTTGCGCCGTATAGGTATGCTTTCCCTTGGTTATTCTAATTCACCTGAACCGTTTCAGCTGACTATGGAGTTTATAGGAGTCTCTTTATGTGGTATATGTGGCGGATTGAGAATGTTGATGTAGCAGTCCTTACTGGATGAACAAACAGCATATCAAGTACTTGTACCTTTTTATCTCGTGGGAGATGACCGCAAGCGGGGTGGAGGCAGTTATACAAATAGATAGTGTAATTTACGTATGGGCAATTGCAATTACGACTCGGGTAGCCCCTAAAGGCACGATTGGTAGGGAACATACAGAGCTCATACCTGCAGTTGCGGGGAACGGACTGGGTGTTGGGCATACTACTCGACCATGAAGCGATTGAGCCATCACAAGCCCAGGAAATCATAGCACAAACAGCACAATGGCCACGCCATACTTGTGTACGCAGGCATATCAATTGGTTGAACAAAGAAGAATCGATTTGTACAGTATCAGTACACACGCATTGGATTAACCAGACACCCCCATCAACGGCGGGTGCGTATCCATCGCCAAATAAAACCCGACGTCTATTTCATGCAGACAGCCCTTTCGCCCTGAAAATCTTATAGTTTTGCGCAGTCAATTGCAAGTCTCTGCCCGGAAGCATTTACTTGCGGACAACGAGGTTGTCGAGGTCCGCACGCTCCTTGGCCTCCTTCTCGATCTCGCGGATGATGGGGCTGAGGTACTCGACGTCCTAGAAAGTTCATATGATCAGTATTATGTTGATTGGCATGTGTTTGGGCGTGGTCGACGTCAAGGGTCCAAAGTGACAAATCCTCGCAACGGGATTGGCCGAGACCGGGATGATTGCGGGGAGGGCGATTTGGGATAGGGAGAACTCACCTCCTCGGGCTTGGTCTGCTCATGAGGGGGGAGGAGGGTGTGAGAGATAGAGCACTGCAATTGAGACGAGGATTAGCGTTTCCAAGGCCAGAAACTGGGAAGGGAGAGGAGGAGGTCGGGTCGGTGCGAACCTGGACGGCACGGCGGATACGGAACACACGGTCGTAGGCCTCCTTGGAAGACAGACGCTTGATGGCCTTCTGGACGGTCTCGCTCTCCTCGGGGATCAGGTCATCGAACCTATAACGACCGGGTTAGTGACTCTGATTGGAGGCAGATGAAGCATAGGAGAATTCCGGAGTGACCGCGGGCGGGCGAATGCGACAAGGGCGCCAATGGCAATTGTTGGAGGAGGCAATGCCTTGGAATCGCACACGACGCATGCACACAGGCCAGTTGTTGATCCCTCGCGGTGGGCAGGAATTGGCGGCATAGAGGGGAGGGCGATAATTACTTCAGTCCGAGGCGTCTGTAGCCGGCGGCATCGGCGTACCACTGGGCGATGGGGGTCATCCAGCGCTTGAGCCATGGGCGCTTGACAATGTAGTTGGTGATCGAAGGGGCAGACATCTTGAATTCCCGGGTTGTCCAATTGACAGGAGGAAGTTCTGGTCGGGGGAGAAGGAAAGGGCGGTCCGGCTGAACACGAGATGACCCGATGTTGCGAGGTTGTGCAAAACGGAGCTTGCTGCGCTAGTCCCGAAACGGGGTGTATACCTTAATGCCTGAGGCAGCACATCTCCTCACGTACACGTGACGGTCCCGAATCCTGCCTCAGGCCGAGGGGAATGACAATCACCGACTCCACCTCGCACCACTCCCGACAATTCCCCATGTCATAATCAATCCTCATTTCCCGTCTTCCTCCTTCCGAACCCTCCTTTGGAACCTTTTTGGAATATGGGGCTTGGTGTTTTTGGAGGCGCTATTTGATCCTTGTGCCTGACAGGGGAGCTTGCTCGTCCGGAAAACGACCCCCACTCCGTCCGCAGTCCGTGCTGCACAGTTAAGAGGCACCTCTCCATCGCATTCAACCCAGACGGGCTCGGCAACAATCGGCTCTGAGAAAAGTACCCTCACTTCGACCTCTACTTTCTCAGTCACCTCTCTTTTTCCAAATACTCAGCCTCGACGGTTCCCACCTACGCTTCACTTTCCACTTCCCCAGGATTTGAACTCGGGTTCTTGGGTTCCGGATCAAGCGCACGATATGCTCGGGTCCCGGAGCCCTCGGTGAACAAGACGGACAGACAAGCGTGAGCGCCTGCCAACCCAACAATGCGCTCCGACGGCAACGGCAGCAATGGAGCTGCCAGTACGACCGCCGAGCAGCCTCAAGGCTTTCATCTAAACGCTGCCCCGTCCGTTTCCCACATGCCTCTCGCCGATGCGCCGACTTCCGATTTCACCAGTCGTCTACAGATACTCTCGACCAAGATCCCTAACTGGTACATTGCTCCATTCTGTGGAGCTAGTGCTGGTGTTGCCTCGGGCATCGTGACCTGCCCGCTCGATGTTATCAAGACCAAGCTGCAGGCCCAGGGTGGCTTTGCCCGACGGGGAGGACAGAATATGGAGACAAAGGTGCTGTACCGGGGGATGCTAGGTACAGGTAAAACGATCTTCCGTGAGGATGGCATTCGTGGACTGTATCAGGGACTGGGTCCTATGTTGCTGGGCTATCTTCCCACTTGGGCGGTTTATCTAGCGGTGTATGACCGCTCCCGCGAATATTTCTATGAACATACCGGTTCGTGGTGTCTTGGGGTCTATGTGAGAACCGATCTACAGTGCTAACCCCGACTACAGACAGCTGGCTGCTTTCCCGCGCTTACGCCTCGATCGCCGCCGGTGCCTGCTCAACGATTGCCACCAACCCCATCTGGGTTATCAAGACGAGACTCATGTCGCAAAGCCTCAAGCAAAACAGTGAAGGCGTTCGGGCCCCATGGCAGTACTCCGGCACATGGGATGCTGCCCGCAAGATGTATAAGATTGAAGGCATTCGTTCTTTCTATTCCGGCCTCACCCCGGCTCTATTGGGATTGACCCATGTCGCCATTCAATTCCCTCTCTATGAATATCTAAAGACGGCAATCACCGGTTACGGAATTGGAGAGCATCCGGACACCGGCTCTTCTCACTGGGTCGGCATTTCTCTTGCCACTTTCCTGAGCAAGATTTGCGCGAGCACCGTCACGTATCCTCACGAGGTCCTGCGCACACGCCTACAGACACAGCAGCGCACATCACCAGCGCCATCACCAGAAGAGATTTCCTTCAGAGGTGGCTTGAAACACCCTCATGACCGTGGTCGGCCACCAAGTGTGTCTTCCTCTGATGGCATGCCCAATCGCCCCCGTTACAATGGAGTCATCCGCACATGCCAGACCATCCTCCGAGAAGAGGGCTGGCGTGCATTCTACTCCGGGATTGGCACCAACCTGTTCCGGGCCGTCCCGTCTGCCATGACGACCATGCTTACCTACGAGTTCCTTCGCAAGCTAATTCACGATTATCAGCATGAAGGCGAGTTGAAGCTCAAGCAAGCCGAAGCTCAGTCCGAGGGCGAACCGATATGATTTTGACGATCACGACCCGTCTCACACCTTTTCTAGAAAATATCCCCCCGACCTGTCTCCTACAAATCTCATACCTCACGCTCGCACTTGGACATAGTGCCCTCATTACTCCCGCCCCATCCAACCCCTTCTTTGTTCTAACCGGCTTGTATAGACCTGGATGCATGGTACAACGCTTCCAGTTGGTGGCTTTCTTCAGCGAATGGGCTTCTTTTTCCCCATAGCATTTCCAAAATCTTTCTTTTTGTATTTTGGTCTGAGGGTTCTCAGCAATTCATTAGATGGCAGTCAGTCTTCTTTGCTGGAAGGCTTTTGCATGTGAAGCCTCCGCGGCCGATACCTCGAATCACATGCCAGGGGATTTTGACGTACATTTTTTTCTCTTTTCTCTCATTGAGGATAGAAGACGTCGGAAGATCTCTGTAATTGTTTCAGCGTGTTTGTTTTTGATCTCGTTTCTTGTATCTCGCATGTCCTGTCTTTGTACATACATTACCAGATCACGCTGTCTCGTTTTTTCTTTACGTGAATCTATGCTTGGGAACCAAGTATCTCTCTTCTCTTGATTGCATTTTATTTGAGGATCAGTATTTCGTAATGGTCCGATTATAGGCTTGACTCGAAGGTAGAGACCTTCGAATTATCTAGGGCAAGACAGCTCGCCACAACCTCATCCTGCCGAAATGGTTCACTTGCCTACAATTCCGACAAAATTTATATAGTCGACACCTAGAGCTTAGACACAATAATTCTCTACACTTATCCTTCTAGATTTCAATATTCTCTATATCTCCCATTTCACCCGAGTGAAATCGAACTCGCTGGACCCGCCCCGAGATCTCGCCTGACCGCCCCACAATAACACAGACATTCTCACGTGATCTCCTCCTCATCCACAATTTTCTTCGCTCGACTTTTTCTTCCCCTTTCTACATCTCCCATCACCTCCACGCAACATGGGATCTTAATGTTTGGATCTCAATTATTTGCAATGGACATGGACAAAACTGTTGATCATGCTTATCTTTTGAAAGAAGGATAGCCTCGTTGGCTTGAGACGTTACTAACCAAATTCCCCCAGCACCCAGCTCCCAGCACCATCAAGCTGCCATTGGACGTGGGTGTTGTTCGATGTGTACTCCACCCAGTCACTTGCTTTTGTTTTCTCTATGCTCGGTGGCCCACGGAATACTGAAATACTTCTTTTTCATCGTCTAAATGATGATCTTTCTTTGAATATTGAACCGGGTTGTTATACACTTGAACTCCTGGGTATGATCATTCATACACTGAAAATTCTGATTGATGATGAAATGAAGATGTTGTTTTTGATACCCATTGTGCTTGTCCCTTTGCTTCTCGCCATCGGAGGTGTGTTACTGATTCGGGGGTTGTATATTCCCAGAATCAGAGATCGCTTGAGCTATCATATCTTCCCTCGTTATATCATCTATTAAATACAACAAGAAATTGAACAAGAAACACATCTTTTCAAACATAAAACTCGGTATAAATATAAAGTACCCTCCTAAACGCCTTGTACCAGTACATCCTCCTCAATCCATCGACCCCCCTTACCTCCCTTTCTCCGCTCGACTTTCTTCAAGAGCCTCCTGTATCCAGGACGAATCTTTCCTTTCCCGCTGAGATACCCGCTGCTGTGAACTAGGTACTACGGGTGACTCTTGAGCTTCGCGTCTGGCAGTGCGAATAGAACTGAAGCAGTAGGAGCATAGGATGACGGCCATTGTGAACGCCGCGATAGGCGCATTGATAGACTGTGAAAGTTAGTTTAATACTCATTTGACACTCGTAGCTACTCAAGTCATGATGACGATGTGGTCTTGACAAGAGCTTGGCTTGTTTGGGGAGAGTGGACGTACACCTGCGGCTCTACCCAGTGTCTTGGGGTCTGGTGTGCTTTTGGGGGACATTTTGGTCTTGCCGCTTAGCTAGCTGGTCTAGGAAGTGTTGGTTAGTATAAGAATCTGTTGGAAGCTTGTTTGTTTGGTGAATAGGTTACCTTGGACAATCCAGGAAACGTCAATTCAGCCGCAAAATCAACGCTAGAGCCAGGGTTCCAGTACCGAGGATGGCTTTAGGCTTCTCCAGTCTGAGCTTGATCGGGAAGCTTTGGCATGGAAGCTTCCTGTAGCTCTAACCTATGGTTTGACGTGAGGCGCAGTGTTGGAAAGAGGGAAAGAGTGCCAAGACTCGATGGCCTGATCTGGGGTTTGTCATCAGGTCGACCCTGGTTCCGGACTCTGAGAACATTGAGCTTCCCCGGAGTTTGTTATGTACCTGAATTAGGGGATGGAAATAGTCATGTTGCTTGAATTTGTTTCCAGTGTCATTCTTATGATTCTTCTGGAAATTTGTGACCGGGGAAGCTGGACAACGATTGTATATGCTCGCAGTACTTTATGGAGTACATGAGTCGAACAAGCGGGGTACTCATGACCCCGGACTGCAATTAAATAAGCTTATCATGGCCCCTAAAGCAGAGACATAGGGGTCTGCTAGTCTATAGCCGAGCTGATACTAATAGAGCGGTATGTCTGATTCTCCATCGCTATGGCCTCCTAGCTACGTCTTACTGCTCCGCGACCGGCATACTATACTTCTTGCCTGCAGCCTCGCACCTTCTTTAAAGCCGAGCATCTCACCAATCATTCTCGGATACAGCCGGTCATTTGATCGGACCCCGGACCAAGTGTCCGACATAAACGAGTCTCGGAGGTTGCTTGATTGAATTTGCCGAAACTGTATGCTATCTCCGAATGGACCGCTCGGAACGGAGATGTTGACGCACGGAGGATTTTGTATATGAGCGATGGGCTATAGTTTGTATGAGTATTATTTTAAGAGACATGTTCTGACAGAGGTCATATGAGATTTACAAATATGAAATCATAGGCCCATTGAAATGCTTATCACTACCGTGAACGTAATATCCATAGTTTCATATCATCGATATCTAATTGGCTCAGGATCGCTTTTCGGGAAACGTGCAGCTTCGTGAGATCCCGCGGAGACATCGCGGACAACTTCCATATGCCCGGTGAGACTCACCACCATAACCAACCAGACACCAATATCACTGAATCTAGAGCATTAATAGCACAAGGAAATACTGTCAGAATTCAGCAACGTAACTCTCATTTATCAATCGCATTCCAAGTCTGGCCAGGCCGTGATGAGTCAGCTCCGATAGCCGCCGGTTGATCCGAGGTCGCAGCGGGATTACATAAGAATCAGATTATTTAGCAATGAATTCATCACCTCCCTCCCCGTATCAGATCTGCTTTTTCGCCATCCACCTTACACTTCACAAACCCACCTTTCAACCATCAACCTCACCACCAAAACACATCCAAATACCCCTTCAAATACAATCACAACAATGTTCAAGCGTCTCGTCACCGTCGCCCCCCGCGTCGGCGTTGCGGCACCCCGTGCCTTCGCTCCCCTCGCTGGCCTGCAGTCCGTCCAGCCCGTCCAGCGTCAGACTCCTGCCCCGACCCAGCGGAGAAGTTACCACGAGAAGGTCCTCGATCACTACAATAACCCCCGGAATGTCGGCTCCATGAAGAAGGGTGACCAGGACGTTGGTACCGGTCTCGTCGGTGCCCCCGCTTGTGGCGATGTCATGAAGCTCCAGATTCGTGTGAACAAGGACTCTGGCCGCATTGATGACGTTGTCTTCAAGACTTTCGGGTGTGGTAGTGCTATCGCTTCGTCGTCTTATCTGACTGAGCTCGTCCGTGGAATGACCCTGGAAGAGGCTGGCAAGATTAAGAATACCGATGTGGCGAAGGAGCTCTGCTTGCCTCCTGTCAAGTGTATGTTGTGATCCCTGCCCTTGCATTATCTATTTGCACTGTCTCCGAGGAAATACTTGTACTAACTTTGTCGTTAAAGTGCACTGCTCCATGCTCGCTGAGGATGCTATCAAGTCCGCCATCTCCGACTACTACACCAAGAACCCCAAGGCCCGCACCACCGATCTCTCCGGCACGGGCGCCTCCATGGCCGATATCGACCAGCCCACCGCCGGCAGCCCTGCCGCTTCCCTTTAAAGCGGGACAGGAACTTGCCTGCTAAAACATGACATTCATTTTACGAGCACACCCCCTTCGATACCATTGTCACTAGTACAATCGTTTGATCGAGGATATTCCCAGTAGTTATGCGCATGTCCCCACTCCTAAATGCAGAGCAGGCAAAACGATCGGACGGAGATGGAGTTGAGTTGGCTTTGATCATCGGACAGCCGGACCTCAACCTGAACCTGAATCTGGCTTGAAGAAAAATCAAGTCAGCCGGTCCGGTCTTGTCTTGGGATGATGGGTGGAGTCTTTTTTTTTTCAAACAAATTTGCACATTTGTTTGCTGTACAGAATTTTCCTTTTCCTTTTCTTCTTGGCCTGGTTCTTTATGGTATACAGAACACCCATATGGTTTTCTCTTTTTTTATTTTTTTCTTTCTGTGATGGCGCCTCGGTATCTGGGATCCTCGATCGATACTCTCTATTCTGAAAAGCGTGCGGCCGTGATAGTTTCAATGAAACGATGATATCAGAACTTGGACTTTGTAGCTGTTTCTTGTAGATGTACTCGTTGGAAAGTTGTTCGGTGGAGATGCTGAAAAGATGTAATCGTCTATTATCTTTTTGAGTGTCTATGAACAAGATATCTATACAAGCTGTCCATCCCTGATAGCTCATCGAGGAGCCACGGCAGATCAGGACTGTAGACCGAACAAGAGAAGAGGGGGGACCATCGATGGGAATCATCCCGACAAGGGACCAGAACAGAAGATAAAACAAGAAGTAAACGCAAACGTAAACGCCATCGCTGATGCACAGATAGACCGGCCAAGACAATCCGTGCCCTAAACAAAATCCCAGGGAATATTTACATCAACAACTCAACTCACATTAGCTACCACACACATGTACCGACTAGGTCTAAAAGCCAGTCCGCAACCCGAAACGGCTCTTCAACGACAAGACGGTCTCGAAAACGGAGAGTCTCACTTCGACGCGAAGGAAACCAGCCCACGCAGCCAGGAGCTGGAAGAAGTTCCGGAAGATACCGCCCGAGTCGCGGATGGACTCCATTTGCTCTTCGAAGACGGTGCGGGTAGCATACCGTGCTAGGATGAGGAATGTGCGCATGGGGCCCTGGCGGGTGTGCAAGTTTTCATCGAGACTGCGGGCTGGAAGGGGTGTTAGTAACGTCAACTTGTAACTTCAAGCATGGGGAGGAAAACTTACTAAGATCGTTTGTCTTCAGAATCAGCAGGATAATACGCGGGACTTGGCCCAGCAACACGACTAGCTGCTGCAACATGCCCTCGCCCAGAGCACTGGTAACTTCCTTCTTTTCCTCGGCGGTTCGTGCAGATGCAACGTTCTTTTTTGTCAACACGCTATAGTCACGACCGGTGATAGCGCTAGCAAAGAGGGGGAACTGCTCGTCCGTGACACCGGCTACCTTGTAGGCATACTCGCGCATCCGGGGCACGTCAGCGTCGATCACAGCCAGCCATAGCTTGGCGTAATTGCGGCGCAGATCGCGGTCGATGTTGCGGTATAGACCGTGGTCATACAGGATGATATCAAAGTTGGGATGTCGGCGGTTAGGGTTCGGGCGAATGGCGATGTTGCCGCCGTGCGGGTCGCAGTGTAGCGGGGCCTCGTCGCCGAAGATCATTTCGTTGAAGATATGGGCGAATGCAGCGGAGACTTCGTCGCGGTCGATGTTGTTGGCGTCTAGGAAGGCGAGGTCGTCGGGGCGGCGGCCAGCGATGAATTCCATAACGAGGATGCGCTTTTGCGACCACATCACTGAAAGTAGTTAGTATTGGGGTGTCACGGGAGGCAGGTATGAGGAGGTGAGATACCTTCGGGAATAACCAATGGCGCGTCGGAGTGCTTTTTGAAATACTCGCTGGCAACGGTAGCATTCTGCGCTTCCATACGGAAGTCCAATTCCACAGGCAAAGAAAGATCCATCTCTCGCGACAACCACTCGAGATCATATTCCGGGAAGAAGCGCTTGAGCATCGAGAACGTGAACCGAGTCAACGACAAGTCCAGCGGCACCCACTCAGCAAGAGCAGGATGCTGCACCTTGACAGCAACCTTTTGACCGGTTTCTTTCAGCGTGGCAATGTGAACCTGGGCGAGAGAGGCGGCACCAATCGGAGTAGGCTCGAACGAACTAAATAGTTCGTCGATTGTCTGGCCGGTATCGGTCACGAACATCTCTGCAATTGATTCGATCGACGAGACGGGGCATTTGTCCTGCAGCGGGATAAAGGTTGAGGTCCATTCGATGGGGAGAAGGTAGCCCATGCTACTCAGATGCTGGCCAAGCTTGATGAAGATTGAGCCATTCTTCTCCAACACGCGCAGGGTACGCTCCGCACAACGCTTGTGGCATGCGCGGATTAGGGCGTCATAGTCTTCGGGTGATGCGACGGAGGCTTGGTTGAGGGTAACACGGTAGCTACGAAGGAGAGACTGATTAGCAAATTGCCTGGGTATAATCCTTTGCGCCATGCATGCTTCCAGTCCACTTACTCATTGATACACACGGCGAGAGTACCAACGACACGACCACTTCTCCTCGCCGCACCGTAGATATGCTTGACGTTATCCGAGAACGCGAATGCTCCAGCACCAAGCAACCCCAGGATAACCAAATACTTGAGATAATTCCTCCGTGCGGGGCTCGACTTGACCTCCTCGACACTACCCTTCACACTCGTAGTATCCACGGAAAGGAGCGGCGAACTCGTGGCAAGAGTGCGCTTCGAAGAAGCCGAAATCAAGTTTACCCACTTTTGTCGAGGACTCCATGACTTCCTAGTATTTGCGTGCGATACAGGCGACGTGCGCAGAACCAATTTCGAGTATGTATGAAACGAGGCGCCGGCGGAAATCGAAGTTTTGAACGATTGTCCGATAACCGTGGTGGGATTGGCGCAGGCCCGCAGCGGCATGCGAAGCGCAGCGCTCATTCCGGCAGGTACAATTCCAATAACGAGAAATGTGGCGCAAAATGTAAGGACTGGTGTATGTGTTTGCGTTCACTCCATCGTCTGGGAGGGGGATTGTTGTGTTTGATCAAGGAGATTTTTTTGAAGAGGCTCGCCACCAATCGGCTGATGCTTGCCCGGTCTCGGGCCGCATGGCTCTGCACGTGATCCCGAGACGTATACAATCGACGTCATTGCCATTCAGGAACCAGGGGACCTGAGCGAGTATATTTTGTATCTGAATTTCTAGTTTAAAGCTAGGAGTATATGATAACAATGAATAATTATGTATCATTGATAAGTTATGTAGGCTCTATGTGTAGCAGCCAGTGCTTCAACATAGACAGCAAAAAGGGAACTTTAGACATAAGAAAATAAACCCTTTAACCCAATCCCCATCTTTTATTCACAACGCCGCCAGGTTTCACTCAGAAATAAAAAACATAAACCAAACAATTCATAAAGATAGTAGAAACTTGCTTGACTTGAGAGACATGACATCATGGATCACGTCCACTCAGAGTCAGCAATAGTAGGGCGTCGACGCCTGGGGATGATCGAGGATCGTCGATTGAGAGAACTCGGGGCTTTATCTTCATCTTGTAGCATCTCAACTTGTGAGAGGCGATTGGACATGCCCCGAGGCATTCGAGGGCGCGCAGCCGGAGCGCCGCCATTTAGGGCAGACCCCAAGGATGAGGTACTGCCATCACGGCTGCCGGGCCGGAGCGCCAGAGAAGACTGACTGAGGGCATTTCGGGGATGCCGGGGTGTCTCACGGCCCTCGAGGAATGCACGGGATTGACTGGTGCGGTTTGCCGAAGGAGTAGAAGGAGTAGAGTTGGCAAACGGATTAGGACTCGAGGTGGATGTACTCTTACGGCGGCTAGTAGGTCTGCGCATGAGACCAAGGGAGTTGTTGCTCCGCTCGCTGGATTGAACCAGCTTCCCGGCCATGTCTCGAACCAGGATAGCAGGATCGTTTTCAAGTTCCCTGATTGCATCTAGCAGACCATACGTGGCAAGCAGGCCGCCCTGCTGCTCGCTGGAATCACAGATGCTGGAGATGATACGAAGAAGGTTGAGTCGGATAGCGGCTTTGTTGTGGTGGAGCTTCTGCCCCAGCCTGGTGAACAGGTCGGCGCGAGCCAGAGTTGATGCCACGGGGGGACTCAATCGCAGAAGCTTCTGCAGGGGTTCGAGAAGGTTCTCAAATGCATTTGCTTTGGAGAGTGTCAGGCATCGCACGATAGCATCAGTGAACGACATCTTGTCATGTCGGTTCTCCAAAAGATGCTCTTCGACCTTGGCGGTTTCTTCTTGGAGCCTGTTAAAACGTTAGTCATGAGCTCGAGTCACCTACCATCATTCCCGTTTAGAACTTACCATGTGAAAATGGCATCCAATGCAGTAACCTGCCAGTATGGATCTGCAAGAAGAGAGATGTAGAATGCGAGACCCTTGTTGCGCCACAACTCCCGGCGACCGACCTTACCAGACTGAGCCATGTCGCAGAGAATGGGCAGGGCAAACTCTTTCAAGGGCCGTTCGGTTTTGACGATCTTCTGGAGCAAAGGAACAATACCGTTCAGCGCGGCATCCTCTTGCCTGGTCTTGTTAAGACGACACATGTTGTAAATTGTGTTGAGGATTTGGTTCGAGACTTCGCGGAAGTGGCTGCGTTTCATGGTGGACTGGAGGAGTTCGGTGAGCACATCAATAGCATTGGAGTTTTGAAGCGAGTCCAGAGTAGTCGACAGCATAGACAGGTTTTTGATGAACTTCAACATCGTCACCTGGTGGACGGGCGACATTCGTCGAAGTTCTTTCAGGACCCCTGCGGTAGGTTGTTAGCATTCCAATTCAGACGTAGATTGAGGGTCGAGTTGCTTACGATGCAAGACAGTTCGCTCTGCCACCATCTCCTTCACATGATTCTCGGCCTGCGAGAAAATGAAGAAAATGTTCGCAATGCGACCTTCGATGACCTCCGCCAGTTCTCCTTCCTCATCCAAGACTCTACTCAAGACGAGAGACAGAGGATCCAGCACAGAGTTGCGAGACAGGATCCTACAAAAGTCGTTCTTGGGTGTAGAACCCTAAGTGATGGTTGTTAGTGTCAATGTAAGGAATCCGTTTGATTCGGAGCCAACTCACTTGTAGTTCAAACACGCTCCAGATACCGTTCACTCCGATCAATACCAGGTCCCGCTCATCTTCATAGTCATCCTCCAGGAACTCGACCAGCACATTGAGACCACCAGCACTGACAAACATCTGAAGCGTGAGAGTCGACGTCTGGTACATCTGCTGCACAAAAGCGGCAGCCTCCAAACGAATCTCACGAGGGTACTTCTTCGATGCGAACTCATTGACAATGGGAATGCCACCAACGAAGCAGAGGTTCTCCTGAACCTCGTAGTCGTTATAGATGATGGCATTCACCACTCGAAGAAGACAAAAGACGATGTCACGGCGGCGCGAGGTATCGAGAATCTCCAGAATAGGCAGCATGCCGTGAGCGCTGATGATAATATTCTTTGTCTCCGGCAGATCACAGAATATCGTGAGAAGCTGTTCGGAGATCTCTGCAAGAACATCCTCATCTTGGGATGTCTTGAGAGAACCCACCAGCCCTTCAACTTGGTTCCGGAGACGGGCATACTTGTCACGAGCAATGTTGGCTTCAAGATCCATTTCATCGAAGCCTTCCTCCAATTGCGCGAACGGATCGTCGTCATCGTCCTGATCGCCGAGCCATGAGTTGTTTGACAGCTTGGAGTTTAGCATCAGTGTGCTCTTATCCGAACCATCGTCGCTCTCCGGCTTATCCAGAGCCACCTGATCGGCCCCGAGGATGTCGGAGAAGTCTTCATCGCTCTCATTTTCGGCGAATCTCTGGATCTCGATAGTGGAGCGATCACGTTTCACGGAGAGCTGCTTTCGCAGCTGTGGATGATGGCCTGCTAACTCATCATCAAAAAGCCAGTCTTTTTCGTGAGTTGGAGAGGCAGGGTCGTCGTCGAACTCCTAGTTTTGGTCAGTAGGTTGCAGATTAATATTATTCCGTTAAATTTCGCGTACCTGGAATACCCCCAGCTTCCGATCAAGGACATCCTCGTTGGCCATAATAAGGTCCGTGTAATCTTCCACGGAATTCTCCTTGTAAAGAGCCGCTGGACGAGCTCGTCTCACCGGAGGTGCGGGGGTTTGAGTCAAAATGGGAACATTTTGCAAGGCTGACGCCTGCTGCACCTTGCTCGGTTGGCGTCTTCCAGAGCTGCGAGACTTGGAGGGTTCAGCCGATGGTGCCTTAGCTGGATAGGGTCGGATTGTCTGCAGAGGATCATTCTCAGCCTGGATTGACTCGCGTGAGTTATCGTCAAACTCATCGAAGCTGTCATCTGTTCTAAGCATAGTCCCGTCGAGAGACGCAAACGCCTTGAGCTTCTCGGAGGAAAGCTTCCCACCGAAGTTGTCGTGGGGCCTCAAGTGAGGTAGTTGTAGTGCACTGGGGGATATCGCGGTGACAAAGTCGTCGTCCCAATTATCATCCTCATTTGAGGATGGAGACCGGAATCGATCAGCAGTTTTGGCGGACGTTGGAGAAGGCAGTGTATCCACGAGAGAACTGCTACGAGCAGCAGGCAATGGCCCCGCATTGGGATCAAACTTGCTAGACTTTCTCGAGGTACCAGCACCGGGAGACCGCAACGCTTCGTTCCATTCTTGCACGCTCTTAACGGCTTCTTCATACTCTGTTGATTTTTTAGGAACGACCGAATCAGTTCGGCGCGCATTGACGATCCAAGGGTGCTTAAGAAGCTTCCTTGCGGATACCCGAAGATTGGGATCCTTCTGGAAGCATTGCATCAGGAAATCTTTCACGGCCTAGAAGTGGTTTTAGCGTAATGAATGTGGATTCTGGCAGAGGATTCACATACCGGCGAAGCACCCTGGGGGAGAGGAGGGTGATCATCATTGACAATGCGGAACAGAGCGGGCATTGGTTGAAGGTTGTGGTAAGGCGGCTTGCCTTCGAGCAATTCGATGACCGTGCATCCCAAGCTCCAAATATCCGACGCGGTTGTTGCTCCCGACAGCTCAATGACCTCCGGGGCCATCCAGTACGGAGTTCCGACCACGCTTGACTCGCTCAGCCCCGTGGTCCGGCTGGCCACACCGAAATCAGCTAGTTTGACAAGTCCTTCCTTCGTGGTCAAGATGTTGGCACCCTTAATATCCCGATGAATGACACCTTGCTCATGAAGATACAACAGTCCATGCAGGACCTGGGACATGTACAAACCGACAAGGTTCTCGGGGAACCGACCAAAGTTCTTTGCGATGGAATGCAGCGAGCCATTCTCACAGTATCTGCACCTAGAATCAGCCAACCCATCCAATAAGCGGTAATCATCACCATCCAGGTACATACTCCAGGATAATGTTTAAGGTTTCTGCGGACTTAACAAATCCATGGTACTTAACAATGTTTGGGTGCTGTTGTCTGGGTCAGCGGGAGTTTATCGCGATACGCATGGGGATGTCTCACGTCGAGGTTTTTCAGCAGATCGATTTCCAACTGAAATGCTTCGTATTAGCAGTGAGTCCGGTAGGAGAGAATCGAATGACCACAATACCATGATGACACGCAATTCGGTCTTTGGAAGATCCGTCAACTTGATTTGCTTCACGGCAACAGTCTCCCCGGTATTCCAGTTCAACGCTCGATAAACCGATCCGAAGGCGCCCTTCCCCAGGCAATCACCCAGTTGCTATCAGAGAGAATCCCTTTGTTAGCATTTCCTCCCAATATGCGGACTCGCGACGAGAGACGACCCCCGGGCCAAACATACGTAATCCTTGAGCTCTGCGACATCCTTCGCCGACGACTTCAGCACTTTGTTGTCTTCCTTCGGTTTCTCGTCTCGCTTCGTTGGACTGGTGTTGACTCGGGCCAATCGCGGTTTCATGGGTGTGCCGGGCGTCCTGGAGGGGGTGAGGGGCCGCTGCCCCTCACTGGCTTCGCTGGAGCGGGAAACCATCGCAGCAGCAGGTTGGGACGAGCTGAAAGGTCCAGGATGATGTTAACTCGAATGCCGGTCTCAGAATGCGGGTTTCAGGTAGACGGTGGTGGGGTGGAAGCTCAAAGCTAGAGAAGAAGGCAGGAGCCGAGGGCAACAATCTCAAGGGTCATATCCGCCGGGTCTGCAATAGTCGAGATCGTTAGCCAATCTCAAATCGATCGGACTGCAAACGACCCAAGGCCTGTGGTGGGCGACACTGGTGTTCGCATGCGATTGTTGAGGGGAGGGATCGGGTCTCACCAAGCGAACATTACAGGAGGGACTTTGCTGTCATGCTCGAGCGAGCAGAGGGTTGCGAAGAGGCAATGCGCATTCGAGGGAGGCAGTTTATCGCGGAAACCTCCGATATAATCAGATTGGACTGGTATATAGAAGTCACGAGGGCGTGCGTGGAAGAGCGTTGGGGGTGTGGTGGTTGTTGTTTTGAACTTTCGCTTCTCCACAGGTCGCCGCATGATGCTGCGGCTGTGCTGAGCGCCGCCGATCAGCCCTACAGAACCCCTGCTTACGCTGGCAAATCTGCTACAATTCGTAACCTCTGGCAAGAGAGATTGTGATTAAGAGAAAAATTAAGGAGGAAAACTATCTGAGATTGACTTTTAGATGATGCGAGGACAGTCACCCTAATGTAGGTTTGTTTTCATGATCAAGCCCCACTATATGGAGATCGATAGCCGAAGCTCAAGTCACTATTGGAAAATGCTCTGTTATTGCGCGTCCGATCAATAGACAGAGGCTGCTATATTACCACGCCAAAGCAAGCCATCACTACAACCCGCTAAGCTATATGGAACAATTGAGTAGCTGTTCTCAAGCCAATTCGATGGCCCACTCGATCACACTCGAAACTCCACTCGCCCCATCCTGGCGATCGAGGAGACAGTATAGTCAAGGTTTGTTCCATGGAAATGGCTGCTTCAACCATGAAAAAATACAATCCACAAAAGTGCCACCGAGATTTTATATCCACTGTACCAGAGATATACCCGAAAATCAAATTCCTCGTGCGTCTTTGTATATGGACAATGTCCACTACCATGCAGCTGATTGTTGATCCATAATTTGATGGGTTTCGACGCTAGAATGCCCAGGGTTTCCAGGATATATACAGATATCCCACACAACTCGGCTCGAAGGTATAGCGGGATCTCGGCATGTCAAAGGAGGGGTCTCGGGGTCGCTTGGAGCGCGGGGTTCACAGCATCCTTGCTAGTCTGGTCAAATCCCGATGAAGCACGAGCAAGACATTGTAAGGGGTAGGAATCCAAGAGATATTTCGAAATCGTGCCATGATAGTCGAGGGCATCGTTCGAGGCACGTTCTGTCATTCCAACATTCTGGTCATGTCAGCATTCAGGTTAGTATGAAGCTGCTTGAGCGAGAAATGAATCAAGCTTGTCCAGCATCACATAGTCAAGCAATGAGGGTCAATAGTCCACTATTGCGGTAGACCGTCGGTTCAACAGTCATCAATAAGGACTGCGAACGGGTCATTGTAGCAGAGTGAGGGGATTCTGCCAAGATGCTAGCGAAGCAGGTGATGCCGCGGAGATGCCCGCACTCTCTTCAGAACCTACTCACGTGACCGTACCAGCCGCCACAGGGCCTGGTAGCCTCAGGCCACCCGTAGGATTTGCCTTTGCCCAGAAAACCCCGAAACCTCGCAATCTCCCCTTCCGATCGGTCTCCATTATTCCTCCCCAATCCCCACTCCGTCAATATCCCGGGGCCGCGTTTAATCCATTCTCTTGTCTTTTCTGTCCTTATTTTCGCGTTCTTTAATACATTCTCTTCTATTTTCCAAAAATGGGTATCCCGTATGTGCATCTCCCTTTAGTCTGCTGCTTGACGCTGTCGCATGCGCCACCTCGTCGCCGCGTTGACTAACATGATCTCAGGATGTGGCGCGAGCCTTCCGAGGCCGATGCACTCAAATCTGTGCTGGAAAAAGACCCTACTGCTGCAGGGCGATCTTCGATTCGCCGTGCAAATGCGACCCGGCGTCCATCATCGCACCCTACCTCCCGCGCGCGCCGGCTGATGTCCACGTTCCATTCCCAGATGCTTGAAGAGATTCAACGCGGCATAGCCGAGCCTCAGCTCGGCATTCGCTCGCCTGTGCTCAATCTGGGTGTCAGCGAGGATGGGTTAGATCTGGATTCCAGTCGACGCGAAGCTTTGAGCCGTGGTACCACGCGTTCGGATTCGCAACGCCGCACCGAACTCGCCCGACGCTCCCGTAGCCATCGCGAATTCCAAGACTACCTGGTCGCTCGAGCTGACGCCCAATCGCGCAATTCCGCTCGTCCTAATTTAACACCCGGCTTTGCTCCGGCAGTGGCCTACCGCACATCGACTTCTCCACTCCCAGCGTCGGATAACATTCATCTCCCTGCCCTACCCCTTCCTTCGATGCGCCCCTCCGCCCCCCTTAACTACAGTAGAACGCCCTCTGCCACACTGCGGGATTATCGTACTGGCAATGCGCCGAGCCGGGTGCCCCGCGATTCTGCCATCGATGGTCTAGGAGACCGCCAGCGGAGCCCAAGCCCTGATGTGGAGCGCGAAAATGATGCATGGGAGACTTTACTGTCCACTATCACTCCGGATGCAAACGCGCCTTCCACTGACACGTCTTTTTCGTCGATGGTATCAGCTGAAACCAGACGCAACGCATCCGCGTTGGCTTCGTCTATGCTCCCACCAAGTTCAGCCCCCTCGAGCCTGGTGCATTTAGCGCTTGATCCGTACCCCAGTACTCTTCATCCCTGCGATCTTTCTTCTTCCGATGAAGATGAGGAGGATACTCCTGTCAACTATCATCGCTACATGGAGTCTGCCAACCCTGCGGTCTCGTTGCTCCGCCCCGGCGTGTACTCAACCATGAGCAGCCACCCTCCTATTCCTACAATCTCATTTTCCTTCTCCGACTCGGGCGACACGGATCTCCAACAGATGCGGGCCATTCTGGACCGCCTGGCTCGTCGAGAGGATATTCCCGATGACTGGTGGGCCGGGGCTGGTCTCTCGCGCACCATTGGCCGCGGCCTCAATGCCGGTGCCGAGCGCAATGAAAACGAGGGCAACGAGTGAGATCACCGGTGTCTCCTTTCCAATTTACACTTTTAATGACTACGCGTTCATTCTTCTGTTTTTTTTTCTACCATGTTTCCGGAACCGGGTCATCTATGGGGCGTTTTTTTTCTTTTCTTTTCAAGGGTTCAATCTGAACATCGGCGTTTAAAGGGATACGGGATGCATGTCCCAGATCATCAGGGCTTCATCTGCACCGATTTATCCGAAAGTGTTACTTTTACTCGCGTCGCGGGGATGATTTCTTGTGACTACACTGGTCTGTGGTCTGCTTTGTTTTTCTCGTGGCCAGGGAGGTCATCGAGCTTGGACATCTTCATCCTTATGTATTCATATCTAACTAGGGCTTGATCACCATTTCAAGCTATGTCGTGTCCAATAAAAGCACATGCTTGCGCTGACAATTGCAAGCGGATGATGTCATCTTCGGTGTCAGATAAGCTTCTAGAATAAAAATAACCTTGGGGGGATCAGATATCACAAGATCGATCAAATTTGTTGATATTCTCTTCACATCATCAAACACCACTGGTCTGACACGTTTGGCCTCGGTGGGCCAGGCGGCCTATTTTTTCCCAATCCTTTGTGACGTATGAAAATGCCTCGGAGCACAGCAGTCCCCACCGGAAATCAGTCATTGAGAGCCCCGCCAAATCCGTTATCGCGAACCCAATTCGCACCCATTCCCCCCCATAAACCAACACCCATCCCTCGAAATAAGGTCGCAATCTGTCGTTCTCGCAGTCAATACCCTCGCGCACTCACCGGCTCCCAATTGCTATTGCCTTTGTCGCATTTACTGAACGGGCCGACACCAGAGAGCCCGTATCACCTCCGCACGCGACGACAACCTCCTCATCTGCATCTCCCACTGCCCGCTGCCGTTAGGCATTCGCCCATAGTGTCTTGCCTCGATAGGAATATTGGAGCCGGGCTCGTCACTACCGGCTCGCAAGTCTCTTCCGTCATCATGGACGAGCAGGTCGACCGCCTGGTCAAGAAGACCTGGGGTAAGTGGGATAAACCTCGTCCGCCCCTTAGGGCTTGGAATGATCCAATGCCTACACAAACCCATATACACCCTCCAACCTATACGAACTCCATTCTACAAACATACCAGACTAACCCCAAATCTCCTTCGTCTAGCAAAATACTGCTCCACCCCAGACAACGCCCGCCTCATGATAGCCGTCAGCGGCATCCCAGGCTCCGGCAAAACCGAACTCGCCTGCACAATGTCCCAACGCATCAACCAAATCCACGCCTCCGAAAACCCCTCCTCCACCACCCCCATAGCCACATCCCTCCCAATGGACGGCTACCACCTAACCCGCGCCCAACTCTCCGCCCTCCCCGACCCAACCCACGCCTTCGCCCGCCGCGGCGCTGCATTCACCTTCGACGCCCATAAATTCCTACACCTCGTCCGCGCCCTTCGCGAACCCCTCACGCCCTCTACAAAACCTATCTACGCGCCTAGCTTCGACCATGCGGTTAAGGACCCCGTCGAGGATGATATTGCTATCGCGCCGACGACAAGGGTGATCTTTTTTGAGGGCAATTATTTGAGTTTGAATAAGGAGCCGTGGGATGAGATTGCTAGGCTCATGGATGAGTTGTGGTTTGTGGAGGTGGATTTCGAGGTTGCGAGGAGGAGGTTGGTTAGGAGGCATGTTAAGGCGGGGATTGCGGCGGATGAGGTGCAGGCGGATGTAAGGGCGAGAGAGAATGATTTGGTTAATGGGAGGGAGATTGTGGATTTTAGGTTGCCTGTGCAGGAGGTTGTGTCGAGTATTTATGATCCGGCTTGGGAGAGGTTGTGAGTGGAGTGTATGTTAGAGGGGTGGGTGGATAGGCGGGGGTGAGCATGAACTAGCGTTATAGAATTGTCTTTATGGGCTGCATTGGTTGATGTTGATGTGGCTAGTATATTTTATCCTTTGCATATTGCAGTTTGAACTGGAAGTATACATATAGAGAGTGGATTGGACCTTTCTATCTTGTTGGAACATTTAGTGTAATGGATTGTAGAGAGTCAAGTCTGTAGTCCTAAAAGGAACTGCAACACCGAAGGCCCGCGGGCCTGGTCCAATACTTATCCGTAGTCCTCCCTCAATACGACTGCACATACCTAATGCTGGATGTTGAATTCTCCCACTGGCTTCTCTTCTTCTTTGTGATGTCCCCTCGAAGAAACTCAATATATCGGTGAACTGTCTGTAACAGAGGTCTTAGGTACCATATTTTCGTGGACATCATGTAGCATCCGACAATAGATTGCTCTCTACATCTAGGCGATATCTTGAAAGACACAAGGCAGATTCTGCCCACGCTATCTCAACAGGTTCAGATCACAGTAGTCTCGTTGCCCGTAATCTTAAGCGATGAGCTGTTGGCTATTTCTATTTATCCTGGTTCGCAATACCACCAAGACATGATATAGCCGCAAATTATAACGTCTTCCAGACTATAGTTATAACCTCCGAGTTTTCAAGGACACTGGACAGAACATTTGTGGGTTGTGCAAACAGAATCGATAGCATTCCCTATTGGTTTCGCTGAGGACAATTTTAAGGTAGAGAACCGGGGACGATCTAGGTACTGTTGGCAAGACCTCTCTCCCTGATTGAAAATCTCTGATGGACTAAAATCAGTCAAAGTCTGAATTATGTAGATACAACAATCGTCAACTTGTGAGTGCATCAGGGACGACTCCGCCAGGTTCAGGGTCCCTGACGCTAGTCCTAATTGGGGGACGGACATGGGGTAGGATGATACGAGATTATTGAATATTACATGGTATGGTATTGTAGGATAAGTACTTTTTACCCGCTATCACATCCACAAAACACTTCATTTCCCGCCTCTGACAATACCCTTACAGCCCCCATACATGAAGCGCCACAGCGGAGCCCACCATCGCAGCTCGTCCATTGGACACAAGCAACCTGCAACGGAAGGGCCAAAGCCCACACTTTTCCCCTTTCGACGGACCCTGTTTCTTCGTCCGCTTCGAGATCCAACTTCAACTTCCCCTTCGTCACTCTTTGTCTTCTACTTTGCGCACCCTCGTTTACGTCGCAAACTCAGTCGCTCCTTAGCAATAAACCACGGTCCTTTAAACTTCCAACTACCACCACCAATTCCTTCCAAGTTTCTTCCAGATTCGCTGTGCGATCCTATCTCCGTCGTTTCCAACTCCCGTCAACCCTTTCGTATCACTATGTTCTTCAACAAGTCTACCCTCGCCCTGGCCTTTGTTGCCTTGGCCAACCTCGTCTCTGCTGGCCAGACTCCCGCCTGTCTTCTGTCTGTTATCGGGTATGTGTTTCTTATCGATCTCGGCGCCATTGCGCTGTCAATCGCAGTAGCCCCTCGCCCCAACATTCCGATGACGTTCTGGAATCGCTGACATTTTATTCCCCCAGTGCCTCGACCAACCCCGCCGACCTGGCTACCCTGTGCGGCTCCGACGCGAAGAACATCGAATCTCAGATCTCGGACAAGTGCGGTGACAAGACCCAGTCGGCCCTGAAGTTCTTCGCCAACACTTGCAATGCGGCTGGCCACAAAGTTGGTAAGAATTCACCTATCGACGCCGACGAGGGGTGAAAAACTCCGGCATCTTGCATATATACGTATATGATGAGATTGTTGCGGGCGGCTTGCTTCAAACCATACAAAAGTACGCTTCGCTGATTGATTCCCCACAGACATCTCCACCGTCACTTCCAACTCTACCTCCTCGGGCTTCGTTACTGCTACTGCTACTTCTGGCTCTGCCACTGGCACTGCCGGTGCCTCTGCTACCGGTACTGCTGCTGGCTCGCGCACTAGCGGCGGTGCCTCCGCCTCGGGCAGCTCCGCCCCTACGGCCACTGCCAACGCTGCTGCCGGTATCCAGTTCCAGGGCACTGCTCTCGCTGCTGCGGTCTTTGTCGGTGCCGCTGCCCTGCTGTGAGAGCAATCTCGGACTTGTCGCTTGAACCTTTTGCAACACACTTTGGGATATATTGTTAGATATTTGGCTCGATATGCTATGTTTTGATCTCTCGTGTATTGTCTACCGTCTTGTCCTTGGAGAAGCCGATTTGAACACTATTTGCGTTGTTCAAATCGTGTCGCTGCACATGTTTTCCCCCTTTTAGGCCCCACCGCCTGTCATTTTTAGAAAGGCAAAATTGATTGCTATGGTGCTTCCTTAATACATCCCTAGAACCCCCTTTTTGGATCGTGCATGGAGGGTGCATGGTTGCCCGGGCTGTCTAGCAGTAAGGGAGGAGCCAATGAGTCATGATAGACTTTAATCGAGTATCTTATATACGGAGAATACTCCGTAACCCGAGTGACATCGGGTTGTCTGAGCCCGGAATGCGGGCGTCCGCTCGGCCTCAAGACTGCCGATACCATGCGGCCTCCAAAGTGGGAACCATCGCGTGTTCACGTGACAAGCGCGATCCAATTAATAATATTACTCAGCGCGGTAATCAAGCGGTAAGCAATGGGAGCCGAATCAGGCCAAACGCGAAAATTCACGAGCAAAAACGCGTCTGCCCTGGCGACATCAAATATCCTCGCCCCTCTACTCTTTCTCTCCTTCCCATCCCACCTCCTTCTACCTTACACTCCCTCCTCACTCATCCCTCCCCCTCCCATACTATCCATCCCTCAATTTCCCATTCTAATACGTCTACTACACTCTTCTCAATTCTTTATACCCCCCTTTGCTCTAATTTGTTCTCCCATCCCCTCCCTTTTTCACACTCGCCAAGATGTTCGTTTACAAGCGAGGTAAGCTTCATCAATCCTTGACGCTAATGCTGCATGGCTCTAGCCGCGGGGCACACGCGTTTGATTGCCATCCTGCATGGCGAATGGCTTTGCCACCGGCGTCGAATTAACATACTGACGCGATTATCTCGCAGACGGACGCAAAGAACGCGTGCAGTTCGACAAGATCACTGCCCGTGTGTCGAGGCTTTGTTATGGCCTCGACCCGGAGCACGTTGATGCTGCTGCCATCACGCAAAAGGTCATCTCCGGTGTCTACCAGGGTGTTAACACCATCGAGTTGGACAACTTGGTAAGTGGCATTGTCGCCGCTACACTGTGTCTAGTACGGAAGCAGGACAAATGCTAATAACTCGTTCTCAACGATAGGCTGCCGAGACTGCGGCTTACATGACCGTCACACACCCCGACTACGCTATCCTGGCCGCTCGTATCGCCGTTTCCAACCTCCACAAGCAGACCAAGAAGCAATTCTCCATGGTCATTTCTGACCTCTACCACTATGTCAACCCCAAGAACAACAAGCCCGCTCCTATGATCTCCAAGGACATCTACGAGATTGTCATGAAGCACGCCGATGAGCTCAACTCCGCCATCGTCTACGACCGTGACTTCAACTACAACTTCTTCGGCTTCAAGACTCTGGAGCGCTCATATCTTCTCCGCATCAACGGCAGCGTTGCCGAGCGTCCTCAGCACCTGCTGATGCGTGTTGCCGTTGGTATCCACGGTGAGGACATTGAGAAGGCTGTCGAGACCTACCACTTGATGTCCCAGAAGTACTTCACCCACGCTTCTCCCACTCTGTTCAACGCCGCCACTCCTCAGCCCCAGCTGGCCTCTTGCTTCCTCGTTGATATGAAGGAAGACAGCATTGAGGGTATCTATGACACTCTCAAGACTTGTGCCATGATCTCCAAGACTGCTGGTGGTATTGGCTTGAACGTTCACCGTATTCGTGCCACTGGTTCCTACATTGGTGGAACTAACGGCTCCTCCAACGGTATCGTTCCCATGCTCCGTGTTTACAACAACACTGCCCGCTACGTTGACCAGGGTGGTAACAAGCGCCCTGGTGCTTTCGCCATCTACCTCGAGCCCTGGCACGCGGACGTCTTCGAGTTCCTCGATCTCCGCAAGAACCACGGTAAGGAGGAAGTCCGTGCTCGTGATCTGTTCTATGCTCTTTGGACCCCCGATCTTTTCATGAAGCGTGTTGAGGCCAACGGTGATTGGACCCTGTTCTGCCCCAACGAGGCTCCCGGTCTTGCCGATGTCTACGGCGACGAGTTCGATGCTCTGTACGAGCGCTACGAGCAGGAGGGCCGTGGCCGTAAGACCATCAAGGCTCAGAAGCTGTGGTATGCCATTCTCGAGGCTCAGACCGAGACTGGTAACCCCTTCATGCTGTACAAGGATGCTTGCAACAAGAAGAGCAACCAGAAGAACCTGGGTACGATCCGCAGCTCCAACCTGTGCACTGAGATTGTCGAGTACAGCGCTCCCGACGAGGTTGCTGTCTGCAACTTGGCTTCTCTTGCTCTGCCCACTTTCGTTGATGCTGCTCGTGGCGAGTATGACTTTGGCAAGCTCCACGAGGTCGTTCAGGTTCTTGTTCGCAACTTGAACAAGATCATTGACATCAACTACTACCCCGTCCCCGAGGCCAAGAAGAGCAACTTCCGTCACCGTCCTATTGCCCTCGGTGTCAACGGTCTGGCTGATGCTTTCCTCGCTCTGCGTCTGCCTTTCGACTCCCCCGAGGCTAAGCAGCTGAACATTCAGATCTTCGAGACCATCTACCACGGTGCTCTGACTGCCTCTGCCGAATTGGCTGCCAAGCTTGGCCCTTACGAGACTTACCCCGGCTCTCCCGTGTCTGAGGGTATCCTGCAGTACGACATGTGGGACCGCACTCCTACTGACCTCTGGGACTGGGCTTCTCTGAAGGCCAGAATCGCCGAGGTTGGTGTTCGCAACAGTCTGCTGGTTGCCCCCATGCCCACTGCCAGTACCTCCCAGATTCTGGGCTTCAACGAGTGCTTCGAGCCCTACACCTCGAACATCTACTCTCGCCGTGTCCTGGCTGGCGAGTTCCAGGTTGTTAACCCCTGGCTGCTGAAGGACCTGGTCGATCTCGGCCTGTGGTCCGACAACATGAAGAACCGTATCATTGCCGATGGCGGTTCCGTCCAGAACATTCCCAACATCCCCGCGGACATCAAGGCCCTGTACAAGACCGTCTGGGAAATCTCCCAGCGCTCTATCCTCCAGATGGCCGCCGATCGTGGTGCCTTCATCGACCAGTCTCAGTCCCTCAACATTCACATGAAGGAGCCTACCATGGGCAAGATCACCTCCATGCACTTTGCTGGCTGGAAGATGGGTCTCAAGACCGGCATGTACTACCTGCGTACCATGGCCGCTTCCGCTCCAATCCAGTTCACCGTCGACCAGGAACAGCTCAAGGTCGAGGACACCAACGTCGCCCGCGCCAACGCTGCGTATAAGAAGCGTGCTGTCGGCACCGCTGGCTCCGCCTACTCTGCCGTCCCTCGCGCCAACGGTCCCGAGGATGTTGCCGCCCCCGTCAAGGCCAGCCCCAGCCTGGACAGCCCCCGCACTCTGGTCGAGCCTACCGCTACCGTTGTCGTCCCTGCTGCCAACGGTGCCCAGTCTGAGGAGGCTGCTGAGGGTGAAACTGAGGGCAAGTCTGAAGAGGATATCTTCTCGGACAAGGTCCTCCAGTGCAGCATTGAGAACAAGGAGGCTTGCATTATGTGCCAGGGTTAGAATGGGTTAAAAATGTTTTGGATTTCTTTACACGATTATCATGGTTGATCCCCCTTTGTCTATTTTCTTTTTCCTTTCCCTTTCCGCTGTCACTTGTTCGCACTGGCTTTGTGTGATTTATGTATCCATATTATGAGATTGATGCTCGTTTTCTTTTTCCTTGAAGATTTCGTTTTTTTTCCCTTTGATCTTGGTGGTTTTCTTAGGCGCGAATTTAATTGGTTATTTCAATCATTTCTATATTAATTTTAAACTTGAATCGTAGGATATTCTGTAGACATTCGTAAGGTATACATACGAGGGTCCTCACAGCAGGTGATCTAGTTATTAGCCTGCCCTGGACATGTGTCATTTGTCCGTCGGCCAATGGTAACTTCAATCTACCACTTGATGGCCCTTGATTTCCTCGTTGAGCATCGCAAGATGGCGGAAAGACGACTATTCAACTGTCTAACAATATTCTCTAACCCACGACTGTCTCTTCATCTAAACATCGCCTCTTCAAGTATAGGCTTAAGCAAGCGTGCCGTGGCGGATCATCTATCCTTCTTGAAAAATTGAAGAGGAGTCAATTCCAAGCTACAAACCCGAGAACTTCTATCCAGTGCACATCGGTGAGGTATGCAACCACCGATATCAGGTAGTGGGAAAGTTGGGCTATGGCTCCAGCGCGACAGTGTGGCTCTGCCGTGATTTGTTGTAAGAACAAATCAATTTCGACTCAGAAACCCAAGCCAAGCTAAGCTAACCGACCAGGGACAACCGTTATATAGCATTAAAAGTTTACACGGCATCAAAAACGGTGACTCGAGAGATCGAGATCTACGACCATCTAGGAACAATCAAATCTAGTTATGCCGGTCAGTCGTGTTTGCGACTGTTGCTTGAGTTCTTTCAGGCACAGAGTCTAGATGGACATGGTATTCACACTTGTCTGGTGCATCCGCCACTTGGGATCAGACTTGGCTAGCTTACTCCGTTACTCCCTGATCGGGTGATGAGCAGCGTTATGGTAAGGACTACCATACGGAATATCCTTGCTGCTCTAGACTTCCACCACACGGAGGCAAAGGTTATACACACCGGCATGTCCCCCCTTGATCCAACTAAAAGTTCGCAGCTAATAACTAAAAACATAGATCTCCAGCCAAATAATATTCTCCTCGGCATCAAAGACGACTCAATTCTATCCCAATTCGAACAGGCAGAATTTGAAGCACCCATACCACGAAAGATCCTCGACAATCGTACCATTTACCTCTCACAACCACTCCATATCTCTTATAGGACGCCCGTTCTCTGTGATCTAGGCGAGGCGCGATTAGGCACCGACCAGCAACGAGGCGATACCATGCCAGATATCTATCGCGCACCAGAGGTTATCGTGGATATGAGTTGGGACAGCAAAGTGTATATCTGGAATGTGGGGATGCTGGTAAGATAAATTATCCATGGAATCCTCAATTGCCCACTTGAACCTGCCAGGATGCTAAAAGTTGTAAGATTTGGGATCTGTTTGAGCATCGCCATCTGTTTAGGGCGCGGAATGCTGCACGCGAGTTAGATGATGGGTATCATCTTGCCGAGATGTAGGCGGTTCTGGGAAGGGCCCCTGTTGAGTTCCTCCGGAGCGAACGGAGTCTCTTGTTTTGGGATGAAAGTGGTTTGTGCAGGCCGGTCTTCTGATTGACTTGGATATAGTTGAAAGAATTAATAATTGCTGACTACTTGTGTATCAGGTAATTGGAAAGGCGCTGCTCAAATTCCGGATTATAATATTCACAGCCTAGAAGAAAGGCTCGAGGGTGATGAGGAGGATGACTTCCTACGGTTTCTCCGACGAATGTTATGTTGGCTTCCAGAAGAAAGAGCCTCTGCCAAAGATCTTCTATTTGATCCTTGGTTGGTGCATGGTCTCTTTAAGTGAAGGCAAGTGTGGCTGCCCCGATAACTAAGTACCATCCCGTTAAGCAGTGTATTTCATGAAGGAACCTGGAAATATTTTGCTGAGGGGTACTGATACCATAATCAAGTCTTTAATCAGTCTAATGCCGATTAGGCTTTTCATCTGTTTTAACGAGGAAAATATAACTTATCTTGGTAGTCGTAGTCGTGGATGGATCATATAGATGTCGTAGTTGGGGACCAGGTTGTGAATATAGCTTCATATTAAATGAAAGAGAGTATACAAGTAGAGAATAGTGTGTTGCAATAATTTAAGCTCAAACGGGACATTTGGAAATGAAGATGTAAGCTTATAATACCAGGGGTACGATTCTAGTATTCTAGTTCTAGACTGCCATAGTATCAGCGTTTTCCAACGTCAAGTATAGAAGTAATGCAAGTCAGCCTAGGGGGATATTATAGTTCCCATAGATAGGAGCAATAGATCATGTGTCTTCAATTTGAACTAATATGAGTATAATATACAATCATAGTCATCTAAATATCAACTTCACTAAGATCCCTCCCTCCCAACATCCCCTCCACTTTAGACTTGGGCACAACCAATCCCCTCCCTAAGAAACTTCTCACTCAAACTCGCCTCACCTACCATCTTCAATAATCGCCATCCATCCGCCTTCTACCCGACACCCCCCGACCATCGCCTCATAACCCGGCTAGAACGGATCTGCACTTCCATTTCCGGCGATGACATACTGTACACCCACCACACCCATACCTTGTACAGTAAAACTCTTCTCTTCGTGGGGATTTCTTTTCCGCTAGAATAACTTTATTTAGAGTCTAAGCCACATAGTACGAAGGAGGGCGTGGGTTCCGAGTTGTGGTATCGCTTGTGAGGGGATGGATGGATGGTTGCCTTCCCTGTGATGTCGATGATGTACGTGTAGACTTGCCACGCGGAGTAGTTCTTCCTGATTCTCTTGGTTCTCGTCTTTCTGGTTCCGGTTCTTCTTCCTTCTGGTTCCTTTCCTTGGGATTTCCTGTCGCGGCGTGATGTAGGTTCGGGATACTCTTTTTGTGAGAGGGTTCTGTGGATGGGTGGTTTTTGGAAGGGGTCCAGTTGTTTTACGTGGTTGTGGAGGCTGAGTTGAGTTCTTTGATGGATGGAATGGGTGGAAGCAGATTTTTTTCTTTCCCTTTGAAAGTCTTTTTTGGTACTCGAGAGAGTGGCGGGAATGGCCTGGAAGAATAGAGAATGGAGGGTTGGAGAAGGATGCCGGGCATTGTTCTATAGTATCCAGTGTGAATAGAGTATACCCCCATAGTTTAGTTCGTGTGGAGGTTAGCGTGTTAGAGAGCCGGCACGGAGACTAGGGTGCACTAGTTAGTAGTAATGTCTTTAGTTCATTGTTAAGACTTGAAACGAACGGCGGGGAATGTCAGGCCACGCGTGCATTCCTCATCGTGCATTCCCGGCAATCGAATCATCGATGCGATCTCACATTCTGACAGCGACTCAGCCGTCAAGAATGAGGGGTATATTCAATCCGAACATCGATAGACAATGCAGACATCGAGTTCTCTACGCACGGCATCTCCCCGAATACAACTGCCAGAATGACATACCCATATTCGCCCCCTCACGCAAGCCTCGTCGTAGCGTTGTCCAGCGTCAAGCACAGCGGCGACTCCAAAGTCTTTCCCACAGTAGAGACTACAGACCCTTTGATTGCTGACCGTTGAATCCGTGGTTGTCCGGTCTACTTCTGGGGTGATCGTCCGGTGGAGTGGAGGGACCACGACTGGAGGAGGGAAAAATGAGAGAATGACAGAAAAAGAAGGACCCGAAGGAAAGGACCAACCGGATATCCGAATGGATCCGTCCCAGGCTGGGGAATGTTCATTGGCTTGAGTGCTTGACAGGGTTATCCTGGAACTCCACTGGACGGGTCTAGAATGTTGTCCGTTGGAGATTGGGATTGGGTTTCATGTCTGTCTGGCACTGCGACCGCTGGGATCGGGGAACACCGGAGAGGGGAAGACCCCGCGAAGTGTCTGGTTTGATTTAATCAGACTTGGGTTTGAACGACGTCAAAGTGGTCTGCGACTATTGGGACAGTACTGGGAGTTGGAGGCCTTGTTTGATACTGCTTGCTTCAAGGGTAAGGGCATTGACTGCATCGTGACCTGCGGCATAGTGCGTACAGTACGGAGCCCGTACCTGTGCTAGCCGTTTCATCAAGACGATCGCCACCAGTTAACCCACGACCCGACTGGCTCTTTGTCTCGAGCCCCACCGCTCGGTGTGAAAGCGAGATTCGACCAGGCCTCGGGTGGGCCAGAACGTTGGGAGGAGGAGTTTCCCCCCATTGTCACAATGTGGAATTTGCGTCATTTGGGGGGGGGGGAAGGACTCGCTGGATACAGCGCAGATGTACTCCGCACACTACTCCACCCATGACCTGTCATCGTATATGCGCTAACTGGCTCTCATAATGTACTGTAGACCAGGACTCCCTGTGCGCCCAGTGAGATGCCATCTGCGCTGTAGAGTTGTCTCATGGGCACTGCCAATTGCATTACCTGGCGACTCGCGATGGACCCGCCCGACGCAGGTTGGGAGGACTGCAGCGTAGGACGTGTCGCATAGGGCCTCCGTGGTTTGCAAAGGCGACCGATTGAATTTGGACGTGGCATAGGGCATAGGGCATCATTGGAATCCCGTCGAGCGGAATAGAATAAAAGCGCACCGAGTTTTCAGTTTGACAAAGGGTACTTCTGATCTCATATCTCGCCGGAAATGGTAAGTTCCAAGAAGAGGCGGAAGCCGGTGAGAAGTGACCGCCTCGGAGTGGAATAGGCTTTCGCACTGCTGCCAGGTCCCGCGCTTCTGGGTTCGAAGATGGACAGGGGTAGACACTGTAGGGTACAGCGGACGTGTCTGGATCTGTCTGGATAGGTAGACACCAGACACCAGACAGGAGTGACACCCAGTCCACCGGCGTGTCCCTCGACTCTGGGGAACTCATTGGCTGGTCCACCATCGGCTGAAGGAGCCGCCAGGCCCAAGTCTGCCTAACGCCCGCCGAGACGAGTCGCGAGTGGCACACGCCCCTGCGCCATCTTGCGCCGGCGCAACTTTGTTGTTCCAATCAGTGGGCCGAATGGTAGTTTCCGAGGGGTCCGAAGTGGACAAGAGTCAGGTACGGAGTACCAGACAGGCATCTGTCGTAAGATGTTCGGAGCTGGAACTGTCGGTTCCTGGGACTATCGGTTCCTGGACCATTGCAATTGTGAGGTATATCCAATATTTTCGATGCCGAGATGAGATTCCGATGCCAGAGTTTGGGAAAGGGAAAAAAGAAATAAATGAAAATCCCTAAATTCATAAAAAGAGGACGGTGGCGGAGTTCGATTCCATGGTTCGTTTAAAAAAAAAAACGTGGTGGGTCAAGCCCATAGAGATTTCCCGTTCTTTCAGGCACTCCATCAGCCAACTGGCGTAGTCTAGGCTCCTCCGGGTCCGCTTATTTAAAGCCTCCTTCCCACCCCCCGGTCACTCCCTTCTCTCCTTCAACCCACTCCAAAACGGTCATTCCTTTACCGTCTCTCTCTCTCTTCTTTCCTTGTACACTCGCATTCTTTATCGAGTGTCTTGTCATTCACTACTGCTGCGCAGTTTGATCAGTCCCTTCTTTTTTCGCTACTACGCCAAAAAACTTGCGACTATCGCCCACCGTCTTTTCAGACATCCAACAATCATTCAAAATGGCCCCAATCACCAAGACCCTCGCCCTCGCTGGTGCCCTCTTTGCCGTCTCTGGCTTCGCTGCTCCCGTCAACAAGCGCGCCGTCGTGTGGGAGACCGTCACTGATGTCGTCTGGGAGACCGTCGATGTGACCACCACCATCTACCCCGGTGGCCATGCTACTGCTACCGTCATTCCCGTGGTCACCACCTCCGCTGTCGAGACCACTTCCACCGGTCAGGCCGCCGCCGCTGCCCAGACCCTGCAGGAGGAGGAGGCTACTACCACCTCCACCTCTGTCGCTGTCCCGACCACCACTGCCCAGGCTACCACCACTGCCGCCCCCGTCGTTCAGGCCGCCGCCGAGTCCAGCTCGACTTCGTCCGCTGCCTCGACTACTTCTTCCGCCAGCTCCAGCTCTAGCTCCACTACCAGCTCTGGCTACTCCGGCTCCTGCGACGAGGGCTCCCCTTGCTCTGGTGACATTACCTACTACGACACTGCCACCACTTCTTCCAACCCCAGCTCTTGCGGCACCACCAACGACGGCACCACCGAGCGTGTCCTTGCTCTGCCCCACGGTATCATGACTGACTCTGACTGCGGCAAGACCGTCACCGTGAGCTACAATGGCGAAACCGTGACCGGTACCGTTGTCGACAAGTGCATGGGCTGTGATGACACCTCCATCGACTTGTCCCGGGCTTTCTTCGAGGCCGTGGCTGGCTCTCTCGACGCTGGTCGCATCTCTGGCGTTGAGTGGTACATCAACTAAATTCGTTAACGGCAGCTGCGTCGATCGCATGCGCGCGAAAGGGGAGTTTATCTGGTGTTCTTGCTTTGGACCATACAAAAAAAGTGTTTCTTTTCCAGCCACTTTTGGAGAGAGAGACAAAAAATGATCTCTGGTAGATTGATCCAAGGCGTCTTTCGTTGTTCTCCGAGTCTCGATGGCTCCTCTATCTTTTTTTTCTTCATTCTTTCCTGGTTTGATACCGGGATCTTGTCAATAGCCAATTGATGTGATCTGGGATCGTGATCAGGCCCCCCTTTTTTTGCTTTTCTTCCGGTCTTTTACGAACAACCCTGTTTTTTCATGTGGCGCGCCCCTAGTGGTGTTGCGCGTTTTATGACACTTATCTTTTTCATGTTGATAGAATTATGCCTTTCTACGGAGAGTCTTGTGACAATACTACCTGCGATGGAATCATTTTCCAACATAGAATTCTTTGTAAATGCCTTCCCAGTATATAAGATGACTAGTTTAGGGATTCGAGCTGGTCATCGTAACACTTCTGAGACAAGCCTTGCGCTAAATACTCGGCGCATTCGCCGAAATGCAAGACTAACTGGATCTGAGTTCTATAGTAATTATGGTGCTGGTTTAGTGGTCGGCACAGCTATGGAGAATCCCGCCGTTATGTACCTCTCTTAAACTTGGACTTGAACTCGCTCCTCGAAAATACTGTACCATTAAGTTTTTGTTCTCTCCTAGGACCCAAAATCTTAATAGAATTTTGTATTCGGTGGAAGACCTTCAGCCTGATCATCTCTCTGTATTCTTCAGTTATCATACATTTCAAGGGGAACAGCAGAGCCCTTACTAGTGCTTCACCAAACCCCTTCACAAGTGCGATCTCATAGTCACAGCGTGCTACCTGCTCAGGGCCCAACTCTGCAAAAGGTCGTCGCAACGTCAAAGTCAATCCACACCAGCCTATCAGGGTTCCCATGGACGAGGAGAAGATTTTTGGGGTAAATGTCTTGATGGTGCACGCCCGCCCTGTGAATCTCCTCCATGCCCTCGATTGCCTGGGGATACAGCTCGTCCGAATAGTTCACGCAGTTCAGGGTCTCTGCGTCTGCGAGGTATTCTAGTAATATTGCTCTGGGCTTGAGCTTGTCTTGCGCGAAGTGTTGGAAAGTAGTGTGGAATGCTGCGGGGTCTGCTCGATCGATGGAGCCGTAGAATTTTGGGACGAATCCGCGCGTGCAGGCACTGGATGTGTCGAGTTTTTTGTATGCGTTTAATTCGCAGCGGAATCGGTCTAGGTCACGACCTTTTTGTGTATATCCGGCGTCGCCGTTGTTGTGGAAAAGCTTTAGTGCGTACTTTCGTGTATCGAGAGCGACCTCGAATATTGAGGATGCGTCGGAGCGTGTGATCTCCCTGATGATATGGATGTTCTGGGGATCTATGTCCGTTAAGGAAGTGCTTCTTAGATCCATTGTTGTCTTGTTGGGAGTTTTAGTATCGTCAGGTAACAAAAGATAGGACCGGGGCGGTCTTGACTACCTTGGTACCTAATAAGTAGGTACCTAATAGTAAGATTATATAACCATGCCATTTCAGGCATGAATGGATCTGGTAGGGCGAAGCTCGCCAATCTATCTCTGTCTATCGCGACATGGAAGGCAATAACGGCCGCTACTGTATCCATTTTCATTGTCTTACTACTAGATCGTATCCTCCTGTTTTGGCCTTTCCCCCCGAGACATAGACTAGACACGTACGCGGAGTATAGAGCTGTGTATTTCGTAATAATTTCAGCTACCTGAAATCCTGCCCCAGCCTCGAAAATAAATGCGCTCCTCTTAGTTCTGGATATCAAGGGCCCCAGCTTTGTACTCAAAAGTAAGGAGAACGGAATACTCCGAGTTGTGGTCTGTAGCTAAGTATAGCCTGTGTGGCTGGGCAGGGTGGCTGTACAAACCCGTCTAGGAGTACTCCGGACAACTCCAGCTCCAGCTGCAGCTCGGTTTCTTGCCAGCATTTTCCGAGTCCAGTACCTCCGTACTAGAGTGAAAAGGGGAAATCCAAGACATAAGCCACCATCACGGTATCACCCCTGAAACAAACTAGCTTTTGACCAATCATGATGAAGAATTGAGCTGTCGAAGTGGAAGGTTTGCCCCGGAACTAGTGAGGTCACTGAGGCGAGGTTGGTGAGGTGATCTACATGGGAGCTTGCTGTGCTGTTGCTATTGCTACTGTTACATGGAGTTGATCGTGATTTACAGTTTATGTACGGGGTAGAGTACGTAGCCCCTTTTTTGAATGGAAGTGATGTGATCGCAACACGAGCCTGGGGCGTCGGTGTCTGAGCTTGATAATTGGTAGCTCTGGCTTCCTATTTGCTCCACGATTAATGAATTCGAAGCTCGCCTTGTAACTGTGACTGTGGCTTGTTGATACGATGGAATGGATGGGGATGCCGCGCACTCACTTGCTGCGGGTCAATTTATTGGGAGGTCGGTTAGAGATGCCCCATGCCTGGAGGAATTGAGTTTTTGGTCCGTTGAAGCTATTGCTGATCTTTGCCGTAAGAAGTCGCTCTACGTCCAGTACTGTAGTTGAAAATTAGTACGGTTTGATTTTGTGGTACTATATGTATGCGTTAGCTACGATGATCGCTTTGTGTGGAGGTATGATCGGCGAAATATGGCACATTGTCTTATTTTTGAGATTTGTATGAAGTAAAGAGAGTGCTTCGCAGTCTATGATTCCAATCCATATGTGATGTTGAGGGATGATTATACTCATCCTCGAAGATCTCCTCATTTCACAAGGATGACCTATACAAGAAATGACCCCTTTGCACTGTTTTCTTACTCTGCAAAGACAACATTGTTCCGCAGGGTGCCAATACCCGAAATCGACACATCCATCTGCGTGCCTGGGACAAGATACTTGGGCGGGTTCAAGCCAGCGCCGACACCTGTAGACTGAAGTTAGCTCAATCTGTCCGAAACATTTCGCATATGATCCAGCGTCCCGGGAATAAATCCTCCAGGAACCACCGAACCTATGCTCAGAACATCTGAAGCAAAGATTTTGTACTCACCACCAGGCGTCCCCGTCATAATAACACTCCCCTTCTGCAACGTCGTCCCCTGCGACAAATAACTAACCAAATAAGCACAGTCAAACAACAAATCACTAACCCCCTCCTCCTGCCTAACCTCCCCATCAACAACAGTCTTCAACATCAACGCCTTCGGATCCGCAATCTCACTGCCAGCAACCAAACACGGTCCCAACGGCGCGTACGTATCAAAGCCCTTGGAAAATCCCCATTGAGGAACCCGTCCAGCGAGCGCGGGATCACGCTGCAGCTTTCGGCTGGAAATGTCGTTGCCGACGGTGTAGGCGGCGATGTAGGAGAGGGCGTCAGATTGGGAGACATTTTTGGCATCTCGGCCTAGCACGAGGCAGAGTTCGCCTTCGTAGTCGGCTTGGGAGTCTTGGGCTATGGCTGGGATTTCGACGGGGTGGCCGTGGTCGTGGATTGTCGTGGTGGGCTTGAAGAATATGAAGGGGAAGGGGGGTGGGGTGCGGCCTGCTTCTTTGACTAAGATTGAGGAGAGATGTTAGTCGTGGGTTGAATATTGTAGTTGAAATTGGATAGTTGGATAGAGGGGTTCGTACTGTGCTTCGCATAGTTCAACCCCACGCAGCGAAGTATAGGTACATCTGCCTGTGCCAATGGGCCTAGCATGGTCTTCACGGTGACGATTTCATCGGTCACGCGCGTGACACCGGTGGTATCATAGATATCAGCGCCTTCGATAACCCGTGCCTGCAACTTATCGGCCTCGGTAATGAAGCCTAGATCCGTCTCGGGAGTGGGGAGGATAGGCTCGCCGCGGAGGGTGCGGCCGTCCGTGGCGATGAAGCGGATTAGGCGTTTCCAAGGGAGGGACATGATGAGTAGATTGATTCAAAGGGAGACAAAATGAAGATGGTAAGAAGACTTCTGGAATTATTTTTCTTATATTCTTTTGTGAGGGGTTGGATGCTGTTCGTGTGGTGGTGCTGGCCGGGGATAGATCGGGTAGCCGGGTATACTTCCGGATGTGTCCCCGCACGTTGAGAAATGAACTTTATCGGAGTTACGGTATATCCGTTGGGGAAAGGGGGAGGATATTATCATTCTAGAGATATGGATAGGCCTGAATTGATAATTGTGAAAATATTGACCAGGGGGCAGCCTAACATGGAGAGCGTAGTTGTGACTGTCTCTGGCATATCAATGGCATATATGTAGTGGACTAGGTTTGTTCGTCGGCAACTAGAATTCTCCATCTTCATGGAAAGCGCATTCCAATTTATGTCTGAATCCTCATCTCCAATATTTTCCGACTTACTTTAACAGCCTTTTAATAAAATTCATATTAAAGCTTGTCAACTACTCGTTGTCGGCCCTCATTCAAATCGTCTCCAACTTTCGAGGTTGGTGGCGGAGATCCACCTGATGTATCTGTATTCCTGGTCTAGTTATTTATCTTTCGAAAATGAATCAATAGGCTTCAAGTTTGTCTTCAAACATTGACAGAGACGACCTTGAGAATTGTGGCGAATCGGTGAATATTTCATTGTTAGATAAACATGTAAATTATCGAAGTATCTACACGAAATGGGCCCATGAAAAGAATCTGGCTTCCAGCTCAACACCATCTCCCTAAGGTACCTGATATTTCTAACTCCGCCAATTGTCGACACTCTTACTGACGTCGCATAGATTGACAAGCCTGTGCCTCGTTGGATACTTTGTCCTGGACCTAAAGTGCTGATTGAGTGCCTCGGGGTTGGGGTAGAGGTAGGATTATGAAGACACAGCCTTTCTTGAGAATGGCTCGGTTATGTTTATCTTTGCTAAGATGATCACTAGTATTGGTTAGCATCTGACTTCATATGTAAAAGTAGTGGGAAACAAACGCTATAAGTAGGACCTTCACGTCACAGTCAAGTCGTCGACGGGTAGAATCAAGAATGAACCATTTTTGGGCTGTATTTGCCCAGTCACTTGATCGCGTCGCACCGTGAGTAGACGTAGTGCTTTCTGTTGCACCTACAGGGTCTACTGCTGCCAAATCTTGAAGCCCGAGGGCAATAAGATGGCCAAGGAAGCGTGGTGGGGTACGCAATTGTCAAGCAATTTGTTGAGGAGAGAGAAGAGAAAAGGGTTGGTATGACCAAGGTTGATCTTCATAAAGGTGTGCCAAACGGCAAACGGCAAAGTTCTGCCCTGGCAATCTCCATAGGAGGCACCGCAAATCTCCATAAAATATGCCTTAGGAACCTTGGGTACCTGAACTTCTACTTACTACCCAAACCTTCTTTAGCTTTGCATTAATTCATACACATATATGATGATGATTAACAGATACTGAAGTAATCCAAGCATATATATGAAGTGACTCGAAGTGAGGAGCATTCGGGCTGCATCATTACGAGACCGCTTTAGGCGATGGTTTTACATTTTATATAGCGCTTTAGAAAATTGACGTATGAGAAATCTCGGTGCTGTATTGGGCAATAGCGATGGATTTTCTAGTACTCGGCGAGAAATTTCTAAGGCGCAAATAGACACAAGGTCTGCTTCTGGTGAGCAGTGATCTGGATTGCAGGATTCTCAAGGGGAATTTCCACCGGCTCAGGAGATATGAGCGCCGCTTCCTCGCTAGCTACGGCTGGAACTACCTCAGCTGTACCAGCGGATGATCTCTGGATCTGTCTTGTGAGATATTGGGCCGCCTAATATCGGTTAGCAGAGGCTTCATTCAAACAGGATGGCTGAGGACCAACGTAAACAGTATAGCTATCCCGGCATTGAACGCATCGTCGGGTCAAACTCTTCCTGTAACGGCTCTGGAAGTCTGTAATCGGCTTATCTTCGTGACAATATGTGCATTTTTGAATTTGTTCTGCAGGTAGAGCAGAAGATACACCTAGGTCGGCTGGCATGACGGAGATGGTTTAGGCAGATCGACTGAACCAGGTGTTTGGAAGGTCTGGGGGATTGGTCATGCGAAGCAGTTGTGGAGAATTGAAAATAATAACTGAGCTAGGATTTCATAATGTTTGTCTGCCCTCTTTCCTCGTAGCCTGGAGGCATCACAACAATACCGCCGAAAAAGGCAAGTTCCGGGACTTTGTTTGCTAATTTAGTATACTGGTAATATTTGTTTAGAGTGAGGCACAATGAACATAAATAGTTGAAAGCTATATCAAATGATCGAGCCCAATGTTAGTTAGGTACTGTCAGACTGAGCAATATTGGCGTGGAGAATAATAAATGGATCAATCATGTCAACGAGCAACCCGTGTTTAATGTAGTATTTAATCGATATATGGAATGACACTCGGCAACGCGATATTTTAGCGCGTAGAGTAATGCCGGTATATCTATACTAGCAAGCATTATAACCACAAGAGAGGAGGCGAGGTTGGAAGTAAAAAAATGTTCATATATATAGAGGAATTTGAAAGTAACTATGTAGCAATCTCTTGGGGAAAGAGAAGAAGAAAAGTCTAGCAGGGTCAGGGCAGATCTTTTATAGTGATCTACTAAACAGCAAACAGTGATGCTCCCGGCAATGGCCACTTCAGGGACTGGGAATCTCCATCAAGTCATTGTTCCAGAGGTTCGGTACTGGAAATATTGACTTCCTATGTAATATCTATTCCGCCTAACATTATTTCATACATATGCGTGACGATAGGAAGAGATCGAAGTAAACTAAACATAAGCATGAAGTGACTCAGTATTTACAGTATCTAGGTTACTTCCTATCAAAGATTTAAGAGAATACCTGAAAGTGACTCCGAGATTACAGATGTACAATGTGGAATATTCGTAGTTGTTACAGTGGTCAAATGCCTTCGTTGTGTAGATGCTGAAGACATTGCTCATGATTGGAACTTACCAGGAGACTTGGCATGTTAACACCGGTGGGGAGAGGAGATTGGTGTTGAATACCTCGCTTCATGACGCAAAATACTGCATCAAGGCACGTTTCTGGGCCTCAGTGAATTCCATGCCTGGGTCCCTCAGGGGAGCATCAACAGGGATTGGTCGCTCAAGGGTCAGTGGCTGATTGTCGGATGTCTCTTGTGCTCCAAGGAGATTTTGACTAACAGGGGCTTTTGATGTCGACGATTTGGCGCGACGCGCAGCCTGACATCAGTTAGCAAGCCTTTATTTATCGAGTCGTCCGAGAACAAACCGTGTAGACCCGGTGCCACTGCCTGCATTGCAGACATGTTCGGGCTGTACCCTTAGCGCTGGAACCTTCCAGGTTGAAGTTGCCCAGTGGCTTGGCCCTCTTGCACCTGGTACAGTTCTTGAGTTGTTCGGGCTTTCGTGGGCCTTTGGCTGGGGCTAGCTCGCGAGGCATTTTTGAACGGGATGGAAGGTCGGTTTGAAAAGTCGATAAGGAGGAGGTATGGTAGGCGTCGTTGATTTGCGTGACGAGAAGCAGGACATTTCCGTGTTGGTCTCGTAGAAAGTGTCGTGAACTTGGTAAACAGAAGGTCTCTCCAGAGAATTGATGTTTGATTGCCTCGCCTCGTAACTTTGAATTCAATCTCAACTTTCTACCGAGAACGACAAGCGCCATATTTGCTCCTACATTGCACCAAACAAACATCCTTATCTGAGGCATCAACTCCCAGAGCTTTTACATTACATTCCTCCTTCTCAGTCGGTGACCATGGAAGCGGGGGACTGTTCGTTGGCTATATGGAACATCTCGGGGATCAATCTATAAATTATGGAAGGCCACGGCCATGGTGGGTTCTTCAGAGCATAACTCGAGCCACGTGTAATAAGACGTTTATCTATAATATTGGAAGTATAGAGGCAAAGCAAAATAATCGATAAGAACCAGTATATTGAGTCATCCAACAAGCGATGGATATATAGAAATCTTGTAAAGCACACAATGTAGACGCTCCTTATAAATGTCCAACAAAACAAGTACACAAAGAGCACTAACATCCCAATGTTGGAAATACCCAGTACCAACAATCCATCAAACCCTACACTCGAACCATCACAACTGACACTTAGTAACAACCCTCTCCCCCTCCCCCCAAACCCGATCAATCTCTCCCTCAGCATCATACCCATAAGCCCACATCTGCGTCGCCGGATCACTCCACTGATTCGGACTATGCGCCACAATCCCGCCCACAACCTCAGCCCTCATCGCGCGATCACGAGCCCTTTGCACCGGTCCATCCGGGAAATGCCATAACTTGCCGTTCAGCAGACTGGCTTCTTGCATTTCGGTTGCGCGTGAGATGCGCACTTTTTCGAAGATTTGGAGCGCGTGCGGGAGGGCTGAGACGTGGGTTATTTTGGTTAGGGTGCGGGCGAGGGCGATGCCGTCTTCTACGGCCATTGCGGCGCCTAGGAGGGGATATCCGTTAGACTGTGTATACGAAGTGGGGAGTGGGGGAGGGGCGTACCTTGGGACATGTAGGGGAGCATGGCGTGGGCTGCGTCGCCGAGGATGACTAGACGGCCGGTTGTCCAGCGTGATAGGGGTGTTCCGCTGACGAGGGGCCATTTGATCGTGTTTCCGATCATGCTGATGATTTTTTGGAGTCTGGGGGCTGTTAAAGGAAGTCTGTTTATCTGCGTGCGACATTGATGTACGAACCTTGAATCCCACCCTTGGAATTCGCGCTTCATATCGCTCAAGGCAGTGGATTGATCCCAGGTTGACGGGTCTGTGTTGTCGGGATGCGAAAGGACCATGTTGAAGGATTTGCCAGCGCCGATGGTGTAGGTCATGACATGTCTTTGGTCTCCGATCCTGGAATGAGTTAGCTTGTGGATGAAAGGGTGTTGCAATTTTGGGTTACCTACCAGATATTCAGGTTTGGCCTGTCCAGAAGCCATGAAATCTCTGGGTCGGCTTTCATCTTGGCAACGTCGACTGTGGCACGGTATGCTGCGAAGCCTGTCTGCTCGAATTGTGGTTGGCCAGATTCATCGACCTGGCCGCGCGCAACAGATTTAACTCCTGCGATATCATTAGCATCTTATGTCGAGAACGGAAGAGGGAAACATACCATCAGCAGCGATAATCAGATCCGCAGACGCAGATGAACCGTCTGCAAGAGTAATACTACCCTCTACAGCATCATACTTGACCACTCTCGCCGCAAGCTTAACCTTGACACCAAGATCCAACGCCCGCTCATGCAGCGCTGTATGGAAATTCGCGCGATGAATAACATAGTACGGAGCACCAAAGGTTTCCCGGAAATTAGGAATGAGCTTGGTCAATCCGATGACATCGCCAGACTCCCAGCGACGGAATGAGATTGTCTCGGGCTCGGTGACGTATTTTTCGAGATACGGGTCTAGACCGAGTCTGCTTAGCAGGCGGGTTGAGTTTGAGGGGATTTGGATGCCGGCGCCGACCTGTGGATGTTAGCACATGTGGTGAAGGGGGAATGGAGATGTGCAGACGTACTTCTCCAAGCTGTGCGGCTTGCTCGTAGATGGTTACGGCGTGTCCGGTGCTGGCGAGGGCGATGGCTGTTGCTAGGCCACCTAGTCCGGCGCCGACGATGATAATGTTCAATGGCACGTGTGCCGTTTGGCTAGCTTCGACTGTAGGTGGAGAATTAAGAAAGGCGAGACAGTTGCTGGGATAGCCCGGGGTCTATACATGACTGTTAGTATCATTCGCCCTTGGCTTGGTTGTAGACAAAACTAACCTTGAGAGAACCACCGGGCAGAGCCTCATCAAGCCGAGTAGTTGACGACATTTTCCGATAGCAGACGAGAACGAACACTCGGAATTTGATCTGTGATTCGATCTAGCGCTCGCGCCCGCATAGCTTATAATCCCCCCTTCCCCGCGATCCCAACCGCCGGCCGGGGAAGCGTTCCCGATGTATACCCGGCGCGAGCATCGCGCATCCGACGCCACGATGACCCCCGAGTATAATATTGGCCGTCGGTACCGGGCATGAAGGAACACCAGAAAACATCAATTCTGAATTAATCAAACTCAAAAACGCAATCATGTCGACTACAGAGGTTACTACCGCGGTTGTTGACTCGGAGGAGCAACTTCTCGCAGATCTCGAGACGAGCAAGACGCTCCCACTATGGAAGCAGATGGCACGATTGAACCCTCCCGCGCCGAACCCGACTACAGTGCCCTGTTTGTGGAAGTACAAGTCTATCCGGCCAAACTTGGAGCGTGCTGGTAAACTCGTTCCTGAGTCGCAAGCCGAGCGTCGAGTCTTGATGCTCGTCAACCCTGCCCGTGGTACGTAGACTTATCTCACAGCATTCTACACCACCACCACCCTAGCTTCGCGATAGCAAGCTTCGTTTATACTAACCAGCAATCCTTTAGATGCCCCCTACACAACAGACACCCTCTACGCGGGCCTACAACTAGTAATGCCCAACGAAATCGCCCGCGCCCACCGCCACACAGCCTTCGCCATGCGCTTCATCATCGAAGGCACCGGCGGCTTCACAGCCATCCACGGCCGCCGCATCACCATGCAGCGCGGCGACGTGATCCTCACTCCAACCTGGAACTACCACGACCACGGCAAGGACGGGTCCGGACCCATGGTCTGGCTGGATGGACTGGATCTGCCTACCTTTAGACACTTCCCCGTGCATTTCGTCGAGCACTTTGATCAACCCCGGTATCCGGCTGTGGATGTTGATAGTAAGACTTCGCCACTCGTGTTTCCCTGGGTGGATATGAAGGCGAGACTTGATGCTGTGGAAGGGGAGTGGGCGGCTTTGAGGTATCTGAAGGAAGATGGGCGTGAAGGTATGTGGTCCCCCCCTTTTTTTTTGCTTTCGCTTTTGCTTTTTTGTTGCGGGAATGAGGGTAGCAATATGTTATATTGCTCAATTTCGCCCCATGTCCAATCCATGGGTTGAACGCCTGCTAATTTGTTTAAATGAACAGTGAGCCGTGTCCTGGGCGGTAGCGCCGAGCGCATTGCGGCCGGTGCGTCTTCGCCGTCCCGTCGCGAGACTACTTCAGCCGTGTATCACGTTATTAGCGGTCGGGGACGGTCGGTTATTGGGGAGGAGGAGTTTACGTGGGAGCAGGGTGATACTTTCTGTCTTCCTTCTTGGTATAAGTATCAGCATTTTGCGGATGAGGGTGAGGAGGTGTATTTGTATCGCTTTGATGATCGGCCTATGCTTGATGCGCTGGGCTTTTATCGGGCGGAGGGGGTGGATGTTGAGAGTTTGGTTTCTGAGTAGGGGGTTGAATGGGGATTGAATTGGATTAGATTATTTGAGGTTTTGTTCTTGAAAATGGGAATTGCAAGTAGAAAGTGTTGTACTACTATAGTACGTTTTTTGATTGCCGTGTTCTTTGTAGGTGGTTTGCTTGCTATACGCCTAACTATATCACAATACAACTAGGGAGTACATACATACTCTGTTGAGATCTAGAAGCTTCTGAAGATTGTCCTACAGCCTCATTTCCCTTTTTTTCCATATGCTATTCCGTCGTTAAGATGGTCGTACGCTCGGGCGTTCAGTGGGGGTTTACCTTTTTGCCTTTCGTTTCAGAATTGCCCCACCATCACCGTTGAACCGAAAAACGAGAAACCCAAGCCGAGAACGCTATGACTCGGCCATCACAAAGGGTTCTTTTTCGTGGGAGCAGTACGAAGTAATAGAGAAGAATTAATTCTTTTTAGAGTTGTTTATTGGTCTAAAATACGAAATGAAGAAAGAAAAGAAAGACAAATCCCGCCCGCGGTTATGCGCCACTGCAATCACAATATATTAAATAGTACGACTAGCTACTAAGTACGGAGTACATACTACTGTACAGTATGTACTGAGATACAAGGTTGGAGATTGGAATGAAATATTCCGTAATTGAGATTGTGACCGGGTTGCATACGCGCTCGATCTCCGTGTTACCCTCCACTATGACATGTACAGCAAAGCATACGACATACTACATACAGTAGTCAAACTGCAGGTCAATTCGGATGCGACGTACCGAAGGTTAGGGGAAAGGGCGGATATTGGGGGCTTGATTGTGAAGTTTTTTCGATGACGAGATGTGTTCTAAAAAAGATATGGCTGGTGTGAGTCGAGGTCTCACATTTGACGAGGTCGGCCAGCGATATGGCAGGTCTCAGCTAGAAGTACTTCGTATACTCGGTCAGATATACCAAGTCCACCACGATGGAGTAAGCATGCTTTATTGGGAAGGCCACTCTACGTATCGATACTGAGATCGCATACCATTGCCGAGCAATCATTGATACCCGACTCTTGAAGCCCTGAAAAAGGGGACTGACCCACTGCAAACCACCACTTGCATCGTGTCTGTCTGTAGTTTGTACCTATCCAAACGACGTGGGCATACCAATTTATTATACGAGAAGTTCTCCGTAGGTGGAAATGAGAACAAGAAAAATACTACCTGTAAAATAAAATATCGCACAAAAGATTAATTCCCCGATCGAAAAAGAAAAGGGCCATCACTGAAAACCCGCCACTGGGAGGTCCGATTGGGCGGTGACTCTGATGAGCGCAGCTGAAGGCTGAGCGGAGATCCCCGCAGTTCACCCAATGACAACCTCCTCCTTTGCCATCACCGCCATGAGGTGGACCCTCTAGAGACTGCTGGACTCCATATGCAAGGCAGTTCAACTTGCTAAAGTCGATTCAGACACTCGTCCGATCCCTTGACAGGCTGGTCCCTTAGGGGTTTTTTCTTTCTTTCTGAATTGTCCCCTTCATCCCCTTCTTTAAGGGACAAACGCCTGAAACTAGCGACCACTCAAGCCTCCTCCCCGCTCATCGTTGCCCCTCATGGGCAAACCCGAAAAGCCCGTTCCCTTCGAGTGGAGATGGCCGTGTTTCAGCCTCTGCAACGCAAGGAACCCGCCCACTTCTCATTGGTTCCTTACGCGGTCCTTGTCCAGCAGTTCCTGAGGATCTTGACAGTCTTGGACTTGTCGGGCTGGGGTGGAGTCCCTTTTCTATCGCCGCAGGGACAGAAGGGGAATTAATCCGATGAGCCACAGCCTTGAGATGACCCAGCTCTCTGTCTGAGTATCCACTTGGACTGGAGTTTGTCTGCATGGGGATGGAGACTCCCTGATGGAGGGTCAGGCCAGGGTGCTGTACTCTGTACAGTACATATACTATTTCGCCTTGCTGCTCACCCTCTCTCTTTTTCTTTTCTTTCTTTCTTCAGCAGCAAGCAAGTCTTCTCTCTTTCACTCCCTCTGTCTTTCTCTTGTTTATCGTGCTGGGCACTCCTTTTTCAGTCACGATGTACTTCACCCTTCCACTCCTTTTGGCTGCTGGCAGCCTCCCCCTCATTTCTGGGGCTCCAGTCGCATACTCTCTCTCTCGCGCCTCCGCAGATGTAGTTGAAGTCGAGCAAGCCACGTCCAGTCACTCCCTCAGTGGACGTAGCAGCAACCTCTACGAAGCCGTCTTCGGCGGTAACGGTGAGGTCTCCGATGGTTGGCCCGCCGTCTCCAGCTGGATCTCCAGCTTCGATGACATGTTCGAGAACAACAAGGAGATCATCGGATCTTCCTGCGCCCAGTGGGGTGTCGCTGATACCACCGAGGACGAGATGGCCACCATGAAGTCCGCCATCACCAAGATCGCCGGCGAATCTGGTGTCGACGCCCGCTTCATTCTGGCTATCGTCATGCAGGAGAGCAACGGTTGTGTCCGTGTCCACACTACCAACAACGGTGTCGTCAACCCGGGTCTCATGCAGTCTCACAACGGCAAGGGTAGCTGCAACACTGGTATCGACACCCCCGAGAACGTCCAGAACCCCTGCCCCGAGTCCGAGATCGAGCAGATGATCCGTGACGGTACCATGGGTACCTCCGACGGCGACGGTCTCCAGCAGCTCCTCGAGCAGAACGGCGGCACTAGCAGCGCCACTGCTTACTACAAGGCCGCTCGCTGCTACAACTCTGGCTCGATTGCTTCCGATGGTAACCTGGGTGCCGGTATCGCTACTCACTGCTACGCTTCCGACATTGCCAACCGTCTCCTCGGATGGGCCTCCGGTACTAGCAGCTGCAACGACAACACCATCGGTACTCTGACCAGCTCGAACTGGAGCGGTAGCTCGTCCAGCAGCTCCAGCAGCTCGACCACTACCTCCGCCAACCCTACTGGCGTGACCACCATTCTGCCCGAGACCGCGGCACCCACCAGCACTGCTACCAGCACTACCACTTCCAGCACCTTCGTCCCTACCGTCACCCCCGTCGCCGCTGTCCAGACTCCCGTCGTTGAGGCCACCCCCGCCGCAAGCAGTACTACCACCTCGGCCCCGGCTGCTTCTTCCACTGCCTCGACTACCACTTCTACCTCGACCGCTGAGGTGTACCCCTACGCCATCTCCCCCTGCCAGGAGTACTACACCGTCGTCGCGGGCGACTACTGCCGCAAGGTGGAGGTGCAATTCGGTATCACTGCCGCTCAATTGCAAAGCTGGAACACCGGTCTGGATGATAGCTGCTCGAATCTCTGGAAGGGATACCAATACTGTGTGAAGGCTTGATGTCTTTGCGAACATTCATTGAACTGATCGCTCTCGCCAATCTTGTTTTGTTTCTGGACGTGATTTGATCGCGGACCGCTCTTGTGGTTTCGTGGGTTATCTCATGTCGTTCTTGTTTATCTTTTTTTTATCTTCGTCTCCAACGCAGTCTCCCTCTCTGACTGACGTTCGGATCCCATTTTGCATTTTTTTTTATCTTGTATCTTCTCTATTAAAGGCTGAGCCTTTGATATCCCGGATATTCTTAGCGGTTGATACCCCTCAACCCCATTCTCAAAAGATCTCTGAACAAGTTGGCGCGTGATTGACAATTTCCCATTTTCCCACCGTGTGGAGTTTTAAAGAGTCTAAGGGAGGGTCTTATCTTGGAGTTATGCTATGGAATTTGACTGGTTCTTGTCCATATTACACTTGAAATTGCCCCCTTTCCTTATTCTTTTGAAAATTTCCTTTTACCCTCTCTTTTGGGGGCTCTCGCTCGGGGGTTGGGGGTTGAAGGTTGCCGTGTGACACGAATTATGATTGCATTTTTTTTTCGGATTGTGTGCTTGAGCTTGACTTGACTTGATACCAACTGCTATCTGCAGCGGCAAATACATTTTTACTTTCGTTTGGACTTTGATGAGAGTATCGTAGTTTAGTTGGTGTAGTTTGAGTTTTGAGGTTGACTGGGCCTGGTAGATGTCGATGGTAATGTTGATGAAGGGCGCTTAGCGATGAAGATCTATCTGTCATCATACCAGAATTATAGTATATGAAATGCATCTATTGGTGTACGTTGATGCAGGTTGAGTTTGGAGGTTGAGGTTAGAGTTTCGCCCGTACAGGATCTTAGTCGTGATATGGGCGCTTAGCAATGAAGATGTATCTCTCTCGTACATCCCATCCTACAAGGAACTACAAGGGATACCTCCACTGCTATACGTTAATATTGATACGAGTGCTTAGCGATGAAAATCTATCTCTGATGCAGCCCGGCCTTCAAAAATTACAGTACAAGGCATACTATCGCTATGGACAACTGCACGTTGATCTTGATATGGGCGCTTAACAATGTAGATCTATCTCTCTCATGCGCCTTATCCTACAGGACAGATAGTTGCATATTACAATCACATTGTACTGTGGTACTCTCCATGCTGTACAATCATGTGGCATGATTTCTGAATCTTAGTAGATGGAAAGCGCTTCCATCCTCAATCCAACCCCGATCTCCGCATTCCTCGCCCCCATTATGCAATGCAATATTGCCCACTACGAACTCTGCATGATGCCCTCGAGGGTAGAATGCGGCTTATTTACTCCGGGCGCGTAAGGTGCAGAATATCTAATCCTGGATAGTCACTCAGATTGAAGGATGCAATAGTCACATCATATGTATGTAGCTTATGCTTGGTAAGGCTGTAAGGCTGTGGATGCGCTGCCGCTGTGTGCCCGCGTTGGGCGGTTAGGCGGGTTGTCTGATTCGGTTTCACTTTTGGCGGCTAGGTATGTATATGTGCGGGGTTATTAGGGACATTGGTTTGGGAGTTTGGGGGTAAGAGGGATATAGTATGACTCCCAAGGTTTCTTTCTACTTTCGATATAATCAGGCTAATTAGTTTATTATTAGTTGAGGATTCTGGGGCGCTTTCACATAGCTATTATTGTTACGGCACGTGCCCAGGCGCACTAGCCAAACAGGTTAAAAAGACCAAATATGCTATAACGGTATGCTCTAGTATGCCTGGGACCGATATAAGTAGCACACAACGTTAGGCCTAGGTCCTAACAGTTATCCATTAGAAGTACACGGTTAAGCCATTCATCTAATCTGCTTCGTTTTGAGCAATAAGGTATGGAATTGAAAGGCTCTCTGAAGATGGACACCTTCTCTTGTTATCACTGTCTCATAATCAACTATTCTATTATTTGTAAGCGCTAGACCCGACGAACGTAATAACGTCAGTAATGCCGACCTTCCGTATCTCAGACATCATGGGTTTCCTGCTTTCAAATACCGAAAGAGAGTTTACAGACCGTCTATAAGATATGCAAGATGATAAACAATGGTATTTGCGTTTTGAGATATCTGTAAACACTTCATTATCCGTCATTGACTTGCGACTGCCCCCTTGCTAATCAAATATTCAGCAATGGCCTGGAAATCTTCAGGCTCTGCGAGAGACCACGGATCGCGTGGCTGTGTAGCTTTAGACAGTGCGACATCGAGTGCAGTACTACACCCGGCGAACCGAAACTCGAGGTTGACGTCTGCCTGAGCTTCCTCCACGAGGTATCTTACTACCTCTAAGTCTCCATGGTAGGCGGCGGCAGTAAGTGCACTGCCATAATGGCCAACCTGAGGTAGAAGATTTGCGTCTGCCTGAGCTTCCTCCACGAGGTATCTTACTACCTCTAAGTCTCCATAGTAGGCGGCGGCAGTAAGCGCACTGCCATAATCACCAACCTGAGGTAGAAGATTTGCGTCTGCCTGAGCTTCCTCCACGAGGTATCTTACTACCTCTAAGTCTCCATGGTAGGCGGCGACAGTAAGTGCACTACCATAATCACCAACCTGAGGTAGAAGATTTGCGTCTGCCTGAGCCTCCTCCACGAGGTATCTTACTACCTCTAGGCTTCCAGAGCACGCGGCGGCAGTAAGTGCACTACCATAATAGCCAACCTGAGGTAGAAGATTCACGTCCGGGTGAGCCTCCTCCACGAGATATCTTACTACCTCTAGGCTTCCAGAGCACGCGGCGGCAGTAAGTGCACTACCATAATAGCCAACCTGAGGTAGAAGATTCACGTCCGGGTGAGCTTCCTCCACGAGGTATCTTACTACCTCTAAGTCTCCATGGTAGGCGGCGGCAGTAAGTGCACTACCATAACGGCCAACCTGAGGTAGAAGATTCGCGTCCGCGTGAGCCTCCTCCACGAGATATCTTACTACCTCTAGGTTTCCAGAGCACGCGGCGGCAGTAAGTGCACTACCATAATAGCCAACCTGAGGTAGAAGATTCACGTCCGGGTGAGCCTCCTCCACGAGATATCTTACTACCTCTAGGCTTCCAGAGCACGCGGCGGCAGTAAGTGCACTACCATAATCACCAACCTGAGGTAGAAGATTCGCGTCCGCGTGAGCCTCCTCCACGAGATATCTTACTACCTCTAGGCTTTTAGAGCACGCGGCGGCAGTAAGTGCACTGCCATATTTATCACTCGCAGAGGGCTGGTTGACGTAGACTCCTCGCTCGATGAGGTCTGCGCACAAAGGAACACAGTTATTCAGAGCGGAGATTGTAAGTAGACTGTCACCAGATCTATTCTTCTGGTTGGGATCAAATGTTTGATTGTCAAACCACTCATGGAGAACATTGTGAAGCGAAAAGTGGGCCAACGCAAAAATTGGCGTTGTGGTGGGAGAAAGCTCAATTTTCAACAGCGACAAATATCTTGAAGAATAGAAGACCCTCCAAGACTCGTCTGGAGGGAACATGTGAGCAGCCCATCGAACGAAGAAAGGACTACTTTCCTCCAGAGAACCGAGGAACTGTTTCAGATATTTGATTGATTCGTCGCTTTCTGTCTGCTCGAGGGCATAGAATGGCCAAAAGGCCTGAACATGTTTAGAAAACGGATGCGTGACGTCAAATGGGTTCTTAGCATCCTCGACCGGAATATCCGACGATCTCTGCAGCCATTTTGGGAGGACTTCTGAGACTTTGGTTGAGCTGAATGTGCTGATAAGAGAGCGAAAGCACACTTGTGCACAGAACGCAAATGCAGGTTGGGTAAGATGGTGAGTTGTTTCAAAATATTCTCGGGCAGAGAGATGGAAGAACCTCCAATCACCCTCGGAGTCCACTATCAACAAGTTCTCACAGATTGACAATAACGACTCTCGCTGGACAAGGTTCACCAGCTTGATCTGATCTTTTTCGAGGCTGATCTGGACGGCACCAAGTAGCTCTTCGGTAGAGAGCGGAGATGGAGCACACATCACCCATTTGATGGTCCTTTCGGCCAATGTTCTCTCGGGGAGTGGACGATCCTGGATTTTGGAGTAAATTTGGTCATATGCAGCATTCAATCCTCTTGGCAGAGTTTCCAGTGCGTACATAATCGAGTCAATTGAATCGCACCGGGTAACTTGCTTTACTTGGAGGGCTGCCCAAAGGAACCTTTCTTTTTGGGTTAGTGGGAGGTTTCTACATCGTGAATGGGGGGACTTACATGTTGTCACACTTGTCGAGAATGGTAGTGGTGATCTTCTCCTTCATGAGAGCAACGTCCGAGTTAGGATATCGCTTCTCAATCGTATCCATTTCCATCTTTACAAATCTCTTGATGTCGGTCTTGTTGTCTCCAGCGTTGATAATGACTGTTGGCCCCGAACCGTACATTCGAGCAATCTCTTTCTCGGGCCGACTGGAAACGAATAGTTTCACTTTGTTTCCGGCTTGCGTCTTGCGAACAAGATCATCCAGCTTCTCCATGAGAATGTCAAGTTCATCTTCCAGGACTTCATCCAACGCGTCCAGAACGATGAAGGTTGTTGGGTACAAATTGAAGGACTCGAGAAGTTGACCTTGACAATCTGATAACCCAAGCTCTGAAGCTCTATCTGTAGCCTTTTCTCGTGCCTCTTGAAGACTTTTTCTAACAGACTGGGTGTTGTGTTTTGGAGCGGCGAGCTGGCGAACTAGGCTTCGGAGTACCGAAAGTGCTTGGCGCCGATTCTGCTCGTCTCGGTTGCAGAAGAAAAATGCGAAACCTTCCATCTGAGAGCTCATGGTAGCTCCAATGTGCTTGGCTACTGCCGAGGTCAAATATGTTTTTCCGGCGCCAGCTATAATCAGTCAGCTCGCATCTTCAGTACGGAATAAGTAAAACTCACGAGATCCTTGGAGCCACAAGGCGCCAGATGTGGGCGAATCCATCCACTCGCAGAACTTCGGGTGCTGAATGAGCCAATCTCCAGTATTTGGATTTCTTTTTTCCTCAATCTCATCGTGATGCCGGCCGTATTGGATAGTAGAGATCCACTCGAGAAGGCTTCTCCGCTCATGCTCGCTCACCAACTGAAGGACTTGCTCCATATTACGGTCAATTGTGCGGAGGGAATCTTCAGCCTCTTGAAGATACTTCTTCACAATATCATCTTGACACGCATGAGCTGTGATTTCACATTTAACTGCAGCCGCCGTAAGATCCTGCTCCAGGCCTTGCAGTTCAGATAGCTTTGCGGAAGGCTTCCTAGTGTCGAAGACTGCGCGGCAGAATTGCACCGCAGTATTGGACGATAGATCAGTTGAAGTGGCTAAAAGGTCTAGTATACACGCATACAGGTCGACTAAAGTATCGTGAAGCTTGTTCACTACATCCTGTCTTCCGGTCCGCTCGGCAGTGTATATCTCGTAGTAGACCTGGCCGCAGAACATGACACCGGCCACTTTATCAACAACAGAGAGAAGTGCACTTCTTTCTTTATCAAATGTGTCAATTTCCTGGATATCTCACCGGATTAGCACTCGCTAGTATATTCCACTTCATCGAGATGTCCTGGTAACCAACCTGCAAAATCGACTTGGCAACTGCCCAAGCTCCGGCCCCAGGAGATGGAGAAAATTGAATGGCCACATCTCCGATTTTTGTGGCCCAGTGAACAATCCCAACAACTGTTTGTCTTATTGGGACTTGACGCTCTCCAATTTGAATTTTCCAGTCCTTGGCCATGCTTTGGTCGCGCAGTCTTTCAGCCTCCTTTTGGAACCGTTCAATCTGATCGACCAGGGGCTCAGAGCTTTTCATTCCGCGCCTCTCGAGCCCTAGCTGCAAATTTTGAGGCAGTTTCTCAAATGCTTCGAGCCAGAGATCGCGGTCGCCCGTCACGATTTTAGGGGGGCCGGTCGGCGCAGGGATCCCCTCGTCATTTTTTGCTTGTGTTGGACCTGCGGTTGTCGGTGGCGGCGGGCGCTTCAGTTTTGCTTTTAAACGCTTTAACACCATTGTGAAGGCTGGCTTGCGAGTAGAATGGTCAATCTTTGTGGCATCAGGGCCTTTTCGAAGAAAGATGAATGCTACGAGACTCAAGTCGATGGGAGCCTAACACAGCCCCTCATTTCAGCTAAGGGGCGCTAAGGCACGCAGGTCACCCTAACCATTGACGAATAGGGGAATCAACGAAACAAATATGGAAGTGGCGAAGGCGGCTGTGAATTAAGTTTGGGGGTCGCGTACCGCAGACCTACCTATGCGCTGACCTAGTTTGTTTCTATCACTGGAAGATAAGCTTATTTTAGACGCTTTTGTGTGCTCAAACTTCTTCATCACCATATTGCGACTATGCCCAAAAGCCCGAGCGTCCAAATAGCCACACCGATAGCCTGTAACTTTGTTGTCGTCCATTGCGACTGGAGTTATATAAAAGATACCCTTATATAGAATGGCTCATTCCTTCAATATTAATACTCTAATGCTGTTGGGTATGAAACTCTAATTCATCCGAAGTTAACCCCACATCCATCAGTCACGTGATATTCCGACTGTTCCCCGACGAAAAATGACCAATCCCGACTGTTCCCCGCACATCATCAACGCACCCATTCTCCGTGCCAACCCCGGATTTTCAATTACATTACCCGCAATCAAAATGGCCCCATCAGAAGAAGCAGATAACGACGTAACTCAAGCACCCGCGTCTAAACGGCGTCGCGTCGCGGTCGCCTGCGATGCATGTCGAACGCGCAAGTCCCGCTGTGACGGCGTGAGACCTCGATGCTCGCTATGTCGAGACCTGGGGTTCGAATGTGTGTATACACCGCCGCCCACGGCGACGAATGTTATTGTGCAGAAGGATTATTTACGGGGGCTTGAGGAGAGAGTTAAGAGGTTGGAGGAGGGGATGGTTGGTGTTAGAGGGGATATTGATGGGTTGGTTGGGAGAGTTGATGGTGTGCAAGTGCAGGGTGTTGCTACTGGAGATGCAGGCTCGAGTAGTAGTTTGGCAACTGCGAGGAGGATCGAGGATGATTCCGGGCAAAGGGTAGTTTCTGTGGCTGGGTCGGATCTTATTGGGACGGAGGATGCGGTTGATGCGATGGGTGCGGTGACATTTGCTGATGAGGAAGACTCGGGATTCTTCGGTTTGATTAACCTCATCCCCTGTTGACATGGGCCAGTTGCTAACGATTGCTGAACAGGACCCTCTTCTAACATTGCATTCTTGAGACACCTCTCAAGAGCAATTGTTCAGCACGGATACCTTTTATCACCTGGTGCAGCGGAAGGCGGATTCGTCAATGCATCGCGACCACCCTCGCCACCGCGCCAAGCATCGCATGATCAACGGTCAAAAATCAACATGTTTGCTCTACCTCCTCAGTCGGAGACATTGGCCCTTATACAGCGGTACTTTTCTGAAACGGGACTACTCTTCCCGTACATATATCCGCCTGCCTTTTTGGAGACGTATCATCAAACGACGAGAGAGAATTTCACCAAAGTACGACGAACGTGGCTTGGACTTTTGAACATGGTTTTGGCAATGGCCACGATCACTGCTATGCCTGGTGGTGCGAGAGCTGATGCCCGGATCTCGGAGTCGGATGTTTTCTATCAACGTGGTCTAGGGTTGTGTGGCAGCGAGATCTTACGAGGGACGACTCTGGAAGTTGGTAAGATACGCTTCAAATGAGGGTACCTCGAAAGGATTGACTCGCTAACCGATTATAGTGCAATATCTCCTACTCATGGGCCAATACCTACAAGGCACGCAAAAGTCTGTTCAGGCTTGGACTGTTCATGGATTAGCAGTCAAGGCTGCGCTCCAACTTGGTTTGCATTCCAGAAATGCATCCAGGTCATTCCCCCCACTCGAGCAGGAGACTCGCAAGCGAACTTGGTACGGTTGCGTAGTGCTTGACAGGTAAGGATGAGCAGCTCGAGAATGCTGTACCAGCAATGCTAATTAATCATATCCTAGAACCCTGAGTATGACCTTTGGAAGGCCAAGCTCCATCCCCGATTACTACGTGAAACTTGAACTGCCATCAAAACGCGATTTCGAAAAGTCATCAGCATTTGTGGATGACGAGACCTCTTATCTTAGCGTCTCCTTCTTCAACTCAACCATGTAGGTATCCACAATCCTCCACCCATGACGTACCATCTAACCCCATCTCAAGCACCCTATACAAACAACTCTGGAACATCCTCGACCTCCTCTACGGCCAAAACATCGGCTGCGACACCCCCCTCTCCGTCAGCGAAACAGTCGCCCACATCTTCAGCATGGAACAACACCTCTTCTCCTGGGAACGCTCCCTCCCCCCATCCCTACAACTTGTCTCAACAGCCATCCTCACCGAAATGCCTCTAGATCAAACATCATCCAGCTTCCAATACTTCTCCTGGAAATTCCGCGTCATTCTCACCCTCCGATATCTCAATCTCCGTGTTCTACTTCATAGACCCGTGTTAGTGAAGTTCATCGCTGCGAGTCGCTCTCCCGATCGCGATCCGCAGGATTTGAAACTCCTGCAGCAGATTGGCATGAATAGTATGCAGATTGTTGTTGAGTCGGCAATGGAGATTATTGATATTGTGTGGAGGGTTGTGTCGGAGCCTGGGTGGAAGCAGAGTTTGCTTGGGGCGTGGTGGTTTTCGTTATATTACAGTAAGCTTTATCTGGAGGAGGTTATAGTGATGGTCCTGCTGACGAAATTCTAGCATTCAATGCGGCGGTTGTTCTCATCGGCGCTGTTTGCGTGTATCGAGATACAACCCTTTGCAGCGCTTCGATGACTGCCCAAGCAAAGACAGTGCAGCAGTACCCTGCTCGCGCGGTGATGGCTCTTGCCAAGCTGGACGATGGGAATCGACTGATTGATCGGTGTCGGTATTATCTGGAGCAGTTTAACAAGATTTTGGTTGATTCGGGTGAGTCTCTCTCATTTGCACTAACTCATAGTTTTTTTGGCAGCTTGCTGATATGATCACAGAAACTGATCTTGATGGCTTGATGCCCGCACTGCCGACGCTGACGGGTATGCGTGGCTCCAACTCCGCGGCAGATTATAGTCTTTCGCCATTTGGAATGGAGCTTGGGGAGTTTATGATGGATGACGATCTCGTCGCGATGATAGATAAGCAGGGTCTTTTAACGCAGGATCCTGGATCGGCGTATCCTGTATGATAGTAGCGAAGAGAGCAAAACTACCTAGGGTATCCAAGCATGAATGACGAACAGGAAATATCGCATGATTACGTGCGTGTATTATGGCGAAATATTACTACCGATAGCATCCTAATCATTATTTCTCCATCCCCAGCGCTATCCCATCCATTCCATTCACTCCCCATTCATCTTCGCCAAATTAGCCCTATGCGCAATCTTCGCCAACAACGGCGCCATCCCAGCATGATTACACTCCGGCTGGAACCTCTTACTCAATAACGGCGCAACCTCCTCCACCTCACCATCAACACCATCCCTCTTCGAAAAACTAAATCCCGGCGTCCGCTGCACACAGCTATACTGCGCATCCGCACCGCGCAGCGCACAAATCTCATTCTTCGCACAATCCCCCGTGCAAGCGGGTACGTTGTATCCGCGCGTACGTCGAGCCCAGAATTCACCGAACACTGCAGAATCCTTTTCCATGGCGACGGTTACGTTGTGCCAGAATGCTGGTGTGAGTTCTGCCGTGTCGTCGGGGATAGTGGACAGTTTCGAGCCGTAGTCTTTCTTTGCGGTGTAATAGGGGATCCAGGTTGGTTTTGTTTGGAAGGAGGCATCGCTGATGTTGGCGATGTATTGGGTGAAATCTAGCACGCCGAATGTGACGGGGTCGATGTCGTAGACTCGGAAAGAGGGGGAGCCGGATGTTGGTGTCATTGATGGGGCGACGTAGCCCATTGCCGTGGCGGTGTCCCAGTTTCGATTTTTGTAATCCGAGTATGAGATTTGGAATTCGTCTGTGTGCGTGTGTCCGAAGAACAGGCCTGCGATTGTAGCTTCGTAGCGCTGGATGATTTGATCGAAGTAGTGCGAGTGGTCCCGGAAATGGTCGACATCTCCGGATGGGATGTGCGAGATTAGCCAGACGCGTTGGCCGGCGTTTTCGGCAGCTTGGAGTTCTTCGATTAGCCATGTTAGTTGGCCGTTGGGGTCGTATTCCATTGGTTCGGTGTAGGAGAAGAAGTTGTATTTGTAGTAGAAGATGCTGTTGTACGAGATGATGCGGAGTTTGCTGTCCGGGTGGATGGCGGAGTAGGAGCCGTATTCGTTTGCGTTTTGGACGCTTTCGATTCCTGTGAGGGCCATCCAGTCTGCTGTCAGGGCGTCGTAGGCCCATTGTGGGTTGTATTTGCTGGGGACATTGTGGGAGGGGAAGAGGTTGAGCGGTGCGGCGTCGTGGTTACCCAGGGCGGCGTAGACGAGGCCGAGGTGGCTCTCCATCGCGCCGTAGGTTGCGTTCAAGTCTTGTAGGACTTCTTCTTTGGTTACGAGCCAGACGTCGTGGGCGACCACGTCGCCGGTGTAGATTGAGAAGGCTGGGTTGAGCTCTGCGATGGCGGTCATCATGCTTTCTTGGAGTTGGTGCGGGGGGTCGCATTTGGTGTTTCCAAATGGTCCGCATGGCTTGTCTGTGGTTCCTGGGGCATCTTCGTCGGTGTATACACGGCAACAGATGGGCTTGGAGCAGTCATAGTTGGAGCCGGTCTCGTAGGATAGATCGACGTGAGTGTCACTGAAGTGGACCACCTTGATAGGAGGTTTACCACTTGGTGGTGGGCGACTGTTCGCTGGCTTGGGCGAGGGAAATGCTAAGTCAAATGGACGGACATCTGGAAAGTCACAAAGACCGACTAGAGCCGAGCAGAGAGTCTTGGCTGTGTGGGAGCCCACATGCATGTTCTTGATGGCGTAGTGCAAGGCAGGTACCTCGCTGGCGATGACACCAGCGCAGACATCCCGATCCTCTGCCTGTACAGGAGGAGCAGTTAGCATACTAAAATGGTTTAGGAAATGCTCATGGAGAAGTAATAATGACTTACGCCGCTGATATCACAAACGCCAGTTAACACATCCTCCATGAAGCCTTCACCAAAGTCAGCCACGAGCTTGAGACCACCCAAGAGGACCTGAAAACCATCAGATTATTGATACGAGAACTTAGTTAACAACCTGAGCGATCGACGTACCTGGCAACTTCCACAGTCCACAGCTTCCTTAAAGTCATTCCAGATAGTACTGATCCAGCTTTCCGTAGCTCCAGCCTGAACCACCGGCAGCGACGCCAAAGGCGCAAGGGCCGCAAGAAGAACTGCCTGCTTCATCACGAGCTAGAAGAGTCACAGTCCCAAAAGTTCCTCCGACGAGCACAGAAACCAAGAGGAGTTGACGTGGCTATCCAGCTGACTTTATACCCCCTCCTCACGATACCAAGACCATGGCAGCCATAGCTTGTACCTAATATAAACCTCGATCCAACCGAGGACATCTGCACGTCCATCCGCCCAGCCAAAGGATCCTACTCCTCACCCCGAACCGGATAGCGTTCCTGCATGACAAGAATAAGCGAAGCGATCATCAAAGCATCCCTCCAACCAGATATCTCCACACTGGAGAGGGATTGCAGCCGTGGTACGATGATTGGCTCTTGATTGTCGATCGCACCCTGACAGCATCGCAAGCACACCTGTTCATGGAAAAGCTCCAGAAGAACCTAGTTGGTGAATGGCCAGTCGGAAAGGTTATCGACTGTCATGCCCTGGTCGGAGTTTAATGGAGGCCGATCGGGCGACCGAGAGGGGCTTGAGGTGCAGAGTTACTACATTGTCGACCGAGTGTCCGTGGATTGATGCAGCCAAGCGGCTAACGGGTGGGCGTTGCAACATTGAACAGTGCGGCCTTTGGAGATGGATTGAGTTATTCTTGGTGTTAATTTTCGGACTTTGTGGAAGGGGGGTATATCTTGGCTGGGGTTCATGATGCAGTCGGTCGCGTAGATTCGGTCTCACATGAAGATTACCTAGGACAAGCTAAGGTTACCCCTTATCAGAGGAGAGATAGCCCCGCGATCTGCTTTTCAGGGTCTTAGCTTGTAGACAGCACTAGCAGGGAGCATTTGCGGGGTCGTTCAGGGTGATTTTGGGCTTAAGGAGATTCTGACAGACGCATGCACTAGGCCGTTTCAATTGGAGCCGCAAGATAACCTTGATCGAAGCATCTACTTAACGTATGACAACGGGCGGGTGATGCGGGCTTCCGATAGGAATGCCAAGGTCGAGAAAGCTGCAGGGGATGTGGAGATGTAGTTATTTAGGTATTAGGTACCTTAGTGGGTAGGTCTAGGTCTAGCTAAGGTATGAACCTAAAGTTATGATTTGAGATGTATGGATGAGCTGGAAGTATTGAGGTAGCTGGTTGGTGAGATATATTTCCGTCAGGTATACCGGCGCGGCAGGAACAGACATTCTACCTTCGCGCACTTTACTTTCCATGACAAAATTCCAGATTAAAACAGTAGGGATATACTCGTTAGTTCTGAAGACTAGAATGTATGTAAATAAGTGATTTAATATCCTGTCTGATGGAAAGTCAGTCAAGACTTTCATAAATCCATCCCTCGGACGTAGGCTCTCCGAAATCACAGCCAAGGATAGGCCAAGAGAAGGATCTGCCAATGGAGGAAAAACGGGATCAGGCACACGAGCACCAAGCACTAGAGAAGAAATGGCTAAGCGTCTTGGTCGCCAACGCCATGGATGTCAGCCACCGATGCGCGCTTTAATTCGGGCGGACAATGGCCGAACGAGCAGTCGAGGTATCGGCCAATTTCCCTTACGAATTGGACTCTCCTCATTGATTGGATTGACCCAAATTGACGTCGAATATTTTGCCACCCCCAGACTCTCAGGGGCTCACGGTTATTCGTGAAACTATTGGGGGTGTTGCCCGACAACCTTGGAAGGTTGAGATGTGGATTGAGTGGCGCTGGTTCTCATCCCGCGAACCCCACGGAGGAGGACTGACTGGCTGGTTATTGGTGATCCAGTGGGAGACCGTGGAGGTAACCAGAGAAGTATTGAGGGGTTTGCTTGTATGAAGAGCTTCCTCTTTTCTCGGCGATGGAGTGTTGAGAAGAATGTTGTGTATGACGTAGCCCTGTATATCGAGGATTGTATCTGTAAAACAGGTTAGACAATGACATTGCAAAGAGAAACCAGCGATGACAATCTGAGACAACGGGAAGACGTATAAGATACGGAATTAACCGTTTTAACAGCAAACAGCATTTGGCGAAGACTTGGTTCCGATCGCGGCGGGGAAGAGAAAATTCCAGTTGGGAGCCAATTGGGAGCAAGTCACCATCAACCATCGACTTCCTCTCAGCTTGTTTTTTTCTCTTCCCCTCACACAGCAGTCCGTGCTGATCAACTCTTCGTGGGATGTCCATTCCTCTCTCGAGCCTCTTTTGCGCCCGTTAAACCTTGGTGTTTTCCCCCCGGTTCATCTCCTCGAAATTTCGCCTCCTCTCTTCAAGCGGGTCTGCCCCAGCCTTTTTGGTTACCCCGGATTCGTCGTCTTTCCGACTCAGACTCATCACGTAACAAACACCCAACGGTCTCTCCCCTAGAGACCATGGAGCCGCAGCTGGCCCTATCCTCAACTCCTCCCTCCTCCGACCGCGACTATGCATTGAGGTATCTCCTCCGTTCAATCGACGCTTGATTGAGGGTTTCGGAAAACAGTCCGCGCCCGCGGTTGCGCAGTGACCCTTCATCATGCAAACCCGTCGTCCAGCCACGCTCGGGGTCTCGATCACCTTTTTCGTTATCGCCAGTATATTCGTTGCTTTGCGGTTTGTCTCGCGCATCTTCGTCGTGCGTAAGGTTGGGTTACACGATTATTTGATGCTGGTCGCGTGGGTACGTTGCTCCCTTGGGTCTTGGGGTCCCTGCATGCGCCCGAGATGGTTGCGTTGGAGTGCGCGCGCATCCTTGTCCTCGAAGACGCATGCGAATAGCACCTAGTTTGCCATGTATTGGTTCTATTGCTAACCTAGCCTAAGGTGATTGACTTTGGCTTCTCGTTCTCACTGTTCTACGCGACTCAACATGGATTCGGCCTGCACTCAAGTGACATCCCAGATGAGAATAAAGAGGCCGTCAATAAGGCGAACTATGCATTTACGGTGCTATATGTGAGTTCAACTACTATTGCTAAAGCTAGTACTTGCTTCGACCATGCTAATATCTGCCTCCTAGAACCCGGCGCTTATGGCTGTCAAAACCTCCATCCTCGTCTTCTACCTAACCCTGACCCGTAATCAAAAAGTCTTCCGATGGGCAAATTATGTTACACTGGCGGTCGTCAATGCTGCAGGGCTCGCCTTGACAATGGTCAATGTATTCCAATGTCGCCCCGTTTCTGCTGCGTTTTACTCGTCCATTCCTCCAGGCGCCAAGTGTACCGACATCGTCACGCTCTACCTTTCCTCGTCTCCCGTCAATATCATCACCGATCTGGCCATTCTATTCCTCCCGATGCCAATTCTGACGCAAATGCGTCTGCCATATAAACAAAAGGTCATTCTGGTGATTACATTCAGCTTTGGTTTCTTCGTGGCAGTGGTCGATGTCATTCGAATCGCTTTTCTTCAACAAGCCGCGCTATCACGCTCACTAGCCCTGAAATCGATTCATCTGCAAAATAATACCACCGCTGACTTTAGCTGTAAGCACCTCGTACCCTCGATGCTAATTGAATTTGTGAATTGCGCTAATACATACTCTTCTTCCCAGGGTACGCCTCGCTCTCATTCATGTGGTCCGTCGTCGAAGTCAACGTCTCGGTTATTTGCGCCTGTGTCCCAAGTCTCAAGCCATTGGTTGCTCGCCTGATGCCAAAGTTGATAAGAGACACCAATGATCCCTACACCAGTCCCCGCAACAACTACGCCACGGGCGAAAGTCCGGTTGCCGTTCCCCCGGCTGCCGTGACACCAAATTCCCTCCATGGATCTCCTGCGGTTTCGCCATCGGACAGCAATGGTAGTAAACCCTCGCAGAAGAGAAGTGTCAGCACAAGTGCCCGGAGGCAGAGCTCGAATGCGCCGATGGGAATACTCGACTTTCTGGGCGAGCCTGGAAATGCTCCCACTGATACGGAAGCAAATACACATACGAGCACGTCTTATCCGCCTGATATCACTTTCTTTGATTTTGTCAACATGAAAAATCCTGAAAGTATGCTCAAATTGAATAATCGAGAGTCAATTGCACCGATTGCGTTGACGACGCTTTTGTTCTTCCTTTGGGGTTTCGCGTATGGGTTGCTTGATATCCTGAACGCACAGTTCCAGACCATTGTTCAGCTGGATACGTGGCACTCGCTGGGTCTCCATGGTGCCTACTTTGGTGGGTATGTGGTTGGCCCATTGCTGGTCGGACGCCCAGTTCTGAAGACATGGGGATTCAAATCCACCTTCATCACGGGACTGTGCATTTACGCCTGCGGAACCCTTATCTTCTGGCCATCGGCTGTTCTCGCCTCGACTGCTGCATTTACCATCTCCAACTTTATCGTCGGATTCGGTCTAGCTGTTTTGGAAACCGCAGCCAACCCTTTCATTGCGCTCTGTGGTCCGCTGGAGAATTCCGAAATTCGATTAAACATCTCACAGGGTGTACAAGCAGTCGGCAGCGTGGTTTCTCCACTTCTCGCAAAGAAAGTCCTTTTCAAGGACGTCCAAGACGCTGCCTCTCTCGTAGACGTGCAATGGACATACCTCGGAATCGCCCTCTTTGACGTCCTCCTCGCAGTCGCATTCTACTACCTCCCCATCCCAGAAGCCTCAGACGAAGACCTAGAAGAACTAGCCAATCGCCGCAGAGAAGACAACATGACCAAAGTCCTCGGCATCCCAGTCGTCTGGCTCACCCTCGGCCTCGGCATCTGGTCCCAATTCTTCTACGTCGCCGGCCAAGAAGTCCTCTCCACCTCCCTGGAACGATTCGTCCAAGCCGCAAATCCAAACACATCCCTCGGCGCTTTCGAGTTCCTAACAATAGGCCATAGCATCTTCGCCATAGGCCGCTTCATCGCCGCTTTCGCACAGTGGTTCCTCAAACCTCGCTGGATCCTAATGGTCTCGTACATCGGGATGATAGTATTTTCAGTGCTATGCATGAAAACAACCGGCACCGCAGCTATTATTATGGCAATGTTCGTCTACCTCTTCGAAAGCGGCGCTTTCAGTATTATCTTCGCCATCTCCCTACGCGGCACGGCCCAACATACCAAAACAGCCGCCGTCTTCCTTACCATGGGCATCAGCGGCGGAACGTTCTTCCCCTTCGCCGAATACGCCGCCTACCTCTCCCACGGGCAATCATTTTCCTTCTGCGTCCTCGTCGCCCTCTTCGCGGCCGGCGCTATCTTCCCGGTATACCTCAACTTTGTCCCCGCCGTGAAGAAACAGGTAGACCCCGTTCCGAATGAGTATCTGCGTCGACATCATCGCCGGAGAAGTAAAGCACCCGGGAGTGGTGTGCAGCGCGAGAAACAGAATCATTCTGTGGGCGGTGTGCTCTCGCGGCCGAGGAGTTTGGTCTCGGATCCGGATTTGTTGCCGGATTTGCCGATGCCGGGGGAGACGCATCAGAGTCGGAGTTCGAGGTCGAGTTTGAGGGCGAGGAGTGTGCGGGTTTCGAAGGGAAGTTCGAAGTCGAATTCGAATGATAGCTCGAATGTTGGGTCGCAGTCTTCGGGGGAAGGTGTTAAGAGGGTGCGGATTGCGGGTGATTCGTGATTCGTGATCCATCATTCTTGATTTTGGGATTCTCGATTCTCGATTCTTGATATTGATTCATGACTCGTGATGTTTGCATATGATCTTTTCGGTTTGGTTTTTGCTTCGCTGTTTATGAAGATACCCCCTCATCTCTGTGGCTCATTTCTTTGTGATGCCTTGGAAACTTCGAAAATTTGGATGGTTATATCCAGGGTGATTGGCTGTATATATGCATGCTGGGTTACCTGGGTGGCCTTTTTTGGATATTTTTGGAGATAATTCTTGCATTTTAGCGATGGCGTTTGGGATGGAATATTGGGAGGAGGTTTCTGTTCGGGTTGTGTGTATATAGTCTCTACTGAATTGTATACTCTATAATGATCATGTTCTTGAACTGATATGAATCAGTAAGCAGGGGGATAGATAAAGCTGGTTGTGATAGATCCATAAATTGATGCCTGATAGCGCTTTCTGCCGCGGGCATCTAAATTATATCTGCTCTCGCCTTCTTGTGGTTGACAATATCTTATGTTTCGCCTACCTCCCTTTTGCTTGATTTTCCTCAAACTGCCCGTTTTATCCAACTCCACTCGCTATCTTGCAACTCTTCATCCCTGGGGCTTTAATCCATGTTGAATGAGCTAAGGTGAATGCTGTTTCGGCCGAGTGGCCTATACCGTCCTCAGTCATGACCTCTGTATAGAAAATCTGCGACACCTGTTAAAAGCTCGGAGGCTTATGAGGACTGCAAGATATATGGATTATTTCAAGAGAGGTTGCTTATTACGTTCAAGTTTTAGTGTAAATATCCGACCTCGACTTTTACCTCAATGATAAGGGCTCCATCTGAAGTCCCGTCTGCCTCCAGAGAGCGAATTCCTCCCCCCGCTAACACCATATTTGGCGATATCTTGGGCGCTTCGAGAGCCGAGGAAATGGTGGCACCATTGAGGGCAAAATCGGAACATAATAGCCGGACGCAAAGGAGGCAATTTCCGTGCTGCTTCGGCTCCGAATGTATACGCGAGCTTGTCGTTTAGGCTTCTCTCAACCGACTCTGCAGACTCCCTGCGGAAGTCTTGTTTCCTGGTAACGAATCCTTTGGCTTCAGATTGACATTTCTCTGCAAATTCGTAAAAGGCATTTAGTCTCGCTTCGTCGGATACATCAACAAGCTGAACGCAGGCATCACCGAGGAGTCCAAATAAGCCCTTTTGAGCTGCTCTTTCGAACGTGGTATGCACCACGATAAGGTTCATCACAACAAGTCCATGTCGTAATTGCTGGAGAGCCCCGATCCTCTCTTCGATATCGACATCGCCGTCGCGATTATTATCAAGATAATCGAACATAAAGGAGCCCCCGTAAGCTTTGCCCGCACTCCAAGATAGATAATCTAGAGCGCTCCCATCGCTCTGATACCCTGCACTGTAGCTTGGAGTCCAGTTTAAGTGGATAAGGTCTCGCGAGGGGTCGATCCATGATTGATCAACCTCGAGATCGGATATCCACCGGGCCTCCCGAGGGGGGGAACCCCTGTCACGATAGTGGCCAGCCTCAAACGCGACAAGACGTGATTCACGACATACGCGGCTGATCACTGGCGGGCATCGGTTGATATTGGTCGTTTTCTGTAGCGTGCATGGTGGCCGATAGGGGCGGCTCCAGTTGACGCCATCGTCCCACGGGTAGTCAATCTCAACGACGCGAATTGGAAGGCATTCACGCCAGACGGCAAGTCTTGATTCGGTGGGTAGCTGAGAGAAGTAATGAAATTCTCGGTCGTTTTTTTCCATTTAGACCAGATAGATGTAGGATGTTGGAGGGCGAGTTTGAAAAACTCGAGTCCTTTTAAGGCGCGGGAGTCTTTCCAAGGTTGTTTCGCGCTAAAATGACTCGGCGAAGGAAATTGCTAGGTAGTTAACTAAACAACTACCTAAACTAATGTCACCCACTAGTTAGCGGGTCGACCCAGATAGCTACCTTCTGTTCTAAGCCAATAGATAGGGGACCCGCGGTAAACTGCCAATGACATTGAAGAGTGGGCCGGTTCACGAGATCATTATTCACGAATATTATTATATAACTGGCCCCTTTATCGGGGGTCCGAAATAAATGGTAATCTATGAAGGGGGCCGGTTATCTGTCTTTCCGGTTTCGTCGTAGACTAAAAATGAGGTATCATCATATGTGAAGATCGGAAGAAGTGCGCAGTTAAAATTTAAGATCTTTACTGGAACTAGCACGTTAAACGAGTTAGCTTTATTAACGCATGACGTCCTAGTAAAGGCCGAGATTATAGATATAATACATTGAACTATGAATGCTTAATAGTGCCCTATCTCACAGCTATCTAGTAGGGCATGTCTTCTCTTACCTCCTTATAATTAGCGTGACCTCCCTCTCCTCTTACTGAGGTTGATATCTTGTAAGTATGATACTACGTGCTGCGAGATACACTGCCTCATACCTAGTTATACTCAGCTGATACATGAAGTAATATTATGCAGTAACATGCAGGGATCTCTGCCAATGGAAGATGCAGATTAAACGCCGCATTGTCCGTGCCAACTTATAACTACCGATGAATGACTAGCTGCCAGCTCAGCCCTCGCCGATCGCCCCAATGAGGCTGAAAAGTCGGACCCCGCACTGAGTCCTCTTTAAGAGCTTCCCTTCGCATGGTCCATTCAACCGCCAAGATCTATTACCATATTATTCTCTATAACAGATATCGCCCAGAGATCAGTTTTTATACCGTTTCCCATATTGTATTTTGCACCCATAAACCATGCATCCCACCGAAGGAGGGAAATCCTCCACCAAGAAGGGACTTGAGAAACACGGGACATCGGATAATTCACCAAAACCATCTAGCACTAGTGAGTTGGACAACATGCCGAATGACATTCGACAAATGGGGAGCTGGTCGGGTTCCTCGAAAGAAGACATGCGACCTGTTAAGCAACATAATTACTTACCACATTCTGGAACTAGGCGTGTCTTCTGAAAAGCCACGGAAAGGGATGGTGGATCCGTCATCATCACCTGAGCCTCAGCTAAAAGGTATGGATCCCCGTATCATGAGCACAGAGACTGGGATCAGAGCAATTTGAACACTGCCGTTTTAATCTAACGAATGATCAGGTTCTCTCAAAAAGTCTTCGCCCGGCCATAGTCATCCATTACCAACCAAAAACCCTGGCCGACTTCAACCTTCGGTAAGCAAATACATTGTCAAGCGGTGCGGTATGAAATTTGAAACAAATACTAACCATCAAAACATTGACATTCAATAGGCACTTGCGGTACTAGAAGAATGGATCCACCGCCATTCCAAAGCCTTTGAGCGAGGGTTAACAACTGCGCAGTTGGCTGTAGATAGTAACATAATTGACGACGGCAGTGCTCTGTGTCTTGCCGCCAGGAAAGGGACTCCAGCCATCATGAGAGCGTTGTTAAATGCAGGAGCCAATGTAAATCATCCTCTCAATGTTCTCAGAGGCGATGGAAGCGCTCTTGCTACTGCTTGCTTGGGGGATAAGAGAGAAAATATCGAATTTCTCATCCGAGAGGGAGCCGATGTCAATATGCAACTTGCCTGTGGAAAATATGGCACTGCACTAGCGGCGGTCTGTGCGGAGGGGTCCATAGCCAATATTCGCGTTCTACTCGATGCTGGCGCGTTGATAAATATGCCAATCATGTCAGGGCTCTATGGCAACGCTCTCGCAGCAGCCTGCCACCAAAGCAACACTCCTGTGGTTGAATTCCTGGTGAACCAAGGAGCAGATGTCAATATGCAGCTTAGCCGTGGATTATGCCGCAGCGCACTCGCAGCAGCCTGCGCAGCGGGATCCGTGGAAAAGATTCACGTTCTACTCGATGCTGGCGCGTCGATTAATATGCCAATCACTTCAGGACGCTATGGCAACGCTCTTACTGCAGCCTGCTACCGAAGCAGCACAACCGTGGTTGAATTCCTTGTGAGACAAGGAGCAGATGTCAATATGCAGCTTAGCAGTGGAATATACGGCAGCGCACTCGTAGCAGCCTCCATAGCGGGATCCGTGGAAAAGATTCGCGTTCTGCTCGATGCTGGCGCGTCAATCAACATCCCAGTTACTTCAAGATCCTATGGCAATGCTCTTGTTGCAGCCTGCCACCGAAGCAGCACCACCGTGGTTTCATTCCTGGTGAGCCAAGGAGCAGATGTCAATTTGGTCCTGGAAAATGGAGAGTTTCCAACTGCACTCACAGCCGCTATCCGTGGGAGGAACAGTGAGATTGTGCAAACACTTCTCATTATGGGTGCGGATCCAAACGTCCAACTCCCGACTGGAGGCTTTGGAGATGCGGTCTCTTTGGCAATTCATCTCAGGGAAAAGGTGTCAATTGACACGCTGATCCAGGCGGGGGCCCACATCGGTCCCTTGGCCTCAGACTTGATTCACACATTGAGCTCTCTGAGTAACTACAACGACCTCCATATAGAAACCCATGCAGATTCCTGCTACATTTCTTCAATTGTGTTCGATTGTGAGCTTCCTGAAATGGCCAAGAATTATCACGATCTATCATCTTGGTTGCCAAACATGAGAGTCCTGGTCAGAAAGGAAACAGTCATTGAATATTCCTCTGTCGATCAATTTCTTTGCAAGACCTATGGCCTTAAGGCGAGACATTTCCTCGGCAATTTGGTCAGATCCTTCGGAAGCAACCCAAGTTCATACGGTGAGTCAATTGCAAATTATTCCTCTTCTACATGCTTATTCTTATTCCTAGTTGATGGAACCATGTCTTTTTCGATACGCAATAGTTCAATCACCCTCGAGTGTTGTAGCCTCGACAAGGAGCTACCGAGCATGTTCGAGTGGCTTTGTTACGTTATCAGACAACGAGTACCAGGCATCACCTATCTACCCACCGCAGACAACAAATACACAAATGGAAGTCTTCGCCTGTCCCTGCAACCAATACAGACCTTGCATGTGAGGGACTCGTCGAACTATTGTTGGACAGAACTATTCGAGGGCGTGGCAATTGCCTTGGGACCCGGGGTTCAAACCCCAGAGCCATCTCGAGGCTTGGAAATGGACTGCAATACGATGATTCAACTAGCGGTAGTCGAATATCCAGTTCTGATTGATTCTGACACCGGCTCTCCCCCTGGCCTTGTTTTCCTTGGCTATTCCACGGCTCTCATTCCCATTCGGGAAACCGAAGATAACATGATTCTGTGGCATTTAGAAGTCGCGAGTAATGATCGTCAAATCAAAGCTTCCGAGCTTCAAGCAACACAATCAGAATGGCTACGAACAACGGATTTAAGCTACCTCCTCTCAAAGAAAGCACTCTTAGGATGGTGCTCTCAAGCGGAACTCAGATTGGGTGCCAGGACAGATGATCTAAATGTGACATGGTCTCAAGCTAAAGTGAAGCCATTTTCATTTGAGCTCTCAGGAATCAATCTTCAAGCTCTTGCACAGTCTGCAGCCCCGGCTCAATTTGGCATCCAGGCTGGCGCATCATGGAAGCTGGTAAACAATACCATCAGGTTCACCCAGGCTGATGAGTATCTGAGGTGCTTGAACAATAGTAGGGAGCAACAGATCGTTCTCTATGATGTCAGTACTTCGAGAGCTTGGCTTGTTCCTTTGATTTCAGTTTTTCACCACATGCTGTTGGTCTATTGGAAAAGAATTCCCGAGAAATTCCGAGAGAATGATATTCCTCTTGCCGACCCTACGCCTCTGAACATGGATGCCTCTTATGAAGCTCTAGTAGACAAGGGAGAATTGATCATCCAACGATCTGACCAAATCGAACACTCTTTGACCATTCGGAAACTTATCATCGGATTTGCCATCAATCTGGGCAGGATTTCGCTAAAAAAACCAAAGGGAAATAAGATCTACGGGTACGAGTTCATGGACATTGCGTGTGAAACTCAGACAACTACTTTGAAAAAGACAACACTTGAAAGGGACGGCCTGGCATGGCTGCCGCTACTCAAGGAGATCGATTGTCTCTTCTGCTCGGACCTCGGGGATGCAATCGTTGGCCAACGCACATCAGAAACTCTTTCGCCTTGCAATGCCTTACCAAAAGGGTATGACCTTCTGGCCGCATTAATCCGGAGTATTGAGCACTTGTCGGAATTGAAAGGTGGTTGCCAAGAGGGACATATCCGTCGATTACTGAATGATAGCGCCTGGCAACCGACAGGCTCGCCTTTCCAGCCATGCCAGCATGATAGCCATGAAACATGCTGGAATCAACCTGAGTTCTTACAGAAAATTACACCCGAACGATCAAACGGTCAAATTAGGAGTATCTCCTTCCATGACCACGTCAACGGTGCTGTTGTTTTTGGCGGACCCTTGAAACCGCGAAGGTTCACGATTTCTTCTCGTGTCTCCGGGAAGTATCAAAATCAACCGGACACAATCCGGATACCGATCTAGCAGCGGCGAGTGGGGGTCAGAATCCGTCCCTGAGCTGTTGAATGATAGAGCTTCAAAGTCTCTTCATGGTTGTTTCAGAGTCTCAAGCTTTGATGTTGGACTCACGCCCTGCAATACGCTGTTCATGCGTAGCAAAATAGCATCACCTATCACGATACTTCTTTCGTCTCCTTCTTTGTAGATGTTAAAATTAGTTCAAACGATGCGCTCTCACAATCAAGGTATGCATGTGAAACACGGCGACGTTACTCAAAACCTCCACATCCCGAGTCTACTAGCCGAACCACGGAACTCCAACGGGAAAATTCCACTGAACGCTTCACCGACACCGAGGCTTTCTCCAAGAGCCCTGTAGACTCATGATGCACTTGCAAAGGGCAAGCCGGCCGAAAGCCCCCCACTTAGGGCTATTCTAACGGTTACCGAACCATCTCTGCGCAAGTCGAGCACGAACACATGCCAAGATTTCAATATTTGTGCCGAAGAGAGTAGCCTTCAGATTTCGGGTCCGCGATCCACCGTGGGAGAAACAGTTGACGCGGCGTTTACTATTTTTCGGATGACAGATACCGGCGTACCATGAACTGACTAGTAGATCTGTGGAGGACGGTCAAAGACATGACTCGAGTGGAATTGGATACATAAGGAAACAGGGTGTTATACGTACCATAATTGTTGGATGCGCTGGAGCATTGTGCTGCTTTGGTCACTGGTGGCTGTTCCCGATCGATCGCGATCGATCCTGTGGCGACGCTAAGGTTTCACAAGAAGGTAAAATTGAAGCTTTATTTTCCGTGCCTCGACTGTGATCCGAAACAGAATAATCAAGGGTCCATTGTCTCCAGTAAGGATTTAGAGATGACTATAGTTAAGCTCTGGACCTCGCCGCAGTTAAATTTCACTTCAGGAGAAATTCCCAAGAAACAGAATGCCTAAAGGAATTGTGGACAATCTTCATAGACGATAGGGGCTCTGACTTCTATCTTAGGAGCGGAAATGCACTTCCGCCATTACGAACCACTCAACAACCAAGAACCCACTCCCCTATTCCTAGTTTCCCTCCACTAGTCCTCCTCCCCTGCTGTTTGTCCCCTGAACCTCGACAAATCAACGACGATCGCGCCCAAATAATCATTATTCTGCCTACTCCGTACTCCATAGTATTCCAGAGCTCACGACAGGACATCATATCCCGGAACTTAAAGCCAGGATGATCTCGGAGAATTTATGATAGTCACCAATAGTAATTCAACCTTCGACTCTTGGAATTCAGGGGACTCCGCAGGGCTCCTCGTTAGTGGCAGACTAAGAGCGAGCTAGGTCCGCATTTCAGCCGCGCCACTCGCCCCCCTCGAGTCTAGGTTGCGCAGCACAGACACTGGAGAACAAGCATTCATGCTTTGGAGGAAGACCATGCGCAATTGAATTTGTTGAGGATCGGGAGGTTGGGTCTGATCGGGTCTGGATTTGAGGATTTCCTGGTTCTTGCAGGGACGGCCATAGTTGGGGTTCTACATGTAAACCTAGTTTGGATAGGAGAAGTTCGACCCGTACTCGTGGCATGTACACCCACGAGATCTCTCCTTTTTCGGATGTTTATTTCGTCTGAAGAATTGATGTATGACAGCCCTCGGAGAAATGAATGATTTATGTCAGAGGGGCAGATGCCAAGTGACATGTTCAGGGACTGGTCGGAGAACGAGGAATATAACCACGGATCCCTCGATTATGGTTCGAAACGCATCTCGATTTCGCGAACCGTTTAACAGCAGACTGGACCCAATAATTCTTGCACTACCATCCGTAAATTACCCTGAACAGTAGAGGAGAAGAATGAATGAAAAATACAACGCCCCGCCGCACACTATCCAAGGGACAGACGCCTCTGGCCAAGGCCAGGATTGGATCTGGGGTGTCCACAACGGAAAAAGCGCAAACTAGTGGGGTTAAAACGGGAGAGAGATACCAGCGAAAAGAGAGACAGGAAAAGATTCCAGTGGCTTATGGTTCAGTTCATGGGTTCATGGTTCACCGATCGCTTTCCCCTCTTCCGCGGTCCCCCTTCACGCCAAAAGCATATTAAATAGGAGGAAACTAAAATGCTAGAAAGAAAGCCCTGCGGGCACTGGCACTGGCCCTGACCCGAACTCAACACGGTTCACTGGCTGGCAGGGGCAATGATTGTCAAATATCCTCCCGCTTTGGGCCTGACCCTCTTTCCTTACACAGTACTCCACTTCAGGGCCGAGTCAAGTGCGAGTCGAGGGCCTTTACGCCTGGTAAATTGAGACTTCCGGCCGAGATGACATTCGCCACGGGTAGGATATGGTGCTCAGCTTGCGTTTGCTTTTTTTTTTTCTCTCCGTTTGCTTTTTGGATTAGCACCCCCCCCTTCCGATCCGACGGGTAGGGAAATGTGGGTACGGTGGGATTTTGGTTCAGGTAGCGTCTCAGAAAGGGTGTTCTTGAGGGTCAATGAATTTGAGATAATTTGGATGATGGTCGTTCAGATACGCCTTGCACAGGGGCGTCTGTAGTATTGGTAGATTTTCGAGATGCATAGGTCGGCAGATGACCACGGCACTGCATGGTAGACCGCTTTGTAATTTATCCCATGCTTGGGAATATAGAAATGTATGTATAGTCATATCCAAAAATGCTAGCTTTGGAGATGCAGGAGTAGACTCGGCGCCTCTGTTCTGTAGAATGCAAGGGCGCCTGGGAGGGCAGTGTGTAAAACCCGATCTAGAGCTCACTCGAGATGCAGTATCAAAAAGACGCTTCCAAATACCCAAAAGAGAATGGAAGGAACACGATCGCTAGACAAATCGGATCGCGGCGAGGGTCTCAATAGACCCATGTCGCCGTTTCCATGGATGCGATGCCCCGAAAGACAAAAGGATAGAAACGACAAAAGGCGATAGGGGAGTAAAAGTAGATGATGAACACATGTCATAGAAATGAAACAACATAGGAAACGAGAACACTGTCGGGTTCATCAACGAGAACTTCGCGGCCGCGAGTTCTGTGACGAGGAGTCGTGAAGAATGTCCGGCGCTCGCGGGCCAACCATCCAATCCTCCATAGCAAGCCACTCGCTCCAGCTGCGCTCAGCAGCTTCGATCTCCGCATCCAATGGACCCTGCAGCGGGCGCAAGAATGGAATCGTTTCTAGCGGGGACATATCGTAGTCCTTTTTCACAGAAGCCCAACCGCCACTCTTCGCGGCGAATAGATAGTTGCGACGTTCTTGCTCGTGCAGGGGTCCAACGCCCGTACCCCAGTCATCTCCAAAGAATCCATGCAGCACCCCTGGGAAATCCATACCCGTGGCGACTAGACGGCGAATATATGGGATCAATGAAACGGCGGGCGGGCCTGGTGGTACTGGACCGCTTGGAGTTGGTGTAGATGGTGCGGATAGAGGGTTCGAATTCATGATCGGGTTTGCTTGTCGTTGGAAGGGTAATTTGATGTTCAAAAAGGCCGATAGTGCCTGTACTGGCACGCTGTGTTGTGCATGGTCGAGGAAATATCGTTGGCAGCTTTGATAGCGTGGATACCATTCGAAAATGTCGAAATTGTCTTCTGACCTCCCGGGTGAGGCGCCGACCAGCCCGATCATGGCAGCCGGATCGAATTGCGATTGTGAGTTCATGCTGGATGGTGATGCTGATCTGGGCGGTTCTACAGGGTATCTGGAGGCAAGTCTTGGTCTTAGCCGTATTCTTTGTCTTTTGTTCTTTGGTTCATTATGGGGATCGTGTCATTGGGCCTTGTCAGACGGGCATTCTTCGTGTTGGGGTTGGCTTAGCGGGGCATTTCGATTTGCATCGCCCCAACAGCGCCTAGCAAAAACACAAAAAAAGTGAAAGATGGGGAAAACACCAGAACAAGACAGTGTCACCATCAATGGAGCAGCAACTGGATAGGGGGAATGATTACTTGTTTGAAAAGAGATCCCTACCTCGACGAACCAGGAGGGAGACACGGCGCCGGGGAGAAGGGGAGGATGAAGAAGAGGAAGGCGGGGGAGCAGAGCGGAACAGATCTCTGATGGCCCCGAGTCCTCGGCCAGTTTGGGGCTTGTTCATGGGCATCTGTCAGGGGAGGACCATCGAAGGAGACGACAGCTCATGGCACGAATGGACCGATTTGGGGACAGTAGAGAATAGTAGTCGAGACTCGAGGAAGTGGGACACCCCTTGAGGGAACCAGATTATGAGGTAAAAGAATAGCGGACATACATGTTGGGGAGGAGGGGGAAATAAACGGGCTGCCGTCAAAAGAAAATAGTAATAAAAATCGATAGAAACGGAAGTAACGAGGGAGAAAAAGAAGAAAAGGAAAAAAAAGGAAACTAACGGAATTACAGCCCAAGATAAGAATGAGGTTCAAAGAAAATCGGGGCTTTATTCTGGAACGTTCATAGAAAACAGCGCGAGGAGGGAGAAATCGTGCGGAGAGTGGATTCCTAAAGTATACGGAGGATTTTGGATTTTTTGGAGAGGTTTTTTTTGGTTTGAAATCGGATCCATCAGAACGGGTCTATCCGGTTAGGCCAATCATGAAGACTAAGGCCCTTGTCCCTCAGATCTTGCTGTCCACGGCCCATGGGTGGATACTGGGATCGATCTAGATGAGGAGGTGGTGGTGGACGAGGGGGGGATTTCAGAAATTCTCGGGATTATTAAACGAATTGGTTGGCCATTGGACCAGTGGATAACGGTATAGTTTAATTACTCTCGTACTGCTACAATCATGATGCTAAGCTCGAGTATCTATTGGCATGTCGAATAGAAAGTGATGCGTTTAAAAAGGAAAGAAATTAAATACACTGAAAAAATCTCTCCCAACTTGGCAAGAGCAAGGTATGGTTCACTTGTCAGATCCATTCGATTCCGCGCTCCAATGGCCCCCCCCTCTTTGCCTCCCCCATAGCGGCAAGTCGTTCAAAACTAGGAACATCAGCCGGCCCTGACTTGCTTTATCCACGGTCCTGTTCGGCTAGACAATGGGAGGCTTCCGACATCCGATTTAGACCCAGTAACTAACTATTAGTAGTAGTACTAAACTGTAGTGTCTTTTCCAAAACTCTCGATCTTTGTCGCATGTTATTCCTAGTTGGTCATTGCCGCTCCCTGATTTGCCCGGGATCCTTTAGCCTGCCGCAGCGGTACCTGGATCCTCCATTGAGGTAAGGCTGCGTCCTTGCGCCGGGTAACTCTGCATGTATTACGGAGCAGAGAGATCTCATCGTCCACTTATTCATTCCTATTGGTTGGCCCAATCGAGACGGCGTCGATTCTAATAAGTATTCTCGTCCACTAGCTTTTCTCCTTTTCTCCAAAAACCACGCGACTGGATGCCGATTTCCTTTCCCATGCCTCTATCCTTGTTGCGGTATGGATTGTACTCTTCTCCCCACGGCTTAAATATAGTCTAGCGAGGATAAGCGCGGCATGAGAAAAAGGGGGAGGCTTGCTTTGCCTTGAGAACCGAATCTTACTACTACCTTTCAGGTTTCGGATCCATGACTGCGCCAATCTATCCCGCAGCGAGGTTACTCGCTGCAAGGCGCCTAGTCATGATTGAAATCGATTGTCCACGAGGACACTTGGTAATTACAGGTGCATTCTTGAATTTCCTTGTCCACTGCAAAGACGACTGGTCGAAAAAGCGGTCCTCGCATCCACACCTAATATACTAATATACACAATTTACACATGTATTGGCCGTGCCTAGTCCTGCACATCAATCTCATGCTGCAGATTTTGGCAGTGGCTGGCGGAATACCAATGAATTGACTTTCGATATACGACGGATTCCACTCGACCGGCGGGTAGTCTTGCACTGATGCCTATCTATTCACCCCCTGAATGCACAATCGACAAAAGGGGGAGGTTGTTAAGGAGACGGCAGGTCAATCGGACCCTCGCGCAAAGAAAGACATCTGGATGGATACCCCATAACCCAAGAGCTTAGTTTGCGATCGTGGCGCTGCCCCGAGGGAAACCAACATGCTCGGGTAGTTGAAGAACGGAGCGAAGGATTGATCTTCCACAAATCGACTCGTTCATCGAGAGAACGAAGAAATCCACAACAAAGAAACCCCCAGCAAAAGACAAGCTAAGTTCCAAACGAGGATGGTTAGCTTGCTAGGCGCTACGCCGGCTTCAAGCCGCGCCACCTCTTGTTGGCCCCTGCAAGATCTCTGACCCATCCAGATTCCAGCCCAGTCTCGAAATAATAATTCCCCACGCCATTTAGCACGTCGGTGCTAAAAATGTTTAAAAATTGCGTCACTAAGCCGAAGCAAGAAGCTCACGCCAGGACAGTGGGCCGCTGGGCACACGATCTAGGATCCTCGGGCGCGAAAGGCCCAAGGCGCCAAAAGCAAGGACCACCTTTTGAGCTGTGACTTTCTTACAGTTCTCCTTTGCCCCATTTTCCCCTTGACGACTCCGGCCTAACCAAGCTACGGCCCAACTACGGCGATTGCTATACAAGGAAGTGATTCCGCCGATCACTGCACGCGGTTTCATATTGATTTTTATCAAATGTCGAAGCCGAGGTCGACGACTAGCTTTGCTAGACAAATGCCGTGGTCGAGGTCGGCATTGCGGAGCATGGGGCCCCCTTTTCTGGAGACAAAGAACTGGCGGGTCCCCCTGACAGCTGTACGAAATCGAGGACAAACCAGGGGGGGAAGTTGACTTGATTATTGAGCATTGAGCGTTGATCATTGATCATCGATGACTGATTGTTCTTTGATGCACCCTCGTGCATGGGGAACAATGCCAGGGTATTGCTGTGGATGGCGTACTCCATTCAATCAGCCCTGGATTACCTTTCAAGATGCAGACAATTCCCCTGTCCCTATGCGGATGTCCCGGGTGAGATCCACTCACTTTTCACCTGACAGTTTGGAAGGCGTCAAGCTTGGTTGCCGACTTGACCGAAAGACTTCAGCTATGACGAACGAGAGCCAGGACAAGGATATTCTCGCCGATCGATTCGATATGCAATCCTGAAATAATTGACTGGGGGGCAATGCCGTTCCTTGAACCTTGATCTCGACATCAAGGCCCACAGCAGCGATACGCTCTGCACGTACTTATGCGGCTGATGTTCCAGGAAATGCACGGCTGCCAGTCGGGGGGTGCACTTTGCGGTGGATCGTTTGGCGCCAGAAGCGCAAGGCCTCGCCTTGTCAACGTACTTTGTCAACGTACTTTGTCAAAGCCACGAACAAGTGCGCAAGTACGGAGTACTGAGATTAGTGCTTGATGTCGCTGGCTCTAGTATGAAAGAGGCAGGTCCATATCCCTTGCCATTGGAGGGTCGCAATTTGACGCTGATCGGGCTCGAAGTCTTTGTGACCGCCATTTGGCTTGGACGTTAAAAAGTACTGATTTCCATAGCAATTCCAGGTTTTTGGCATGTGGCGGCAGACTTGCACGTAACCCGGGTTGAGGCTGAGAATTTGCCATCGTCTTTTCCGATACGTTCATGACGTTTTCTGCCCGGTTCAGCTACTATGTACGGTGATAGATCTCCTGTGGCGAAGACTCCTGCACCCAAACCGAAGCTAAACACGATCGCATCAAGCTGAACACACACGCACACACACACACATCGAACTGATTCCAGGGAACATCCCTCGAGATCTATCACGACCGTTAGCAACGTCATTCCAGGAAACGCCTCCTTCTCATTCGTATACCACGCCACCCTCGAAATACCTCATACCTCATACGACGATGATGCAGCCTGCAGATAGAGCCATCCATCCAGCGCGTACGATAAAATGCACGTCAAACACCCCGCCTATCAGCACACGTGCAACTCGTCATGGCGGTATCTCAAAAAAGTGATCTATCACTTTGCGACACCGCCTCCCACGCGCTGCGCATTTAGCGCCCGTAGGTGGTCCTGCGTGTTGTAAGCGGTCGTCATCGCTGTAAAAGTGTAGCCTGTGGCTTGATACATTTTCGTCTTGTCTTCGTCGGGAATCGTGGGCCATCAGATTCCCCATGGGGGAAGAACATTGAGACTCTGTCAGATATGTGCAGTGCCCACAGAGTAGTCCCCGCACTACTCGGCCGAACAAACAGGGATTCCGATGAACAATGAAGATCTCGAGTAAAAACAATGCGTAATAACCTCTGACGTCGGCGCCATCTGTCCTCTTTTCAGGATTGATAGGGAAACCGGGGGAATGGGGGAGGTGTCATTCCTATTCTTATTCGCGGGGTGCGGAGTCCGCCGATGCCCATGGGTCATGCCTTTGCTTCCCGCGATGCGGCGCGAGTCCCGTCCCGCTTGACGGGCGGCGCGGGGTGGGATGGGATGGGGAGTACTACGTAGATGATGGAATGGGATTGGGTGTAAGTTCTACTCCATGCTGGAGGGAGGGACTGTGGGGTTTGGTCCTGAATCTGGGGTGCGTGGTGGTGGTTGGTTTTCCAGAGTGGACTCTGTAAGGAGGGTCAAGGCTGGGGAGCTGCGGGCGCTAGAGGGAGCTGCCCTGGCTGTGGGGTTGGATATCCAGGGTTCTTGGTGGATTCGTTTGTAGTATAGACGGACGACAGGGAAGCTGTGTGTATTTTTGTTTGTTTTGTGATATGCTTCAGGCCGAATACTTGCCTTTGGTTG